TTGGACGCGCCCTTATACCTCTCACATATCGCGACTCGTCATATCGCGCCCCATCCGCGTCAAAAATCTCACGGTTGGATCGACCCACCCAGTCAAATGCGACCCTTTCCATTCCACTGCCAAAATCCGCAACAACCATGAGTCCGGGACCGATGTTGCTCCTCGCAGAACCTTTTCCAATGCAATGATAACCCAGGGCCATATGGATGGCGATACACGTCAGGTCCGGTGTCAATACTCTGGTTGTCGTCGGTTTGAACCACCAATGTAAATAGGAACCATCTTCTAAACAGCCTCCAGCATCTAAAAAATTGGATCCATCTTCCAGGTCTATTTTCGCTGCAAAGTACTTATCATCGTGGGAAGTATATCCGACCAATTCTATCGTCGATGTCCAGGCCGAGATGTGAATGTAATTTGACAGGGCCAAGCTTTTGTTCAAGTCGTTGTAAGAATCCTGAAATGAATCATAATCGATAATGTGGCCATCGTTGAATTCAAAATGAATATCAATGTTAGGGTCTGTCTGAAGCATTTCCATGTCAGACATATCCCATTTGACTGGAGCCGTCCAGCCTGTCCAGGACCAACTAGGGAAACCAAGTCGTCTAGGTGACGGAAGAGTTTCTCTCCAACAAAGTCCCACAAGAAGGCCTAGGACAGGTTTCCAGGATGTCGCTTCAGATCTTTCGGGAGGCCGGCGGAAATTGCCGCTTGGTCGAGGCAAGATAGGTACGCCAAGACAGTGGCGAATCTTAAAGGGGCCTTCTTCGAATGCTCTCAATATACCAAGAACCGCATTGAGAATGTCTCGGGGGTTTGTGAGAGACTTAGACGAGTACTCTTCAATGCGTTTAAGGACCTCCCAAGGGCCTCGTCCAACTCCTCGAGGAAATATTCCGATGTTGCCGCCGGCACAAAAGTCTGCTTTGAGACGTTGTTGAGACCTAATGTGCATATCTCGGAGCGGCAAATCAAACGCCTCGCAGCAGAGCATGCCGTAACACTCATAATATACCTGCTCGTCGGTAAATACCAGCCGTCGTCTGGATAAGATTCCTTCTTGGTATGTCCAAGCCCTTGTTGTCCACCGACAGTTATTGATCCAAAATTGTGGCTGGCTCAGCGAGCAGACCAAAGATTGATTTTTGATGCGTGAATGATTATGCTTGGACCGATGCCGTTTGCCCACCCCGGGTAGACCGTAGGTCACATCTCGACCTGCGGCGGCGATGATAGTTAAATCAGAGTTCCGGTAGATTGAGTCCATCTGGAGTAGCTGCGCTGTAACATCCTCCTTGTGATTCTGATCAATGCAGAACTGATCAACCCAGAGATACCGAAATCCTAATTTCCGTGTGACAGCAATGGAGTCTTCGATCGTGGCCGGTAAGTCTTTGGGAATCGACGCACAGTTGCCGAAAGCTTCCATGCCTTCTCCACAAACGTAGCTTAGGGCTACGTATGGATGATTCGCTGCCGGAACGACGTCGCCCATCTCGCAGTCAATCAGCTTCATAAAGGGCACGAGTGAGGATGCCTTGGAGGCACAGTCGTCTGTGTGCATCTCACGGCAGAGGCTCAACCAATCCTTAATGATTTCGAAGTCGATGTAACTCGGACTAAGTATTCGCAACCAGGTAGAACCTTGATTTTGAGCAATTAGATATTTGTCGGCTCCATCTATACCTATCATGCCCGTGTCGATAGCTTTCAAGCCACTTGGGCCCGACTTGATGCTTGAATATGATTGGAGTATGTATCGATCGCCGCTTTGTTGACGAGCTTCAGGAGGTAGAGTTGTAGCTAATAAGCTACACAAAGGGCAGGAGTCGATAGCCCAGGTCGAGACCGGGCGTAATCTCGTCACAAGTAAACCCCGACGTGTCTTATGCTGCCTCGACAAAACCCCATCAAGGTCAATTTTGGCGCATCTCTTGCAAAGTTGATCTTGTGGTGATGGAACGCTCCGTTTTGATCGTTTCAAACGTGGCAAATGATCGGAGACGGTAGAGTGTTCGGCACGAGCTGTGTGTTCTTCTTCCGTGGGTCGCAGTTTTCGTTTTCCCCGGAGCATCATGGACGCCATTTCGCAAAATCCAGACTTTTTCACTGAAGAAAAGGTCAAATTATATCACGTCATAAGTAGGGTCAGGAGTTGTGGAAATGTATGAAGAGGCCATATTAATGAGCTCGTGGGAGCCATAGCTAGTAGTATGGCACAGCCTCCTGATAGGCATCCTCCAGGCAAGAGTCTTGGCTGACACAACCCGTCAGGGCTCTTACCCGGCGAGCTTGCCGGTTCGGGTTACCTTCTCTTGGCATAGTCTGTGGCTGAGCCTCTAAGCACAAAAGACCTTTGGCTTGACCTCCAAGTGTGCTCAGAAGCTACGAGATCTACACTTCGACCCATTTCCCCTTGTTGGACACATTTCTTGTTTTATTGCGTCACTGCAAAGATACTTCTTGGACTCGCCAAAGTGGAGCGGTGTTGGAGGTAGGAAAGTGGCTGCGTCCAATGTGTGCCCGCAGAGTTATCTAACAAGAGCTCAAGCCTCGCTGTGAACATGCTTCTTCGAGGACCATCGCGACTCTCCGCGGGAGTCTAGAAGGGACCTTTTTTAGGATCTCAAAGGTTCAAAACCCTCGAAGAGAGATACCTAGGTAGTACTATTGGCAAGTGTGACAACCGCAACTACATATTCGTAACTTTCCTACGCCTCCCTGCCCAAAATTACCCTTTTTAGAGTTGACTCGAGTTATGTCTGTGATTTTCCGATTCAAGATAAAACGACAGAACCCGAGGAATGCCACTCATCGCCAAAAGAACCTGGTGTGTAGGCACCTTCTGAAGTCCTCACATGGTAGCGTCAAGCGATATCGTTAACTAGCCTGTATCGTACATGATAGTCAAACATGTCGTGCGCGGCATTACAAGTGTATGTGCCAACACTCAGGGCAGGACCAAGCAGGCTGACTTAGTTCACAGGCGACGGTACGGAACCAATATGCCGCAATTGTAGAGAGAGTGGTCGTGTCTGCGTTGCTGCTTTCAATGTCCGCTTTCGGCAACATAGGAATTCTACGGCCGCCGACGCAGGCCTCCACCTAAATGGCACGCTCACTTTTGATCACGACCAGATTTGGGTCAAAACACCGAAGACGTGTTGGTCAACCCTAGTTCCATGCCTTGGATGAATGCTGAACTGTAGCAGTAAGCTTCTTCAACGAAAACCCTGCCACCGAGAGTGGGGAGATATTCCTTTGGCAAACGAGAAGGAAACGTCGCCCGATAATGCCAGCGAAGCAGATGCCTCATTTGATGCTGCACAAACGCCCGGACATAGTCCGGTTCAGCAGGGTGGGCCTTCATATGACTGCCACTTAGGCATAGACGTCTTGCACCGCCAACGTCAGGCCACCGACCGCTTGTATGAGCATTATTCGCCAACGACAAACGATGGTGGCGGGTCAGAAGACCTTGTATGCAGGTCCCACGGCATGGAGGCTTCTCCGTCATTGTTACACAGCAGTTTTCTAGATGCTACTGGCTCCCATGGATCTGCTTCACTATATGTCAACTCTTGCGCCAGCCAAACGATAGACCATGAAAAGGTGGATTTGCTTCGCTATTTCAAACAGCAATAGGGAGATTATGGGTAGTTCAAGCCCAATGGACTTTTGAAGGCCTGGTTACTGACCTATTAGTTCGATATCACGGACAATGTATTTACAACAGAGGCTTTGCGGCTGGCTCCTATTTGTCCACTTTTACTGTATTCCATGCTCGCTACCTCAAGCATACACAAAAGTCGTGTCACCACGGATAAAGACGCTGTCTTCAAACATGTAGCAATGGCACAGAACTACCATGAGCAGTGCGTCACCATCCTACTACCAATGCTTCACAACAAGGCTGCGATAACAGATGCAGCTTTTCTTGCATGCTCCACAATCCTTCGGTTTTACGAAGAAATTAGCGGTACGATTTTGTATTCTCCTCTAAGTGTCTTTGAGCAATTAAAATGACCTTTCTCCTGCAGCTCCGGTTCATGGAATGGACGATGCACGTCATTTGCTTGGTGGCTACGCCTCAGTCGCAGAATCACAGCAACACATCCAGCTATCAACAAGCTTACTGAGTACTGCAGCATTCTGGATCCACCAGCGGCAAGATGCTTTTAACGCGCTCATCAATCAACGGCTTCCGAAGACTGACCTTGACTGCTCTGGACTGGACCGCTCAACATCATTCGCTGATGCAGATACGTGGGCGAAGCGAGCCACCTGCCTCCACGCTGAAGCTGTATCCTTCTGTTTTAGTATTGATGCTACTTCTAAAGACAAACACCACAATCTCCTGCAGCGCCTGGAAAAATGGGACCAACACAAGCCGGATATATTCTCGCCAGTATTTCATCAGGAACGTGATATCATGCAAGGACGACATTTTCCGGAGATCTACTTCCTGTGGGACTGCTGTGGTAAGCATGGTTCTCTGGCCCCCACTGTGACCATAGTACGAACGGTTCTTACACTTTCCGCAACAGCTTTTGCACTCTCCTATCACTATTTATCCATGCTATTGATGACCGTCTACGATCCGAGCGTACCAAAGATAGGACCTACGATGCTTGAAGGCCGGAAGAGGGTGGATGTGAGATAGATTGTAGCTCGAGTTTTCTGCTTCTGACGAACAATCCAGGACAAAGTTGTTCATTATTTACGACTTCTTTGTGGTCTGGCGGCTTCAAATCCAGTCCCTCCTGCCCGTGTGGTCACCTGCTTGGCACTATCTCAGTGTAAGTCATCCCATCTCAACGGTATTGGCACTGCTGAGTATCTCAAGGTGGTGGCTGGATTACAGATCCTATGGAACAACAAGCGGTCCTTAACCTGTTGCAGCTGATCGAACAACAGGACGCTTGGCCAACGCGCGAAACCCGACAGAAATTGAAAGCACAATGGGCACAAATCTGTTCAAGTTAAAGTTGACCTTATCAGCTCCAAACATCTTCCTGTAATTGCTTCGATTGCCGCAGCTTCCTGACCCAGGCCATTGCTTGCGTTGCGGTTTCTTCGGCGTAAAGACTTCTCATCTTCGCTAGAGCTTCCACGACTTGTCGAGCCATACTAGCTGATCCACAGATGTAGAAGCGACAACTGAGTTGATTCTGTAACAAATCCATTACCTCTTGAGCCCGTTCCTGAAGGCGGTCTTGAACGTAGACCTTCTGACAGTTGTCTCGGCTAAACGCTGTCCGAAAGTCAAAGACTTCCTTGCCCAAGATGTTCCTCGCCTCTTCCCATTCTTCCCTGTAGATGAAATCCACCTCTGAGTGGCGGAATCCGAGGAACAGTAACATCTTGCCCACATCTTGCCCAACTTCTTTCCGTCGCATGCGCTCCCGAACGAAAGCTCGGAAAGGGGCGACGCCGGTTCCAGCTCCCACCATTATGATCGGAACGGAGGCCCTCATTGGAAGCTTGAATGTGCTCTGACGAATCCAAGCGTACATTTTCTGTCCCCTCAGCTGTCCCCTGGGGCCATCAAACGTGAAGCTAGGTATGTCGCAGCTGGCAATATCCGACGTAGAGTTGTTTATGGCACTCTCGAGGGCGTGAAGGTAGCTCGTTGCGAGGCCATAACAGCCTCTGTGAAGCGACTTCTGGGCCTCTGCAACTTCTGGATGTTTGTCGACCACTGCAACTAATGAGGCTGTCCTTGGATCAGTCTCGGCTGAGGAGCAGATGGAGTAATACCGCGGTTGCATTGCTTTGAGTCGCTCCAGGAAGAACGAGAGAGGTATGGCCCAAGGAGCTTCTTCCTCGACCTTGATCAGGAGATCTGCGAAGGTTAAATGGGCATCCAAAACCTCGGATCGGAAAATATGAGCGTCATGGCTGATACGTTGCAACTCTGCAGCAGCGGCTTCTGATGGAGCAAATTCCGCAAGTGCTGCAACAGTTTCCATGGACATATACCCACAGATCTCGAGATGATGGCGAAACAGAGCGTGCGCGGTTGTTGGCGAAGGTACGGGGACCTTGTTGTCACTGTTATCTTGGGTTGCTTCAATCACCAGTGGGACGTCCTGCTTTTCTGATAGCCCTAACGCTGACAGCAGGCGCTCAACATGATGGTCGGGATTGCTCGGATAGACAGCCAGGTGATCGCCTGTTTTGTACTTGACTGCTCGAGTATCGCCCAGATCGAGGTCCATATGAATGCAGAGCCTGTCGCCCGTCTCCCAGAGCTTTCTTGCTCTGGAGATGGTCTGTGTTTTGGACACGCCACCGTCACCCGACCGATTTCGACCAAGGACCGAAGAATCAGGTTCCCCAAGATTCACCTTTTCCATGGCTATAGAAGGGACTTCTTCGATCTTGAACATTGCTTGGTACGCATGGGATTTTTCTGTTAGGTGCCATTTCACTTTGAGCTCATCTTCGATCGTTCGCCTCCACGAGAGGAAATGGCTCTCCGTCTCTCCATTCGCCTCGTCACCTTGGCCTGGCGGCCCCAAGCGCACTGCACCCAGATTTTGAAATACACTATCAGCATATACTGCCACTCTATTGTATTGTCGGTAATTTGAGTTGCCCAGGCCAAAAATCAGGTAACGAAAACGCTTCAAGCTGGAGTCGGTAGATTGAAGCGTTCGTAGGACATTCCAGAGACCATTAACATCATCCGGTGGATCTCCATCGCCATATGTCGACAGCACAAAACCGCAGACATGTTTCTCGGTGAGCTGCGTCAGATGGTTGTGGTCGTAATCATCAAGGTTCGCAGCAAGCGTTTTAAGTCCAAAGCCATCATGAAAACTTTTAGCGAGCCGTCGTGCAAGGACTTCGCCTCTTCCGCTTTGGCTGCCCCAGAAAACAACAATGTCGAACTGTTTCTATACAACAGTTGAGCTCAAATACTTACATATTCTCCCGCAGATACTCACCTTCTCAAATACATGAGCGATATTCCTTCCATCTTCTTCCTTCTGCTTTGCAATCGCTCGAGCGCCTGACGATTGCGGGACGCGATACCAGAACTCGTGTGGTATATCTTTATGATTCAAGAAATATCGTTTCCAGATGTAGTGTGCCAGGATACCAATGGTCAAAAAAAGCACAAATATGGTATTACTTCTTGTCTCACTTGACTGCCAGATGCTGTCTGTGTATGTGTCGAACAGAACAGTACTAGTATGCATCTTCAAGGCCGATATTGTCGTTTCTCAACTTCTACTCTGGATGCAACAGACATAGCTCTTATCCTTTCCAGATCCCTTCCACATTCCTAGCCCTACAGTATTCCTGAGAGGTCCACGCTGTAATCCTAGGATTACAGTAGTGGCCTTCCCAGGGATCAATCGAATGACAGGCTCGCAGGTGGGGCGGGTACCAAACCTGCCTTTTTGAGAGTTCTAGGGGCCCGTGAGCCCCTGCTCATCTTCAAGCCAACTGGGTTACAGTACTAACTTAACTAGCTCGCGTCAAGCAGACTTTCCCAAAATGCTGTTGGTACAGATCGCCTCTCTTGGGCATATTCTCAAGTCTGGAGTGTTCCCTGGATTAGGACCCTGAGAAACGTGCCATCGTGCGGGCAACCTTGGGCGGAAACAAACTCTGCTCGACTGAATATATAGGCAATGGGGTCAATACATCCGCCATAAGGCATCTAATCTGGAATGCACGAAATTTCTTATCAAAGGCTCTACGAAACCCGTCGTTGGGGAAATCGTCTTACAAATGTTGTTACTGGCATCTTTCGTTGCCATTACGGTGGCCGGGCTTCTCATATTGGTGACCAAACATGTATACGTGTATTACAGAGATGCTAAAGACCTACGACGCTTTCCTGGATTGAATGTTTTGGCACCTTTTACCAATATACCATACATGTTCCATGCGTCACAGTGTCGGAGGTTCAAAGCTGTACATGATGCTCACGAGAGATGTGGCCCCATCGTTCGTGTGGGTCCGAATTCTCTCTCTTTCAACGACGTCGCTGCAGTCCGAGCCATTTACGGTCACGGATCACCTGTACGGAAGGACGAATTTTACGATCTCTTGTCAGGGACTCACCGGCACCTGGCAGATGTTGCTGATAGAGAAGAGCATTCTCGAAAGCGTCGCGTCCTGGCGGGAGCTTATTCGCAGGCTGGGTTGGAACGATGGGAACATGTTGTCGCAGACAGGACCGCTGCCTTAATTCGACAATATGACCGTCTCTGCGACGAGCCTGAATATCAACCTACGCCACATGCCGACCCAGCACTCACTCCTCAGGCTGTCAAAGGCTTCATCAACCACCGAAACTGGATGGGCATCTTCGCCGAGGATGCCATTGCCCAAATTGGTCTCACCGCTGACCTCAAGCTTCTCGAGGCCGGTAGTGATGTTGTCACGGTCAGAGATTTGAAAGGACAAGAATACAGCTTCAGCTATCGCGAAGCTCTTTGGTACTCTCACCGTATCCAGTCTTGCCTGGTGTGGTCACCAAAGTGGTTCTCGCGTCTTGTTCGCCTGACATCGTGGCATCCGTGGTGGGCCCATGACACTGATTACACCAACATGTGCATCCACATGGTACAAAGGCGTTTGGCGCGGTATGAAGCCGGGGAACAACTGGACGATTTCTTCACGTACCTCTTGGAAGACAAGCAAGGTTATGCCAACATGTACCCAATGGGCGAGCTCGTGGCCGAGTGCAGCATTATGCTGAATGCCGGCTCAGACACGACAGCCACGGCGTTGACGAACGTGATGTACTGGCTACTAAAGAATCCTTCTTGCCTGGCTAAGCTCCGCGCCGAAGTCGATTTGGCAATGGATCCGGATGAAACGGTTCCTGCCTATGACAGGGTCAAGCATCTCCCATATCTACGTGCATGTCTGGACGAGAGCTTACGCATGACGCCGCCAAACACAATGAATATCCCCCGCATGACGCCTCCTCAGGGTATGTCTATTATGGGCCACTGGATTTCTGGCAACACCACCGTACACGCCCCGACATATAGTGTACATCGCAACCCAGACGTTTTCCCAGATCCGGAAGCGTACAGGCCTGAACGGTGGCTGGTGGAGGGTTCCAAAGACTTACAGCCACATTTCATCACGTTCAGTGCTGGTGCCAGAGGCTGTATCGGGAGAAATATCACGTATCTAGAACAGACAATGGTGTTGACGAGCTTGGTGCATCGGTTTGAGTTCGAACTGCTGAGCGAGGCCTGGGAACTAAGGCACACTGAAGCGTTCACATGTTCGCCTGGTGATATGCCCCTCAAAGTTTCCAAAAGGGTGATTTCTAAGGAACTCAGCATGTAACAGGTGTAGTGATCCTTGGGGACATTTGTGCAATGTTCTCCGTAACGGCGGTCTTGATCAATGCCATAGTAATATAGGTCTTTACACCTTTAAGTAAGAATTCCATCTGTCCAGCGGTCGAGGTTTTGTAGCATAGCTATCTGAGCCGCCCAACGTCCTATTCCTAACAAGTTGATCTCTTTTTGCCGACGTTGTACTGCTCGTAAGTGTTATAGCAAAAGCCATTCGAACAAGGGGCTCACTTATTTTCTTGATTTGTAATAAGAAAACTTACCCTGAGGTGGTAACATCTGCTAGAAATCCCACTTCCAAACTCGTTTTAATTATGATAAAGAGTTGATGCAAGTGGTTGGATAATTTTCACATTACACCTGGGTACAAAAATGGCACAATAGATGTTGTTGTCGATGATTTCTCTGTCACAGTAACCCTCATCATGGCCTACGAGCAATTACTCCTCGATTATTGCTTGGTATATGTCTCCGAGTCAGTTTTCCTGAAAGTAAGATTCCTTTCCTTCAGCCCACGCTCTTGTTTGCTTGAACCTCTTATGATAACGACCATAATTTGAAGTGCAAGTCTATGCAATGTCCTTGTCCAACTGCTCCAAGGTTTTATTCGCTGTCTCTGGCACCAAGAAGTAACTGAAGACTGCTGACAAGGCACAAAACACCGCAAAGAAGATGAAGGTTCCGTATGTTATGCTCTCGATCATTGGTGGCACTACAACCCCCTGAGGACGTGAAGTTAGTTAGACTGCCTTCTTCTGAATACAATTCAATGAGATAATTGACTTACAATGACGAAGTTGGCAAGCCAGCTCACGGCCACAGCGAGACCAACACCTTTTGCTCTGTGTACATTCTGATATACTTCGCTCGGCAGTGTCCAGATAAGCGGGCCATAGGAGAGTCCGAAGACGACGACGTAAACATCTATTTATCAGACAGTCAGTCAACTTGTCCGGAAGAAACATTGGAGGGAGGATGAGCTGAGCTCACTTACAGACGAAGGCGACACAAACCCATCCAGCAGTGGGGTGGCTTGGCCAGTCATTACCAAACTTTCCGTACACAGCAGCCATGATTACATGCGCTGTGCCCATACCGACGGCTCCCCAGATGGCCAGAGGGCGTCGGCCGATGTTGTCCATCCAAACCATGGCCGGCACCACACCGACGAATTGACCAATGTTGATCATGCCAGCCAAAATCACGCTGTTGTGGCTGCTTTGGCCAAGGGATGTGAATAGAGTGGGTGCGTAATAGACAAAAGCATTTATTCCTGGGATGGGTTAGGTAAACAACAGCATGTATTGACTCCAAACTCACCTGAGAACTGGGTGAAAAAGCAAATTCCGACTGCAGCTGCGGTCCTCTTTCGGACCTTCTTCCCAAAGAGATCGCACCAGCGAAGTAGTTCCAGCTTTGGACCAGTAGCACCCGGATGCTGTTTCTGCGCAAGCTCTCGTTGGAAGTTAACCTCACCAATGATTGACTGCCACTCCGCTTGCACACGACGGTCAGTGGGTGGTAGACGACGCAATTTCGAAATCGCACGTAAAGACTTATCGTGCTGGTCCGTCATAACCAGCCATCGTGGAGAGTATGGATAGAAGTGGATGCCCATCCCAAGCAGGGTCGCTGAAACCATTTGCAGACCAAACGGCACACGGAATGCTGCACTCCCAGCCAAGTACTGTGTGCCGTATGTCACCCAATAAGAAATGATAGCGCCGATGACAATGGTGAGTTCCTCGAGTACCAAGAGTGAGCCGCGCATCTCAGGAGGGGATATCTCAGATATGTAGAGGGGAGCACCCATAGCCAAGGTTCCAACTCCAATTCCTCCGATGAAGCGGCCAGCTACAAGCGTGCCATAATTCATAGAAGCTGTTTGAATGATCGCCCCTAGGTCGAAAAAGCCAACCGCGACAGTGAGGGCCCATTTTCGCGACCACTTATCCGCCACGTAGGGGTAGAAGAGGCATCCCAAAAAGCCGCCGAGTAAGAGCATGCCAGTCATGAAACCGGTATTGAAACCATAATGCGCATGTGAGGGTGCGACCTCGGGATACTGGGCCTGAAACTGTGGCATGACGAGGATGAGTGAAATGACACCTTGATCTGGCGGATGGAGGATATCAGTATAGTGGCTGATGGTTGCAAATTTTAGAGCTGGTTCCGACTTACCATAACCATATGAAAAACCCCCCATTGATGCCAGAAGGGCAGCACCGAGGACATATGGCGAGCTCAGAAAGGCCTTCGCGCCTGCCGTGCCATAGTGAGCTTCTTCAGGAGCTACCGCCAAATCCACTTCGAGGTCGACTGCTTCGCTTCGTTGCGAATTCTCAAGATGCTCAAGTTTCAAGTTAGTGGTTGCCTTGTCGTCAGCCTGAATCCCCATTGCACTCTGCATTCCCACGCTCAGCTGAAATAGACAAGAGACAACTTAACCTGAAGGGAAGTGCCTTAAACCCTGCGGCTACAAGTCAAAGGAGACGTGATTGATATTCAATGCAACAAGGCAGGAAGTATGATCAGGCATGTGGAAAAAAGCGGCGGTCATGCAGCCCTTAAATCAAATCGTTTGCTCTTGTCAGTCGTTAGTTTGTGAGATGGAGATTCTCTGAGAACAAGTCTTCGCCTCGGGAAATGTACCGGTGATCGAGGTCAAGACATAACCATCTGGGAAGGTGGGATTGCTCAACGAAGGGAACTTCCCCTGAGCAAAGACCAAAGTTGCCTTTTTCAGGGTTGGGGTTTGCGGGATATGCGGGATACTATTCTTCGAATGCGCGAAGATGCCAACCATTCTGGGGCCCCAACAATTCAATTCACTCTCAGGATGATCCGGGTCATACAGTAGGTCGAAGAGTGTGTGGGTCAATAACCGGCAGTTTTACCGTCCGCCCTGTCAGTTGTCCGACAAAGAGCATTGGAAATTCTTTCAACCATGGTCAGGATTTAACTTCTACTTCGGGCCTGTTCTGGAGAACATTGACCGGCTTGAGGCAACGATGGCTCTACTTTATCTATTGTAATTCTGATGGAGTTGGAACGGGACGTCGAAATTGGAGACTGCCTCTGATCTCAATCGATACAATCCCAAGACACAATTGGAGCCGCGGCAGAGAAGTCCATGCTTGTCCCGGGGCAAGGCAAGGCTGTCTGGTCTCGCCTCATCGGAGAAACACTGTCAAGTTCCGCTTGGAAGCTGCCATATATAATAGCCGCCCAGACAATTCCGGTGTAGATACCGAAAACCTCAGAGTCCGGCAATAAGCACATTTTACATTACGTGGCCTGATCAGGAGACATCATCAGAATACAGCATGGTTATTATCACCGCCATTTCCTCTCATGATGTGAGATTCCCGGTAACCATATGTTTCTTACGTTGGAGAAGATGCTGAACTAGTTATGAAGACGTCACTGGACAAAACCGGCTCGGACGGCATGAACGTTGGTCCAGACTACTCTTCGGCCTATTGTGTCGTAACGACTGACACTGATTTCGTCGGTCATGGCATGGTACGTGATTGCCTCGTGATATGGTTCTTCAAGAGACTGTACTGACACGTCATTCAGACATTTACTATTGGGCGAGGGAATGAACTCGTCTGCGCAGCGATTGATCTTCTAGGTCCCCTGGTTGTCGGAAAAGAACTCGACTCCTTGACCTCCGACTGGGGCAAGACATGGAGGTACCTTACTTCCGACTCTCAGCTTCGATGGATTGGCCCTGAGAAAGGTGTTATCCATCTGGCACTTGGCGCGGTGGTGAACGCGCTATGGGATCTATGGGCCAAGTCCTTGGGTAAACCGCTTTGGATGGTCATTGCCGACATGACTCCCGAAGAAGTGGTAAGGTGCATCGACTTCCGATACATCCAGGACGCCTTGACCCCAGAGGAAGCCGTTGAACTGTTGACGCAAGCTCAGGAGGGGAAAGCTGAGAGACTTCAAGAAGCCTTGAAGAACAGGGCCGTCCCCGCCTACACAACCAGTGCTGGATGGCTCGGATACAGCGAGGCGAAAATGAAGAGGATCCTTCAACAGAGTCTGGATGATGGATTTAGGCATTTCAAGTTGAAAGTCGGTACCAACCTCGAAGTTGATCGGAAGCGCTTATCGATCGCTCGAGAAATTATCGGATTTGACAAAGGGAATACTTTGATGGTTGATGCCAATCAGGTTTGAGTATCTTGACCGTGCATCAGAACAAATGGCTAATCTGACCATCAGGTCTGGTCAGTCACAGAGGCTGTTCCGTATATGCTATCCCTGGCCGAATTCAAGCCTTGGTTCATCGAAGAACCCACCTCGCCTGACGACGTCCTCGGACATGCTGTCATTCGCAAAGCCCTTTCCAATACACCTCACGGCGCAATAGGAGTTGCTACAGGCGAGATGTGCCAGAATCGAGTCATCTTTAAACAGCTATTGCAGGCTGGCGCGGTTGACGTTATCCAACCTGATGCGTGCCGCGTCGGCGGAGTCAACGAGGTGCTCGCCATTCTGCTTTTAGCACGGAAATTCAATGTCCCCATCGTGCCTCATTCGGGTGGGGTTGGCTTGCCTGAGTACACCCAGCATCTAAGTACAGTTGACTATGTGGTGATCAGCGGAAAGAAGAGCCTACTAGAATACGTCGACCATCTTCACGAACACTTCTTGCATCCCTCAAGGATAGAAGCCGGGTATTATGTAACTCCGCTTGAGGCTGGATACAGCGTCGAGTTGAAGCCTCAGAGTATGGAAAGATTTACCTTTCCGGGTGAAGAAGGAACAAGCTGGTGGCGGACATTGGACGCGGAACCTGTGATCAAGGCACCTCGTGTCATGTAATTGTAGTCATTTAATCTTGGGAATGCAACATGTTTTTCAACATTACATTGCAGCTTCGCGACCCTTTATAAATATGAAGAGAAAAGCTTCATATCGGGTCGGACCCGATCATGTCCGGCTGAAGGTCTGTGAAAGTGCGTACCTTGCTGTCCTCAAATGGGCTGCCAAGGTCTTTGGTGGAGTACTCGAGAAATCGTAGTCGAGCCAGGGGCCTAGGATGTTCCTGACTGCACTGTAGAGGGGCTCGTCACGCTTCGCCATCGTTCCATCGATACAATCATAATTGTAGAGGGGTGGTATAATGCTCATCATATCTTCAGTTGCGGGTGGCCTTGACATTTTGAGTATCCGTTTCGCAGTCTTCACGTTCTCTTCGAGGTCTGAGATTGACCCAATGCCGGTGATCGTAGTCACTGTAAAGCCTGGTTGACAGTTTTGCAGCGCCCGAGATATCGCGAAGCGCAGAGCAAGCGACGCTAGGTCATCACCCTCACTGTGGACCCAGCACGCAGCATTCTGGGCAGCAGCTCGCAATCCAGCAGGGGCAGGATGGAAATCTCCAAGCGCACCCACTGGTACTCCGTCGTTCCTAAGGAGGCCGACAGCAAGGGGGCTGGAGCTGCAGACTGCTTTCACACCAGCCTTGCGAAATGCCTCCAGACCCTTTTCCTCGAGCTCCGTGTTCTGCAGGGTGAGCTTCGCCCAAGATTGGACCACGTCGACGGGGTATCCAAATCTCTCGCGAGCTCTAAGTGACACGGCCTCTAGACGCTCAATATCGTATCCAGAAACACCGACATACTTAATGATGCCGTTCTGTGAAAGCTCTTGTAGGATCCCGATTGCTTCGACTGCTTCATCAATGCTTACAAACTCGACATCGTGGCAAAAGACCACATCCAAATATGTCGTCCCAAAGCGTTGCAAAGAGCGAGCAACAGATTTACGAATCCAATCAGGAGAATAGTCAAAGTGCTTCTCTGCAAGCCTTCCGACCTTTGTCATCAGAAGGTAATCATTCCGTCGATACTTGCTGCATATCTCCGGATGAGACAAAGCTGCACCTAGTAGTTGTTCAGATGGCTCGTAATAGGGAGATGTGTCGATGGTCCTTAGACCTAGCTCAAATGCTCTTTGGACGATGTTTCTCACTGGCAGAGATTCCGGGTTTGGATGTAGTTGATAGCTGAAACCTGCTCCGCCCATGACAAGTGGTGAAAGCCTGCTAAATACTTCTTCTCTGTCTGGTGGTGAGTTATCCATTTGGCCGATTTCCTGCACTATAGAGATTGGACTGCTGGGATCATGGAAGACGAAGATTTCGTTCCTCTAATATGGAAGGGCGTATCAGGATCATTGGTTGATTCCGCATGATCGTCTTGCTCCGGGGTGGACTTCTGCAATGGGAAATGGCTTCGGCGCAATAGCGCAGGCTGTAAGAAATCTACGGTAGGCAACTAGTTCCGAGTGTTCAACCTGAGCAGCTTATGCTCTCACTTACATACAAAGTCCCAACAATCTTTGCCATCCAGCAGTAGTCTGGACTGAGCGCGTACCAAATGTAGAGAAAGGAAGCGCGAACATAACTAGGTAGCTTCGACTTGAAGGTCTAGAAAAGTGCAGTACGGAATGGAATACTCCGTAATGATAGCCTTTGACTCCTGACTCTACAGCTCGCACGTGAGCTCGGTAGGTGCTCTTATAGCAGCATCAGATACTCAAAGCAGCGTGATACGCGATATGTCCCAGAAATTTGCAAAAAAGATTCGAAGAAGCGGCATGTGTTGTTTGACATTCTGTGCAATTGAATTGAGGTCTTTCGATGTCGTCTCCAGCCGTCGTATGCCCGACGTGCCAATTCAGAGCCTTGATTGCCACTCTCAAGCCGTCGGTGCAGCAATGGCAGACGCAGCGAACCATGGCTTCGGCCATGCGACAGCGCAGGAAACCTTCAAGAATGACCCTATCTCCAGATGTGAGCAGATCAGGCTCAGAAAGGAGAGCAGCGAAACGAGATGATGCTGGGCCGTTTGCTGGGATGAACCAGACTCTGGCAAGACTACCAGAAAGAAGAGTGCCACGACAATTACCCTCCCGAACAAGAATGTCCCTTCGATCGGAAATCAAGAAGCGGGCCGAACGAGTCAAACCTTCTGCAACCAACGACGGTGATGGGGAAACGGCCACGACAACTTCGGCCGCAGCCAAGAAGAGCAAGACTGACAAGGACGAGAGACCTACCTTCCACGCTCTGAAGATGCAGCAGATCCTGGCTCCCCTGTCCTACAGCCAACGAGACAAGCTGAAATTGAAGCTGGAACAAATCAAGTCCTTTGAAGAGTTGGGATTGATGCCCCCTGTGGTCGACGCCGTGTACACACAGGTTTTGCCACATTTGACCGAGTACATGCCTACACCGGTTCAGAAATTGGCCATCCCTGCGCTCCTGAGCAAGAAAGGCGAATACCAGAAACAGAAACAAGCAGACGACGCTCCAAAGTACGACCCGTTCCTTATCGCCGCCGAAACCGGATCGGGAAAGACCATGGCCTACCTGCTCCCACTCATTCATCATGTCAAGGAGCAAGAAGAACTCGACCGAATTGAGCAAGCAGAAAAGGAGGCCCGAGAAGCCAAGGAAAAGGAAGACCGGGAAAAGCGACTCGTCTTTGAAGCAGACCCATCCGAGACAGAAGAGCATACAAACCCTTCAACGGGCCGGCCACGAGCGCTCATTCTTCTTCCCTCGTCTGAATTGATCACTCAAGTCACCAAAGTGGTCAAATCCCTCGGGCACGCGGTCAAGTACAAATCAGCAGGCATATCCTCGTCCAACAGCCCGACAGTGATCCGAAACCGACTCTTCAGCCCGGGCGGCATCGACATTGTTGTCTCTTCACCGCACTTGATCGCCAGCATCGCAAAAAAAGAACCCAGCATTCTCTCCCGGATCCAGTACCTCGTCATGGACGAAGCCGACTCGCTCTTCGACCGCTCTTTCAGCGAGACAACCTGCGACATCATCGACCGCGCCACTCCTTCTCTCAAACAACTCATTCTCTGCTCCGCGACCATCCCCAACTCTCTCGACCGCTTCATCGACCGCCGCTTCCCACAATGCAAACGAATCGTCACACCCAAACTGCACACCATCCCGCGTCGCGTCCAGCTCGGCGCCATCGACATCGACAAAGCACCATACAACGGCTCTCGCGATCTCGCCTGCGCCGACGTGATCTGGACCCTGGGCAAAGCCGTCCACGAAGACCTCAACCCTCGACACACAGTCAAGCACATTCTTGTCTTCGTCAACGAGCGCGAGAAAGCCGAAGAACTGGCCCGCTTCCTCGCCAGCAAGGGCATTGACGCCGCGGCACTGACCCGCGACACCACCGAACAGCGACAGGCGGAGATTCTGTCCACGTTCACGTCCACGACTCCGATCGAAGGGTCAGAGAAGCCGCCTTCTGCATCGTCCAAGAAGACTCAGCACAAACTGTTCAACGATTTTGTGCCGTTTGACAGCTCGCAAGTCGGACTCGCCGGTGGTGACGAGGGCCGACGACCCACCAAGCACCTGCCCGATACAAAGGTCCTCGTGACCACGGATCTAGGATCTCGCGGCGTCGATACCATGGCCGTGCGCCATGTTATCCTCTACGATGTCCCCCACACGACGATTGATTTCGTCCATCGACTGGGTCGGATGGGCCGCATGAACCGTCGTGGTCGGGGCATCGTCTTGATGGGCCGCCATGACAGGAAAGACATCATTCGCGAGGTCCGAGAGGCCATGCACAAGGGCCAGGCGTTGATCTAGATCGATGACTTCTCGAGATCCCTCCGAGGGAAGCATCAATGAGCAGCCGGGTCAAGAAAGACAAAGAGACATGGCAGAGTTTTTGACTTTCTGGTAAGCAAGTAGTCACAGGGATAAGGGTCCTGGTCCTGGTCCTGGTTCTCCTGGAAGACTTCATCGCATGGTTTCCGACTTTGACGAACCTCAAGTCGTGTGTATATATATCATGATATGTAGATACTTTACCTCATGCTAGAACTGGATTAGACTGTACAATAATCAATATACTTGTATCAAAATCATAGCCTATCGGGTCAACTGGCAGTACAATGGATACGGTATATCAATTCCATTTCATTTTATCATCCTATCCTTGTTCCCGTGGTCTGCCCAACAGTTCCACTTCCTTTACCTCCACATTCGACATCGACGTTCCTTATCATATTCATGTTCATATCCATATTTTTTCCTGACTATATACAAGAACGGCGCAGATAGCCAACCCACCGACCGGTTTCATGGTCAAAACAATAAATCGCTCACAAATGCCGCCCCCGAAGTAGTACTTTTCAATGCACGATCCCACACCCACCCAGAGAGACCAAGGCCAAGACAGACCACTCTGTACACTTATTACCTCCAATGTTCCGACCACAATCGCATCCCTTGGTTGTTACTTTGCGAGCTCCGGGGACTGGCGCCGACATCCCCTTCCCGAGTGAGACAGAAGAGGCAGTCTCGATCAATGCCCAAAACTGCCCACCCAACTCGGTGTCATCATCCCATTGGGTCTCACAATATCGATCGGGACACTTCCAGATCTAAAACTGCCCACTCCCTCATTTTCCTCTCTTCGAGCGGCCTTTGCACTCGCGCCACCATCCGTCAAATCCTTGTCCAAATCCCCTTCTCCCTCCAACTCCATGGGCTTCTCCCTCAACCCGGGACTCGCCAGCTCCTCATCCAACTCGAAGAATCCCACACCACTGCCCCCGTCGTCCGCCCCGGAGAGCCCACCACTGAACCCGCTCTCATCAGGCGAAGCACTGACGAGCAGGATGGAATCCCCGTTGATCGTCGGCGACGGCGCCGGACTCGGTAGTGGACTAGGCATTGGCGAGAGGAACCGCCCTCCTTTGCCTCGCCTCCTCTCTCGAAGACTCGGACTCTTCGTGGGCGTACTTCCGTTACTCTCATTGCTTTTTGCGTTCTCCTCATGTGTGTATCGGTTCTGATCCCCATCCACATCTTCGACCCGGGACTGGAAACTGAGACTCGAATTCGAACTCGGCGTCGGACTTGCCCCGTCCACGGGGCTCTCCTCGTAACTACTACTTGGCTCCACGACTTTCGAATCCGCCAGTTGAAACGTGACGTGCTTCTTCTTCTGCTTATGGCCATGCGTCCCACTCGGCGTCCTCAACGCGCTCGGGAGATTTGACATTGAACTGCCCATCTGCGGGTCCGACCGTGTCCTTTTGGATGCTAGCACCGTCGGCGAAACAGGCTGCTCCGGTAGACTGTGCGACGACTCGAGCTGAAGCCGTTGCCACTCTGCTTCCTGCTTGGTGTCTTCGTCCAGTTGAAGCCTCTTCTTCTCCTCTTCCTTGGTGGACAAGTCTTGCGGGCTGTCAACGCACAGAGGCTGATCCCTGGATTCCAGCAAGGGCAGGTACACTGGTGTAAAAACGCCCGCGAAACCATCGCTCTTCTCACTTCCCGGTGTCGGAGGCTGTTTGTTGGTCTGTTGCGCGCGTGGTGGCGTACTCATGGCCGAGGTGTTGGTAGGCGACCTCTTGGGCAGGAAAGACGGCGTCGGCGGTGTTCCCAGATTATGTGCCGGTAGCAGAGTCTCACCGTTGATGTTGAGCTTGTCCAGCGATAGAGTCGGTTTGCTCAGTGGTGGGGGTCTTGTTATCTTATCGCCCACCCTGTCTCCTCCTCCTCTTTTCACCTTGTGGCCTCCGCCCCATCCATTTGAGCATCCGTTTTGCGTCGAGCCTAACAAGCTTAGAGGGGACGGATTTACGGACGAAGAGGTCTTGCTGGGTGAGATGTCGCAAGCACGAGTCCTTCTTCGTGAGCGCAGGTCCTTTTCGAAATCACGAAACTCTCGGTCCTTGACCGCCTTGAATTTTGAAATTTCGTCGTCCAATTCCTTCCTTTTCCGGTCGAGGATGTCAACTATATCGGCTTCGGAATCACTTGTATTTGTATTATCCGGGGACGGCAGGGCATTTCTAGACGTGTAGTTATTGACCTGGGCCGAATTTCTGTACATGGTGGGCTCCGATTTCTCGTGCGTCGTGCTCTCTCCGTGGACTCAACCCGCCCTTGCAACGAAGGTCACCGAGACAGTCGAGGATGTAAAAGCGAGCTCATGAATGCAAATTTTTGGGGGCGGGCGCACGGTGTCTTCTGCTGATGTACTCGTAATTGGGAAATTCTCGGCCAAGCGGGAAATCGGAGGACCCGACAGACTGGTACGCGTACGTGTTGGAAGGTTTGCGCGCGCAGGGGTGTTGGAGGCGAAAGGAGGAGGAAAACTTCAAGGGAGAAAGGTACGAGCAGAGTGGCTGTCGAGAAACAAGGCGAGTGAGGGCAAGCCAGCGGAGGCAACTTCCAGTTGAAGGTAGTCAGGCCGGGTGGCAGTAATTATAAAGTGGAAGATGCCGGGTTGTTCGTTCGCACGCTCGGGGTTGTACCGAGTTTGCTATTGTCGGTGGCAGTGACACGAGAGTCCTGACTGCTTTCAGTCTGTCTCACGCGCCAGAAAAGGCGGCGCTTTGACAAGTCGACGTGCTCGGAGGATTCGGGGGATGGGATAGTCCAGCAGGCCCAGGTCTCAGAAAGAATGGAGAAAGGATTTGACAAAGATCGATTGAGTTAAGCCAGTGTCATGTCAAGAAAACTTGCGTTCCACTTTTTCAGGTCGATAGTGGATGACGGTGGCGGCGTTGTGCACGTTCGTCTTCTAGCGCAGGGACCAGGTGGTGCTGACTGGGAGTGACTGGGAGGTGGCTGGCGGGGGACGAATTCTCGAAGATTGGAAGCGGGACGCGGGAAGCGGGAAGGAGGAAGCAACAGGAAGAAAGTTCGCACCAAAGGAGGTGGGAAGGATGAGAAGTTGTGTACGGTAGTAGATGGAAAAAGAAAAAAGGTACAAAGGGTAGATAGAGGGATGATGAGGGGCAGATTTGGGTATATTCATGTATTGTGAAGTAATGTGTAATCGTTGGAGATAGGTAGCGAGCACGGAGTGGTAGTACTCTGTGTGTGTGTACAGAGCTTCCACAGGAGATCGTGGGAGATATTGTTATCTTGCAATAGCCGTTTAACAGCTACAGTACGGACTACCTGACCGAGAACAAAGAAAGATGATGAAAGATGATGAAAGATGATGTTTGCTCGCAGAGAAAAATGTAGATGAAAACAGCGACGACATCCGGCCAGTCAGAGACCCAGAAATGGTCTGATGGACAAGTCTTTATCAGGCTAAATGCCTCGCCTACCTAGCAAGCTAGAGTGCTCGTTTCGAGTCTCTTTGACGAGAAGTCTGTTCCAGGTCTGTTCCATGAAACGTGGAGAGTCCTGTGTTAGGAAAGCATTGATGCTGCATGATGCTGCTCATCCAAGCAATCCTTGCCGATGGACGAATCAACCGCCCGTGGAAGCAAGATGCACGTACATAACCGAGGATCCTTACTTACTTAAACTGTCGTCGCAATCCCATCGATGAACGACCTGAGCATGTGGACCATCATGGACTTTCACATGAAATGTGGACGAAATGCTCGCATGTGCTCAAGCAGGGATCTTTGGGATTCTCTCACCGCCATTTGGAGACAGCTCTTGGTGTATACGGAGTACTATTGATCATGCAATCATGAGTAACCTCCCACGCCTCCCACGCCTCCAACGGCCTCCCACACCTGGCCAGCCAGAAGCCTCCCTATAGGAGCCCTAGGGGTCGGAACTGGGTCTTCGGCTTCCCTATTCCGGGCATGTCTCAATCATCTCTGCCTCAGGCCAGTCTTGCTAACATTGCCAGCTCTCCACTGGTCTCCGGCTTTGACCGAACATCCTCCAACTCAATCGATAGTCACAAAGCACAGAGCAAGACAGCGTCTCACCAATCTGATCAATCTGAAGCTGGGAAAATGATTCCGCCCTTGGCCCTTTGTCCTTCGTACCGAGAACCAGCTCTGACGACTCCAACAAAAAAGCAACAAGCACATACTGTAACGCCCTGGTGCGCCCTTCCTCCGAATCAGTCCAAAGAACATGCCATCATCAGCCGTTGGTCACCAGATGCCAAACGCGGTCTTCACTTGTTTTGCCGTCGCTGTAGCTGTTGCTCTGCTTTGCTCTCCACTACTCTTTCTCTACGCATATCGCGTCTTCGATCTCGATATCGCCGACTGTACTCCTCCGCAGGGTCTTCATATCGTTGCACTTCTGAAAATCTCGGCCAGTTGTATTCATGATGGCTCACTCGTGCTCCGTCGCTGGACACTGGAGACACCGGGCTCAAGGTCTGTTGTCGTCGTGAAGGTAGGTTCGTCACATAACGAGTCCCTTCCAATTCCACCATCTCTCCTGGATGAGATCCGTTGCGAGGGATAAACGGAGCATGTCTCGTGTTCGCGGCAGCGGCTTCCATCTCATGCACAGTCCTATCCAAAGGGGAAACTGGAGATACAAAGCCCGACCGTCCATCTGCCGCTCTTTCCTCAACCTGCAGATTTCCGAGCATCGCACTAACTTCTTCCTGCAACTTCCCCTCGGAGAAGTCCATCGATGGAATTCGAGGTTCTTGATGCTTGGGGAATCGACGGTGCCAATTTACAAATCCAGCTCGTGAAGGGTCTGTATTGAGAAACATCTCCTCTTGAAAATCGATCAAAGGCCATGAGTAGTGCTCCCTTGATGTCTGCTTGGTCGCATCGTGCTGTGAATGCGCTCCGTTAGTCGAGTCGCTGAAATGTCTCACATGGCCAGCTCTCAGATTTGGCGGTACACCTCCGACATAGCCGGCCTGCAAGGCTGGAATGATATAACTCACAGGTTTGTTTACCACTGTCCCAGGGTATGGTTTGTATTGGCCACCATTGGAGTGGGCGAGAGGGAGCCGAGTAGACTCTACAGTGGTCGCTGACTGCCCTGATGCAGGCAACTCCGCAATGTGGTTGGCAGCACCTGGACGGGGCAGAAGGTTCATCTTCGCTCGATGTTGTTGATTTCTTGTACCTGGCGGCATAGCATTAGCCCCCAACTCAACTGGACCATGTTCGATGGTGCGAAATTGCTCCAAGTCGTCAGGACTCTCAAAGACGATCGCATTGCGTCGGTGAGAGTGGGGGAGATATGCTTTGTACTCACGGTCCGCGATTAAATCTGCTGGAGGAATTTCCCAGCCAGGCGCTGCAACGCTTGACGGCAGTGAAACTTCGCTTCCCGAAAATTGGCTGCTTAACCCTGCTGACATCTCTGATATGTTGGCGAGGCTGTTGTTTGATTTCCTGTCGAAATGCAACTCGGGAAGGTATTCTGACTGCGGATGAGCGCTCACCTTCCGAACAGGTGTGACTCGTGGCTGGCTCTGGCGTACACCAGGAGCACACGACAAGAAGTCACGAACAGAGGATGGCTGTTCAGTTGGTCCTTTGTCAACCCCGGCGTTGATACATGCTGACAGTCGTTTTCTGAAGGCACTTGTTTTCTTCTTTGCCAATCCCCTAAACCTATCCATGAATGTGGCTGAACTGCTCTGCGATCTGGCTGGCTGCGCTGTGGCAGTCATGTCTGGTGATCAGTCTTTTATCGGAAGGGAACGGTCCGAGATCAGAAGTCGGCTATCCGAGGGACGAGAGGAGCGAAAGATGAGGTCGTCGCAGCGCAATTGAGGATCGAGAAAGGTCGACTCAACAAGTTGGCGAGTCAAGTTGGTGAGTGCAAGTGCAAGTGAAGACTCATGAGGCATTCGGTGAAATTGCAGCCTTTTGAGCTTCCTCGGTCGGGGATCTGGTGTCGTCTGCCTCTCCCAATGTTTCAGAGTCATGAAAGTGTAAGCTTGTGATTAGACAAAGAAAACAGGACAAAAGTCATACAAAGAATGCAAAGATCTTTTTTGGCAATCAAGTGAAAGCCACGAACAAAGAACGTCGACGATATAGTGACAAAGAACAACATTTTCATGTTCAGTATGAAAAAGTCTTCAACACAGCGAACCAGCAAGCCGAAGAGTCGTAGCATGGCGTTCCTGCCCAACTCCACGCTTAGTCCATGACCACTGACCCTTCAGTGCCTTCCACCTCCCACCTTCTCGCACCACTTGTGAACTGCACGTTACCCTTGCTTAGTGAACAAAGCTTCATACCTCTACTCGCCTGTACGCAAAAAAAGCAGGCTTCCAGAGGTAATCTGAGGACGATTCAATTCTCTGGTATATTGTAGTCTTGACGAAAGGAGCCGTTTTGAATGGTTGGAATCAACAGGAAATGGCCATCTGAGGAGGCAGGCGAACACGATTTCCCGGTGCGAAGCGTAGTCCACAGAAAGGCACCAGAAGCCAAGAAACCATCATACGTCCAGAGTATCTAGCCAAGGAAACATTCGTCAACCTCGACTTGAAGGCTCGGATTCATATAAAAATCCAAGACTCAAGGGAGCATGCTTCCCGGGAGGTTGTGGCAGATCACTCGACTTGATTTTACAGCAGAGACCGGCTGCATTCGGTCAGTTGAGTTGAACGCATAGTCCTAACCATCATGTCTGCTGCTGCCCTTGTCCTTTGAATCGTTCTCAATCGCTGAGAGTGGCAAGGAAGGGCATTTATGCCGCCAGCGTTCAGGGCAGATATGAGCAGACCAAAAAGAGATGCAGGCATCGGCATGTCGGCGCCCTTGCTCCCCGACATTCTCCTGTTCGAGATACTCCGTATGCAAGCTTCAAATACCCATTCAAGGTCGATCAGAATCTGTCGCTGCATGTCCGAAGCCTTGTCCATTAGTGCAGTTAGCCGTATCGAAGCGATGTATCGTCGATACAAGATCTAATGCAGGGCCAACGAGGTGCGCCTCAAGGCGCAGTATAACAATGCACAGGCTGCAGCAGGCAAGTGTCACATTAATGAGAAACTGGAAAGGGAGGGAGAACCCGGATACTAGTACTGATCCAGGCAAAATGCCGTAGCCAAAAATCTATCCACTGATCATACCCTGGCTTTTTGTATCGGACTGCCAAAAACATATCTACCTCAGATCGTCTCGGGGAACGCTTCAATGGCCAGGCGGAGACCACTTCAAAGTCCATTTCGCTAACCCAAAAGAAACCTTTCTATTTCAGAGCCATGCTTTTGGAGTAGCCAAAAACAATCAACCCAGTGAAAGAGGCTGGAGCTCATAAGTGGCAAGAATCACGCTGCAAGAACTCGAGGCGCTTATGCGATGGTGCTTCCACCGGTCAGGCGGATAGTTTGGCCTGAAAGAGTCGTGGTTAGCTTCCGGGTTCCAGAGTGATTATGCATCTGCAAAGGAGGAAACTCACCAGTAACCCACTCGCTGTCATCATGGCACAAGAACATGACAACCTTGGCAATGTCGTCGGGCACGGCGCATCGGCCGAGGGGGATGAGTTTGGCAATGCCAGCCTCGATCTCCTCAATCGGGGTCTCCTTGGTGGCGCCAGGAGAGTAGTGCCATGCGTTCTGGGCGAACATGTCGGTTTTGATACCACCAGGCGCGATGGCATTGCAAGTGATTCGTCGTGGTCCGCCATCGGCGGCGAAGGATCGTGCCAGACCTTCAGCGGCAGACTTGGATGCGCAGTACAGGGCATGGTTCGGCACACTCAGACTGGCAGCGATGGAAGACATGAAGATGATACGACCGCCATCTGCAGAGGAAACAATCTGTTAGCCAAGGAGATCGCCGACCTTGTTCCAGGGAAGGACGTCGACTCACCACTCAAGTGTCTCAGAGCACGTGATCCGACAAAGAACTGAGCACGAGTGTTGAGGCCAAAGACGGCGTCGAACTCTTCCTCGGTGACATCCTGGGTCTTGCCGAAGTGTTCCATGCCAGCGTTGTTGATGACAATGTCGAGCTTGCCAAAAGCTTTGATGGCTTCCTCAAACAGCTTCTCGACCTCGGGCACCTTGGCGACGTTGGCCTGGATGGCGACAGCCTTGCCACCAGCCTTCTCGATCTCGGCGACGGTAGCCAGAGCGGGCTTGGCCGAGGTGGCATAGTTGAGGATGACAGCAGCACCACGCTCGGCCAGCATCTTGGCGAAACCAGCACCAAGACCACGGCCCGCACCAGTGATGAGAGCGACCTTGCCATCGAGGCGGATGTCTGCTTTGGAGCCCATGTTGAATGTGATCTTTTGCTAACAGCGAGGAAAAGTCAGCGACAACAACCTGACAGGTGTGCAAGGGACCTAGTCAGTAAAGGGGGACCTACTGGAGGGAATTGCAGTAGTCCTGTTTTGGTTCGAGAGATGCAGCAAGTTGATAGCCGGTCAGATGCAGAAAAGGGAGAACAATATAGTGGTAATAAAAGCAAATAGAAAGGGGAAGTGAGAAAGAGTAGACGTGGCAGTTTTGTGTGTTGTGTGTCAAGCGTGCGTATATGTGGCCCCTTTTCCGGACACTAACTCGGACTGCGAGCTCACGCAAGCCGACTGTCAGGCACGGCGGTAACTATAACAACAATCTACCTTGGGCTCGGACGGTGAGGACCTGGGGTTGGAGTTGGCGCGCCGAACATGTCTCTGACTCTCTGGCCCGCAGCCTTGATCAACCGTTTCGTGGCATGGTACGGAGGTAGTCTGGTAGACCGGTCCAGTCCACTGCCCTTGAAGCGGTGAGGCGGTGAAGGACCCCTCCGGATCGTGCCTGGTGCGCCTGAAGGTGCGGGGCAGAAGATGTACAGATGAGGGGCTCAACAGGCTCACCTCACAGTACTAAGCCTCGTAAGTGAGTAGGCTGAGGCTCCGAAAGGGAACATTTCTCTACTGAACCGTAGTATTATCGTGGACGCGCCGTGGCTATCACTATGTACCATTGGATTTGCTGTTGTGCTACCCAAAATGTGACGAACCTCTGCCCAAGTGCAGGAAAGATACCTACCTACCTAAAGGCGAATGCTGTCTTGGGCTGGCCTCCACAGTACCTTACGCTGGTCCCAGTCCAGGCCCAGTCCCATCGGACAGTCGCTCTACGAGTAACAGTCTCGCAGTGGCTGCCGGAGTGTCTACATTTCCATACTGCACGTACCAGTATTCCAATTGCCTTATGGCGGCATTAGTACAGTAATGTACCACCCTTTACCGTGGTTGAGGACAGAGATCAGATACTCTTTAGACCGTACGGTAGGCATCCAGATGCACACTTGTTGGAGCGCCGACACCCTCCTTTGGAGAGGTATGTTTTGTGAGGACAAATGTCTCAAAGCTCCCCAGAGTGACTTTGGGCGGTGTAGAGTTCGAATGTGTGCGGAATCACGAATCTCGGCCCTTGTGGTGGTGCCAGTGTCGTGGCCGTACTGAAATTACCGACCATTCCGTTCGTGGATGGTCCAGTCCGAACGCTAGCAAAGTTGCCATTTTTAGCAGCAACTTGTACCTCACCAAGAGTGAACCAAGGGTGAGATCATTTGGCCTGGTGCAGCCCGACACTCCTGAGTTCACCATGGAGGTGCCAGAGAGAGATGCGCTTGCTGGCTGACTCATCCATTCTCCATGCTGGTTGTTCACAAGACTCCAAGCCTCTCATCCCCAGCTTTTCTGTTGCATGGCGATTCGAAGGCACCCACATCTCTGAGCCTGGAAAGGACGGACAGAGCCTTGACCCGACGCAAGGCTGGCCGTTTTACTGTCAAGATCAGTACCAGGTACTTACTCTACTCCGTCCTTTGATTACAACCATCAACAGCCCTTTCTTTACGTCTGTAGCTCGATCATACACCTAGATGTTGTTTTTTTCCTTCTAGCCTGCATTGTACACGGCCACCCTCCAGTCAACTCACTCCACAAGACCACCTAGGTAGACATTCTCCGGATGAATGGTCACCATCAAGAAAGTCCGTAGCCTCCTCCAGCATCTAGCTAGCATTTACCTGCAGTTGGCCTTCGTATGGCTCCCCAAGTGCATACTGTAACCTTTTTCAACCTCCCCAACACTGCATGTCCGGTGTCTCTGAATTTCCGGTGGATGTGCGGGCCAAATGCGTGCTAAACAATAAGGTCGAGTATCAAACGCCCTCACTAGCCAGAGTCACCACCCCATATTTCGGCCGATGCCTGCCCAGATGCAATTAGATCTGTAACCTGCCGTCATCTTCATTCGTTCCATAAAACCTTTTCGACAAATGATCCTAGTCCATGTGTCCTTACACCGTACATACTTACCTTAGTATAGTATGTCGGCAGCAGACCATGTCCGATTGTCCGACTGCATCCATCACTTATATCGCATGTCATGATATCGAACCTTGACTCTCCGCCTGTTAAAGGCTTGCGAAACCCGTGCTTTGCTCCTCCTTCTCCGTCTTTCGCTGTGGCGGGCCGCTCTGTTCTGGAATCCAGGGGCCACAAGACTCAGTTCTCCTCCCATGTACGGCGGCGGACTCTTCGCTGCTCCACCTGATTTGCACGATGAGGGTCGAAGGCTCTCAGAAAAATGGTTTCACTCAAATTACTACGCTCCCGATTGATAGCTCCGACTTAGAACATTCATCTGCACCCGTGGATCACGAGCAAACCAGAGCGAGCTATGGAACATTCCCAGCGCCCCAAAAGCTTCGTTCGGACCTGACAACAAGAAGTCGACCGCCATATCTTATACCTTGCGAACGAGGCAGCCTGTCGCTACCACCAAACGCACCGCATAGGAAGCACCATGTCAACTCCGAGACAAGCCTGCAATGTCCGTCCTGCCTCGATTACTAGTACCCTTCACCCAACTTGACGCTCTTCGGCATTCCAAACGCACCCGCGGATTCTGTCATCAACTTCATCAGGGACATAAATATCTGTCGTATATACAAGGCGGTAACGTCACGCCCTCATCTCGCTTCATAAGTAAAAGAAATTAGGTAAGATCTGGCAGATTGTACAACACCGCTAAAGGGTGCAAAAATCGGCCCGGCGACGCTGGCTGCTGAGGACCATGCTTAGTTGTCCTTCCAGCTGGCCATGAAGATGCGGAGTTTGCGTTTGATGCCGTCAGCCAGCCGCATCGATGAGTCGTCGTCCAGGACTTCGATACAATGCTGAAGAACATTTGATGGAACCTCAATGGGAGCCAGCGTCCCGTCTGGCCTCGACAACATCGGCGTGCCTTCTTGGTATTTCATGTATCGACTGATGGCTTCGTTCTCCGGTGTGAGATCATCAATGGCAAACGGTCTGTCAGCCTCCGAATGAGACTGCGTCGGCGAGAAGCGTCCGCTACCGCTCGACATGCTGGTAGCCCAACCCGTCAATGCGACCCGGTACACCGCACCAGCCCACCAAGGTGGGCGGACCGGGCGTGGCATCGATCTGATCAGGCGCAGAATCTGTCCGCAATGGAAGTATGCTTCCTCAGGTTGGTCTATGCAGCGCATCTGCAGCCAAGATGCGGATCTGAACGGTCCAAGGCTGACATCGCGCCGCGCAAACTGCTCAATGTCCTTGAAGCTGGTTATTGCATTCAAAGAAATTAGGTGATACATAATGAGGTTGGCGCAAGTTGTCCAGCAAGTGCCCTTATTGCCGGAGAAGCTTTGCTTGCTGATGGTATACCAGTGCTGCAACAGGGAAGATATCTCTTCCAACCGTGCCTTGGACGCTGCTTTCGAGATAGACCGTGACGCTTTTGCATGACTGCCACCATCCGGCAGACAAGCAATGAATTGGCGAAGCTGGCATACTTGAGCCTGAAGAGGATGCAATAGCAAACGAAGCTGGGTCGGAGAAAGCTCCTTGCCAGCTAACTCGCCATCGACAAAACTGGTAAAAAAGTCACGCAGTGATGCAAACGTGCGATACGTGGAATCATGGGCCTTTTCAAAAAGGCCAAGCCAGCTTACGGCGGACTCGGCATGCCACAGGTCGTCTGAGTCGGGCATGGGTGCATGAAGATTCACTACCGACAATAGAGGAGTCGTGTCCGAGAAGAGGCTCATCTCTTGGTCAACGGTGACCCACGAATGTGCAAGTCTGATAGGGAGGTCAGCAATACGATCATCTTGATGTGCGTCGAAACACCAACCGGCGCTTAGCTTCACGTTGTTTCCAATCTTCCCATGCTTTCTCCGGTTCTTGCTTACACTTGCTGACATCGACAGACGAATCATCAGCATCGAGCATTCCTGAGTGAGCAAGCATCTGACCTGGTTAGCCGAGGACTTCGAAATCATTAAGGACACACTTACTGCCAAATACATTCCACGCTGACCCATGGCCATCTGGTGCCCGCGTTAGGAGAGCTCTCTTCACTGGAGTTCGGAAAGAGTCGAACTTACATCCATGTGCCACTTGTCCCCAGACCAAGCAGCAAGGCAGGTGAAGAGCAAGGCAGATCGAAGCACCAGGACTTCTCGAGACTGGAGGACATCTTTTTCAATCGTGTCAAAGAGAGATATTCTACAAGCTTCAGTAAGCCCACTTGCGACGTATCTGGCTTCGACTGTGGCTGTGGCGGAAGCCCCGGAAGCGACCATGAGCAATATCAGCAAACTCGCGGCTTTGCTGTTGTTCGATTGCATAAGACTGTTGGGATCCAATCGTCCTGCAGGTACCGAGGAGTAATAGGGTTCATATCGAACCACATAACTTCTCAAAAAGTACTGCATGACATCCGGCGGCGGTAGCATCAAAAAGGCATCTCGACTGGAATCAGGACTGGAGGGTGTTTCCTCTCGAGCAGCATGGTTGGCTTTGTGGATGTCCAGTGCTTTGTGAAGAAATCCTTGTGTAATAGCGAGCAGCTTTTCTCTCGACCAGCCGACGATAGGTTCCGTTCCGATCTTCCTCTCTGTCGATATATCCAGTGAAGACTCGTCAAGCTGTGCCGTCCATGCCGTCCATGTTCCCTGACTTCGAAGAGTCTGAGCAAGACCTTCCAGGTAGATGGCAGCGGTTTTTGGAGGGGCGAATGAATACTTCTCTACGCGATTACACTGGAAAAAGGGCCATGCATGATGTGCCGCCAACACTGCGTCAGGCTCCTGCAAACCACTTGTTGTCGATGAACTCGATGGAGAGAGTCCAACCGGAGCCCGAAGCGGCTGATTTTGAGGACTTTCCACATCCAGCCGCATGGCCAACGGAGTACTTCCGTCATGCATCTGCATGGGGAGTGTCATGTGATTGGGTGAATGCGTGCCCAGCTTGCCATTCATCAGGAACGAGTCAGTTGGATCGTGCAACATTCCGGAAGGGGGGGACATGAAATCTGCGAAAACATTGGTGGTATCAAAATCCATCATGCCCGCCTGAGCGTTGCCCATAGCTAGGAAGTGGTTGTCGCCGTCTTGGTCGTATGGATTTCCATGCATATGGATGAAGTTGTCCATTTGAGGCATGTTTGGCATCATCGGTGTGATTGGGATAGTCATGTCGGGAGGCGTCTGGGTGAACCCATTTCGCAGCATCTGGGGATCCATGTCGGTCCCAAACATGGCGGGTGCAATTGATACAGGGTGGGCATTGTCTGGAAGACTTAAGCGGTGTGGTGGTACAGTGTTGGGACTCAATGCATCTGCTGGACGGTCAGAACCACTTGCTGCGCACTGGCTGGAGCCACTTACGAGGCGATATCCCATTAATCCCCGGGATATGGGGCGGGGCAGAAAAGGGAGAGAGTTGAGCAACCTGGAATGAGGCCGAGCTGTGTAAAGCACGCTCTGAATGAGGTCTCGTGAGAGGTGGAGGGGGGTTGGTCCGGCGAGGGATATGTGATGACCTTCGAGTAGCCCGAGACTGGCACACAATCTGTTTGCTCACACATCTTGAGCAAGGGACCTAGGCGGCTTGATGTCAGTCTCAAGAAGATCAAATTCGATGGGTCATCCACGCTGCTCGGTAGGGGCAAGGCGTATCCTGCAGTCCACCCACGATTTTCTGAGGACCATTTGCCTGTCGGGCAGTGGATGGGCCGTGGTGCCTCTCGACTTTGAGATGAACCAACCTTTTTATCACATTTTGCTTTGGCCTTTGCACAGTGAACGCAGGCAATTGGCATGCGTTCGGTGGGAGAGTCCATCAGGACCGAGTCAACGGTGTGAGGGATATCGAGCCGATATGAAGTATCCAACTCTTGCACAGAACTTCCAAAGTCCTCCTCTTCCTCAAGGACTATACCAAGCGAGGACCAAATATGCAGAGCCTGATCGGACGCTACTCGTGTGAGTTGAGGCGAAGGGCTGAGGAATTGGTCGAGTCCAAATTAGCATTATCTGGGCGAGGGCTAAGCCGAACGATAGTGGTTGAGACTGGGAAGCGAATGTGAGCAACACACGAGACAACGAGAGGCCAAAGGAACTCGGTGTTGTTGTGAGCGAAAGGATGAGCGAGCGCAGGCACATACGAAAGTCTGTCGCAGGCAGGTGAGGATGAGCCCCAAAGAGAAGGATAAGCCAGGTCAGCTCAAAAGATTCATAAGAGATCGACAACGATGTGCATGGAGAGCATGGAGACTAAAAAGGGCAGGGCTGGCACGACAGGACAAGGACAGGGGCCATAAAAGCCATTACATGACCAAGAGTATTCGTATCAGGCGGCTGTAATCAATACCACGGTGGAAATCTCGGTGCATGCACACAAGGCCAATCCAAGAGGGCGCGAAACAAGGGTGCAATCTGAACAAGCAAATTTGTCAAAAGAATGATTGTTTTCGGGGGTTGATGACGGTGGATCATTGATGTGCTGCACGTTAGGGGCTGCAAGCCCAGCCAAAGAGACGGCTTTACCAATCAAGCACCGAACAAGGGTGTCGCGCGGGGATGCAGCAGAGCTCGTAATGCCTGAAGTGCAATGCCGCCGCACCTGGCCAGCCCCGCGAATAAGCCTGCGCCAGATGAGACCACCCGCCCAAATGAGGTCAACAGTTCGAGGTACTCGACCCGATTGATTGGGCGCTTTCAAAGGCACGCAAAAGACACAACCTCTTTGCCATTGTCTTCAAAGGGGGGGCGGCTATGCACAAGTGCCTTGGTCATTCCTCGCTTCAATTAATTGGCTGTCACCCGCCGTGGACTGCTCGAAATAGCAATCACGAAAGGATATGCCCCTAGCTGGCTCGCTGGATGAGCGTCATCCATTCTAGCTGCATGACGTTGACCGCCACCTACTCCGGTTTTGTCAGCTTCAACTGTTAGGCTTGACCACGGCTTGACTTAGCCTGGCCTACCTGGGGAGCTGGATAGAGCCTAGTGAGCCTTTCCAGACCTGCAGGCAAAGACGACATGGAGCACTTGGATGATGGGAAGGAAATTCTGCAATGTCGGTGAGCCCGCCGAAGTATCTTGATACAGACAAATGCACGTCAATTGGAAATAGTTAGACATATTCAAAGAGTCATGACTAACGTGAGACTTTTTTCTTGCACTCCTCATCTGGTACGATGTCGTCAAGGATCTTGCATTCGGCTACAGCTTGCCGTGTCTTACTTGCACTCTACGAACTGCCTCCCGTGCTCCTCTCTTGTACGGAGAATCTGACTCGAAATCAAACTCTCGCTCTTTAGCCGTTATGGCCGTCCTGGAGGTGCCCCGCCCCATCTTTCTTTTCTAGGGCCAAGGGACTGAAGCCCTAGCCATCGACTGCGCCATGGGTTGAACATCTGATGATGGTTGCACGAGATAGTGACAGTTGCTAGGCTGCTGCTGTACACCATGAGAAGATTCACTGGCAGGGTACCAGAGCGACCTGCAAGCCACGTCGTACCATACCGGGCTGATGCCATTCTCACGACCACTCCTACTCAACTATGGCGCAAATCAAATGCTCCGCCAGTTACGATAACGAAACCACTCCTCACCAGGCGGATCGCTGCTGTGCTGCCCACGAAATGGCTTGCCCGACCGTTAATGCTCCTTTCGGTTCGGCAAAGATAGAGCAGCCAACTGCAGCCTCGTTGTAGCGAACGGTGAGTGCGGCCATGCCAAAGTCGAGCCGATCGTCACAGCTCTCAGCCAGCCATCCATTAGGCATGAGAGCCGCACGCGAAAGATAGTACGCACGAACTCGAGGCCTTTGCCCCTTTTTCGCGATCTGCGTCGCATTCAGCTGCGATGGACACTACGACCGGCCAACGAGACGCAGCGGGAGTTCGTATACATGCTGCCAGCTCATCCATATCACGTAGGTCACTCACGCTGCTCTCACCCAAATTGGGTGCCTAGGGATGGTTGATCGCTCTTTCCGGACCTGATTAGTTCCGAAAGTGATTAAGTACGTACGCTTGATGAGTTGTCTCCTCGATACGCCAGTGATATCTTTTCTTGTCTATGCATTTCTCAGTCTGAAGCTTCCCGTTTCCGGGATAAAAAGGCAAATCAAACACCAACCAGGTACCTACCGTACCGGCTTCGGTATGCTCGATACACCAAAAGCGAACAGTCATTTAAAATGCCACCACACCAGGATGCTTTTGGCTAGGGCTGTCGTTTGGGGTCATGCGTTTGGACAGCATCGCTCGGCAACTCGCTTCCTGCCGCTGGTTTCGCCATGCGATTGATGGATTGGCGAGTCTTCCTAACCGTTTTTACTGAGAAACAGCATTGGAACCCCACGGGTAAACAGGGCCGCCATCCTCAATTCGGAGAAAAAACACTTTCGACATGTGGATTTCTTCGCGCTACTAGGCCTCTTGCCGTCTCTGCCATCTTTCATCTTCCAAGCCTACGCAAGCACACCTTTTCGGTAAACCAGCTGGTGGATCACTGAGTGAAGCTTGGCACGGCAAGTCTGGAGACCCTGAACAGAGGCGACAGAGATACCGTATACGCAGTACTCCTGGCCATGACAAAGCTCTCACCTGCAGATATTGTTCCATGTGCAACTCGGACGAAGAACAATTGTGTCTCCAATGATTGAGACTCAGGATTTTCAGCAACCATCTACCACCGGCAACACGCGGCCACTACGGGATTTGCCCATAATGACAATCGCCATTCGCCCTTCAAGCTCCTCAGAGTTTTCGCGTCTGACAAGGCTATGATTTGAGGTTTGATTTGAGGTGTGATTGCTTCTCCACATGTCACGTCGATTGTTGCTGAACATGGTACAGCAGACCGAAGTATACAGAGGCTATCGCAGTAGCATCTTACCTGCTTACGGTCTGTTTAGGCTCACAGCCTCATAGGCCAGTCATGTCTTCAGATCCTCGGCTCGAATGGTGCTATACCGTCCACCTAGCTATACATATCCTGACTCAGCCTTGGTAGTCTCCTGCATTTCTTAGCTTGATACAACTGTGTCTAGGATAGTTCGAGGTATAGACTGTTCATTCAGGCACTATACACGACGCGCATAAGCAGAGCAGTTGCTCAAAAAGGATTGCGCTGTGGACCTAACCGCCGGCAAAGTACTGCCCTCACCGGCCTTGGCAATGTATGGCGATAGTATCTTGATGATCTTTTGTCAGCTTCCCCCACTCTGTCATTGATGCCTTGTCGGCATATTGATGACGTTTCCGCTCAGATCAGACTCTCAACTACCCCAGATTTGTTCCCGTATTGGAGGAACATCATCCTGCATGATGTACGGCGCACGTCAGATCTAACCGTTGACATCTGGTGGCCTGAGTACGGAGGCCATAGACTACTTTCCGCACCAGTACTGGAGTCGAATAAACTTGGGTAAGCCTAGAGTTCAGCTCCTTCGTGTTGAACCGACTACTATATATTCAAGATGGCCCCTGGAGGATGCAAAGTAGTAAAGGACTGTCTCAATCAAACTAATCAAAAATCCGGAAAGTGCCTAGCGCGAGTACTTTTGCGCCCAGGATCCCTCGCATTCATCTATCGTCTGCCCTTAACAAAAGAGCCTCTTGTCCAGACGTGGAGCAGGTAGGTGCCTGCAAGGTTGTCTCAGGTCGTCAAAGGTCGTCATGATACTTGGTACTGCCTGACAGCACCTCCTCCAAAACCTCCTCCCAATTCCTATAGGCCTCCTTGTCATGCATTCCAGCCCAGATCTCCTCGAAACTCAGACTCCTTGAAACAATCCTTCAGCAATTCCTCCTCACGCTTTGGCGAACATCCAGTGAACATCCAATCTCCACGGCCCGGAGCCGCCAGCAAAAACACGCTCTTCCCGTGTCTTGCTGCTATTCTCAGAATCATTCTGAACGTCTCCTTGATCGCGTTGCATCTTTCTCACGCTGAAATTCCATCTTACCTACACTTGCTCGCTTCCCATCTTTGACTCAGGGTGAGTGGTAGGTAGGTAGGAGCAGCTACGCTTACGACGCTCACGGTCGCTCGATGCCTTCGGTTCAAAATCTGGCTTTGCTTCTCCAACTCGTCCCTGAGGCCGACAACGTGTGGCGAGAATAACCCAGCACATTCTTCAGGGTTGCGGTCTCGCTTGACTACTAGTAGACTTCGCCAGGGATCCTGAGGCCTCCACGAATCTAGAGCCGGCCAAAACGTGATAAATGGCACAAAAAGATGGTGCGGTTTTCCGGCTCGTCAGTACCTGCCTGAGAACCTCCAAGCGTCAATTTGCAAAATATGGGTCCTGATTCAAGCTTCAATGGAAATCAGATTGGTGCTCCACGGAAAGGGAGAGCCAGCCTCGCCCCAGGTCTTAGATAAGGCTCTGGTCTCTGTGAAGCAAGGATTTCAGTTCGGCTTCGACGGATCGGGTGCAGAACAAGGGGCCAAACCACCATCAACCACTCACCTTCACCTTGCAAGACCCGGCCCTGTTCCTGGGTATCCTGCTTATATCCTGTTTGCGGGTGACTGGCAGGAGTCTGACCGTGGGCTACAGCTGTCATCAGTCGAGGCGTTTCCAATCAAATACACGCATGAAAGATTTATTTGGCGGTCTTTGCGCGGCAAGGTCCCGAGGAAAGATTTGCTTACTGGCACCACCATCACTGATAGTGACGAATAGACTTCTGCAGTGCCACGCAGGGCTTCCTCGCCAGGAGGAATACCATCAGAGCTTGGATTTTATTTTGGGCAGTCACACCATAAAGCCTTGGTTATACCCACAAGAAGCCAACGTGGAAATCCTCCGGGCAATGACTTGTGCCCGATTTGCACCCAGCCCACGACTGACAGGAGGTTCAGCACCCTGGCGAACATGCCAAGTCGACATGCTGGTTACATTTGCAGGTCCATTCGGCTTCGACGTAAACCTCTCAGTTCACTCCGACATACTGCCTCGGCGACACACCCCTTCCTGCGAGGTTTGACGGTAGCACATCGGTGTTCTGGATTCTATCTGCAAAATAATATTCTTCCCGATTGGATACCGACATTTGGAGGGCGGAAATGTCAAGCACATTCACCTCCGCGTCGCACAGCATACGTCAAGAGTACACTCTTCGACCATGGCTTCGGGTGACATTTCTTCGCTAAAGACCTCTCACAACCCATTTGTTCGCAAGGTTTTGAGAGCACAGAGAGGCTTGAAGATGGTCATGCGGACAGAATGGTCGCGAATGTCTTGAATAAGTTCGCATGGATTCTCAACTGTCCTGGCTGGAACCGGTGCTATCTTCCCGATAGTCTTTGACGATCGACTTGTGGTATTGTTACCATGTTCGATGCCGTTGGTGATTCATCAAGGCACCACTTGCATGCGAGGTCAAGTACGACTTCCCTGCATTCCCGCCTGTTCACGCAGAAAATACGGAAGATACGAGCTTGACTTTAGATAGTAGAGTACTCAGGATTGGATTGGTTTCAGATATGGAGGCAAACCCTGGTGGAATTGGCGTTATCCCCGCTTTTGCCCGAGTTCGCATGAGCTTCAACGACGATTCCACATCATGAGATTGTGGTGCGGAGGGCCGACACTTCCATTGAGCACCCCGTTCTAAGAGTTAACCTCGCTCATTGGCGCCAGCACGGGTTCGATGGAAGTTTCGGAATGCCGGTCTGCACTGCCAGGCGCCCTACTGTGATTATCTTGCTTTACGAGCGGTTCGCGAGAATGGTCCCGTCGAGCTTGTAGATTGACCCGCTTTCTGCCAACGACACAGGCAAATCCCAGCTACTTTCAGAACGCAGTCGATACGGTATTCTGCAACTCTAGCTTGTAATAACTGTCAAACAATCATGATGGTCTTGATTTAACTCAAACTGGACCTCGCACGCGTCAACAGCAGGAGAGACTCGTCTGGAACCTATCAAAGCATAGTGCTGTAGATTCGGAATGGATGTCGGATACGATGTGATGACGCATCTACAGTTGAAGACATGATGTACGTATGGAGAACAGGTTCGAGATACCGTACAGGAGCAAGCACTTTTCCATCTTTATGAACCGTCGACAAGGCTGAAAGCTTGATGTCGATTTCTTGCATGTGCAGATCAGAGGATCTCAGGCTAGATCATACATGAGAGCCGCCGTCCTTGTTTCCATACGTGCCATGTCCCGGAAATAATTCTCGAAACAAGAGGCAAATACGGAAGTGATCGCCATTGGCGTCAACGTTGATTGCAAAATATTCCGGCGTCTGGGTAGACTGGTAAGTCTCAAGGCCGTATACTGATATCCAACCAATGCAGACTTCCGGTGGTGTATCTCTTCGTTCTGCAAACTTCCAAAAACACGCTTCAATGCGAGCCCGCTTCGAGCGCATCCAGCGTTAAGATCCACGAAGTCTAGGCCTCCAAGGCCACCCAAGTGACAACATGGGCTTGGTCACACGAACCATCACAAGCGAATGCCTGGCTGACAAAATTCCAGTGCACCAACTCAATAAGGCTGAGTATGAAGCCGAGAAGGCAAGGATCGGTCCCGAAGCCGGCCAGTCCTCCTGTCCCAGATGCACTGCCGCGTTGCTGACTGGTCTCCCATGCGCTGGCAATGGCTGGCCTTGCCGCGACAGCAGGTATGTTAATGACTCAAGCGTGCCCACTTTTCGGCGCCAGAGGACTATCGTTCGCGTCAAACATCGCAGTATGATCGCGAAGTAGAAGTACTCGCGACCTCGGTCAGCCTCAATGCAAGGCCACCGTGGACTTGCGGGCCGGGCTGAAGCTTTAAGGCTTGCCGTCGAGGCTGTCAGGTACATTTGCAGGCTTCGAATCAAGTGCAAAGCTAGCCGATGGTTCATGCGTCCTTTTGCAATGCTGACACGCATGGTTCTGTGACGGTCTCATACGGGTCTTGACAGGAACAGAGACTGAATGCTCGATTGCCATCAAAGCCCGAAGGATTTCTGGAGTCGTTTGGGATGACAATGCCTGGAAAGCCATCCTCTGCGCGTGAGGAATCCTCCGTTTGGTTATTCGATCGGGAGTGGCCGTCAACGTTGGTTCGAGCTCTGCAGTCCGGAACGGCGTGCGAGAATTTCGAACGTCCTGCCGGTTTCATGCTTGCACTGGAATGGTAGATGGCTTAGAATGAGAAAAAGGCGTGAACAGCAGACTACAGGATTTCTTCCTGGTCGGCACATGAGTAAGGAATATTCCTGAGCATGCGGGTATGCCAGACGATACAACAAGTTACCCGAGATCGATTGGGCTATCTCAGAACCACGCCATGGACACCTAGATCATTGACAATTCTCACCTGTTTATACCACCGATGTGGAAGGCCTGCTATTGTAAGATAGGATAGTAACGGACCCTCGGTGCCTCTATTGAGGTGCGGACCGGTTCTTCGACTCTTCCTTACTCTCTAAACTCGACAGGAGTGGCCCTCTCAAGTAACAAGGGATCAAAGTGACAAAGCCTGCTTTCGTGTACACGTGGGGGTCATCATGGGTACGTGCAAGGCTGGCCACCAACTGGCTCGCCTGGACGTTGTTGCTGGGCAACGCGAGTGCGGCGGTTTTGTTGTCTTATTGGCAGCGCGTAAAACTAACCTAATCCTTCACTTTCACTTCCTCTCAAGTTAAAGCGTCCAGTGGTCTTCATTGCGGTCGCAACCTGCTACGGTAGCTTCAATTTCATCTTCTTTGCTGTCGTTACTCCTCTAACAACCCTTCTCATCACTGAGAACACGTCGCAGCTGGTCTGCCTGGTCGGGGCATTGACAATCTGACGTTCATTCCTCCTGCGCACTGTGCATTCCACACATCCTTGATGGTCTGAGCTTCACCAACCCATCACTACAAAGCCATTGTCCAGATTGGAGCCGCCATGGCCTCAGAGGTACGTGCCGCGTTGATTGTTGACGTTGACTTTTCCGCCACAGATCAATTGACATCCTCCACCAGGTTCCGCCGCTTCGGATTCAGAAGGGCAGCAATGGCACCTCGCCATCAAAGCTGCCCCGAGTAACGAACCGCCCATTGTCCGAGCTTAGTCCCATGGCCTTGCGCCGAAATTCTCCTAGCTTTCCGCAGGCAAAGGTTCGTTGTTTAGATCTTGTAGCAACTTGACAACATCTAACAAACAATTGTAGGGCAAGCTCTTTGGCATCGAAAATTCACCTGCCGACTCCTCTCCATTCTCGGGTGTCTCACCACGTCTGTTCTGGCAGGGACGAGATCCCAATTCCCCTGCCAGAGAAATCCAGAAGCTTAGCGATACTCCTCCACCTCCTCCCACTTCCCCTACCAAGCGATCATCGATTGAGAACTTGAAAAAGGCCTCGAGGGTCAAGAACAGCAGCATGTTTGCCATGGAACAGAGCACCCACTATGATCCCTCCCGTCCTACAATACTCGACGGTCGGCCTCACAGCATGCAATTCTCTCGACAGCAATCACCATTCCGTGGTTCAGATGTGAACCGAAAGGAAAATGTCGCCCTAGTGGACAACTCTCCTGTACATCCACAAGGCAAGAAGCCCTTCGAAGAGCCGGATGCTGCGACAAATCTCGTTGCACCTTTGTCTCCCAGCAGATTGAACAGTCCACCAACAAAGTCGTCGCTTTCAAGGAAGACTGGAGCAGGCTTCAGAAGAAGTGGATTTGATCCAGAAACAGGCATTTGGGAGGATGACGATGACATCCAGAACAGACAACTTCCCGCTGGCCGCGGCTTGCACCGCCATCAGAAGAGTGTGACTTTCGACCAGAAGCCACCCCAGGTGAATGAGTACGAAATGACTACCCCGGCTCCATCTTCATGCGCATCCGAATCTCGTGAAGGCAGCTATGAAACTAATGATGACGACGAAGAAGAGGAGCCCAGCTTTGAGAGAGGCTCGTCTATGGACCAGGATGACAGCTTTGACGCGTCCCTCGAGGATACAGACAAGACACCCGTGGTGCTTCCGGAACACTGGCGTTTCATGAGTCCTGACACCGCGAACACAGAATTGGCTCGCCATGAAGAAGATATCTTCGATGACGACTGCGGTAGCCCAGCTCCCACCGCTCAGCCAGGTTCACTGGCTTCTCGCCCACATCAAACAAGCGCAAGCTCCGTCGACTCCAATGGGCAGTCCCGTCCTCTGCCTCCTCTTCCACCGGGCGGAGGTCGAATGTCAAGGACCGAAAATCTGTCAGGCGCACTCGAGCGTTTGAGCATTTCTGGACGATCTCTTCCCACCCCGCCAATGGCTGCAAGCATTTCCAAGGCGGACATTCAGAAGATGGGAGTCTCAAGCTCTTTGACGGCCGATGATCGTTTGCGATTGATGGCAATCCAAGAGCAAGAGCGGGAGCGCCGTCTAAGGAGGATGGGATCCAAAGAAAATAGTCCCGTGCGCGGCGCGAGCCTCGAGGAGACCAACTTGCATCACGACTTCCAGGAAGAGATCTCTGAATCACGGAACGCAACACCCCAGCTCTCTCGGGCTTCCGTTCTGCTAGCTTTACGTGGCCAGCCAGGTGACGACAGCCGAGAAAGCAGTGAAGAGGTGGACGAATCGTCCAGACAGCGCGACCTGTCCTCGTATGACCCAGATGTGCCAATTCCTTCGCTCGAAGATCCAACCCAGCAACACATCAAAGAGGAAGAGCTCGAAGAACCTGATTTGTATTCCATCCCTGACTTGTATAGTCGGCGGGTAGTTTCAGACTCAGAGACCAGCGCCAATCAAGACGATGATCTCACAAGCCAGTACTCGGAGGCATCTCAAGCACATCTGGCTCCACCAGTCAATCTAGGCACTGAGGATGAACAAGACACCCCAAAGGCCCTCAGTCCGATTCGAGAGATGAGCTCGAAATCTGAAAATGCCGGTCGTGTGTCTTTGCCCGAGTTCGCCGACTTTGGGAATGGAAGCAGCTTCGACGAGGGCTTTGCGTCGTACTTGAGTCTTAACAACGATAGGAACAAGCCAGGAGCTGCGGCTCCACAGCCATCCGCACTTCCTGACCTCGCAGCCCTGCGTCAGTCCATTCAGCGATCGTATACGCCTGAGGTACAACATAGGCAACACGAGAGCCATATGGCAGCTGCTGTTGAAGAAACTGCTCCAGGATCTCCTGATTCCGTTGTTCGACATCCCCATGCAGAGCCAAGCGCTACCGCTAATGACGGCTCTGATGTATCCGAGACCAAATCTGCAACACACGACGACAGTGACCGGTCAGTCTCCCCATCTGACACCGGGTCGGTTCTGGTTCACGAGAAGGAGAGATCTCCTGTCTCCCCTATATCGGCCGAGTTCGCCGACAAGCCCGTGGCAATGCAAGATGAACTGCTTCATGAAACAACGGTCGACGAACAGCAAGCCAGGCTAGATACCAAAGCACGAGAAAAGAACCGAGTAAGCAGTTTGGTGCAGTTAGATATCCCTCACGACTCCCTGGATGATGGTCTAGGTCTCGGTCTCGAGAGAGAGTTCGATCGCGTGGTGGAAGCCCAAAAGGTACAGTTTGAGCTCTCGTTGCAACGCCTTTATTACCCCTTCAATGGACGTTTCCCATCAAGCGAGCTTCCTGTCCCAAAGGACTCGGTGATGCAGAACCCCATGGAAAACGTTCCTGCTCTTCCCAAGCCCCGAGGCGCCCGTGCTAGCATAGGAAAAGCCATGTCCCCTGGTCGAATTGATTCTGAAGACACATTTGCTAATCGAGCTGGCCGCCGACAGAGAGGTTACCTTATGCGACAGAACACCAAGATTGTTTATGCGAGTGAGCGCGTATCTCAAGACGAATCTCGATCCCCCGAGCTTCCGAGCATCCAGGATGAGGCTTTTGCACCTCGTTCACCTGATGCAAATCTGGTCCAGGCTTCCCCACGTAAAACCAGCCAACCTACATGGACTGCCGAGCCTTGGAATGGTAAGATGAGAAGGAAAAGCATTCGTGTTGGTGGTGAAAAGGCTGTGAGCAAGAGGAAGCCGGCTGAAGGCGCCATGCCACCACTACCAGGTCAAGTGAGCAACGTTCAGGAAACTCTCGACTCTGTAGCTGAAGATGAGATTGCCGAGGACGATGACTGGGAAGATGGTGCTGAACGCGGCCGGTTGTTCGTGAAGGTTGTTGGCGTCAAGGATCTGCAAATGCCATTTCCAAAACGTGAGTACAAGGCATGTCCGGGGAAGTCTGATTTCTAACGTATGCTAGATGAACGGACCTACTTTGCCCTAACGCTTGATAACGGACTGCACTGTGTGACCACTGCTTGGCTGGACTTTGCTCGAAACGCACCAATCGGTCAAGAATTTGAGCTGGTTGTCTTGAACGAACTTGAATTCCAACTCACACTCCAGATGAAATTGGATGAACCTAAGATTGAACGACCGCAATCACCCAGTAAACCGCCCTCCTCACCTAAGAAACAAGGCGCGTTCGGCAGGCTATTTGGGTCGCCAAAGAAAAAGAAGGAGTCAGAGTTGAAGGCGATGCAAGAAGCTCAAGCAGTCAGAAGACCAGTGACACCTCCTTCTGCTTACGAGTTGGTTCAAGGTCTCGTTGCAAAGGACGGATCCTTCGCTCGTGCCTATGTCTCGTTAAGCGAGCATGAGAAGCATACATATGGCAGACCATACACTGTTGATATTACCTGCTTCAACGAATGGGCCTTGGAAGAGGTGCACGTCGGCAGCTCACGAAGCAAGAAAGGTGTCGTGACCCAGCTCCAGCGCCGTCCACCGTACGAAATCGGCAAACTCGAATTGCAGCTGTTGTATGTGCCCAAGCCAAAAGGAGCCAAGGATGAAGACATGCCAAAAAGCATGAATGGAGCGGTGCGTGCACTTCGAGAGGCTGAAGAGCGCGTGCAGCAACAAGCAAGCATCAAGAGTTTCGAGGGTTATTTGAGTCAGCAGGGAGGAGATTGTCCAGTGAGTCATTCGACAATATCTGTAAAGTGGTGATTGATACTAATGAGTTGGTAGTACTGGCGACGGCGATTCTTTAAGCTTGCAGGCTCCAAGTTGACTGCTTTCCATGAGACTACTCTTCAACCACGGGCGACCATCAATCTTGCCAAAGCGACACGCCTCATCGATGACAAGTCGGCATTGGTGCAGAAAGAGACGTCTACGAAAGGTGGAGGTCGACGGAAGAGTGGCTTCGCAGAGGAAGAGGAAGGTTACATGTTTGTTGAAGAGGGTTTCCGCATTCGGTTCGCCAATGGAGAAGTTATCGACTTTTACGCCGACTCGACTGCCGAGAAAGACGAATGGATGAAGGCCCTTTCCCAAGTCGTCGGCAAGAATGTGCAAGGCTCAGCGGCGCAGATCAAAGGCTGGACCGAAATGGTTCTCAGACGCGAGAGGAAGCTGAAGGCCGAAATATCAACAGGGTTCCGACCTGGTCATGCACGAACTGAGACGTATGGAGGCCGTATGAGTCAGGCCAACAGTCCTGTGAAATCAAGGTCTGGTCCGCATGAACATCGGAAAACCAAGAGTATGCATGCATGAAGAAGAGGTCATTCAGAGACAACAAAGGTGTTTGGGGTGTTTATTGGACAAGGGGTGACTTGTTGGATTAGGCGGCGTTCTCGAGTTCGAGTATTTATTTCGAGGCGCTGGAAGACCACTTGATGGCGGTCAGATTATGGATTTTATGGACGAATGACTTCATGCAAGACACACAATGGAATAGCCAGAGGTCGCGAGTGTGGACTGTACGAAAGCACCTTTCTTTCGGTTGCAGCATGATTGTGAATAAATAAAGAAATGTTTCGACATTTTGAGCAGAGAACGTTGTTGCCTCGGGCGCCCAATTAATTGATATTAGCCAATAGTCGAAACTCCCCCAGCCACATAAGACGTAGCGTAAGCAGGCACACACTCTCTCTTCGTGCATACTTCATGTTTCCAGCGTCGCAATGGGCCTCATCCGGACGATAGCGCTCGTGGTATTGAGTATTTCATTCGTAGTGTTTGTGGCACTTTTTGGACGTCTTCCGATATTCAGGTCAGAAACCCAACATCTCGGGTACAATGGGCGATGGACTTACTTCTTATACAGACGCACGCCCATCGCATTTCTGCATCAACTGCTCTGGCGACATATTCCAAATGGCTTCGTCGCGGTCGATGAGAGACTTACGGGACGTCGTATATCGCGGAGTCTGTCTCGGACGGGCAATTACTTGATGAACGAGAAACATCCTGTCGTACTGGTACGTATCAACGACAGGCAATATGGAATGAGGCACGTGCTCATTTTTTCCTAGATCTTCTTCGTCATCTTACAAGTCGTTGGGGAGGGTTTGTTTGTGCCAGCGGCATGGGACCGACTATCTCCGTTGCAGAAGGTGGTGACACCGTGCCTTGTTGTTGCACCTCTGTGGTTTCTCTACCTGTGCGCGACGACGTCTTCCAACATCACACGGCAGAACCACAGGTCATGCATGCTCGCATACCCGTATGACTTTGCGCTGTTTCACCCGGGGTATTTCTGCAGTACGTGTAACTTTGCTAAGCCTGCGCGGTCGAAGCACTGCCCGATATGCAAGGCGTGCATTCAGAAGCAGGACCACCATTGTATTTGGATCAACAATTGTATCGGGCGCAACAACTATATGTGGTTCAATTTGTTGCTTGTGGCTACGGCGGTCCTGCTGGCTTATGGGGCCAGCCTGGGCTATCTTTTGCTTGACGCGAGGTTACAAGAGCGATTCGTCCCCGCGGCGCTGACACGGGGGAGTGTAAGCGTGAAACGCTGGAGTACACGGTTCAATTGGGGAGATTATTGGCACTGCTGGGCATGGGCAGTCAGTGTGGAGTGGAAGATTGGCAGTGTCATGTTGCTTGCGATGATGACTTTCCCGCTGGCCGTGGGATTCTTGGTGTATCATGTCTACCTAATTTGGGCAGGGATGACGACGAATGAGAGTGCCAAGTGGAGTGATTGGAAAGAGGATATACTGGATGGGGTGGTATACAGGGCCAGGATAGAGGAGCTGAGGGAGACGTATCCCAGGTTGCCCGCGGATGTGGAACCCAGGGAAGAGGAGGTGATGTGGCCGAGAGCAGCGAGGGCAAGGTGGTGGCTTGTTAGGATGAACGATGGGAGGCAACCTACTGTCAAGCCGAAGGTGGATGAGAGTCGGGGACGGGCTGGAGCGGACGAAGGAGGTGAGTACAAGGAAGTCCCGGATGAGAGGTGGGCGAGGGTGCACAGTCTGAGAGAGGTTGAGAATGTGTACGATCTCGGGTTCTGGGGCAACCTGCGGGACGGGATGTTGAATCGAGGGTGAGAGGCGCCGGAAAGCGATGGTCATATGACAGGAGGTGTATATACCAATCCATTCGACATATTCAAGGTAGCCTGGCCTCGTCCGAGAGGGACAAGGGTGGTGTTGAGGGGGTCATTGGTGGTGTTGCCCTTCAGTGGTAGGTGAGTAGCTTTAATATCGTATACGATCACGTGCTCACGTGTTTCCGCATTTGGCTAATCATCGTCTCTGCGACATCATTGAAGTTGCGGCTGCCAGCTTGAACTGCAAACTTCGAGGACAGAAGTGGTTGACCAGGTTCCCTCTCTTGAATACGCATCTTTCAGGATGCTTGCCAATGGCTCCACGACCTGCCAAACGGCAGCGCCGGTCCACCTTTGTGCTCTCAGATGACAGTGACGAAGGTAATGGCCGGCCTTCTTCGGAGGCACGAAGGTCCAGCCTGCAGCGTGAAATTACGCTTGACGGCAGAACCTCGCAGACTGTCTCGCCAGTAAAGTCGACCAAGGGAAGAGCGGTAGTGCGAAAGCCCGCACCAAAGCCATCGCCGAAATCGTCTCCCGAGAAAGCCAGAAAGAATACGAGGCCCAAGAATGAACCAGACAAGACGAAATCCCTTCACAACTTCTTTACCAAGGCTGCAGACGAAGAAAGATGGAGGAAGAAAAGCTTGACACCAGACCTGGACATTCAAAATGGAGAGCTAGGAGATGCAATCGAAGACGATGAGTTGTCGGATGAAACATTGCAAGAACTTGGACTCAAGACAGATACAGCCAGCGTTGTCCTGGACAAACGGAAACCTGTCGTCACTGCTGTTGCCGGTGGCAAGAGCACGAGCGATGGAGGTGGTTTGCCCTCCAGTCAACGATTCGTGCGTTCTACACTTCCACGTTCTACGCTCTCCAATCGGAACCTCCCAAGCGACACTGAACATAGCGTGAGCGTCGAAGGACATCGCCCCTGGGCTGATCGATATGGTCCGAGCAATCTTGAAGAGTTGGTCGTGCACAAGAAGAAGGTCGGAGATGTACAGAACTGGCTGCAAGGCAAAGTTGATAGGCGTAACAGCCAGAAATTACTCGTCTTGAAAGGACCAGCTGGGAGCGGCAAGACCACAACGCTGTCACTCCTTGCACAGGCTATGGGCTTGCAATTGGTTTCCTGGCATAATCCCACTGTGTCGGAGGCTGGTGCCAACAATTCGACCGCTTTACAATTCGATGAGTTTCTCAATCGCGGTGGTCAATTCGGTAGTCTTGCCTTCGACCAGGACTTGATGACTTCAGATACGTCAAAAGCAGATTCAGCCCATCGCGTGCTCGTCATCGAAGAGTTTCCGGCAATTATGACGAGGCTCTCCAATGTCCTTCAGTCTTTCCGATCAGTTATCTTGCAGTATCTGGCACGGAGTCGAGCGACTTCTACAATCACTTTGCGTGGCCAGCAGAGCTCGAGCGACAATCCTCCACCGGTAGTCCTTATCATCTCGGAAACTCTGCTCTCATCTTCTACCGCATTGACAGACAGTTTCACAGCTCACAGGCTTCTTGGTCCTGAGATCCTGAACCATCCATTCGTGACGGTCATGGATTTCAACCCAGTAGCGCCTACTTTCATGACTAAGGCTCTAGATCTCGTCATGAAGAAAGAGGCAAGAGACTCACGTCGACGCCGAATGCCGGGGCCTGCTGTCATCCAGAGACTTGCCGATATGGGCGACGTGAGGAGCGCTGTCAACTCGCTCGAGTTTCTGTGTCTCAGAGGAGGCGACGGCGCAGAATGGTCTGGAACAGTCGCGGCTAAGGCTAAAAAGTTGTCAAGAGACACTGTGCCGTTGACCGAGATGGAAAAGAACTCTCTCCAGCTAGTTAACCAGCGCGAAACCACTCTCGACATGTTCCACGCGGCAGGCAAGATTGTGTACAACAAGCGCGAAGATCCCCGTGTTCTGGACACCCGAGCAGAACCACCACCTAAACCTCCGGATCATCATATGCACATTTATTCGTCAAAAGTGTCTCAAGTTGATATCGAAGCACTGTTGAACGAGACGGGCACAGATATTCAGACCTTCATCTCTACCTTGCACGAGAACTACATCCTTTCGTGCAACGGCGACACCTTTGAGGAATCCTTTGATGGTTGCTCCGATATACTGTCCATAAGTGATATTCTCAATCCGGACAGCAGGCCCACACGTCGAGCAAACCCGAATCACTACGCTACGACCATACAGGCAAGCCTACAGGCTGGATCCTCAGACACCCTGCGTCAAGATGAGATCAGCTTTCAGGTAGCCACAAGGGGATTGCTGTTCAATCTGCCGTATCCGGTGAACCGGGCAACTCCACCTGGAGCAAAGAAGAGCGACACATTCAAGATGTTCTATCCTGCGAGTTTGAGGCTGTGGAAGCCCACCGAAGAGCTCGATAGTCTGATCGAGATGTTTGTGCATGGAGAGGGCACGAGCAAGCTAGATGCCGCCGCGGGCTCCCATACGCTCTCGAACACTCCAGGCATTGACGGAGGTGTTGGAACTTGGCGCACGAGATCATTCGCCGCTGCTTCCTCTCCAGAAGCCAAATGCAAGCCGGGAACTGACTTTGTTCATGGCCAGGACGAAGACGACGTCGAAAATGCCCTTCCAAGACCACTTCGGCACGCCAAAGACACGCTGACCCTTGAGATACTGCCACACATGACGCAGATATTCGGAGCGAGGAAGAGAGACACTTCCATCCTTGAACGTATAACCAAGTTCAGGCCAGCTGCTTCCCAGTCCGCTGCCGCTACTGGAAGCGAAGCATTTGAGGACGAAAACGAGAGGACTGCCGGTGAGAACCCAGCAAGGGCTGGAGTGTTTGCCCGGACTCCCGCAGGTGTCCATGCAGCTATGTCAGGGTTAACGCGGGGTGGCTTAGGTGTGAGCACGAGCACGTTTGCCGGAAGCACGGGTTCGTACGTCGCTCAGTCTGCTGTTGACGCTGCCTCGGTTGAGAAACTGTATATCTCGGATGACGACATTGAGGACGATTGATTTGGCTCAATGTGAGTGAGTGAGCTACTGTGTATGGACAGACGGGGCGGCCTTGTTGTCTGGCCCATTGTTATCAGCGGACAGCTTTTGCCGAATCATGTGCCCTGAGGAGGGTTGTTCTGGTCTGATTTTGACAGTCACAAGAGACTAGCGAGTCCCGGTACTAAAAGGAAATTCGTCGGACAAGTAAACGGTTGGGATTAGACTCATCTTCAGAACCAAGGGGTTCGTCTACTTAGTACAACGTAGGCACGGCTATGGTTGGTATTCAACTCTACTCGAATCATAGAATGATGAGGCCCCTAAAGCATTGTCACATTAAGGTACCTAGGCATGAAATTGGAATTGGACAGGACATACAGGTAGCTGGTCCTTATGATCCAGCCCAGCCTAGCATAAACATTAACTATTGTCGCCGTACACGCCTCTAATAACTATACTGGCACCCATACAATGAATGCACTTTGCCTTTCGGTCAATGCCTCCGTGACAGAGCGCTGGCTACACGGAAACAGCTCGACATATCTGTAAAGCCAATAAACATTAAATCAGCAGTCTCATTCATGCACCCAATGACCTTAGTTGAACGTGTTTTACCACCCGTTCTCCCTAACCCTGAACACAAACGTGAGAGCCGTCGCCGCGAGTAACCCAATGCACAATGCCGTCGTACCATACCGGTCATAGTATCTTGAGATACTAGCCCTGCGTTTCCGGATCATTTGCACTCTCAGCCAGTATATCACAACACTATACACCAGCGCGGCACACGCGACGATGGTGAAGCCCCACGCAGAGGCGAGGCTAACACTATCCCCAAAGTTGAGCAACGTAGCTGCGATCGAGCCGATGATGATGCTGAACTCCAACCAAGACAAGAATGTGCGCTCGGTGGCAAAGTACACTTTCGGCTCGACTCGAACCGGCACATGGATTCTTTTGCCCGGCGGGGCTTTGAACCGCTTGACTTGTACCTGACCACCGAGTGGGTTGACGCCGCCAATGTCACCATTTTGTGGGAGTGGTGTGGATGTCGGAACCTTCCTGAAGAGCTTGACGATCGTATCGCTTGCAACTTGGGCATGGTGCTTGAGCATGAGGGGATAGAACTTCCAAGACTTGTTCCGTCGAGCCTCTTCGACTTCGTTCTCGTCATCCTCCATCTCCGAGTCGTAGATATATTCGTCCTCTCCTACTGGCATGGCAGCGAGACGCTCCTCCTCGTCTAGGGAATTTCCGGGGGCAGCATTAACGTCTTCTCGGTCATCCTGTTCCTGGGCACGGCTGTGTTCGTCCAATGCTTGCCTAGCGGCTCTCAGCCGCCGCTGCTGTTCGTCGTCACTGTCGGTCGATCCGTTCGTATATGGTGTCGTCTTTCCGGTCAACTGGCCATACTCAGCATCTGAGTCTTCGTCATCGTCAACATCACTAGTGGAGTAGCTAGCCGTGTTTGCCGGTCGTTCGATACCGAAACGATGCGTGATGGGCTTTCGAATGTCGACGTCCATCTGCGGGAACCAGAATGGTAGCAGATTAATTCTGGTGGGAAACATGGTGGCACAGCCGTGGATAAACTTCGAAAACTTTGGTACTGCTTCGACAAGGTGGCTTGCTGTCAGGTCCCGAACCCATTGAGGAGGTTCCTGTCCGGCCTGTGTCTGCAACTTTACTTCGAGCACGGCGTATGGGAACCGCTCGATATCCTCCGGAGGTAACTGTGGGAACGGCCAATCGATGCCAATGTCCATGCGTCTCCAGTTCTTGCCCGCTCTTTGCCTGCCGTCCAGGTTGTCTTCCCGAATCATTGACAATTCGGTATCTAAGGAGATACGCACTCGAGCGTCGCCGGGAAGCTGGAAGGCGGTGCGGTGATAGAAAGATCTGCACACGGGCACCAGTTTCCTGGTTACGACTCGGTACTGTATTTCGCGAGCAAGCTGTTCCAGATCCTCGATCTCTTTGATGCTCTTCTTGCCTTCCTTTCTCATTTTCGCAAAGGCCTGCTCAACGGTCATCTTGCCAGCCAGGAATGCGTTGACATTCTTCTCCTTCAAGGTAAATCGAGCCTTGACAGACTTCTCGCCAGTCCAGTCCTCACGATGCGTTTTCCGTTCGACGAAGATGGTCTCATTCTCCATACCTCCGTACCATCGCAGACGGATAGCCTCCGCACCTTCGGTCTTCTTTAGACGACCGGTGTACAACTCCCAAGTTTCCGGGTTGTCGTAGTAAATCGACGAAATGGCAGAGTCCTTCTCTTCAAATTCTTTGTTCGGGTTGAAGACTAGAACGGGGAGGTGCTTGAGGACGATGAGCTTGAGCTCTGTGATGTTGTCTGGGTGGACCCAGTACTTTGTGGTCTGCCGCACGAAGTTCTGCTGTGCACCTCCTGCGGCGCTGTCACCCTTTGCAGGATGGCCCCTGGTCCGGACGAGATCGTAGAGCTTGGAGAGGGTGACGACGAAGGCATCGTAGTTGTCTGCGAAGAAGGGCTTTGCTTTCAGTCTGGTAGCAAAGGATGGTCGGAGGATGAACTCGGTCTGCTTGTCATGCTTCTTGATAATCTTCTGGAAACCGGTATAGTTCAACTGGGTGAATTTGGCCAGATCGTGGACGTCAGCAATAATATCACTGAGATCCTGCTCCAACAGCTCAAAGTCACTCTCGAGCTCACTGTCGGACTCGGGATCGGAGGTTTGCTGAAGCTCCTGACGTTCCAGGACCTGTTTTACTTCTGCTTCACTGGACTTTATTCTTGAGACGATTTCCTGGCTCTTGAGTTTCTGAAAGGTGTACACCTTGTCCAGCTCTGCTTCTAGCTGTCGGATGAAGTCGGCCTCGTCATCGTCGGTCCAGGGTTGGCGTTCCCCGTTCTTGCCGTTCACGAAAGGCTTCTTGAGGGCGTCTTTGAGGTCATCGTAGGCAATGTAATGCCAGTAATAGTCTTTGATGAGAGACTGTCGAAGCTGTTGACCGAACCTGTGAAAGTTTCAGCAAAAATTAAGACGATCAGACGAAGGCACTGACTTCATACTGAAGCTGCGTAATCGGTCGGGAAGCAGGGGTCTGCTGCTCTGACACCCAAGGACACCAAAAGCAACCGGCTGTGCAATATAAGAAATGCAGCAGCTTGCGGTCGGAAAAAGAGTTGTGTCAAAAATTAAGATACAGAGGTTGACAGCACCAATGATAGGGATACAGGCCCCTCACCTCGTCTGTCGAGGGAGCTCGCCGAAGCTGCATGATGAGAAGCTTTTTGCATGGCATGGCAACTGAATGCTCCTTCCATCTCGTCGCTGGGTACTGTACTATTTACCACATGCCAGCCAATGGAAACGCGTAGGAGCCCACGTGCCTCGAGTCCGCATTCCTTTTAGTGATCGGCTGAGTTGCTTCTTTCGCCATGGCGGATCTTTGATATCATTCCGAGGTCGATTCCTTCCCCACCGGGTGCCCGCTCGTTGTCGATATTACCTAGGCACGTGTAGCACGTGCTAGGTATCTTGGTCTCTCATTGCTTTTTGCAAGACACCTGGCATCTGGCTATCTAGAGAAAGCAATTCTCCGGCCGAGGGTTCTGAATTACGTACCGTCGCATATAGTTATTACTATTTGCATTACGCTTCACACTGAGTAGAAGCCCAGTATTACTACGTGAATAGAAACCCCCTTAGTCGTCGGTCAATGCGTCACTCGTCTTTACCTGTGGCGCTGTCTGACATGACTAGAGCCATCTTATAGCAGGCTCGGTTTGGCGCTCAAGGCAACAAAGTCGAAGACGTCTGACAAGCACATTTCCACTACGAGTGATGGTCATCGCTCCCTTCTTTCTAAGCGACCTGGTTACTCTTTCAAAAGCCGCTGAGTCTTCTTCTGGGGCCAGGTGAAGCACCAATTGCACATGGCGTCCTTGTCGACAACATGTTTTTGCCTTTGATCCCCTCTTTCACTGATACTCGACCCATGTCCTGTGTGTTAGACAGTGGCTGGTAGGATATGAGCCTGACGAATCGCAGCAAAGCGTGGCGTGGTTGATGCTGGGCGCCGTCTTGTGACTGATTTGACTTGCTCAACTTAATGCCACTGCTCCTTTACATCTTCACAGATAGTTGTAAATGCGCCCAGTCAGCCGAGACCGGGTCTGACCAGATTCGTCTGTTTCTGGAACGAACATTTATTGATCTCTTTGACTCACCACTTACTAGGCAACCGCACTAACGGTCTCGAGCGCAAGGCAGCCTTAGCAGCCAACCCTCAAAGAAGGCTGTGCATTGGCAATCCAGTTTCTCGTGAACTTACGCATATCACATTGCCTCCCACGTCCTAGAAAATCGACGTTAATGCTCACTCGCCGATACCATACTATTCATAATGACCTCCATGTCACCGTCCGGGTGCATAAGTCACTGCCCAGATCTCCCAAATGAAATTCTTCTCCTCATCATTCAGAGATGTCCCCGTTCTACGCTGAAAGATGTGCGGCTAGCCTCCAAAAGCCTCGATCAGATGGCAACTCCTTATCTGTGGCGCAAAGTGGTCCTGGTTCCTAACGATCAATGTATTCTGGGCTTTGTGAAAGCACTGAAACGGTCCAAGGTCGTCCGCTATGTCACGAAGCTGACTTACGACGCCCGGTTCGGCAACTTCTTCCACAACATCAAGAGCATCCCACCGGACATGTCAGCAACGGCTTCCGAAGACAAAGTTCAAGGCGAAAGATCCCTGGAACGTGCAGCTCAGGGGCGCTTCCAACCCTACGAAGACATGGCCATTGAAGTTGCAATGCTGGCTAAAGCCTTGCGGATATTACCAAACCTGCGCGAGCTCCGGGTACGAGAGCATGAAGACGGGACCGATGCCACATTCAACCCGGCATCTCTCAAAGTCCCCTTCTTTTATCACAAAATGTGTAACATTGTCAAGATCGATCCTCAAGTCGTCAACTTCTCCCATATGACGGGCACTTCAGGCAGATCTTATACCAAGGGTATCTTGACCGCTTCTTTCTCCGCTGGAACCCGTCTCCACAAGTTCAAAACCAAGAACGTCGACGGCCGTGCCATGTTTGGAGTCGTCCCTATGAAGGCACCCGCAGCCTACCAACAGATGGCCATTTTTCGATCTGTCATAGACAACCTTCGGTCGTTGGAACTCTCCTTCCGAAACGACACGCTAATCACAACGGCAAATCATGTTGAAGCAGTCCAGTCGCTCCTGAAAGCAGCAAAGAAGCTCAAACACCTCAAATTACGACTGACCGACTTCAGCGTAACGCGGTGCCAATATTCAGACGACGACGTGTCCGATCTGCTTGGACTCCTGGAGAGCCCTACGGCAAGCTGGACCTCCAAACCTCTGGTCCCTCGGCTTGAAACATTGGCGATTGACGCCTGTATATGTCACGACGAAGACTTGATTCATTTGCTGAAAATCCACGCCTCGACTTTAAAACGATTGGAATTGTCTAACATCACTTTACTCGGTAACGAAGACCGTCGAGAATGCTGGGTCAAGCTAATCAAGCACTTGAAGACGGATCTCAAGCTTGCATCGGTCACGTTCAGCGGGTGGTTCAGCAACGGCGGACGTCAACAGTGGTTCGTGGCCAAAGACAGCGTGGACCCCGGGCGGCTGAAAGCACGAGTGGAGAAGTACGTCGTTGACAAGCGCATCCGGCAATGTCCTCTGGAGCTCATTGCGATCAAGCCGAACCAAGGTGACGTCGAAAAACCCGCGAATGGCGAGGAATACGAAGGCGACATGACCTGGACGATGGTATATTCGAACCATTTCACCGATAACATGGACTGGCAGCTGGCAGAACCTTCATTCGGTATACCGTCCGTCGATACTTCTGATCCATTTTCTGCATCGGGAGACGTAAGCTCCGGAGGCGACCCAGGTATTGAGCCCTGGTCGGACGACGAACACATCGTCACTGTGGAAGATGGGGAAGTGATGGACGTTGACGAACTCGTTTTCGGGCACTCGAAGAAGCCGAAGAAGGACAAGGGAAAGTCAGTCTGGCCACCACCGCCACCACCGCCTCCGGGTTATGACTGGGATCCCTGGTTTGTGGCTTAATGTTCAAGTCGGACGCCATCACGACGACGTGTCAGTTCATATACCACGAGAAAGGGTTGCCGTCGGGTTGCTATCATCATTATTTTTCTTCTTTGTGGTGGAGCCGGTTCTTCGGATGCGAGATTGACAGAGCATTTGGACTAGTAGTATTTGATTTGCATCCTTTCTTGACAAGCTTTGGTTTTGGTACCTGGATGGAAACGATGTGGATCAAGAAAGCGAGAGCACAGGAATCGAGTCGATGGGCTGGACGGGGAACATGGTTCAGGCGCTGGAAAACAGGGAAGGGCTGGACGACCTCTTAATGAAGTCGGATTCGAATGTGAAATGATCATGATTGTCGGATTTTGCCAGCGTTCAGCAAATAACGAAACATATCTTAGCCAGTCCTTGTTGCTGGTCAAAACAGATTTTGATGGCTGTTTCAACATGTTTGCACTTACTCAATGACACTCAAGTCTTTCTCGCTCCTTTGGTGACGAATATGTACAGTCCTGGCTATCAAGTTGCTGACGAGCGCCTACCAGCAGGCTGTCTTTATAGCCCGCCGTTCTCTTATTTAGCTATGCACAACCGCCAAAATAGCAAACACTTTCGGCCTCCTCGTTCACAATTCGCCGTCCGTCCTCATCAGGTCTTGGACTTTATACGGCTCGCCCTGCAATGAAGTCAAGCCAGCCCTCGGCTCACAAGTCATTCTCTGCTTCCCCTCGTACTGCTGCGGGCCTGGCCGGGGCACCTTGCTCACATCAAACCCACTAATCGTCGTGCTGTCCTTCAGCGCTTGCAGGAGATTTGTCATGGTCTCCGGAGTCAAATCTTCATAGTAGTCGTCATTAATCTGGACCATGGGCGCATTGACACAGGCCCCTAGACACTCGACCTCAAGTAATGTAAAGAGCTTGTCCTCTGTTGTATGGCCCGAGTGGACACCCAGGAAGTCCTCGCAAGCCTTCATGATCTTGTCGCTGCCACACCCGCCGAGCATGCAGGGCGTTGTCGTGCAGACTTGCACGAAATATTTGCCCACTGGCTCCCGGTTGTACATGGTATAGAAAGTCGCTACTTCGTAGACACGCATGGGCGGCATCTCGAGGATGCGCGCAACTTCGTTCATCACGCTAATAGACGTCCAGCCGTGTTGGCGCTGGCCTAGGTCTAGCAATGGCATGACGGCGGCCTTTTTGTACTGGGGTGGGTAGCGTTTGAGGATCTCATCGATCAGGCGTAGGTTTGTGTCGTTGAATTTGAACGGGATGGAGGGGTTGTTATTGGGGGTATCCCTGTGCTGAGTGTGCTGTTAGTATTGGAAAGAGAGGGGAGGGTGTGTGGTTTTGGCACTTACCACGAAGAGTGCTTCACTCCGTGATGAGGGTGTGCTGGAGAATGGTCTGGGATGGAAGGGTTGTCTTCGAGGATGAGGAGCTTTAGAGGCAACCCGTATGGCCTGGCGGACTAGCTGGGGGCCAAGTTTGGAAGCCATGCTGGGCTGGCTGGTGTTGAGGTTGAGGATTCGCAGTCGAGAGATTCTGGAATTGCAACCGCAGTCGAATGCTCGACGTATGGTAGCAAGCTTCGGACCAATCAATGATATGAGATTGTCAGTGACTCTCTCGATGCAGTTGTCGGAATAGGCAACTCTGCCGTATCACTGTCTGGCGGAGCATACGACGCTGATGTGCATGATCATTGAACTCCGCAGTGAAACGCAACTGCTTCTCCACGCTGGCCTAATTGAAACAATTACCCAGGACGATGCTGCTTTGATCTGATCCTGACCTCAAAGCACGAGAATGAGGTTGTCGTCCGTGGTGAGCGCGGTCGCAGGACTGTGTATTGCGGTCACAAGCGCTACTTCAAATCTCACCACACCACAATCCACGCAGAAGGTCTTGACAGGAGACTTCAGGCCTCCCCAAGTATTCGAGAACACGAACCTCGTCCGGACAATCAACCTCGAGAAGGGCTACGTTCGAGAAACCACGAACATTTTGATCACCAACACAGACAAGGCACCGCAGTCGGACTATTACGTACCCTTCGAATATGACTTGATCGGGAGGATCGGAGGGTTTGACGCCCGGGACAAGAAGCATGCTGAGAAGGGCGCTTTGGAAGTCACAATTGCTGCCCTAGCAGAAGTGCTTGACGCACAAGGACTTTCCTCAAAGTATGAGCGCAGTCTACCTGTTGGGAGCTGCTTGACTGACAGATGCAGACCTACACAATACTACATCATCCATCTCGATGAGCCCGTCCCTCCCAAAGGAACCGTCACCCTATCCATATCCTACCACATCCTCGGTGTCCTCAAGCCTCTGCCTGCATCCATCCGACAAGAAGAAAAGCAATACCTCACGTACGACTTCTCCGCGTACGTCCCCACAGTGTACAAGACGGCCAAACAAAAGACGAAAGTCAAATTTCCTTCATCGGACGTGCCCGAATACACCACCACCAAGGGTCTAGTTTCGAATACCGACCCAGAAAAACAAGGCTCACAGTTCTCCTACGGACCTTACGACACGGCTAAGATCCCTCCTGGAACAGTCTACCCGGTGACCGTGCGCTACGAGTTCAACAAACCCCTCCTCGTCTGCAGCTTGCTGGAACGAGATGTGGAAGTCTCCCACTGGGGCGGTAATCTTGCAGCCGAAGAGCGCTACTGGCTCCGTCACGACGGTGCCACGCTGTCCAACCACTTCTCCCGTGTCGCATGGAGCACACAGAGCTTCTACGTCAACGCCGGACAAATGACTACTTCCGCACTGAGAGAGCTCAAGGTGCCCCTGAAGCCAGGCAGCGTCGACCCCTATTTCACCGATGATATCGGCAACGTGTCGACATCACGCTTCAGACCGAACAACGTCCGTGAGGCGAGTCTGGAACTTAAGCCGCGATATCCGTTGTTCGGTGGGTGGAAGTACAGTTTCAGAATTGGTTGGAACAACGCGCTGTCATCCTTCCTGCGGAAGCTGAAGACTCCGGCGGACACGTACATCTTGTCTGTACCATTGCTCGAAGGACCGAAGATGCCCGAGGGTATTCAGTACGAACATTTCGTCCTGCGTGTTATTCTACCAGAAGGTGCGACCCATGTGCAGTACCAGACTCACGGCGGCACGGGCGTGCCGAATCTACATGCCGAGTATAGTCTGCATAAGACGTTCATGGATACGGTGGGCCGTACAGAGCTGAAGCTCTCGGGGAACAACCTCGTAGACGAGGCGAGAGATATAACGCTCCTGGTGACGTATGAGTACACTCTACTCTCGGCGCTGAGGAAGCCGTTCATGATCTTCGCTGGGTTTGTGGTCGTGTATGTGGTTGCGTATTTGGTGGGCAGCGTTGATACGAGCATCGGGAAGAGGAGGCGGTGATCTGAGCCAGAGATCACTCGGCGTCCAATCCTGGGCTGAGTGTTTTGTAGATTAAGCTGAATCATGGCTATGGGTAAAATGTTATAGAAATTCGACTGGGTCAAAAGCTCTGAATATTGCCAATGTTCACTATGCTAAGGTATGCAGCAGAAAGCATGGAAGCATCACCCAAACAGTCTGCTGTTGCGAGATGAACAAAGACCGTCCCAGATAGCCACCGGCCCATGATTTCCAGGTTGACATGTTCATCGATCCAGCCACGATCGTTCCATATCCAAGTCAGCACCACTGCTGCAAAAAAAAAGAACAAAATAACTCCCAATATGCCGGGAAGCTTCGCCCCTTGTTTTGGCCAGGCCAAAGCCCCGCCGTTCTTTCCAAATCTCGGCTGCAATGGCATGAGTAGCCCCAGCATTATAATCAGTGATACTCCATAATCTGTCGAGGGTTATGATAGCCAATCAATCCAACCAAACTCACCCAGTACATCGTTCCTCAGGCGGCCGATATCCAAATCCCAAACCGTCCATCAACCTCCTCTCCCGGTCCTGCCATGTATCCTTATCGTCCCACTCGTCTCCCGGCTTCGCAACAGGTGGCTTGCCCTTCAATATTGCCTCCAAGGCCTCTTTAGTCTTCGGCCTGCCCGCTTCGAAATCCAGGACCAATCCATTAGATCGATCTCTCACACCCGAGCTGTCAAACTTCAATCCCCTAGTCTTCGCCACGAACTGTCTGATGTCTCTCTGGAACGTCGTCCCACCACTCCATCCGAGCACCGCGCATCCGACCGTGCGCCAGGACGAAATGATGATATCCACCCGCCTATGGATATTCGGGTTCTTCACGTTCTCGCCTTCGGGTGCGTCGAAATGCGGATCCTGCCACACACAGAGTGCCTTGTCGAGACTGTCGAAGCCATGGCCCCTGTGGCTGCCATGGTAGGGCAACGTCGCCTGCCCGCGATCACTCGTCGTCGTGTTCAGCGTGAGTGTGTGCGTTATCCAGCCCTCCCTTTCGAGACTACGCACGACGTCGACGACAAGATCTTTGGTCTTGTTCTCGTCCCTGTGGGACAAGACGACGTCGACATCGCCACACTCGAGCTTACCGCGCCGGTATCCACCGACAATGATACATTCAACATCCTCAGACGTATTATGTTGCGAGGGTTTGACGCCCAGCACGAGTCGGGCATGACGTAGAATCACATCGGAGATAGATTTGACTTCAGCACGGGGTATTTTCGCCACGAATTGGTCGTAAAACTTGACGCCGATTTGCTGCACGCGGGATAACGTGCTCCATCCGAATTCCACGACATCGTCGAGATCTTTCCACCCGCGCTCGAAGTAGAATTTCCGTGCGGTCTCGGGGCCCACGCCCCATATATTCCAGAACAGGCGGAGATATTGCAGGTCGGGGTCACTGTCGAGGTCGCGCACTGTCTGGATATAGCGCTCGCCATCAGTGTCGGCGGAGTGGTACCATTCGCTCCAGAGCATGGCGATCTTGGCTTCGCACCCGGGCAGTCGAGTGATCTCTTCGGGGTGTCGGATGTGGTGCTCATATGCGGATAAGCTGGCGATAGATGTCGAGTACGCGCGCACTCCGATGTCGTCAAGCGTGAGGAGGCGCGCTTCTTTGATCTTGGACAGCTGTGCGATGAACGCGGCATTGGGTGGGTGCATGGGCGTGCTCCGGCAGCAGGAGTAATGTGCGTAAGGGCCCATGGCCCAGTCCGGAAGAGGAGGAAGCGGGTTGTTGGCTAAGTCCTCGAACTCGGAGGTTGTGGTGCGGTGGAGTTTGGGTGGGTGTTTTGGCTGTGAGGGATGTTGTCCAGCGTGCTCGCCATGGCGGCGGCGCGTTGGATGCGAGGCCGTTGAGGATGGGAGGGTGGCAGCTTCGGCTTTGGCGCGTTCAAGTATTGAGGTTGCCGTGTTGGACTTTCGGCGCGACAAGGATGCGGAAGACGGTTCCGGATTGGTCTTGACGTGTGGTGTCTTGCTGGGCAGTGCGTTTGGTGAAGATTCCCCGGCTGGTTTGGAGATGAGTTTGGCTGAGTAGACTATGTATGGCTTGTAGGGTACTAGACGGTCCTGGGCGATGCATGATTCCAGCCATGCGAGTTTGAGCACGACGATATGGTTGGAAAGATCTGGCCAGGAAACTCGCGGCGGAGGAGAATTCGTCGACCGATCTGAGGAAGCCGTGCTGGAAGTGGAAGTCGAACTCTTTCGTCCTTGTCTTGTCTCGGCTTTCACGTCTCCTTCAATCCATCCAGTTTTGACTCTCTTCTTGGGGGGTCCTTCTTCTTCTTCAGCCTCGCCGTTGCTCCCTTGTTCAACTTCGACCTCTGGTAGTGCTGATTCTTCAGTCCATACTCCCTTCGCCCTTAGGTCAAAAGCCGCACGTTTCTTCTGGCCTACCTTGCCGAGGAATACTCTTGCCTCCTTTGGGTCGTATGTTAGAGAGCCGCCCAGTCTGAAAATCAGGTCTTCTGTTTCATGGAGGTCCTCTGATAGCAGATGGCTTGGCAGAACATAGATCGGTGGCACGGAATTCAAGGTGAAGTTGGCAGTCCTTTGCGGCTCCGGCATGATTGATATTTGACTTGATACCCAATATCCACGCTGAGAAGATGTTATATACACGGCTGGCTTCTACACTCGGTGATAGATATGAGAGTCAAGAATGAACATATTTGGGCGGCGACCCAATGTCATACGGATGCGGGACAACATGATATTGATTGTTTCGCGCCTTTCTGCCATGGTGCCGTGCTGATGCAGACTTTCGCTTCTCCCGAATACGAGGGACAATGTCCTGCCGAACACAAGTCGAGGTCACCAGATTGTCACTTGCGTCACGGAGAATGCGATTTGCTGGAGGCGCCCTCCTTCGAAAAACGTCATACATATCAACTCCCTGCCGCTTTATTCGGCGTAAAGGCACGTGATACGGACTTCTTCAGGCGGCGACAAGCTACGTATGATGAGAAGCCGCCGCCCAGCGTCTTTCATTCTGGGGGCAACAGCCATCTTTATTCCTGGATTACAGTCTTGACGACCAAGTTCGAGTAAACCTCCATACACTCCAAATATTCGAATACCATGGATGAGGATATAATCCTTGGCATCTGCCTCCTCGTAGCCTTTCTCTCCGTCCTCACATCTCCGCTGTGGATCACAGCCTGCATCGCCGCTGCCGCCACTCGAAAGTGGTCAAAGGAGAAGACACGTCGCGCTCACAATGGCATTGACAGTGTCGAGGCTGATCGGCTGGTCGAACCTTCCGAGTCTGAAAATGAGGAGGACTTCTTAGACTCGGAAGACGAGGACTATTACCGAGCCAAGCGAGACCGCAAACGTGAAGAGCGTCAGGAACGAGAGGCCGACTTGCTCCTGGGCACCAGAGCCAAATTTTTCAAAGAGTGGAAGAAATGTTGGAAGACGGGTGACAAGACACAGCTCGCAAAGGAGCGCGAATTGAAGGAGCAAGATGAAAGACGGAAAATTGCTATGGAGGCAGTCAGGGAGTATCTGCGCATACAGAGAAGAAAGGCACGAATGACCGGGACAAAAAGCGAAGCTGGCGTAGGGTTGCCGAGTTATGGCAACGCTGTCGCAGAAGGGGCCGGTACGAAAGAGTAGGATGCTGCTGGCAGACTTCTAAAATGAATTTCGTGAATTTGTATAAAATCTTAGTGACATCCCGCAATCTCCGTCCGAAAAATCCTTTTCGGTTTCGATTTCTTTCTCTTTCGTAGTATTTATGCGAAAGAATCATCTTTTCAACTAGAACTTACCATGGTTGAATCAACGGTAGACTTTGAAGTGCTGTCCGCATCATTTCTGAACTGGTTCAATGCTCAGCCAGGTACAACTTTTCATTCATCGCTGAAGCTTGTAGACTTGAGAGCCCGCAATGCCGGAAGAGGCATCATCGCCACAGCAGATATTCCTGCCGACACAGATCTTTTCACCATCCCAAGAAGTGTTATAATAAGTGAAGAGACATCGGAGCTTGCCACGAAATTGCCTGGGCTGTTTTCCAAGTCTGAGGAGGTGATGGACGAGGTCGACCTGGATGGACAGCCAGCCGAATTGCCCAAGTCATGGCTCAATCTCATTTTGATCCTTCTCTACGAGTCTTTCCACCAGAACACATCAAAATGGTCACCGTATCTGTCGATCCTTCCACAAAGGCCATCTTCATTCGACACCCTCATGTTCTGGTCAAACGAGGAACTTTACGAGCTGCAGGCGTCTGCCATGCCGTCAAAAATAGGCAAGGATTCGGCAGACCGCATGTTCAGAGAACGGATTATGCCTGTCGTCAAGCAGCACGCCGATGTCTTCTATCCCACCGGCAGCTCTCAGCCCAGCAACGAAGAGCTCTTGGAAAGATGCCACGTGATAGGATCACTGATCATGTCCTATGCTTTCGACTTACAGCCCGATGATGACGAAGCAGACGAGGACGAGGAGAATGATGACGGATGGATCGAGGATCACTCTAAGCCGTCAACTATGGGAATGGTGCCTATGGCTGATATGCTCAATGCAGACGCTGAATTTAATGCCCATCTATCACATGGCGATGACAGCTTGACCATGACTTCATTAAGAGAAATCAAAGCGGGAGAAGAAATACTAAACTACTACGGGCCGTTACCAAACGGCGAGCTGCTGAGACGATATGGCTACACCAGCCCAAAGCACTCGAGGTATGATGTGGTCGAGATCAGCTGGGACCTCCTGAAGAAGGTACTTAGTGACCCAGGGGCTCCCTTTCACTCAAAGTCATGGTCAGAGCGCCTTGATAAGCTCATGGACGAAATCGAACGTGATGATGAGTTCGACCCAGATGGTGGATTCGTGATCGAGCGAGACGCAGGTGATCCCAATGAACAGGGTCTTTGCACCACGGAATCCAGATTCACCAAGTTTCCAGACGAGCTTGTGGCTATCATCACTGATCTGGTTGCGAAGCTCTCGAAAGACCAGATCAAGCAGAAGAAACTCAGCGACGAGAGCGAATCGACTTTCATCAAGAGCCGGACTCTGGTAGTCTTGTCGCAGATACTTCGACATAGGCTCGAACAGTATCCTACGAGCTTGGAGCAGGACGTAGTGCTATTGAGGGAGCCGATGATGAAGGGTCGGTTGAGGATGGCGATAGATGTTCGGCTAGGAGAGAAGAAAGTCCTTGAGGAAGCTCTGACATGGACCGAGGGCAAAATGCAGAAGTACAAGGGCTTGACGGAAGAAGCCAGCGTTCCAGCACCAGATGGGTCGCCACCAAGGAAGAAGCAGAGAATGGGCAGGTAACGCTGACGAGACCTAGCCCGCAGCCCACTGCTCTGGAGTTGCATTCCTTGTGCTTGACTCCTGCGAAGCACGATCTTTATCTACAAGGTCCTCCTCCGGATTAGTTAGATCGGATTATTGGAGGTACTGTCCTTGATACTGCCTCGGTCGTCCGCAACTAGGATGTCTAATACTTGACCTACACCAATTTACTGGATGGTAGGCTGCATGCCAAGAAAGAGATCGGAAGCAACGCGCTCACGCAAGGCTCAGCATCGATGGCGTGACGTCCAGCTCAGCCAACGATCAAATGCATTGAGACGCTGCTACAGAACTACCATCTTATCGAAGAGACTCGATCACCATAGCCCAACGCTCTAGATGGACTGTCTTTATGTGCACGATAAGCTCGTACGCACAAACCCCCACTTGCGCTTGCTGCGAACATTCGCCAGTACGCCATCTCGGCACTACTCCTGACCAAACAGCGTTCGATTTCAGCGTGCTATTGCTGTTTACCGGACAGGCTTGATTCCCACGCATGTTGGCTACCGAGATCTTGACCCCGTTACCCTGCTTGCCACGTCTTGCGGAACGCCACTTTAAGTCGCACCGAGCGTCGATGTTCCACAACGGAAAGCATTGAGCTGCGCTTTGCTAGGATAGCCCATGGCCGTGGGGAGTGTCAGGCTTTAACCCTCTATCTCTTGGTTGGTATGTACCACGCCTCTTTGCTTGCTTTACAGTGACACTGTCGGGATAAGCTCTACAGACTTGCCAGAATAATAGCTGCGTCGCTCAAAATCGTCCACGAATCAGTGTCTCCGGTCCAGGTTCTCTGCAACGGTCTCATCTTGCGGCAAGGATATGGTTGCGAAGTCGAGCAAGTCTTCCTTCTCGGGCTTGCGGTATATGGCCAGGATCTAGAAGCATGATCCCGAGGGGTACAGCTGTACCCTAGTCCCTAGGTACAGATGGTTGATGCTATACAAATTCAAGCCCTCAATCACGCCATCAGCCACGAAGACAACTCAGCTTCCCCTTCAAGCTAGGTGAAGCTCTTCACATGCGAGAATTTTCATCCTTGCGATGAGCAAATCGCTTCCATTCGACCACTTTACGGCGCTTGGCGGTTATTCGCAATTCCTGCAACTGCCCTGTAACAAGATGGATCCACAGAATACGTTGCCACGGTTGAGGATGGAAGGCCGGTCAGGTGCCGATGCCTTGCGCTATATAAAGCACCACTTCTCTCTTCACCCTGGCCGTCCCATTGTCTCCTATATCGCGTGCCAGCTTAAGAACAACAGCCATGGACATCAAATCCGGCACAGTTACAGGTTTTCCGTCCTCGTTGGAGGATGCTAAGACTGAGCCTCGCGAAGCATTGAGACCACAGAAGTGGTGGAAGTTAGGGGGTAACGATGTCAGCTTTGTTTCTGTCGATGCGGACAGTCAGCTGGATCCCGAAACACCATCCAATGATCTTTCGGATGGCTCAAGGGTGGTGAAGAATGTGAACAACGTCTTCGAAGCTCCCGAAGCAGTCGAGCTTTACAAGCCCATACAGGGCTTTGAAGGCGCCCATCGCTTTCATCCCGATGCAACATGGACCCAAGAGGAAGAGAAGGCCCTGGTTCGAAAGGTACGTATTGCGAATGGTGTACAATACTCGCCGTGTCTGACAGTTGTTCCAGCTTGACTGGCGCATCGCTCTTCCTGCCTGTATCATGTTCTTTGCCCTCCAACTTGATCGGGGCAACATCGCCCAAGCTCTTTCCGACAACATGCTAGGTGAGTTGTCTAGAGGTGGGATTAAAACTCTTGGTGAGATTCTGACGGGCCTCTAGTCGATCTAGGTCTCACTACAAACGACTACAATAACGGCATGACCATCTTTTATTGTTCGTTCTTGTTCGCAGAGCTCCCCTCCCAGCTCGTTAGCAAGAAACTGGGACCGGACAATTGGATTCCTATCCAGATGGTAGCCTGGAGTGTTGTCGCAGCGTCCCAGGCGGCGTTGTCTGGCAAATCCAACTTCTACGTCTGTCGCTTTCTACTCGGCTTCATCGAGGGTGGCTTTATTCCCGACACCATCCTTTACTTGAGTTATTTCTTTACAAATGCAGAGTTACCGAAGCGTTTGAGTTGGTTTTGGACTTCCTACCAATCTACCCAAGTAGTCGGCGCTTTCCTAGCTTACGGAATTCTTCACCTGAGAGGTCATAGCGGGCTGAAAGAAGGGTGGCGCTACCTTTTCGCCATTGAGGGCTCATTGACGGGCTTGATTGGTATTCTTACCTGGCTATATCTGCCAGCTTCGCCGACTCAAACCTCGCGCCACGGCATGAAAGGCCTCCTTCGACCGAAAGAAGGCTGGTTCACAGAGCGGGAAGAGACCATCATGGTCACACGGATTCTTCGTGATGATCCTGGCAAGGCCACAATGCACAACAGACAAGGTATCAGCTTCAAGCTCTTTTGGGATGCCCTTACCGACTATGACATGTGGCCCATCTATCTTATCGGCCTCTCCTGGACGATTCCAACCACCCCTCCACAGGCATACATCACCCTGACCTGCAAGGCTCTAGGCTTCAACACCTTTCACACCAATCTCCTCACCATCCCGGCCTATGTTCTCTTCATTCTGCAGCTGCTATTTTGGACGTGGGTGTCTGAAAAGATCAACCAACGAATCCTGCTGGGCATCATCTCCCAACTATGGGCTCTGCCTCTTCTCATCGCCCTGGTCAGCCTGCCCCCAACATTCCCCAATTCCAATTGGGCGAAATGGGCCATCTCGACTCTGCTTGTGGGCTATCCCTACATCCACGCCATCCTTGTTGCCCTCACGTCTCGGAATTCTGGCTCAGTGCGGACCCGTACGGTCGGTTCTTCGCTCTACAATATGGCCGTCCAAGCATCTAATATTTTTGCGTCCCAAATCTATCGCAACGACGACAAGCCATACTATTACCGAGGCAATAAAGTTTTGTTAGGCATCGTCGCGTGGAATTTGGTGTTATTTGTCGCTGCCAAGGTATACTACGTGAGGAAGAACTCTCAGAGAGATAGGATCTGGTATTCAATGACGAGGGAGGAGAGAATCGATTACCTGGCTACGACCAAGGACAAGGGGAACAAGAGACTCGACTTCAGGTTTGCTTCTTGATCACCTAGCGACGTTGGTGAGGATTGAGAGGCAGTCCAAGCGAGGTGTTGGAGAGAAGGTGAACATGGCTACGTGTTGTGCAACGGCTGTCTAGACGTTTTCTGTGTTGGAAGATGATTGCGCGAGGCACTGTGGCTAGCACAAGCCGGCTTCTAACTTCACATTTGCAAAGGCTGAGAAGGGGAAGCAAGGATGATGAGCCGCGCCCTATCGAATTCCATTCTTTTTAGAGCTCTCAAGGCTTGTCGAGGTTTACCAAACCTAGGATTCTCATTCCTGTGAATCGTCTTTACGTGTCGTTTGCTGAGGCATTTGTGACATTGCCTACATATGTGCGAATAGGCAATTTGTGGCTAGATGTACGACGAGATCCTCAGGGCGTCCTTTCCGCAGCCCGTCACCGAAAAACAACGACTTGCAAGTCCGCTTCCATTGGAATGAGAAGGATCTAGCCATTTGGGACAACCGGTCCGTCTTCCACACTGCAGCCAATGACTATTATAGCAAGTATCAGGGCAATTCGGCTGATCTCTCTGGGAGAAGCCTTGTCTTGCTCCTACCTCGGTTTCCTCGCTTTCTCGCCGCCATGTTCATGGTGAAGTTTGAAGAGAGATGGTCCTTAAGGTTTAGGTTGAGCAAATGGTTGTCGGATGGAGTGGCATATATGATGAGACGGACTCATTGCAGCGCGCCGTAGCGAATGAAATGAAGTGGTGGACAGCGATGGAGCATATAGATCATGTCCGATCTTTCGATAGCGACGGAGACAGATTCCACCGGTGCCACCGGGGTGCCTTGGCTGCTGTGTTAACCACCATCGCCGCCTATTAAACTGGTGCTTGCCGCCATCATAGCCCCCATGTGCCGCCCATATGCCGCCCATTTTCCGTGCCGGTTACGGAGGATGATGGGGGCTAATGGAGGTCTTGTCTTGGCTGGGACGTAGCTGGAAGGTGGCTGCGAGCGATGCCATCGATGCCACGAGTTCAGCGGCTTCCATGACCGTTGAACAACAGAAGCAACCACTTGGCTCACGAATCACACCAACCAACATCACACAGCCCTCCACGTGCATACCAACCCGACGGCCTTCCAATTTGCACCTCACTTACGAAGTACAGTCTCTGATCCTCTCTGCTGGATCTTCTTGCAATCCCTACAGAGTATAAAGACAATGGCTCTGCTGAAGGAAGCCCAATCGCTTTTCACAAACGCAAGCTTCACTCCCTAATTCGTTCTGGTGCGCTTACGCCAACAAGGCCTCCAATTACCGTGTACAAGTACTTGTATAGATAGCCATCAGTGCTATTAGTGCCAATCAATATGACGGCCAAAGCTCTCCTTCTCTCCACTCTTTTTGCAGGCCTTGCCCTGGCCTCTCCAGCGCCACGAGCTGACGCAGCGGTCAATACCACGTCATGCAACGCTGATACCTTCGTTTACCAACAGCTTGTCGGGTACGGTCTGACTGCATCCGACTCACGCGACAAGTTTGGCGACACTGCCGGTGGGATTGGTAGCAGTGCTGCCATCGACCCTAAGTCCTGGACCGTGGACAAGAAGGGTGTCTATTCAGGCATTCTTTGGGGCCTTCCTGACCGCGGATGGAACACCGAAGGGACCTTGAACTATCAACCACGAGTCCACAAGTTCAAGATCACCTTCAAGCCAAACTATACCTCCACTGTCAAGAGTCCCAGCTCTCCCAACCTCCAGCTCCAGTACCTGGATACCATTCGTTTCACCGACCCGTCTGGTGAACCCATGACCGGACTTGATCCTGATGCTCACGGGCCTTACTTGACATACCCTGGATTCCCTGAACTTCCTTCCGCGACATACACCGGGGACGGGTTCGGTCTGAACGGCACAGGAGGACGCCGCGTGTCCTTGGACTCTGAAGGTATCGTCCTGATGGAAGACGGCTCGTTCTGGATCTCCGACGAGTACGGTCCATATGTCTATCATTTCTCCCCAAGTGGTAAGATGCTTTCTGCCATCCGCCCACCACCTGCTTTTATTCCAGAGCGCAACGGCACCGACTCCTTCTCCGCCGCCAGCCCGCCACGGTATGACCCGGACATCGAGACTCTTCCCGAGAGCAACCCAACTGGACGCGCCAACAACCAGGGCTTCGAAGGCTTGACAAGCTCGCCCGACGGCAAGACGCTCTACGTTCTCACGCAATCTGCGCTGGACCAGGATGGTGGCCTCAAGAGTGCCAACCGCTACAACACCCGCCTCGTCCAGTACGACATCTCCAACCCAAGCAAGCCAGTTGTCAAGGCCGAGTACGTGGTTCAACTGCCGCGGTACTCGAACAACAACAAAGTCGCCGCTCAGTCCGAGGTACACTATATCAGCGAGACCCAGTTCCTCGTTCTCGCCCGGGATTCCGGCGCCGGCCACGGTCAAGACAGCTCCACCTCGCTGTACCGCCACATTGACGTCTTCGACATCTCCAAGGCGACCAACATTGCGGGTTCGACCTACGACTGCACCACTTGCTCCGTGGCATCGAACTCCTCCGGCGTCCTGAACCCTGCGATCGTCCCCGCGACCTATTGCCCTTGGCTCGACTTCAACGTCAATTCACAGCTCAACCGCTTCGGCCTGCACAACGGCGGTGAACAGGACGCCGGGCTGCTGAACGAAAAGTGGGAAAGCATTGCTCTGGTGCCGGTCAACCCTTCCGCACCCAAGTGCAAGGACGGTTACACCAAGAGTGACGGGGAATACTTCCTCTTCAGTCTGAGCGACAACGACTTCATCACGCAGAACGGCTTTATGGATGGTGGAAACCTGCCGTACGCTGATGAGAGTGGGTACGACCTGGACAACCAGGTGCTGGTGTTCAAGGTCAAGTTACCGACCCATTGATGAAACAGCAAACTAGATATCCGCGTCGTCAGGCGTGGTATCAAGAAAAGCCAAAAAGTAATCGACTACTAGTAAGCAGTATGCTACTGCTGCGGAGCGGCTGTCATTCAAATTCCTGGGTTCAAAATCCACAGGGCATGCATGAGTAACCGGCAATGCTCGATAGTATATAATGTCAATATCATAATTCGAGTACCACGGCCGGGCCGCGAATGAAGCCCATGCGGAGTACCGTCGTCGAGATTAAAGCATTCGCCGTCAGCATGCATCTACCTGTCAGTAATGCTAGTACGTGCGTAGAGCAAGCGGCTATGAGAGAAATGGAGAGGAAATATTTGCGTTAGGACAAAGTCATAACTCTTAGCTGGGTCGGTCACCGACTCAGTCCTGGCTATCCCTACCAGTTAGGTGCTTCTGGCAGGTAGTATTCATCGTCGAGCATCCACTCCAAAGTGCTCAGCTCACCGAAGTCGAATAGGCCGTCGGGTGTCTGACCAGATGTCATAAGCGCTTCTGCAGGTCAGTGGAAGTGGTAGCGGACTTACCATGAAATCGTATCCATCCGTCGATTCAAGAGACGGAAGCAGAGACGGTTGATCAAAGCCTTTTCCAGTCTCCTCTATCTGGCTTTGGCTTTGGGCCACCTTCGCCTCGAGGATCGACAGTGATGTCTCTATGGCTCCCTCAACAGCTCTGATCAACAACTTTGGGAAGTCGTCCTTCTTAACACCGCGCATGAGTCCGTCGATTTGTGCAGACACCATAGACAAAAACAAATAGCCTTTCATGTTTGTCTCGCCAATCTTGATGCTTTGCAGGCACCAGTTCACCGCATTGTTGACTACGGGAAGCAGGTCTGGACGTGGAGGCGTGAAGCTCAGGCCTTCCTGTTCTTGCAGCTGTGCCCGAAGCTCCGCTGAGATGAGACATGCAGCCTGAAACGGTCCAGTTTGAAAGCATACAGTGCCGCAGATGCCGAGACGTGCCAAATCGTCCACACTCGAGGAGGGGTTGTCATTGCGGATTTGACCTGGGTCGGCTGACGATGGTTGGTATGCCGAATACCAGATTTTGAGCGACGTCTCCAGCAAGACCTTTCTGGAGAATGCATAAGCGGTTTCGTGCATGGCTCGCTCAAAGAAAGGTATGTGGAGGGATGAAAGGTAACGGTTCATCACCAGATCCGTAAACAAGAAGTCATGCTGCGAGGGTGAGCGCCCAGTGCACATCCTGAAGTCCTGAAGCGTTCGATACATGGCCTTGTATGACGCCCTTAATTCTCTGTCAAGTCGCAGCATATCTTCGTATCTTCCATGGCAATCGAGATCGTTCAAGAATTTGACGACAGCTAGACGTTGCGGAAATGACTTGCGAAGGGCAATAGCGGTGGACACCTGGGTAAATGTGCCTTCTGGTCTGGGAGAAGGAGAGTGGGCTTCTAGCTGATCGTCATCGAAATTGCTCGGAGGTTTCGTATTAAAGTCGTCAAGGGAGATGCACGGAGGGCCTCCAGAGTTCATACTTGATCGAAGTGTAATCTCCAGGATCGTGTTCCATAACCGCCGTCGCATCTCGGTTGCGAAAGTCGTCCTTCTCGGCAGGCCCGCAGGGTCACGGTGCAATCCCATGTACACTGCTCTCCTGTATAGCGTCCCGGCGGAGATCCAGGTCAAGTCTCCACATACATCCACTATCTCTTGCGCAAGAAGCAGCAGAATATTGATCTGCAGAGACTGAATATTCAACCGTGTCTTTGAATTAGGCGTGCACAGCCAGGTTTGAGCTTCATAGATCCATCGGATGGCCGGCGCACGCAGAGAGAATTGTTCGTCGTACGTGGTCGATCCAATCGCGAGGACCAGCTTCAACTGAACCATAAATGCAGCCTCGAGGTGGTTGTTCGACATCCAGACGCTTTCATAGTGCTTTATGAATGTAGGAATATGTAGGACTCTGTAAAAGGGTTCGATTATCCGGTGGTAACGCTCCACTAGTTGATCGGCGACATCTTTTGGAGGTAGATCTGCGCTCAGCGGTGTTGGCCAGGGTGGTGTCCGCCCTGACTTGATGATTTTTGCCAGAGATTTACACTTTTGTATAGCAGCTGGGATCGCTGTGTGCCCATTTCGTATGTGTGGCTCTAGAAGATCTAGCAAATCTAGAAACTAAGCGGTATGTAAGCGACTGACGGGACAAGAGAGGCCAAACAGAGGATGCAGATACTTACCACTGAGACACCATTGATCCAGTGACTCTGACCAAATTGGCGAGATTTGTGAAGCACGGTGCGTCCGAACATTCTAGGAGCCCCGAACAAGCCGTTTTCGATCCTGTCCTGTGATGCCTCCAGTAAGCCCCGACCTGCATTGGCAACAGAAGCAGGCGCATTCTGCGCTGAAGCGTTATTCGTGTTTCCTGTTGCCTGAGACAGCTGCCTCTCAAGATCCCTGATTCTGGTCTTCATCAACCCGACATCGTCATCTGAGGGCTTACTGGCCGGTGTCGAGGCATTGGTCGAACTTGCCAAAGGCGGCCCAGAACATGACACTGTCGATGTCCCGCCGATACTAGCAGAAACCCCCTCGAGGGATATTGGAGAATGTTGTACTTGGACAGAATGACTCGGATCGTGGTCCTCATTATGATTCGGTTGCCGCCGCGGAACCGGAGGAGGGTATTCTTCGTAGACACAAACCGCATTTTTGGACCGAAGACAATTGTTGCACGGAGATTCTCGATTGCACCTGATTTTGCGCTTCCTGCAAACAGAGCATGAACTTGGGTATTGTTAGCTCAGTATGAACAGATGACAGTCAAGGATGTCGGCTTACACAGCTGGCCTCCTTCTCCTCCGGCGCTCGGACTCGGTCATGACTGACCAGAGTGTGATTTATGGTATGCGAATCCTCCCATGGAGTCCGAACACGGACAAAAGATATATGTGATAGTACTCCTCCCTAACACCGACCTGAGTTATTGCGTGCACCATAGAAACAAAAGAAAGGGAGTCAAGAGGTTCCGAGAACTGAAATAAAAGGGCTGCCCATAAGTCCGAGTACAATTCACCGTGTCCGTAATATTCTGTCGGATGTAAGAATTGCACTTGTCTGACTGGGTCACCTCGTACTGCTGGCTTCGAGCATGTCTGTCAGACGGCGCCCAATTTTCCGTCCATGTTCTTGCCGGGAGCTACGATTAAATCCGAGCCGGTCGAGGTTCGTTCGACCGCAGAACTCCCTTTATCACTATATAAGTGGTCTCGAACATCCCTATGTAGTTGCAGGGAAGATGTGTCACGGTCCGTTGAATTGCCGAGAGACTTTACAAGAAACTTCAGTCCTGCGCCGCTTCAGTTTTCAAGAAAGAAAAACCAGATACCACGCCTACCACTCATCGCAAGATGGCAACCGACAGAGCTGAAACTCACCCTGACCCCGAAACTGAGAGAGAAAGGCCAACCGTCGACACCGAGCGTGGCGAAGAGAAGGCACAATCCGATGCGACAAAGCTTGAGTTCGACGCAGCCCCAGACGGTGGCTTTGAAGCCTGGCTCGTGACGCTCGGCGCAGCTTTCATCCTGTTTTCCGCCCTGGGATTTGCCAATGCATTCGGCGTCTTCCAGGAGTACTATATGACACATCAGCTCCGGGGCCAATCCCCAGACGACATAGCCTGGATCGGATCACTTGCGGCATTCCTCCAATTTGCTGTAGGAGTCGTCGCAGGACCAACTTTCGATCGATTTGGCAGCTGGGTACGCCTCAGGGTTCACCGAGGATATATAGCAACGCGCTGACATGCAAACAGCTACTCCGACCTGCCACCTTGCTGTACGTCTTCGCCTTGATGATGGTCAGCCTGTGCGACGAGTACTGGCAATTTATGCTCGCCCAGGGTGTGCTGATTGGTGCTGCCCTGGGTCTCTTGACGTTTCCAGCCTTAGGAGCTATGTCCCAGTACTTCGACAAGAAGCGAGGAGCTGCATTCGGACTGGCCATATCTGGATCGTCAATTGGCGGCGTCGTCATCCCAATTGCTCTGTCCAAGATGCTCAACAGCTCCTCATTGGGATTTGGCTGGACGGTGCGAATCCTTGGATTTGTCATGTTGCCACTTTTGGCTTTCTCGTGCGTTGTTGTCAAGCCACGCTTGCCACCAAGGACGACCAATTTCTTCATATGGAGGGCGTTCAAAGAGACCAGTTTCCTCCTTTTGATTGGCTCGCTCTTTTTCATGTTTATAGGCATGTGGACGCCGCTGTTTTATCTGCCAGCATATGCAGTTTCAAAAGGCATGGACGCAACACTTGCGTCGTACCTACTTGCCATTCTCAACGCAGCGTCCACTTTTGGCCGAATCATTCCTGGTATTCTGGCAGACAAATTTGGACGGCTGAACGTGTTCGCCGTGGGCGGCCTAGCCACCGGCATGATCATATTCTGTTTGACCACGGCAACCAGCACTGCAGCACTGGTGGTCTACGCCATTTTCTTCGGGTTTGCGTCCGGCACCATTATCTCGGGAGCCTCAGCCGCTTTCACGCTCTGTGCAAGCAAACCACAAGACGCCGGAACCTATATGGGCCAGGGTATGGCTGTAGGATCCATTGCTTCTTTGATAGGCCCACCGGTCAATGGTGTGCTCGTGAAGCACTACGGAGGATATTGGGAAGTCTCCGTTTTCAGCGGCGTCATGTGTCTGGTCGGTGGTTGTATTGCTTTCGCTAGCAAAGCTGCGACTCCAAAAGGAATTTTGGGAAGGACATGAGCGTTGATTCGACCGAGCACACACCCATCGAGCTTCTTTCGTCAGCAAAGCTCCGCTCTTACGTTGTTATTGCATGGTATCTGGTAGCTCTGGGGACGGGACACAAATAAGAAGGGCACATACTCCGGAGAAATTGGTTTGAGAACTTCTTTGTCCCCTGAATGGGTCGAATTTTCGTTCATGTCATACCAGCATGTCATACCAGTCGATCTTGGGATCGCTTTCAAATGCGGTCCTCCGAGATGTAGATTCTAAGCGTTCTCCTGAATCTATACCAGTCCGAACATCCTCTCCCTTTCGCCTCTTGCATCAGTTCCGAAGCGTTCCTTGCATTGGTGTCCTAACCAACCACTACCGGCACGCAGGAAGCAGATTTTCTGCTCCGCGCTGATGTCGCCCGCACCACGTCGTGTTTTAGCATAGCTAGATTTCGATTCGTACTTATTGTACAGGTCGAGGAGCGAGGGTGATGAGTTAGAGGGGACTTCAGACACTGCCCGCATCTTCTCGGTCACGTTGTGCCAGAATGTCGCGTTCAGTGGCGACGTCGAGGGCCAGAGAACCTTCCCAGCGCCATGGAGACCGGTTTTCGTCTTAGAGTCGATATGATCTGCATACGCTTGTCGTGTATCATACTCGAATTCCCAGACAGGTTTCTTCCACGACAGACTGTTCGACATATTCGCGATGTAGGTTTGCGAGCCCATAACAGAAAATGTCTTTGCATCGATCTGGTACAGTCGGTAACCAGCGTTGAGACCAGTCAGCGGCGTGATGCTGGGCCCAATGTATGAGACCTGTAAGGGGTTATTGAAATCGACTTGTGTAGTGTCACGGAGTGTTGAAGGCTTGCGGCTGTCCTCGGTCGGTGGCAGCGACGAGGGCAAGTAATCATAGAATAACTGCAGTTGGTCTTGATGCGTATGTCTAGGTGGGATTAGTCAATTGCGTGTGATACCTGCATTGAGGGGAACGTACCCGAAGAAAATCGCAGCGATCGTCGCTGGGGAGAAGCGACGCACGATAGAATAAAATAGGGCGGTTGGATTTGGCAATGGTGCACTTCCGTCATAACCACTTAGGACGTGAGCAATTATCCAAGCCCGTTGACCTCGCCTCTCGCATGCCGAAAGTTCGTCTGCCAGCCACTTGAGGATTCCACTCTGATCGGGGTTCGTCACGTTCCAGTAATTGAAGATGTTGGCCTTGTACCAGAAGTCGGAGTTGAGCGATATGACGCGCAGTCCCTGTGCCGTGGTTGTGGCATATGCACCGTAATGAGTCCTGGCAAAGTCTGCTTCCGAGTCGTTGAGCCATGAGTGCTCCGACCATAGTGAAGAAACAAGGTCATAATTCCACTGGTGGATGTTGCTGCTGGAGTTCGTCGGGTCAGGGTTCATGCTGTGCTGCGTGTTGAAACCCACAGGTAGAGTGTCATGATTACCCAAGGCCGCATATACAGGTGTCTTGCCCAGCATCCGCTTGAAGACTAGGAACGTCATTTCTTCCTCGTAAGCAACGTACGCGGACGACAGTGCGTCTTCTGGGTCATGAGACACCAGGTCTCCTGTAAAGATGCTGAATGCGAGCTCCTCCATGTTGAAGAAATTGTCCATGTCGTCGAACGCTGAAAGTGCTAGATCGGCGGGCGAATCACAGAAATAAGAACCGAACCTTGAGGCGGGCAGCGAGACGTTGTGCCGGTATGTCAGAAGCTCTTCATTGCTGGAGTAAGAACGACAACAGAGATACTCCGTACAGTTGGCCTCAGAACCGATGTCATAGCGAGGGTCAAGATGCCAATCTGAAAGGTGGAGGACGTTGAAGGTGCGGCCGGAAGGTTCAGGTGCTAGTTGTGCAGACTCTGGTTTCGGCTCGAAATAGAGACTCTCGTCGATCAGGACAGGCGGCAGTGGATCGCAGAACGGCTGTAAGTGAGAGCATAGATAATGCATGTCTCCTGTACCGAGATTCATTTTCGCAAACATTTGGACCAAATATGGGCCGAACGATGCAACTCCACCAAACTCTGCCTCGCATGACTTGGCTCGGATATTGTCTCTGACAAACGGCAACGTGTTACATGCTCTGATCAAGACGTTGGTGAATAGAGACACCGGCTGACTGATGGCTGCAACGTGGAGCAGTTGGCTTGCAGCGAGGCACTTCGAGCAGTTGTCAGGGTAGAAAGCTGTATCTGCGATGGAGACCAATTGTAAGAGTAACGAGTCCTCGATCAGTTCCCTTGGCAGTGGGGTTATTGGTTGCGGAAGAGGAGATTGTTCGTCATATCCAGGAACCGATCCGGAACCATTATAATAGAGCGTGATTATATCTCTCCCAATGGTGTTGGTGAGATTGGGATTCAGTGCGTGAGGTGTATTCATCAACGGCGCTTGGGCGTTTGTGAAGGAAGCAGCGAAAGCACCTGCAAACAGCGACGTATGTTTCAAAATGGTCCAGTACCCGAAGAGGGCACCGAAGAACGAGAGAGACATGAAGAAAAGAGACGTGACCACTGTTGCAGGTCTGAGTTGCATCGAGCTCAAGGTCCGCGTTGTCTCAGGCAGCGTTGATAACAACGTTATTCAGACAGGTGTATTCTTCATCAGAATTGCCTTGTTCCGGTCATTTGGTCAAACCACCCCCTGCTTGGTTTGTCGGATCTTGTTGCCCAATAAATGAGAATATAGGTTCAGTCCAAAAACATCGTGAGATGGAGCGGAGACTGAAGTCATGAAGCTCGCTACGTATGCCAAGAGAACCTAGAGTTGATTGGGTTGAACTCAGCGCCGCTTTTACTGGGAGGAACCTTTGCGAGCTTGTTGCTCTCCTACGAACATTGAAGATGTCCTTTCGTATGGCCAGCTACAATTCGTCCCTCTTCCTCTTCATGTCTTGAGTCTGGTTCCACTCCTTCATCCAGCCCATCACTTGTTTCAGCTCCCATTGATGAGCTGCTCGTATGAAGTCTGGCTCTGCGCTGACGTTCAGGATTCCGTAAGAGTCCCAATGGTGTCCACCTCCAGATATCAGCATTTGATGCTCGCCATACCGGGTGCTAGCATTATGCCCATGATAACAGACATCACGCCAGACATCGCTGCCGCCATCTATCAAGGCTAGTCTAGGAGACGAAATGTCGAAATCTCCGTACTTATTGTACCAGGTCAGATTTGGACCGTGAGGTGATGGTACAGCTTGCGGCGATAGTGGACCCTTGGGAAACGCCCATGTACACCATTGTTGCGTGTAGTTAAGGTCAATTGCTCTCGATAACAAAGAAGGAGTGCCGTATGGCTGAGGGACCTGATAAGCGCCTTGCTCGGTGCAAGTGCTATAAAGATACGATCGGAACGCGGAGTTGGAGACATCGGCATAGAAGGTCTCTGTGCAAAGGGTTAAGGGAAGAAGGATTGTATTTGTCGGCCGTTTGACTTACGATTTTGCGTAGAGAAGCAACCAGTGGTCGTCGTATCAATCAGATCTGCACTTGGGCATGTGGGCAGAATCACTCGCTTGACATAATTAGCATATGCCCCGAGACCAGTCCAAGCCGATCCATTGGTATAATTCGAAAGCTGCATGTCAACCGCAGTGATGTTTGCAGGTGCGTTCATGTCGGTGATATTATTGCAAAACGCGAAGAAATCAGGATGGTCGTAGCCAGGATACCAGTTCAGTTCTTGCCAAGTATTTGTTGGATAGTTCATCGGGCCTCCCAGTGGAAAGGCAATCTGCGGTGCAAATTAGAGTGTTCCGTGGACACGTTTGGGCTGGGAAGGGCTCACTGTCATCGCAAAGTCTCCAAGACTACTCAAAGATCCAAGGCCGAAAATTTCCTTCAACTGTTGGATGGCTTTGGAGTTTTTCGTCTGAATCAAGTGATCTATCTTGTCAATGATTTTGTTTATCCGCGTGATGCAATCTTGAGGCCCATTTTTCTGGATGGGGTTGTACCATTCAGGATAACCGAGGACGGCATGTACAACGCCCGATGCTGCGATGCCGCCCCAAAGCAAGTCGGGGTACTGAACAAGAGAAAAGGCAGTTTGAGCGCCCGCGAGACTGCCGCCGTACAAGATCCAAGGTGTTCCTGGTGCTGTGAGATTGTCCCCGCCTGAGACATTGGCGAACGTAGCATGTTGTGCAAAGTAAGCGTTATCGGCGATGGTCTGCTCCGTGGTAAGGTATCGCAGATTGTCAGTGCTTGAGTTTTCGAATGGCCAGCTCTCGCCATAGTATCTGTTCTCGAGAATGACGCCCAGGCCATTTGTTGCGTTCATCAGGATCTGAACAATACCAGTCTGGAGGTTGCTAAACCGCGAAACTCCATTGACTTCGCCTGCAATGTACAAAAACACAGGGCCGCCTGGTTTGTAATATGTCGGGTCAAACCAATATCTTTGTGTGAATGTACCATTCGTGTTGGGTTTATATCGGGAGCTATGTTGGAAGTGGTCAATAAGCTGCGTGAAGTTGTAAGCCGTGTAATTTGTTGGTCGGCCGTTGTCGTCGAGAGGTCCAATCTGAGCTGTAGCGATACCAGCAAAGGCTGCTACCGCCGTCGCGAGAATGCTGAAGGATTTCATGCTTCTGACCCAAGAATTAAATTCAATGGCAGCCTTGAGGTTGGGAAAATTGAGGTGGAAGTCAGCGAAGTTAACCTCCGATCCTGCTTGTCTATGAAAACACCCGCTCGTGCCTGCTGATTAGGCACACGAAGTATCTCACACCATGTCGTGCTACATCAGTAGGTGCATCAAGCATAGGCAGGCACAGCAGGGTATGCATGCGGCTAACGGAAGCTTGCTGGTGCTTTTCTGGAGCTTGTCGTGATGGTTATCGATGCAAAGAAGCTCTTCATTGGCCCAAGCAGACGACCTTCCACATGAGGCAGATCTTCACTCACATTGGAATAATCTGGGAGCGGCGGAGAGCTTCCGATGTTGCATTCTTGGGGGCCTTGGACAGTAGGAATCGCGCCATCATGCACTATGAACGGAGGTCAACCTTCTTGGGCCGACCAGCGTCGTAGCAGGTCTCGGTTATAGATATGTCAATACAAATGACTCAACACAGCAGTGAAGGACAATCCCGCCCTGGAGGACCAGTTGGTAGACATCGAAGAGCAGGTGATGAAAATGCGAAGAGAAGGAATCAATGTTTGATTAACAGAAAGCGCTAGGCACGTGACTAGACAATACAGGCAAGCTTGTTTACACATGGTCACGTGCCCATGTATGCAGATTCATTTCAGTATCTATCCCATGCACCATGACAGCGACGCCATGCTGAACATTTGGCAAACTCTCTAATAAACTTCAAGCACGTATCGTCCCTCGTCTTTCAGCTTCATGATCTCTCTGCTCGGGTCGACCTTCTTCGCACCACTGGCCTTCGCTTCCTTAGCAATGGCCTCCTCGAGCACATTCGTCACGTCAGGCACAGGCCACGTTGGACCACAGAGATAGAAAGCACCTTCCTCCTTGATGTATGCCTTGGTGATATCGTCCAGGGTCTGCCTCATCCTGTCCTGGATATAGATCTTCTGGGGCTGATCTCGACTGAATGCACGTCCTAGCAGTGTGATAACGCCAGCAGCCTGGTACGCTTCCCACTCTTCACCATAGCAGTACTCCTCGCGCTGGTGGCGGGATCCCATGTACAGCAGGACGGCACCAATTTCTTTTCCTTGAGCCTTTTCCATGGCACGGTGTTGCACGAACGCTCTGAATGGAGCGAGACCGGTACCAAGACCAGCCATGATGATAGGCTGCGTCGACTTAGGCGGCAACTTCATGACAGAGGGCTTGACGCTGACTGTCACCGACGTTCCCACCTTCAGACTGCTGAGATATTTGGTAGCTTGACCGAAGCGGTCACGGCCCTTCGGGTCAACCCAGTTCACCACGACGACCATCAGCGCGACTGAGGTCGGCGTAACAGCCTGGCACGAAGCGATCGAATACTCGCGACGCTTCATGGGCGGGACAATGCGCACGATTTCGTGGAAAGAGGGATGCGCAGACGGGAACTCGAGCAGGATATCGGCAAACGTAACAGTGTCGACTTCCGCGCGTCGTTGGAACTCCTTGAAACCTTCCGGTCCGGCAAGAGTGAGCAGGACCTTCTTCTCGTTCTCATCATCGGCGAAATCAGCTAGTGCCTCGTAGAATTTCTTTTGCGGCCTTCCGAAAATGTCGACATTCTGCAACAAAGCCTGGTAGACTGTCCGGTTCTCAAAGATAGCCGGGTCCTCTCTGGAAGCGACCTCAACGACATCTTCGTGGTTGAGACCATACCATCTAATGAAATCCATAACTTGGTCATGGTCGTTTTCGGCATGGACGCCAAGGGCTTCTCCAATGTCGTACTTGAGACCGGATGTGCCGAGGTCAAATTCGATGTGGAAGATATTTCGCTCGTAAGTGACTGGTGTCAGGCGTCTATTTTCCTTCACATGAACCGTAAACGTCTTGGTTGGCAATTCAGGCCGCAGCGCATTCTCAGTACTGTATGCTTCTTTGAACAGAAGTCCTTTGGCGGCTTTCTGCCAGCTGCGCAGGACAGACGGTGGCTCCTCTTCAGTCTTGTCGAAGGAAACGAAGCTGTTTGATAGCATGTCCGTTGGGAGTGCTTCTTTGGTTGGTTCGACTTCCACCTCGGCCCACTCCTTGGGAACCTCGATCTGGCGAAGCGTCTTTTCGAGGTCACTGGCGACTTCCTCGAGGAGTTTGATATCGCTATTGATCGTGGCGAGTTTCTGCAGACCGATCTCTTCGGATTTGCCCAACGCCACTCGGAGGAAGGCAGTCTGCAGCATGAGGGACTCAAGCTCAGAACTATTCTCTGTGTTGAGAGCCGTGTTTCCAGGATTGATCAAGTACAATCCGACACCGGTTTCAGCGACGGACTTCTTGAAGGCTGCTGGCAATTTCTTCTCAACATCTTCGTCCTTGACCCCAGGAAGGAGCAGGAGGAGGTTCCCTCCTTTTGAAACAGACTTCAACACGTCGACTTTCTCCAGAAGCTTCACATCTGTAACAACGGCGGTGTTTGCCGACGAGATAGGATATGAGGCGTCGATGGTCTTGGGTGATTTACGTATTTCGATTCTGTACGATCCACCCTGGAGAAGGTTGTCGTGGGTGGTGTTGACGGTAACATTCTGCGCGGAATCCTTGGCCAGAGCCTGCGCCAGGTAAGTGGCTGCTGATGCTGATGGTGCATCGTCGGCGTTCCAGAATGTGTATTGTTGCACCGAATCATCCAGGAACGTAGTTACACCTTGGTCGTCCGCTGGCTTGCCCAGAAGCATCTGGAAAGTGGCGGAGATGGACGAAGGTGTCCACCGCTCGGCACGAGCGTACTTCAGTTCACGAACCTCTGGGGTATTCTGGATGGAAGTCCCGTAAGAAACTGAAGCGAGAACGTCCTCGTAGAGCTGGGAGTGAAGGCCGGCATCCTGGACAGCTTGTGCGTCAAGGACCTGACCGAGGACACCGACTACCCTAACGCCAATAGGAAGGAGGTGCAAGAATTGCTCCTCTGCAAATGGCCGATAAAGTCTGACATTAATGGTGCCAATTCTGTTACCGGATCGTGCCAGGGCAGTAGCAGCTTGAGCAGCCAAAGAAGACTCAACAGAGCCGAAAGCCACAAGAACTACTTCTGGTTGTTCATGACCAAAGTACTCGAATGCTTTGTAGTCCGTCCCTAGCTCCTCGTTGAGAGCTCGGAGAGTCTTCAAGGCTTTACCTTCGGGACTTAAGTGCTTTCGGTCTTCGTCTGATATCGACTCCAGCACAGATTGGTATGCAGCCCCGAGACCGGACTTGTCGAGGATGTCGATGACTCTTGTCGTGTCTCTACCAACCCGTAGGCCGTCGTACACATGGAGTGTCGGCAGATCTCGCGCCAGAAGAGTAGCAAGCAGTGACATGTGTTGTGCCTCATGTGCAGACTGGGATGCGACTAAGCCCAAGCCCAGGTCCTCGGCTGTGGACAGGGCTGATGCGTAGTCGGAGACCAGTTCACCATTCTTCTCGCCCTCATAATCTAGGGCTGCAATGTGCGCAACGAAGGGATTGCTGACAGAATACAGGAGCGAGAGCTGGTCGAGGACAGGTCTCAGGAAGGTCAGTGCCGACGATGGGGCGAGAAGTCCTTGCGGAATGTGTCTTTTCTTCAGGTCAAAGTCCTTGGAGAACATGTAACCCAAGGCAATTGACCCTGCTCCATTCCGTATTTGCATCGACTGCACAGCAGTCTTGTACCCGTTTGCATTCGTCTCTTGCGCCTCTGCCCACGCTCGAGCCGCGATATCGAGGTCGAAGGTCTCAGGAGAGTAGGAGAAGATCTTGTCCGACAATGTATAGGCTACCTGTTGGACGAGAGTCTGTGCCGTTACATAGGTAGGGCCAGCGACCGAGGAGAGAGGCGGCGATTGACCGAAAGACTGGCTTTGTGAGGAAGCCATCTTGAGGACGGATTCAGTATTGTGTCAAAGGCCGGTGGTCTGGTATACTCTGACTGCGACCTCTTGAGGTAGAGGGTTAGAGATGAGAAGGAAGCATCCTTCATCTCAGAAAATAATTTCAAAGCCATGAGCCCCGTACGGGCGAGTTCGCCCGCTAGCCACTCCATTTCTCAGAGTTCTGGATCGGCAGTCGACCAGAAGATGCTGCCATCAGTGAAAAAAAAGTGGAAAGCGTCGATTGCGTGCTCAAGTCACGTGCACGGATCTGACAAGGCTGGGACTAGCATCGGAAGTCAGCATAAGGCTGTATTAGACTACAAATAGTCTAGTGAGATGCGGTCTTCCTGAAGGGGTTTTGCGGCAAACTTGGGCCTCCTTTCTCTTCTGGCCGCCAACGCATCAGCTGGCCGTCCCTCGGGTCGAGCTATCTTGACAGGAAATGTCAATCGATAAATGCTCAGTCAAGGATACCTTGTCCGTTTCTTTATGCAGAGAGATGGGACACTCACTACGGTATCATCGAGTATTGTGCTCTCCTTTAGGGTCCGGATATCGACGATAGCATATGGGAAAGGTGCTCAGTGCGCACGCCAATACGATAGTGGGAGGAATGCCATGGCGATGCTCGCTGTGATTGTCGATGCCAGTGTCCAGTGGTGAGTGTCTAATATATCCGTACATACAATTGTGTTCGTCATGCTGGCAAGAGAAGCCACACCAATTCGTAGAGTTACGTGCTCAATTGTTGGCACAAGGCCAACTCGGGGCATCTCCACGAGCCAAAAGGGGATTGGAAGGTTGCTGCTAAAGGTGCCTGACTGAAGGCTACCTAATAATAAGGTATGTACGGGCGTAAATTGTGGTTCGGCCGGCCTCGTCCGTTTCAGTCCATGCCTACCTGGCAGGCAATAAATCGTCACTGTTCTGTACCAAAGTACATCCGAGTCCAACGACTTCCAAAAGACTCCTGACAATCTCATTGACACCGTAAGGCAAGAATGACTACAGCATTGATTCTCGGCTGCACCGGCCTCGTCGTAGGTACAAGCCCTCCGTACCCCTCCGGCTCCCATTCTCATGCTTTCGCAGGGCTCCCACATCCTCTCAACCCTCCGCACCAGCGCACCACAATTCTCCAGCATTGACATTATCGCTCGACGCTCCCCTCCCGCTGCCCCTGAGGCTGCCGTACCTGTGAAGGAGTTCATCGAAAAGGACACTTCAAAATGGGTGCCACTTGTATCCTCGTTGTCCCCGGCGCCCTCCGTCCTCTTCTGCGCTCTGGCGACCACCCGTGCCGCTGCAGGGAGCTTCGAAAACCAGTACAAGCTCGAACATGACTTGAACATTGAACTTGCAAAAGCAGCCAAACAAGCAGGGACAAAGACTTATGTTCTCATTTCCGCAGCCGGCGCGGACCTCAACTCGTTCTTTGCCTACCCCCGGATGAAGGCCGAACTTGAGGAGCACGTCAAAGAAATCGGGTTTGACCACACAATCATCGTGCGCCCAGGTCTCATCACTGGCAACCGTCAAGAGAGCCGGCCTGGCGAGGCCGCATTCAGATTCATCGCAGGCGCCATGGGCCATGTACACCACTCCTTGAAGGATTCCTGGGCTCAGGACGCAGATACAATAGCCAAAGCCGCCGTCTTTGCGGCGACAAAGGTTGAGAAGGGCGAGGTAAAAGATAAGGTCTGGATTGTCGGACAGAAAGATATCATGCGTCTGGGAGCGACGGAGAGAGAGGCCTGATTTTGACTTGGCGTTGATTATGATGTTGAAATTTCGATGGAGCACGACTTGATACCCATGTGAAATAGTTCTTATGGATCTTCTCACAATTGATGAAGGCACTGAGAATATATACATGCGACACCTTCTTCGGACTCGCCATCTGCACTTGTGCTCAATGAATGTTCTACACGCTCTCCTCTCCCTTACCATCTTGACCACCACCTTTTCTTCCACCGCCTCCCTCAGACATCTTCTTCTTCGACCCTCCTTGCTCTTCCGCCGTGCCCGAGCTGATACCGGGGTTTGCAGGGCTTGCGTCTAGTGGATTGACTTCATTACCTTCACCAGCCTTCTGGCGAGCTTCCTCCGGGTCCGTGATGTTCGGATTGAAAGCGGCATCCTCGTTTTCTGCAGTAGTGTCATCCGTGCTTGACTTCGCATACTCGTTTGGCTCAGGATCCATTTTCTCTCGATCCAGTTGTGCGTCGCGCTGCTGGTGAGGATGACGGTCAGGGTCTTGATCCGCAGCGAAGCGGCAGGGAGTAGTCGACAGAGGTCGGAGATTAGACTGCACTCTCAAGTGAGATCTCAGAGACGTGCGAGAGGCATTTAAGGATCGTGAGAACCGAAAGAGGGACGAGGGCGTCATCTTGCCCTTTAAGCTGCGGTCGGCAGCTTCCAGACTAGAGCGGGGAGGATCGTGCCCGATGATGAGAAGCTGTAGGATTCAAGATGGCACGGCGGTCAAATGGAGTTCTATCAATGCTTCGAAATACTCTCCTCAAAGGCAACAAGTTTCAAGAAGAGCGATGTGAGGGAGGTGCTGCAGGAGCACAGGCGAAGACCTCGCAATGTCATTGAACAGTTACCAATGACGTCACGCCTGAAGTGGGAATATTTTGCGACTGTCTCCGAAAATGCTTCTCTCCACAAAATCTCTCCATGAGGACTTAACTTCAGCCATTTCATATTCAGCCACTGTCTTCTCCAGAACACTGGGTACCCGTTGAGATCAGAAATTTGGAGTCACGCCGCATACATTAAGCTGCGATGAGATCCTGGGACGGGATCTAATCCTACGCAACCCATCAGCATTTCAACCTGACACCATTTCTCTTCTCTTCTTCCCGGTGCTCAAACATGACCTGAACGCCCACGAAGAGGGCACCACAAGCTGCGAGCATGAACGCCGCACCTTGCCAGCTACCAATAATCCCGTGGACAAGACCCATCAAGCCATCCAATCCAACAGCAAATCCGACAAGGTTCGCTGCCATCATCAAAAGGATATTGGCCACAGCACCTATCCCGCAAATGAACCGGTAAGCGTTCGGTCGACTCTTCCACTTCGACTTTGGAAAAGCCATTGTCGCCAGAACCTCTGGTAGGACAAATAGCGTGACTAGCCATCCCCACATCAACAATCGCAAGTTGATATCGTGCCACAGAGCAACGAAGGTAAAGACAGTCAGCATATTAAAGATTCCTCTCACTAGTCCAGATCCACCTCCAGGGCCGCCACCAAGTGGTATGTACACGTAGCGGATTGTCCATCTGTTGAAGCTACGATGCCAGGAACGCCAGAACCCGAATGCCGAATAATTGTCGCTCATACACCGGACCATATTCTCGGGTGGATCGATCCCGTCGATTAATGCCCATAGCCTGAAGAAACGCCATGGAATCATCAACTTTAGCCATATGATGTGCAAATTGAAATAAGCGAGCATGCTGAGCTGAAAAGGCGTGTATGAGGACCAGTCTGGCTTCACTTTCGAGATTGCAACCACATATGTGGTGTGCAAGAGGAACTCCATGCAGAACAAAGTGAGCAGAAATCGGATGCCGTAAAATGTCGTGCGTTTGTTTGTAACGGATGGTGGTGGGTAGGTGCATTGTGAGATGTAGTCATTGAAGGTCAAGATAGGTCCTGCAAGATACAGAGGCGGATATAGTATGTAAGCGATGTAGGTGCGGAATGATGCGAATGTCCACGCGGGAGCTGGCATCGCAACTCGGTTTTTCTCAGACGGTTCTGCAGGGTCGAGTTGCTTCTTCTTGACATTGTCAGTGGTAGAACCTTCGAAACTCTACGGCCAAGACGTGGACGAGAGCACAAAAGCGACTTACCTCGACAGGACTACCCGCCCGCGAGCGATCCAATGACCAGTAGTAATCAAGGTTAAATGATATCATTCTCAGGATGGTGATCTTGAAGAGCACTTCCCAACGTGGGTTCAAGCCGCCGTAAGAGTCGAGGATTTTCCCCCAGTCTGCCGCGGCAGGCACAATGGGAGCAAGAGCATTCCCCAAGGCAGAGAAGCGGTAGCCTTGGGTGAGCTCGTTGGCGAAGAGTATGGTGATGTTGAACACCCACGTCGCGACTGGGATAGAGTTCCGAGGGAGGGCAGTGGCGATCTTGAAATTAACGAAGAGAATCAAGAGAATCTTCAACATCGACGCTCCGTTTAGCGCGGCAATGTAGACCAAGGCAGACCAGAAATCAAACGCCAGTCTACGCCGTAGGCGCTGCTCGGCATTCTGGACACCAGGCTTTGGATTCGATTCACCATTAGCCATAGGTGAGTCCGATCCTGACAGTCGTTCGTAAACACGCCGCAGGATTGGATGAAGCATGACAAGAACGGCTAAGTATGGGATGTTGTCTCGAAAGCTGGCATACTGGCCATCTGAATTGTCCTATATTCTATATAAGCCTTCAGACATGCATGAATGCAATGGAAATCTTCCACATACCACTTTCCTGCCGAAGAGCCAGCCCGGAGACAGTAGGTATTCATATTTTGAGTAATTTGGGGACTCGGCTATTCCAGTACCTGTCAGAACTTGTGCCTGACCACGGGAATTGTATCGTCTCTTACGCTGCGAAACCTCGACCACCGCCCAATACATTTGTGGTACACAGAACAGGAAGACCAGTGCATAGAAGTAGAACTCTGGAGTCCGCCATCGCGGAGGTGACACATCCGCAGGCGTTGCCTTTCCATCTCTTTCTGCAGGTTTGGAGGTAGTCTCGTTCGCGGTTCTCAGGGGTGTCGAGGAGGAGTTTGTGAAGCGTGTATCCAATGTATCGAGAGAGTACAACTCTCGAAAGAAGGATGCAACCGTCATCGTGCCAGGAACATTCTGCACTTTTGATAATGTCCAAAGACTCGTATCCGTCGGAGAGGTAGGCTTCCCAGTTCGACGGTGGAATCGAACGGTGTGTCCTTTGAGTCGCGTGTTCTTCTCGCGATGGCTAAAGCAGCAACCTCGGTTTAAGCGTCGGAGCACAGGAAAGGGGCCTGACGGATCCGGCTGCTTTATGGCCTTCGATATCAGCTCGGTCAACGACAATCGCTTCCCAACATCTAGCAATGATGTTTCTCTCCTTACATCAGGTATCGAGAAAGAGTATACGAGCTCGAGCACATGATCTGGAATGAGTGTCTTAACCAGTGTGCCAAGGTATTTGCTTCCCATGATGAGGTGATCTATTGAGTTATACCTCGTGACCTCCTATCTTCAGTGAATTCTGCCAGACCGCTCATCACCAACCCACAAACATCACCACCGCTTCAAAATCTGTGTGCTGTTGGCATAAAAGAGACAAAAAGTCCATCACACCGAGAATCGAACATCACACCGAGAATCGAACAGCATTCCATGGCACAAAAAGACAAAAAGTTTAGTTGGGTCTGAGGATATCACTCCTCTTTTACCTCTCCCGACTATGAACACCTTTCACCCTACCTGTCCACTCTGTCTAGCATCAGGTTACTAAGTGTCCATGGAGACCGGCGACGACGACTCCCAGTTCAATCCATCAAGCGTCTGTGGTCTCCAAGAAAAGGCCCACCAACCGAACCACGCAAACGGCAATGCGACGTGGAGAGTCTGACTGATGGCCATCAAGGCTGAATTGCATAAGACAATTGCGCAAATATAAAATATAACTCCAAAAGAGGTTCTACAGTGAATAATGCTTCGTCTTGGCGAGAGCACCTGATACCGCGAGTCTGGGAGCGTGCCTGCTTCACTTGCGGGTACCTCGTGGAGTGTTGAGCGTTGAGGAGGGATCCTGGCTCTCCCTTGCACGCTCTACGAAAGACGTGGACTCATTCGGATATGAAGTCAGTCTCGCTCCGAGATCTTTGCAAGTTCTGCAAACAAATCAACATCAACACCATCGTCCCCTACTTCCCTCCAGATCTCGGCGACGATGGAGTCCAGGTCTGTCTACATCATCAGCCAATATACAACGCCCTACAGAAATCCGTAGAGACTTGCCCGCTTTGCCGGCTCTTCTATGTTGCGCTCGATCGAAAAAATGCCTCGCGCCATCCTCCTGAAGCATTTAAAGCGCACGAAAATAGCCACATTTGGCTTGTAAGTGGAGATCAAGCGTTCTTTAACCTGCGTCAGCCCAAGGGTCTTTACTATCTCATGGTAATGTTGGTTCAGGCACTCTCTTAAAGGACGCAGACTTCAACATAACCACGCGACCAGGTAAGTTCCCCATTGAGTCTGCGTCCTGTTGTCGAGTAGTTCATGAAATGCTCTAGACGATCCTTTGGCTCTCTGCGGCGATGTTGTTGGTAGGACGATCCAGGCGAACTATGGATTGGAGGAGTGCTCCAAGCGTGTTGCCGAGTGGCTGCACGCTTGTGAGCATGAACACGACGGATGTCGCAATCGCGTGATTGCACAAGCAGCTGATGCAGAGGCAACACTCAACCATGAACGCCGAGATTTGCCTCTGTCTACTCGCTTAGTCCATGTCAGTAGCTCCGAAGACGGACAGACAGTGTACTTGCGCTGCACCGTGGGCTTCAAGCGGAGATATTGTACTCTATCATACAGCTGGGGGCGGTCGAAGTCGTTCAAGACGACTCGAGCAACATACCAGCGCAGGCTAGATGGTTTTTCGGTCAACGAGTACGGTCAACGAGTTGCCGACAGCCATCAGAGACGCTGTCTTCCTGACTCTGCTCACTCGGTTTCCGGTACTTATGGTCGATGCACTTTGCATCCAAATGGCCGTTCATGCTTCGAATCCTGTGAAACAATTACTCTTGATCTTGTATGAGTCTGTGAGAGAGGTAGGACTATACAACAGCGAGAAAGTCAGAGAACTATATAACAGCGGAAAAGTCAGAGGACTATACAACAGCGAGAAATTCTGAGGACTATACAACAGCAAGAAGTCAGAGGACAAATCTTTTTCAATTTTTTGGCTTGCATTAAAAGGATGTCTTCCCGACCCCCGGCTCGACGTACCTGCAAGTACCAGATGCCGCCTGCTCCTGCGTCCTACTTGTGATGCACATTTTGCCATGACCCTCGAAACACGATATTAACCTGCCGATGCAGATCTCGACATTTCCTCGTTACCTCTGTTCGGGCGCCTTGTATCTCATCTCCTCTCAGTTGGTATCCTTTTCGTGCTTTTGATCTCCAAAACGACGAATCCTTCACCGATTTACTCTCCAGACGTCAGTGATCGAACTCGTCGACGATACTCTTCCGCACTGATGCAGCGTTCCGTGAAACCCAAAGCTGGGCTGACAAGTCCGACGTCCGACTGCGGATTTTGCGCCAGAAATCACCACGAAGCCATGTGCCTCTTATCACAATGGTACAACCCCTTCGTACCGGCTGGCCCAGCTTTAGAAGCCTCTTCCGCGTCCTCTGCCACGTCCACCTCCTCGGCCTCTACCTCTCGGCCCACCTCGACCACCTCTGCCACGTGTATCGCCCTCTTTCCTCGCCTTGTTCTTGGGCTTCGGCTGGTCGTCGATCAATAGCGTGTCAAGCGGTAATGAGTCTGGGAGGATGAAGTATCGGATGGTCGACCCGCGGATGTTGATCGTGTCGAGAGAGATGGTCTCGCCCGGTACACTGGCGTTCGCGCGGTTTCTTGGCGTCATTTTGACGGCACGAAGCGCGGTGTTCATCTGTGGTGAGACAGAGGTGATGGTGCCATGGACGATGGTGCCATTTTTCAGTTCGATCGTGACTGTTTCATTGGCGCATTTCATAAGAAATCTAGAGCAAGCAAAAAGTCAACAATCAACAAACTCTGTTTCGCAGGAACTGTCAGGAAGACTGCAGGCTGGGGTTGCCTGAGCATGGAATGGTCCCAGCAGTGGATGCGCAAGGACATTGACATACCTGACGAGCTTCATTTTGGCGCAGGTTGGCGGTCAAGTGCGCCGCAGACAGATAGATATGTTGCAGTGTATCGCAAAGGTGATAGATCCGGCGCCACACTTCAGTATTGAGAAAGGTCGGGTTCTTCACAATCTCTGTACAAATGCTCGCCGTAGGTATTATTGTTCGACTATGTCTCTGTCGACACCACGACCGCAGCCTTGGCCCTCCAAACTTTCAATGCCAAGACTTGACTCCCCATTCGGAAAGGTCGTGATGCCGCCCTACTACTCGTATCAGTTGGGCCACACGTCGCTACAATCTATCTCTCTGTCCCTCTAAGATCTTATTAGTCTATCTCACGATTACCATGTGGCGTGTGAGAGAGAAACCCGAGCTCTGATCAGATCCGCTCGCAGATACTACTCAATCTTCTTCTTAAACACCATGACCACCAGCGCCCCTCCCCCCTCGACCCAATCCCTGCCCTTTCCCTCGGGCACCTGATCGAACACCTCCCTCGTCAGCCTGATCATCATGTCCACAACATCTTCAATTTCCCCCTTTTCGAGCTTGTCCTTGTTCGCCTCCCGCCATCTCGTCACCGGACTCACCGTCCCCAGCATCCGGGCAGTCTGCTCGAACGTCACCCTTCTGCTCATGAGGAATTCCTCGCCAGGCTTGACTTGACCGTTATCGTTGAACACCAGCCTCCTATAATCCTTCTCGTCGAACATGTTCAATAACGTCTTGGTTTCGTCATCCACTGTTTGACCCGGATACTCGCTCCAAGGCAACGGCAGGCCGGCGTATAGTTCCCGCGTGAGCTGATTTCCGGGCATTTCGTACGGCCGTAGAAGATCATTTTCAAAACTTTGCCAAAGATCCTGACACTTCTTCGCGTTCGGCGTCGTCCGCTCATCCACGTAGTACCCCTTAGTGCACCAGAGGATAATACTTCCACCCGGCTTGAGAACCTTGGCGGCTTCCCGGTAGAATTCTGGGTAGTCGAACCAGTGCGCTGCCGTGGCTGCTGTGATGAGGTCCACACAAGCCTTCCCGCTCCCGTCCGCCGAGTATTGTTTGAGGGCGGAAAGAGAGGAGAGTGCGTCCGACGCGCAGACCTCGTATGTCACAGGCTTGCCGGCCGCCGTAGCGCTAGGTATACTCCGCGCGGTCTCGATCATAGACTGACCAGGGTCGGCGCCGATGGCGTGCTGAAAATGCGGCGCAAGCGAGCGTGTCGCCGTACCGGGTCCGCAGCCAACGTCCAGCAGGAGATTGAGCGCGCCACCGGTGCTGGTGTGCTGGTTCAGGATCAGAGAGATAACGCTGTCCGGGTAGCCATGGCGGTTCTGGGCGTAGGCTTGCGCGGCAGATGAGGAGTAGTTGCGGAAGGTTGGGTCTTTCTGCTGTGTGGAAGTTGATGCCATGGTTGTCGGTCGGCCTTTTAATCTACCTGGTAGATTTTGTGTTCTAATGGCTCGTAAGATCAAGTTATGCAAACAGTAAGGAGGAAAACCAGAGACACGATGTGACTCATAAGAAACTGCCAGGCACAACAGGCAGCTATGTAGCCGACCTCCCTGTCTTGAGCCATTGGACTTGCCGCCTCTCCGCGTAACGGCTCGTAAGGGAGTCCCTATTTTGGTTAAAGCTCGTACCAAGCTTTACTTTAAATAAGCTTGGTTTGCGAGCTTGTGCCCCTGATCGGAACATCCGCACTGTCAGGCGGTGGGCCGTCCTTGTTTTACCGTATCTCTCTCTCGATTGCTGCGTCTTGGTTACATAGTAGAAGTTCGCATCATATCAGGGTCATGCATGATTACTGTACATTCGGAGGACCCGACAATTTTCCAGCAGAGAGTAACAGTTCACCAAGTTATTGTACCACAAGGCGCATCAGCACGGCAGCCTGGGTCAACGCCCAAACGACTCCAACACCGCCCTCGTCACGACTTCTCAATGGAGGGCACTCGCTAGATAACCGCTCCCGTTCCTATCAATCCACACATCTTTATACCTCACCCTTTAAAGACCAGCCGTATCCTTGGCAAGGCAAATAGAATTCCAAGGTGATATATATTAAACACCTCGAATCTTCCTCGACCACGGGTGAAATCCACTTCCGCTCCCTTCCAGTATTCGTCCTCCTTGGTGCACCGGGCTTGACTCTTCGCCTTCAACATGGTCACTTAGTGTCGGAGAGGGTTAACTAGCGGTTGAGGTCTTGCCCAACGTCAACTGGTGAGCATGTAAAAGAATCAGTCCGCCTGGTTTTCTAATCCTGAGGTCCCTTTCGAGGGACTGAATCCTGGCCAGGAATTAGTTTTTTGCTATACTACGTACTTAACTTCCTCGTCGTCTTTCTCGTCCATTTGCTCCCTAGCCGAGGCGCATCGAAATCAACATCACGCAAGTCTCCAAATACCACATCCCTCTCCTGCGTCACGGGCACACTACCGTTCAAGTTGATCCACGTCCCACCCATGCCTGCCTCCTCAAATGCCATGCGCTGAATCTGCATCTTGTCGTCCATGACCCATCGAACCCTCTTATACTCGCCGTATTTCATCCGTCTCTGGAACCAATCTACAGTAGGCTCCAGCGTGAGATGGGTTATGATGATCACAGCACCGAGGATCAGAATGATAGCCACGCCCAGGACGCTAAAGGACACGGTATTCCCCTCGAGGGTGACCTTCTGCGCCTCACACATCGCCTGATCCGTCGGATTGAGCGGTTTCTGCAGATAAGTGCCCACGGGCATCTGATCTTTCGCGTGCTTGGTGCTGCGTACTCGACGATCGCTTGCTGTAAACGCGCGAGGCTTAATGCAAACCAGCTCTCCAGTTCAATCTGCCACTGATTATCAGGAACAACAGCCAACTGGACACGGTCCGCAACGGTCTCCTGTACGCGTAACGCTTGTGCCCCTCGTCCGCCGATGGCGTGAAACATGCTCAGTGGGCGGGTGTTGAGCGCTATCCTCGTGGCGACGATCTGCTGGACTTCATTGAGATCAGCCGTTGCAGGACTGATTTCCAGCCCGGCTTGTGCGTAGCCTGTCAACGGCGTACACTTCGTCGGATCACTGCCCTTGCAGTATTGGTATTGATCAGCGCATGCCATGACCGAGACAAAGTCGTCTGCTGAATAATAGGATAAATTGATGCCTGCATAGGAACCCAGAGCTATGTAGAAGTTTGCACTGAAAAATGGATCGTTGGTGGGATGGTTGTACTTGATAGCGTTTGAGGCGAGGAAGATCAACGTGACGTCGGCATCGGTGCGCACGAGCTCGGGAATTGGTATCCATGAACTGCTTTCGAGAGGAGCTTGTACAGCACTTGAATGGTCAGCTGATGTCTCGCGAGGGTCACAAAACTTTACCGACCTGAGCTCATAGCCATATCCATCGATGAAAGCGTGCTGATTATATAGGTACGTTGTATTAAGGTCGATGGCGCTCTGGATAAACGTTCCGTACTGGTACTTCCTGATCCTGTCCCCTTCGACGCCGAGACTGTCATTGCCTGTCGATGTAATGACTGAGACGTAAGGCTCCTGAACACTGAGCGGCGAGCAGGTGGTCACTCTGCGGAAGCCGACTCGATCAGCATGAGGAGCATTGATACCCAGGTCGACGTGGGAGTCAATAAGACCGGAATCAAGCTTAAAGCCTTTTGGAGCGGAGCAGATGGACTGGTCAAACGGACAGTCGGTTTCAGAAGATGTCCACTTGATATATTGTTTGGTATAACTGCTGCACTTCAACTTATCCAGTCCCAGATTCTGCTCGTAGCATTGTCTCGCGTATGTCGCAGCAAAGAGTGTGCTATTGAGGTCCTTGCTTTGCATGGCCAACGTCCGTTGCTCGAGTGTCGCATTCACGTCGTAGGCGAAGTACCCGCAGTCATCGTTGATGATCAACCTTTGAGCTCCAGCTGCTCTCGTAACCAGTGAAGTTAGGATAGAAGCCCCACTGAATGCGAGAAGGCGGCAAGAGCAAAGAGGGAAGGAGGCAGTGACCGAATCCAGGCCGTACGTCCATTCTTTCGCCAATACTAGGCGGTTTGACCAAGCAATTTAGAAGCTTCGAATGGTGAACCAGTGTTTCGGAAAATCAGCTGATGTTGGTGATGCAGGCCATCTCGAGCATCGGCAGTGGCAGAGCACTGGTGTATGATGAAGCTGAAAATCCGCCAGAGACATGTACCGACAATGGTGACGAAGAACGCAAGGAAAGCGGTGAGTGCAGAGTCAGATCTGGCTGAGAGAGTGATGGTGCTGCCAGTCACCACCCCTCGTGACCAATCGATCCAAGCTCCCTTGTAGATGGAGGCTCCTGCTATCGCGGACATGATCGCTCAATCACAAGAATAAAAGAAGGGGGAGGCGGACACTTGCTGGACAATGAGCCTTTGCGCGACCACTTTCAACGAGGGAAAGAGACATTTATGGCTCAGTGAGCCACAGTCTCCATCCGCGACAGACAGAATTTCCGACCGAGGAAAGGACATAGTACCCACTAGAACATGGCGCACGTAGAAGAGGCTGAGAGAGTGCGACGTCTGAGGAGAGCCAATCGCAACTTGCATGGTGCTGTCTGAAGCCATTGGACCTGAGAGGCACATGGTTTCTCTGCAGACTTGGCAGGTACCTGGAGAACCATACGGGCTTCCTGAAATAGTAGTAGAGAGGTCTTGATGACATGATAAAACGCCCAAAGGTGAAACAAACAGAAGGTTGTTGTGAGAGAACTGACTTTGAAATACGAGGTGACAAGCCGTTACCTGGCCACTTTGGGAAGGTCGAAGCCCCTGCCCAGGCCACCATAACTCTGGGGTTACCACAGGGCGTTCAGGTCTGAGAACGAAGCTCGCATATCCTTCTGCATTCCAGTCCGTCGGGACTTCACGTCAAGAGGAGATGGGCATAGTGGAAAAGCAGACATCGAATCGAGAAGAAACGTCCAAAACATGTACTCTGCCTAGCCGAGGCAGCGCATCATGACATTTGAATTACATCTCAAGATGTGATAAACGGATGAAACCACACAAACTCGCTTGTACGCTGACAAACACATACACATACGTAGTGACTGAAACGCTTCCCGTGCCCAAAAAATGATGGCGAGTGCTTCTCATGCCAGCAAGGAAGCTCAATTTCAAGAAATCCTTGACCCAAGTGAACTTTGTCTGCCGTTACCCTTCGGAACAGGCAGTAGTGACATTCTCTTTCCCTTTCCGCTCATTGCGAGAACACTGCTGGGTCTGGTAATGGTTCGTTTGGACAACGGACTCGAATTTGGTTCCGTGACCTGATCATCTTCTTCCCCTATCTCGCTGGACTTGTCAAAGTCCTCGACACTGGGGAGAGGGTGTTCTCGACTATCAAACTGATTCTCCACTGCGGGACCATGACTGAGCGACCGTGACGAAATGCCTGCAGAGCGCCCATAGCTTCTATTGAGCGAGGACGCCGGCCTTGAGATCGACATTCCACTCATAGTCGGCTTGTGCTGGCTGTGGACAGCAAGGGAAGAGGGTGACCTTATTGTACCAGCCCCGGGGGCGCTCACGTTTCGACCTCGATGATAAGGAACCGGGTCCATCAGGCCACTTGTCCTTGCCGGAGAGGGGTCTGCTACGCGCTCGGCGAATGACTTGAACTGCTGACTTTCCCTCCTTGCAAGAGTCGGTAGCATGGACGAAGGGGACGCAGATGCCTCTCGGCTGAGCGGACTTCTCAATGGTACAGCTGTGGTCGATGATATCGAACGTGGGGTATATTTTCGTGCCGTCAACGGCGTTGTCGCAGTGGAGGAACGGTATGAAGGCGCCAAAGTGTTGTCGCTTGGCTTCACGACTGCGGACCACCTCGGTTTATTTGGTAATGGCGTCGGCCCTGGCCGCGAAGCAGGCACTACAGGCGGAGTGTACACCCCCTGGCGGTAGACGGATGGGGGGCCCGGCATTGGCGATACTCCGCGTTTGATGGTACTGCTGCCGGCATGAGACATCGGTGTTGTCGGACGCCTTGTCTGCGGAAGCATGGACGACCGCCTATTGGAGAGTGTGGGAGGCGGAGGTCTGCCTGAAGATGGAGTCCTCTGCTTGGTATACCCGTTGAGGCCGTATTTAGGCGTGGACCCTTGGCTCGACTGAGGAGGCAAATCAATCGATGAAGGCGGAGAGCTTCCTGGCGTTCCAGCAAAGGTTGTGCTCGATAACGAACGATCGGCCGAAACGATGCTAGAGATCGACTCTCGGAGTTTCGAATTCTGTCGTGTGTTGAAAGGCTCAAGCAGAGTTTCCAGATCTTCCATGGTGTCTGTCAAGTCTCTTATTCTTGAAGAGAGATCTTTATGCAAACGGAGAATTTCTCCATTCACAGTCAGGCGATCTTTGAGCCCTTTTTGAATAATCGCCAGAACTCGGTTTATTGCTGGACCATAGTGCATTTTCTTAGCCTCGAAGCTTTCGATCCGCTTTGCTAGAGCTGCAGGGTTGATTGCCTGGTGATTTTCATGAATTGCTTCTTGCACTTTCAAGATGCTTCTTTCCACAGATTCGCACATCTTCTGTGCTTGGCGGCCAGCATTGCGAAAGACAATAACCCAGCGGTCTTCACTCAACTCGCGTCGTAGAGTCTCAGCCTCCTTGGAGAGTTCAGTCCAATTCCTTTCCAAACGATCCCGTTTATCGTCAAGCTCCCGACAAGCATTTGGAAAGATCTTCTCAGCCCGAGTCTGGAACATTGATAGTCTCATCGGAAGGAAGTCGAGGGACGCCCTAAGCGGCTGCATGCGTGCGAAGAGAGCCAGCAAATTCGACTCGTCTTGAGGATTCTCGATGATTGGCGACCCGAGCGGCGAGGACTCGAAAGGCGGGAGGCTGAAGCGGGAATTCGGCGTACTTTTCTTCTGAGATGGCTCGTCAATGAAGCTTTCCAGTTCGTTCAAATCGATGTTCTGACTGGGTCCTGCTTGTGTCTGTGTCGTATACGCAGCATGCCGTTTTTCTTCCATCTCGAACACCAATTGACTGAGACTGTCCATTTCTGTTCCGACATCCCCAAGTACCTTTGCCCACAATTCCTCCCACTCCATAGCCAGCTCGACCTGCTCATGTATCTTTTTGAGGTTCCTACGCACATTACCCCAACCTTCAAGAGTCATCTCCATCTGTTCCACAACACCTTGTAGGTCCTCGGGTTTCGCATCGCCTATATCAGGGCGCCCCTGTAGCTCCTCGATCGAGATGACATAGACGTTTATTAAGTCTTCGAATGTGTTGACAATTTTGTCTGTTTCGTCCAATCCTAGTCTTCCGGCAGCTGCTGCCCATTCCACGTCTTCTTCGGCATCGAGGTTTTCCAAGACCTTCAGCGCTTTCTTGATCCATGATTGTATCTGCTCTGCCGCGCTTGTCAGTGCCTTGACAGCCTTGCGAGCTGTGGGTAGAGTTGTGACCGTGGCAGCAAGGAACTCGGCCTGAGGTAGGTTGATGGAAGTCAGACTGGCCAGTTGACTGCTAAAGGACGCTCTGGAGAAGGAAAAGACCGAATTGCTTCGAGACAGACTGTCGGGAATAACAAAGGAGCCCGCATCGCTACTCGGGCCGGAAGAAGCGGACGAGGAATGGTGCGAGGGAGGTACATCGTTGGTGGGAGTTGGGACGAGTAACTGGTGGAGGTCGAGGTCGCTGGGAGTTTCGACCATTGACGGGCGGCGGAGAGGAGAGGTCATGCCAGCGAGAATGCGCTGGATCTGATTCTACTCAATCGACTGAAGTTTCTGGCCAGGTGACCCGAATCGGGCACGGGTGCGTGGCTGGTGGTGTTGTTCATAAGCGAGCAGTCACAACACAAGCAAGAGAAGGGATCGTGGTGGGACTCGATTCGATCCTGATTGATACAGATTGGCAAAGATATTGACAGACACATGTATTGAGAAGCGATAAAATGCAGGCGCAGGGTGAGGTCTGGAGGGAACAGACGAGACCAAAATCCAAGTTGGAAGCGAGTGATGGTGCATGGGGTTGAATTGTTTGGTGAGATTGCTGCTGTTGATGGTAGCGAACCAGGTGCGACTTACAGGCGTGACTCCAACCAGTTGACGCGCCTCGGAGTTTAATCAAGGCCACTAAAAGTTCGAGTTTCAGCCTTTTCGATGCAGCCTGACATCAGTTCTGCCTGGCCCAGACGCGGTACCTGGATATAAACAATCGCGACTCCCAAGGCCGATATGTTGTTGTGGATTGGAGAATGTTTGCTCAATACATTTCAAGTGCGACATACACTTTCCATCTGAAGGCAAATATCAGTCGCGTAGCCATCATGACGGCCGTATCTAGCCTGCATCTAGCCTTTTTGCAGGCGGAGCCTCTTCAACTCGCTGCCCGGATGATGCCGGTTCCCTTCTATCCTGTACATAAACCCCCAGCACCTGGTCAATGGCATGAATAAATCCATGTATCTTCTGGCGGTCGCCTACCAAGTGAGGAACGCCTTGCAAATGATGAATATTGTTACAGTATGGCGGATTTGACGCCAGATGAGGTATTCGACTCGTTGCCAATGAGCTTGAGTACAAGTCGTCCCGAAAGAGCACAAGGCCTTAGATAACCTCTTCCCTCTCCCAACCCTTGGACTTGAGGTGTTCAATGCCTTTGCCAGGATGCGGCTTCGAAGGATCCTTGTACTCTGAGACGAACGGATTTGGATCTTCGGCCTGATCAAGGTTGCCCAGAGTGTGGTGGATTTCCCGGTGCTTGGCCTCGTCGGCTCGGATGTAGTAGAGGAGGTCTTTCATTGTCCTCTTGCCCTCGGGCATGTTCCAGTACTTGACAGCGATCTCTGGTGCTTCGAGGTTTTCCCAGCCGGGCAATTTGCCACTCTCCAGGTCTTCGATGGCGTAGGTGTAGGTCTTCGTTGCCTCCTCTTCCAAGTACCCAACGAAACGGTGACACGTCTTCGGTGAGATAAGATAAGCCAAGAAAAATCCATTGGAGAAGACCCCCTGGGCACCAAGGATCATGAGCTTCATGAAGCGGCCTGGTTCAGCCATCTTGAGGAAGGTAAGGAGGTGCATGCGCTCATTGTATGCATCTTCGAGCATGGTCTCGATCCTGTACAGTGGGTCAGCTGTCTTGTGTCCGGTATGTATATGTATCTTGAAATAACTTTACCATCCATTGTCTCTCTTCATTCTCCGAAGACTGCGGAAGTGCCTGAGCATTCCCGCCATCATACCCGGTACACCAGCAACAGTCTCGAGGAAAATGAACCGAACAAGCCACTTCCGCTCGCTCATCACATATGGTTTGTTCGGATCGTGTCGATAGCCAGTCGCCAGATCTGTGCCCCATCGTAGGAAGCGGACCATGTTGTAGGCTATCGAGTCTGATAACGTGCGAGGTTCTCGATGGTCAAGTTGGATTGCCTTCAATTGTTGTTCGGTCGCTTCGGGATGTGGCCATGATGCAGGACTACAAGGTATCAATAGGCAGCCTATAACATGAAGTATGCTAAAGACTTACGTCTGCTTGATGTTTGGCATGTCTCGAGGTGGTGGAAAGAAGTCTAGCTGGGCTTTGTGAGAGACTGAGAAGTTCCGCCGCGACGACGAGTTAAAGGGTCTGAGGGCAACATAGCTGGCTCGGAGACCTGTACCTGTGGATGTCGACGAGTAAAGGCCTTTGCTGGCTGCTCTTGAAACGTTAGCAGTCAGTGTAGGAGTAAGTAAAACTCGTGAGGAGGTCATGGTTAGCCAAAGGCGAATGTATAGCAAAAGTGTAATGTGATAGATCAATCAGTGTAATGTAAAGGTCTGTGGTTAGTAAACAGAAGCGGCACAGGGCATACAAAGATGCAGGCATATATATGGTTTCAGGAGGACGAAACGGGCCAGAGTACACAAAGCGTCAATGGCCAGGCCTGTCGCCTCCGAGGATCGATGCCAGGCCTGTCGCCTCCGAGGATCGATTCTTGCACGGCTGCGACAATTTTTGTCAAGGCCTGAGGCATTGAATTTCGAGAACCCGCATGTGTAGAATCGAAAACGGAAACTAAACTGTGAAATGTGAAGGTGGATTAAAGAATGGGCCTCGTATCCAGCCGTCAGCGTCACAATATTGGCTGGAGCTGCCGGCCATTTCGGCGTCCGGGCTCACCCACAATCTTGGTGCCAGGCTCCGACCCCTGTCAGATGCACCTCTCGACACTTCGCCTGCTGACTCACCAATCTTGGACTTCTTCACTCGTGGGTTTCTCCTCGTAGTTGCTGACTTGAACTCGTGCCTGCTCTGAAATGTGCGTAGTAAGCTAAAGAGTAACCAAAAGCTCCTCGCACCTTTTGCCTCATCTGCAAATGTCGTATGGTCCTGGACCTTGTCGTCGGGAATTTCGGGGACCTTCACAGTGACCGCGATGCTAACAAGGGGGCCCAGTGGCCACAGATGACCACAGATGACCACAGCCTTACCGGGAGAGGTCGGAAGGAGAAGGCTGAGCGCATTTAATCAAGCCTGCCAAAATCTGTGTCGTGCAATGTGACCCAAGGCACAGTTTTGGAAACCTCTGGGTGACTCATCGGGATAAGTCGGGTTCTCTGAGGCTGAACAATGAACCTGCCTTGGCATTTTCAGAGGAGTAGGCATCCCAGTTCTATCTATGACCTCTTTGACAACGACGTCCTGTCTGTCCTGTCAATTTATTCCCTCATATCTTTGCTTTTACATGCGCTTCGTGGACGCCAGTTGTCACTTGCCTGTATTCGAGGGAACGTCCCAGCAAGTCTAGAGCATGAAGCTGCATGGTATGGCCCGCTTGCCATTGGCTGACTGAGTGATGATAAATCTTCGCCAATTCTGAGTGCGTGCGGCAACATTTGTCACGCATCGAATGCACTTTCACCACTTTTGGGTTGAATATCATGGACTTCGACTTTCACTACATGAGCATGTCTGGGCCCATCATTGAGATCCGCTTTGAACTTCTTGAGAGCATCCTCGGATCCTTGCGCCTCGCCCGCGACCTAGCTGTTTCAGCAAGTGGCTTAATCATGTGTACCTGAAGGAGCTGCATACTCTGCCATCTGAAGTATTCTTGACATGTCCAGTCAAGCCATAGCTTGTTGCTTTCCGCTGAGTGAAGTCGCTAAAGAGTTAACCGTTGCCTGCTCGCCTGCGTCAAGTATTTATCCGGAGTGCTCACCGAAAGCCTACACCCTGTACGGTGCCCGATATCCTGAAAGAGATTCGCTTCGACATTCTGAGCATGAGAAATCAGTTTGCGGTCTTGTGAGGAATTGCCTCTTAATACCTAGGTAGTACACAATTTGTGGATTTCTCATTCAGCGCATTGTGTATACCTAAGAGAAGTAACCAAACGCGGGGCATGATTCATAGTTGCAAGTATGACGCCACAGCGAAAAGCCTAGAAAGTCTAAATGTTTGTGGCAGACGCGTTTTCGATGTGGGTGTCAACAATCATCCTGTGACAGTGCAACCTGCGAGTCAGAATGTCATCCATGTCGCTGTTCTGAAAAAGAATATGGGAAGATCTTTCCGTCTCTAATTACTGAAATGCTTCCAATATACGTAGTATAGAGACCGATGCTAGGACCTGTAGTACCGACGCAGTGGGTGATGAACGCCCGTCGCCTGCCACTGCCGCGCCCCTTACTCCTTCGCATCTGCCACGACTAGCTAGCGCCTCCGTCCAATTTCATCTCGCTCCCCATATTCCATCAGGCTTCGTGCACTTGTCCTGTGCTTCAACTAACCTCTCTTGCTGCCTCGTTACCCATAGTTTCATTCTTTTATTTGTGCGTCCTGCTGGTCAGTATTCAGACCCCATTCCCTGCACGCCGAACAGGCAGGATCAATCCAATCATCTCTCTTGCGATGCACCAACCGCAGCCACTCCTTTGAAACAATTGACCACACTTATTTATCTCTTTCCTCATGAACATCGCCATGAGCACGAACGTAGAGTCTTCTTCAACCGAGACAGCTTCTCTATCACCGACACCTTCACCGAATCTCCTTCCCACCCCAGACACCGCCAGTCTCCGATCCTGTTCAGGTATCTCCACCATCTCGAGCGTCTCTTCCTCTTCCAGTGCCTCGTCCGCTTCCCGAGCTAGTGCTTCTCGAAGGCGTGGATATGTCAGACCACAAGGGGCTCATTTCGCCGAATCGGCCAAAAATCGAGAAAGTGTCATGAGTCTAGGCAGCATTGCCCATCTCCAATACTACTTTGCAAGAACCGGGTTACTAGATGGAAAAGGCGGGCAACTGGCCAAAAAGAAACAGAATGGAGAATATGATCTACCCAAATCATCGCTAGGGGGAAACCAGACACCTGTCGAGTCCCCAGTTGATGATGAGGGTCAAGCAATGTGGGAAGCCGCTCAAGAAGATGGAGCCGATGTGATGCTGCCTCCCACCGTTTCAACGTACAGCCACCGGGCGAACAACGTTGCTCCCCCTCCAGATCAGAAGACCATGAAGAGAGCGTTGGTGGAGGCTCTTGAAAATGCATTACAAGCTGTCGAGTCTTGCGAACGAACTGCGTACGAGAACCCGGAGGAACAAACTCAAGGATTCCACGAAATCCAAGGGCTCCACGTGCTTGATACGGCTACCCAAGCAATTCGTGCCGCCAGATTATATTACACCCTTCATCCGAACCCACAAAGACTGAATTCGATCAGATCGGATCAAGAACTGAGGAAAGATCTTTATGCAGTACTGGATGTTCTGAAGAAGTGTGCAGCTCGAAACTTTGCCGGAGGTTTCCGAGAGGATGAGAGACTGGCAGTCCTGGTATGGGTGAGCGATGTGGGGATGATGATTGACAAAGAGGCCAAATTGGAAGAGACGGACAAGAAAGAAAGAAAGGATTGGCACTGGATGGATGATTCGAAATGGACGGACAGAGACCGGGAACGCGATATCAACTTCCTCAACTTTCTCTTAAAGGGGCAATGTCAGAACCCAGCCGACGGACATCTTGACAACGACCCGGAATATTTCCGAAGTCTCGCTGATGGGAGGGATCTTGTGCAGATGCACAACGCAGCCGTCAAGCGATCAAAGAAACATTTCGACTACATCCAAAGCTTTCATGAAGACATTGCCAAGCCATATCGACGAGCCGACAATTTGCGGTATTGGCTGAAGGCGGCGGAGTTGAGGTGGGAGCTGCGGCTGAAACTGGACGTTATGGCTGTTGCAAATCCAGTCGATACTGCGCCCACATGGTCGTCCTTCGAGGATGTGATTCGACAATGGTGTCGTGGAGTACGTGCAGAACTGACCAAAGATTGGAATGGCGAAGAAGAGCGGAAATTACATGCTCGCGCGCGGAGTCTTGCGATGGCTAGTCCGCTCTCGAGTCCAGCACGAAGAGGCTCTCCAGCTCCGCCCCTTCCCAGTCCATCGAAACGGATGATCGCTGCCAGTCCTCTGGCAAGTCCGTCAAAGAGGTTTAATGCTTCTACTCCACCAGAAAGCCCAAGTCGAAAGTCAGTGCTAGCGTCCTGCGATGAGGAGCTGTGACCCTGTTGAGAGGAAGTTCAAGAGCTCGTTGTGAGCACAGACTGTTTAAAGCGCTGAAACGCATTATGATACCCACGCAGCATCTATTAGCAAGCACTAATCTTGGAGTTGGCGCTGAAGGATACACTTGGAGACCTGTCAGTCCTCACTGCTCCCGGAGCGACGTCTGACAGGGAGGATGAAGGGTTGCGCTGTACGGTGATCGATTCGGCCAAGTATAATATTCTACATTCACCTTCCAGACTTTATGGACATTCGACTTCAGCTTGAGACCAAGCGTTTATCTTAGCGAGATAGCTTTGTGGAAATATTGATGGGCTACTGGGATCGAAGTACCTTTTTCGCAACAGATCATTTCACAACTACTATTTGTGGCAGGGCGACCCCGGACCACGGGTCATCCATTCTTTCCTCATCCCGAGGTATTGGAGACACAACGAATCTCTCTCGCCCTAATGGTAACCTCCAGGATGATGGACAGTCATGGTGCCAATGACAATGTCGTCTGTTCCGTCGGAAGACGATGGCAAACACCCTTCTTCCCCGCACTTCACTTCCGTGCCGACGACTGCTGTGGTACATAGATCAGCGATCCAGATTTCGAACAACTTCTCTTTTTGTCTTTCTTTACACTCCTCTGCCATTATTGACAAATACTTGACATACAGACGTGCAGGAAGAAAAGAAGGCTTGATCAGGCACAAGAAACTTCTCGGTTCTCCCCGTGCTTGAAAGTGCCGCATTGAGAAGACATCGGGTTCACTCTTGCTCTGGACAAATCGCCCAGCCAACTTACTCTCCCATTCGCGAGGGGTTTTCGTCGCTCATCCTTCAGGATCAAAAGATCAGCCCCAAGATGGCACCAGCCCTAGACGTCTATGACGCCTCGTCCAAGGAGAACCGAACAGTCGGTGCTCTCGGCAAGACGGTGTCGGGCAAACAACTCAAAATCAGGGCATATCCGAAATTCGACTCCCTCGAGGAAGAACGACTGTACCGCAAACAACATCTCGCCGCGGCGTTTCGCGTCTTCGCCGACAGAGGCTTCGACGAGGGTGTCGCGGGGCACATCAGTGTTAGGGATCCGATTTTGACGGACCATTTCTGTAAGTTGGCCTCACCAGCCATACAATTCTTTCTTGGGATTGGATAGTGTCCCAGGTGGCAGTCTCTTACCAGCTAAGCTTGTGTCGGACCTTTCCTCCTTGTCCGGCACGAGGCTGGCACTGCCTACTGCTAAACTAGAGTGTCTGTCTTTTGTTTGGTATTGGCGAACTGGCGATGAGGAGGGCTGCATCAGGACACTTGCCGACTAACTGTTTTGTCACTAAGGGCTCAATCCGTTGTCGATGCACTTCTCGCAGATCTCCGTATCAGATTTGATCCTCGTCAACGAGGACGGCGACGTCGTTATTGGTGATGAGCCTGTAAGTACATACCACCCGAAAGGGCCCCCCATTCCCACTCTGATATCTATCCTCCCCCTCCCCCCATAGGGCCCTTCGGTCTCGCTTGCCCCCTTTTCTTGCCCACCTCGATTACCTGGTACTTGTCGATCCAGCGATCACTGCCAGGGCCTCATGCGGTACCACTGGAAGTTAAAACCGTCGTTGGTTCTAAGTTAACTCTTCATAACAGATCAACGCCGCCGCCTTCGCCATCCACTCGGAGATCCACAAAGCCCGACCCGACGTCGACGCAGCATGCCATGCGCACTCGGTGTACGGCAAGGCCTTCAGCGTGTTTGGCCGCGAACTCGACATGATGACGCAGGACGCCCTGCGCTTCTACAAGTCGCACGCCGTCTACGACAATTTCGGCGGCGTCGTCCTGGACCGCGAGGAGGGCAAACGCATCGCCGCCGCCCTGGGCAACGGGAAAGCCGTCATCCTCCAGAACCACGGCCTGCTCACGTGCGCAAAGACCGTCGACGCCGCCGCCTTCTGGTTCATCAGCCTCGACAAGACCTGCCACGCCCAGCTGCTCGCCGACGCGGCCAGCGCGGGATCCGGCTATAACAAAAAGCTCATCAGTGATGACGAGGCCGAGTTTAGTTACTCCCAGGTCGGCACGGATGAGAAAGGCTGGCTTGCCTTTCAGGGATATTACGACGAGCAGTTGGCCAAGTCGAATGGTGGATTCTTGAAATAATGAGCCAGGCCAGGCCCCGTCCAAGACCACGGGCAGGTGTACTGTATGTCTCTGAATAATCCCGAATAATGTTTCTCAGCAGGAGAAGCGCTGTAGTGGGAAAGGTGAAAAGGCTGAAACAAAATGTCTTCACTTTGCTTCGCTGACACAGTCCTCAGGTGTTGTATGGATGAAGCTGTCCCTTCCCTATGAGACGCGAATCGTTGTACTTAGCTAGTCAGTAGTTTAACGCCTTCACGAATCCCTTAGGGAATTGAGCATCGAAATGCTGTACATTCTCTCGATCGTCACCACGTCGTAGATCGATGATTTATTGATAGTTATTCTATCTATTCGAGATAGACACACTTTTCTTTTCTTGCAAAGTATGAAGAAGCTTTTGAGGGAGTTTCGGTCGCCGGTCGCAATCTCAACCACACTCCTATATTATTACAAGCCGCCCCAATCACCATCCAAGAACTTTTTGAGCCCCCTGAATTGCGCCTTGCCTTTACGCACGACCACCTTGAGCGCGCTTAATCTCCTCGAGAATCAGATCACGAGCTGACAGAACACCATCCTCCTTGCCGACGATCGTGATAGCTTCACCTTCCTCGCCCTTGCCCGAGTTGCGGTTCGGGACCTGAATGTCGCATCCAGACTGGTTTCGGATAGAGTTAATTGTAGAGCCACCTTGGCCGATGATGTGGCGATGCAGCCGCGGATCAGGCAGAATTAGATAGCCAGTAAACTGAGGCTCCTTGGCTTTCTCAACCGACGACTGGATCTTCTGTTTTGCTTTGTTGACGGCATCCGGCGAATCGCCCTTCTGGCTGATAATGACCCATGGGATCTCTCCATCATCCCCATCCAGAGCACCTTGATTGGAGACGATGTCCCACGAGTGCGACCCTTCGCCAGGCTGGTCAGTGATCAGAGGCATGTCACCATTGGTAGTACGTGATCGAGACCCACGACTCGGCTTTGGGGGCGGTTTGTGTCCATTGTGCTCGATTTTGACGCCATCTCTGCTCAGCTCGCGAAACAAGGCTCCGTTTTTCGAAACCACATGATGCAGAGCTCGTGGTACCATGATGGTCTCAGCTGGGCTCTTTGACACCTTGCTTTCGATATGTTCTTTGGCGCTGGCCACGTGCTCTGGTCGCCCAGTGATTCTCACCGCAGTCTGGCCGGTTCCTTGTCGAGGGACGTTGAGTGTGACCTTGAATTGGTCTTCAATCTGCTTGCGAATGCTTCCATTTGGTCCGATCAGGTCCCGATGTTGAGTGGCTGGCACGTCAATCGTTTCTGTCACTTGATTTTCTCTCTCATCCACAAAGTCTTGAATAGCTTTAACAATCTTCTCCACAACGTCGGCAGTACCTTTCACGGTGAGCTCATTTGATTCGTCACCCTGGCGAGGGAACCGGACGTGCTCAGCGCTCGTGCCGGTGCCGCCGGCTTTCGAGACGACATCTTGGATATGGGATCCTGTGACATGTTAGCGCGGATCGGGAAGACAGTGGGATCTATGACTCACCTCCAGCCCCAATCAGGGCGCGATGATGCTTTCTGTCGACGTTCAAAGTGCGCGTAACAATGTCATCGAAAGCCTTGGATCGTTTCTGCAGTTCTTGCTTGGCCTTTTCAACCTGCTGCTTGGTGCCCTTAATTTGTATGGTGACACGGTCAGAGCCGTCAGCTTTGGGGATGTCAATCTGAGCACCAGTTTCGGCTCTCAGCTTCTCCATCTCCTGGCCACGTCTTCCGATCAAAGAAGCAATTTGGCTTTGTGCAACCGACACAGTTGCGGTGTGAGAGTTATCGACCAAGTACTGGTGAAGACTTAGAAGCTCGTCACGGACCTTTTCAGCCTTCGCGCGAGGACCACGAATTCTGATTTCGTCCTGTGGCTGACCTCTGTTGCCGCCGACTTGACTAGCGTCATCAGCAACCGAAGCATCATCGCTGATTCTGATTGCCTTGGGGAAGTCAATCCTCACAGCATTGTCGACCTTGCTTTGGATCTTCTGCATATTTTCTCCGTTTCTGCCCACTAGCATGCCATGATACTTCGGATCAATCTTGACGTTAAAATTCACCTCGTCCTCCCACTGTTTGGCGAGTCGGAGAATTTCAGCCTTGCAAGCCTCGGCCTTTTTCTGCGGTCCTTGGATGGTGATCTTGCCATTTTCGCGAGTATCAATCTCGACGTCGTGCTTCTCCCGTAGCCCTTTAATGTTGGCGCCTTGTTTCCCGATCAAGTTCTTGTTAAATTGGGCAGGGAATGGGAAGGTTATCGTATAGCCCCGTTCCTTCTCGTCTTCCTCAGCCTCTTGCAAGAATTGCTCGATCTTTCTTCGCAAGTCTTCGATATCCGCTTCGCTTGGTCCTCTCAAATAGACTCTTTCAGGAGAGCCCCGAGAAGCCGGAGCGGATTGCCTCTGCGCGGTTCTAGCTCGGCCAAAGTCGACCTGAACAGGGAATGCATTTGGCGGTGTTGGTTTAGGTTCATTGTTGACGAATCTTCTGACCTTGTCGTGGTACTTCTTGGGGACGTGGATATCTTGCACAGATATGCCTTGGTGGGGGATATTGCTGAGCAGCATTGCTTGTGCTTCCTGTAGAGCTTTCTCGAAATTGGTAATGTCAGCCTTGGTGGGCTTGTTGCGAGGAATGGAGAATGGTTCCTCTTGGGTCGGGCCTTCGTAAACGAGAACGACTGGATCCGAGCCGTCTTCAGGAACGATCATGTGAACACCAAGGTTGTTCCTCAGGTTAGAAGCATGCATTTGCTCAAGATGCTGGTGGAAGAATGGATCTACCTCGACCAGTTGCAATCTTGGGGTAGGATATGCTTGGGTGATTTTGGAGAGCTCATTACGAGCAGAGAGTGCCTTCTGGGGGTCATTACTAATGACCGTCCAGCTCGGCGAAGCACTAGAGCTGGAAGGGAAGACGATCTCTGCGCCATGTGATTTCTGAAACTCGCGCTCGATAGCCTTCTGATGTAGATATTGAGCCAGAGCTCGGGAATGGCGTTCGGGACCTTGAGGGGCGTCGTTAAAGTGCTTGTGCATATCAACAGCTCGGTTGTGCTTCCTGGACATGAGCTCTTCCGCCAAGTTGCGACCAGCACCAAGCTTGTCCTTGGGGCCAATGATATGAATATCTTCGGTCTCGTGCTCGGGTGGAGGAAGGATGACTGCACAGCCTGTCTCTTGCAAGAACTTCAGAGGGTCCATACCGCGGTCACCGACAATGTAAGGATGCAGAATCTGCTCCGCTGCGAGCTCTTCGAGCAGGAGTTCCTTTTGAAGTTCTTCGGCCAGTTGTTCCAGGATGGTGCGTGCCTCCAGAGCAGCAGCTTGTTCACCTGAAACGACGATATGATTGTCTCCATGAGGAACAAATGCTGGGCGCTGATCCATTTCGGTTGGCCGAGGCGGTGGTTGTTGTCGCCAAGTGTGATATTGAGGTACGTTGATGCGGAGACCACGGTCTTGTTCCATTTGTTGCAGGCGGTCAGCATGCTGACCTGCAATGAAGGGGTAGAACTCTGGCGGGATTCCACGAACAGGCAGGTCGACCTTGGGCTGCAGAGCCTTGACCTGGTTCATGATCTGTTCGTAGACTTGGCGGACTTGCGCCGCATTGCCTCTGATCTCCACGACATCCGTCCTGACTTCCTCGGGGCTTGTGACGGGTCTTGAGTCTCGGTCAATGTGGATGCGGACGTTGAACTGCTGTTCCAGCTTCTTGATGTTGGCACCACCTTTACCGATGATCTGAGCCGAGACGGTTGCAGGAATCTCGAGTTTAACCTGTTTCTCGAGCGTGAGTTCCTTAGAGACATGCATCAGAGCCTCGGTGACTCGTGCCTTAGGGCCCTCGGCAATGAACTCTGTTCTTGTTGCGAAGTTGGTGGGCTTCGGAGTGACGATGACATTGTACTTCTTCTTGACCTCATCGAGCACTCGCTTCACCGACTTGTTCTTGTCCAAATCGGCATTGTCAATCTCGAAAGAGTCTCGATATCTTCCAGGCAACATCACACCACCTCGAGCGCCGGGAGCCGCGGTGACAGGAGTTCTAGCCCCGGGTGTCGAGGTCGGGGTAGGAGCACCGGAGGAGGTAGGATGGGGACCAAGAGCAGGAGAGCCGTTCACCGGAGGAGCTCTCGCAGAAGCACTGGCAACCCAGCCAGGAGCGCGCGAAGGAGGGGGCGCCGATCTGGTGGAAGCTCCTAGAGCTGGGAATGCCTCCTCAGATTGAGTGTCGAGCACGGTGGGCTTGTCAGATGCCTTCTGCTTGCCTGCGGCCTTTTCCGACATAGGGACATTTTCAGCGCCATTAGCAGTGCCATTTGTGGTAGGAGCTCCAGTTTCCTCTTTCCCTTCGACGTGGTGATGAGGTGGAGGAGGATGGACGATATCGTCCTCGTCTGGGACATCTTCAACCGTCACACGGTGTGTCTCGGCAGCCTCATGCTTCTCTTGCATGAGCTGAGCAGGAGTCTTGGTTGTGCTAGAGCCAGCATCAACCGAAATTTCTGTTGGAACAGTAGCCATGATCGCGTTGGCTTCAGAACTGAAGCCTCGAGAAACCGGTAGAGTGTGAACCGAAAGAAGGGACAACGACCGCGGGTGGTGGACTCTTAGAGAGCGAGAAACATGCAGTTTCCAGCAGATCGACGACAGAAATTCCGAGAGGAGTTGAGTGAGGATAGCGGTCACCGCGACCGCAGGAGTCTTGTCGCAAGAGAGTGAGTGATTTAAGAATGATAGAGAAGTTGATGGGGAGGTGAAGAAATACGTAGTCGCAGTTAATTAATGCTTGGGTGTCTTTTGTGGAGAGACACTCGGTGAGTTTCCATGGGACTTGTTGGTGGACTGAAACTTGGGGGAACGACATGGAAAAGCCAGGGATCACGTGTAGTCCACTATCTAAGACATCAGGTACTCCGTGCACCGTACTCGCATGTGTTATTGTGAAAAGTCTACTCAACCGGAACCAGAAGGACTTAGACTTCAAATTCAAGGTCAAGAACACTACCGAATAATGAACGAATGTTCTCGTCTGACAATGCCACTTTTTCTGTCCAGAGGCGTTGTGACTTCTCACTAGGTATGACTTGCTCGTTTGACAAAACCCACCTTGACGCCTTTCGCTGGGGTCAGAACAATGTCTGCGTGCATCGTCCGTTCATTCCCATAGTCGATGATTTGATCAAACTCCTGCAAAATTCTGACAATGGTGTACCCCATCTCAACCATCGCAAATTGTTGGCCAATACAGATCCTTGGTCCGCCATTAAACGGGATAAAATTCCAAGGCTTCGGAGTCCACGTCGCCCACCGGTCGGGCACCCAGTCATGAGGGTCATACGGGAAAGATGGTGACACCGGCGGATACAGATCTCTCCGGCGCTGCACAGAGAGAGTGCTATAGCCGACTGGTGTGTCCTTGGGGCAGCCCACGGGACTCATGCCATCGGCACCTCCTCCATGCGGCAAGGAGGTATCCGTGAGTGACGCGCGAACATTGAAAGGTACCACCGGATACAGTCGTAAAGTCTCGTTTATGGTGTGGTTCAGGTACTTCATATCCTTGATGTCCTGGTAGGACGGAGGCCGACCATCTCTCCCTAAGAACTCGACGATTTCCGCTCGTAGCTTGTCGACTACCCGAGGGTTCTTAGCCAGCTCAAGGAACAGCCAGGACAAAGTAGAGGCCGTCGTATCGCGCCCGGCGAGTAGCAGAGCGAACAGTTGGTCACGCATCACTTTGCGATCACGTGTGAATCGAGCAAGGGCGTGGATAAATGTGTCGGCACGAGAGAGCTTCGACTCCAGCTCCGCCGGAGACATTGCTAACGCGTCTGTGATGAAAGGTTCAATGAAGGCTTCGACGGCTTTCAGCCCGGCATAGAAAGATCTCCTCGAATGGAAATGTCTGAATGGCCTAGTCCAATGTCAGCCAGAAACAGTCGAGCTCCCAAAGCCATTCTTACCCCAGTCGCCCTTCAAGAGACTGGACTCTCTGCACCTCGTCGAAGGCAGTCGCAAATGCCGACTGCTCGGTGTCGAGACTCCCCACACTATGTCCGAACAAGAAATGAGTAGATGCGTCGAGGCTGAAACGGAAGAATAACTTGTTCAACATGACCATTTTTCCATCACCAGGGCCGATCAAGGACATCAGCTTGCGGATATGTGTCTCGATAAGAGGCAGATCGGCAACTTTCTCACGGACAAACATTGGCCGCAAAAGCTGTCGCGAGTTGTGCCATAATTGTCCGTCCGTGGTGAAGATGCTGTCACCCAGGAAATCCTTCCATTCTTCATGAAACTGTGTCCCTGAGCGGGATCAGCTTAGAGCTGGATACTTCACAATCCCGACCTACCTTTGCCAAAGTCTTGAAATTGAGTGGCGAGGACAGTCTTGATGTTCTCCGGGTCGGCTGTAAACACCACTCTTGCGTTGTCCAATATGTGCAGCTCACATGTGTAGGAGCCAGTCCCACTAGAGGAAGTTCCTGTATGTTCATACATCCACTCCCAGAATTCCCAAGCTCTATCATTAACAATGGCAAGCGTTGAGTGTACGGGAAAGTCCAGCCCTGTCATGGACTCATCAGCTACAACCGGTTTTGGAACACCAGACTACCGACCGAAAATGAACCTGGTTCTGACTCTGGGCGACTCGCCTCCAAGGCTCTGGACCTTCTTCCATTTTACATATCTTCTGACATATACAGAAAAGACGTATGCCACGAACGTGAAGGTGACTAGATATCGCCATGACAGGAGATGCAGCGCCATTGCGATGACGAATGGGAAACCACCTTCAACCGGAAAGCTGCAGAAAGGTTCGACGAAACGCTGTTCGCGTGGGAGCCGGCTTTTTAAATCGAGGCAGGGCTACGTACGGTGTTCGAAATCATACCGAGGCCTAATCAGGCGAAGCAGGAAGACGGGCGAACCGTAGGCCGAATCCTACTGGGATCCTGCAAACCACCTTTGCAGACGAACCCAAGACGACTGCCGAAGTCTTCTGCAAGAGGATGGAAAGGGCCGGCGATGCAAGTCGCGGAGTGTGAACTGGTTGTGAACATTCGAACCTACCACGGTGCGCTGTCTAGATAGATATATCACGATATATATCTTTCGTCGGATGGGTGCCAGCGAGCCAGGTAACCCCGCAATTGATTGTAGGGTAAGACTACGGAGGTGTGCATCAAATGTAGTTGCCGCGCTAAAGTTGGATGACGAGGACGTCAAAAGACCATTAATTTTCTTTTCCGTTGCTCCGGACGACAGTCCCCGGAGATATCGGAGCTTACTCTCTACCCCTAAAACTCGCCTATTCTCTAGCGCTAGGCCGCCTAGAGTAGATGATCTTTAGTTAAGAGCTTAGTTAAGGCTGCCTAGAACAAGAGAAAATCAATTGTCAGTTATGATCCTTCGTCATTCAACTTTAGCGCGGCAACTACATTTGGTGCACACCTCCGTACTGTGGTAAGATCCTGGATGCGAAACAAGCAGAATCATGGATGCCTGTGATGGAGACTTCTCTTTCATGATAGCCATCTGGCCATTCATGATGAACTTATCTCGTATTCCCAATACGAAATACGACAGTGCGAAAGCTCGAAGGCTCGCAACGAGGCACAAGTCGGGATGACTGTACTACGTAGACGCAACAAAGTACGGAGTACATTCGCATCTTTCCTCCTTCCCATGTCGCCCCTAGCTCCAGTTACGCGAGGCATCCGCCTTCCATCAGGCACCAAGTCATGGCAACTGGCGACATTGCAACTCCTAGATCAATAACTCCTCTTTCTCTCCACTCTCCAAGTCTCTTAGTAGCATCTTCAAGCATTGCTTCTTCCCTTATACCACTCCAGAGCACTTCAGCGGCTGCGGCTGCTCGTGGCCACAGTTTGCTGTCAAGATCAAATGAATCGGTCTGTTCACTCCACATGAGGACCTCACCGCCCTCGACACCTTGAACAAGATCACTGCTTATGTTGGCGAGAGGATCGTACATGTACATATGACGCCAATTATGGTAAGGGTTACAGTAATCGAGGTATGGTTTTGCAAGTCTGCTCGGCTGGCCACCAGAAGTGTTGAACGGGACGCCGGGTGGTGACCTTCCAGTCGGATATGGATCCAGAAAGGTCCCGTAACCACCTTTGTTTGTCAGTAGACGACACCCATTCAGGAGTTGAGACACTCACAATCAAGATACCAGTGCTTGTAGTCACCAAATATCACACGATATCCTCTTTTCAACACCTCTTCAATTCGACGACTGTCTCTCCACACCTGCACCAACGTACTCGCAGATCCGTCGCCATCCGCAGCAGATGGTAACGTCAAATTCCAATCCAGCAGCATTTCCTCCCACACGATGGGCCGCAGACCATGTTGACCAGCCAGAGCTATCACATGGTCAATGAACTTCTGCAACAGAGGCTGCACGACGTTCGGGTCGTCGCTGCGCACTGTTTCATCGAGAAGGTAAGCCGCTAGATTGACTTCGTCGCCACCTACGTGGTACAGAGACGTGTACGGGCGTGTGCGAGGCAACAGGTCTGTGAAGAGATCGTCCAGAAAATCATGCACGGTCGAAGAGTTAAGTTTCAGCTGGCCGCTGAGTGGCTCTGCCGCAAAAGTTGACCAGTCCAACTGATTGAACGCGGCTATCAGATGTGGGTAAGCGTGGGCGACAGATGCTGTATGACCCGGCATGTCAATCTCGAGAAACACCGAGATCCCCTTCTGAGCTCCATAGGCTTGGACATCTCTGAGGCTGCCAACGGTCCAGACCAAGTCAGGTTGATAAGCCCCTTTATTTGCAAGTTGTGGGAGAGACGGGATTTCCAGCGGCCAGCTTTGAGAGTCGGTTGCATGGATATGTAACCGGTTCATCTTCGTCATTGCCATTGCATCGATTGTCCGCATCAAGTCTTTGGGATGAAATGGATTACGCGATATGTCAATACTCAACCCTCGGTGTCGCCACCTTGGACGATCTGCGATTTGAAGGGGTACGTGAGGACTGTAGGCTCCGGAAAAGTCGAATGTGCGTAAAAGAGCTGGCGGAAGGTCTCCAAAGCTCGAAGGCTGCCCATAGTGCTATTGGACCTCAATATGGCCGTTCCATTGTCGATGTTTACCTCATAGGACTCATCTCCGGCAAAGAAAGCAGGTGGATGAAGCTCTCCTGAGGTAGGACAATTGTTTTGTCGAATTTGCAGGACTGAGAGATGATGGCCGGGAATATCAGCATCTGGGTCGAAGCTCGAGTTCCGTTTGTGCAGCTTCCAGGGTACGAAAGTTGAGCGATGGATCGAGTTGATGGTTCTGAAGGTGGCCGTACGCAGGATAGAGCTCTCGGAGAGAGTTTCTGTAGTGCTGTGCCAATTGTTGTGCCCTGAAAATAATAGAAACTGGTCAAACCAGACCCGGGGAGACTGGAAGCCGCTCTTTACCAAGTCCGACAGACTATTCATCAACCATTCGCGGCCACGAGTAGGTAGAACATATTCCGCTTCATTGCAATGGAGAACGGCCTTGAGAGCAGGATCTAGCCATAGAACTTGGGTTCCGGTTGACAGTTCAGTAGGCTGAGGCCATATCGCAAATGCGCCTACGATTGATAGCGCAATTGGAAAGAAGTGGACATGCATAACGTAGATAATGTCCCAAGGGACTCCTCAATAACGGCAAGACACGGAAGAATGATGGGAGCGCCAGCCCCGTGTTGCAAGCTTGAGAGATGTCGCATCTGAATAATGTTGGATAGATCAGGAATCTCAACGCAGGTGCCAGTGTAGAGACTCGAGGCTGGGCATCGGTTGAGCAGTCAGGACCGGCCTACTCGTATGACAGTCCTGCAAGAGCATGACCTTCACTGTGCTTGACCAACGAGTCCCGGCAGCACAAGATGAAGTCAAACGATATCACCGAGTAGGCTCCAATCAAATGTGAGCAGTGGTTGACTGAAAACAATACACCCCGATACACGTAGATGAACACAATGGAAGCCTGTCGTCATATTGCAGAAGCCTTACTAAGCAAACGGCTTGGCAATAAAAATCGCCGCTTTTGTACGAGCAATTGCGTTTAGTCGCTGCAGATACTGCCTTGCCCGGTCCTCTACATGTACCACTACCACTACCACTACAGCCGCATTTTCTAACCTCACTACATCATCTCGAGTCCATCCGCGCGGTTGACGCAGTTTTCACTTGCCCAGAGCCGCTGCAAAGCGACAATTGCAACGCTCGCCATCATATTGATTTAGTCCCCATCCATTGTTTCCGCAAACAACATCGGACGCGCGACCGTCGACCTCATCCCTACCTGCCGAGCAAATATTGCATTGTCACCCTCTCTACTCCCCCCAGCTGATATACTACTCGCCGCGATGTCGTCCATCGCTCTAGAGACTCCTTTGGCCGAGGCGCTGAGTAGCGCTGTGCATTCCAAGATCGTCGAAGAAGGCTGGACGCAAGAGGATGACACGTCACTAGCAGAATACATAGTGCTGATGCTAGCGAACGGCAAGACGCAAGATCAGATTGCATCGGAACTCGCTGGCGAATTATTACAAGACGCGAAAGGGACTACAGAGTTTGCGCAGTGGTTGTTCGAGCAGGTTAACATGCTCTCCAACGGCGCCACTGGTTCAGTACCAGCAGAGGCTGCACAGCCATCGGATCAATTACCCCAATCTATCGCGCCAGATCCATCGGCTGAAAATGGAACCTCTGCGATCCCTGCAGCATACGACCAAGATATGGCCGACAATGCGCCAGAAAATGCGTAAGTCATACACCAGTAGCGTTTTCAAGATGTCACTAATTCCTGTTACAGACCCCGTGGACCCAAAGGCTTACATGGCGGGCGACCGGCTGGTCGAGGCGGACGGGGAGGAGCAGGCAACAAGGGTACTGATTCAGTGCTACATCGGACTCGAGGCAATGATCGGATAAACACTCACTCTGTACGTGGGGTACCAAAAGGCCCTCGTAACAACCAAAACCGTGACGTCCGTCCTGGTATGCAGAAGGCTTTAAACGGGATGAACATGTCCGGCCAACCGCAGGGAATGCCAAACCCCATGATGATGAACAATGGACAACCCGGTCAATCAATGATGACACCTCAGCAGCAGATGGAATTTATGGCTATGATGGAACAACAGACACGCATGCTCGCTCAGTTTACGGGAATGATGCCGGGTGCCGCTTTTGGTCAAGGGATGAATCAACAGAACGGCCAAAGTCGATCACTGTTTGATAGAGTCGAGCCTGGGCGTGGCCGTGGAGGAAGCCGAGGTCGAGGTCGTGGTGGCCATCACCAGAACGGCCACATCAAGGCTGGCGCCAAAGCCGGCGATGGTGACGCCACAATGGAAGGTGATGGACAGCCTGTCGCTGCGGAAGGCTCGCCAACGGAAGGAGAGCAACAAGCTGAGGGCGAGAGAAAGCCACAAGATCCATCTAACACCATGTGCCATTTCAACCTCCGCTGCACCAACAAAGATTGTGCTTATGTCCATCAGTCGCCTGCTGCTCCAGAAGGCACGGTGGTGGATATGTCCGACACGTGCACATTCGGTGCTGCTTGCAAGAACACCAAATGTGTGGCGAAGCATCCTTCACCAGCTCAGAGAGGGGCTTTCCAGGCTCAGGAGACCTGCAAATTCTTTCCGAACTGCACGAAGCCGAATTGCCCTTTCAAGCATCCGACTATGCCGTTGTGTCGATTTGGTGCCAACTGCAAAACTCCCAACTGCCAATTTACACATCTACAGATCCCCTGCCGGTTCAATCCTTGCACGAACCTGCGCTGCCCATATAAACATGAGCCTGGCCAGCAGAAAGCTACCAGCTTGGCTGATTATACTTGGACTCCAGACAAACAAAATCAGCAGGATGGGGACAAGGAACATGTTAGCGACAGAAAATTCGTGGATGAGCATGCGGGAGACGAGGAACTTGTCAAGCCAGAGGGTGATGCTCCAGAGGCAAATGGTAACGCGGGTATGAGGGAGGAGCTGATCACTTAGGGAGGGGTCCCTGCTCCATGGACAGATCAGGTGGTTGAACTCAGGAAAATGGGCTGCTGATGCTAGATTCATCGGCAAAGCTGTACAGTATGAGTATGAAAGGGTAGGCAATCCAGGTGGGAGCTGTAGTCATGGCTAAGACACAGCTTGCTCTTGTAATGGAAATGCCCATGATATCCAGTAGTGCATTGAATGCACAAAGAGGCGTTGCGGGCTCTTCATTTGTACTATGGGTAGATTAAGATGCCGTTGTGTCCTTACTGCATTGTATTGTCCAGTTCTTCTTCGCCTCGGAGGTCTTGGGATCTCCAGTATAAGCCAAACATTCCACGCTCATCATCGTCGCGCCTACGAGGCGGTGGATCTTTTCTTTTCCGTCAGCAGTTCCATGTCAAGACAAGTCATCTTACCCGACGAAGCAGTCCAGGGCGGGAAATCGTGTAGGCGCATGGTAAGCTGTGGAGACTTCGCAAACTATTTCCCAAAGCTGGACAACACTTCTACCACGTTCGGCCGACGCATTTAGCATTGCGTCCCGCACGTCGACCATAAGGTGAGTCATTCGAGGCTGGGTCAGACAGCGATGGCTCTCGGTGACATGCATGCCTCTTGCAAAGGTAGATGAGGCTGAATGTTATGCTCAAAAACCTGGTCAATCTCCGCTAGGTTCAAGCCCTTGATTCCCCAGCGCCCGAAGAAGAAGCATTGCTTCCCACAATAGAAACCCTAGCATCTACATCAATATGGACCAAAGGAAGAGCCTGCAAGATGTTGTCTCCCAACTCCAAAAGATCCTCTCGACACCCGGTCTACCTACATCCTCAACCGTACCAGATAAAGCCTCAAGCAGGCCGGCTCTTATCCTCCCTCAAGATACAGCCAGTCTCGACGACCTTCAGTCCAAAGCAGACTCGTCGTCTCCCTTGGCGAACCACACCGGCGACGGCTCAGACTCCATCGCCCAGCTGGCATCACATCTACGCGCGGCCATCCTCCCGTACCTAAACCTCGCATCCCTCTCCCCCAACTACTACGGCTTCGTGACCGGCGGAGCCACGCCGGCCGCCCTGCTAGGCGACTTCCTGGCCTCAATCTACGATCAAAACGTCCATGTACACCTCCCAAACGAGACGATCTCTACGACACTCGAAGTCGTGACCCTGAACTTGCTCACGCAATTCTTCCGCCTCCCCAAGGACTGGTCCCTCGGCCCCTCCTCATCCGGCGGAGGGGTATTCACCACCGGCGCGACAGCAAGCAACATCCTCGGCCTCGCGCTGGGCCGCGAATACGTCCTCCGCCAAGCCCTGTTGCGCAAGGGGATACCTGGTAGCGCCGACGCAAGCTGTGGCGAATACGGCCTGGCGGAACTCCTCCTTCGGGTAGGGGCGAGCAAGATCCAAGTCCTCAGCACGCTCCCGCACTCGAGCATCGCCAAAGCCGCGAGCGTGCTGGGCATCGGGCGGAGAAACGTCGTCTCAATTGCAACTGCCCATTCTTCATCCGACGGCGACGATGACTCTCTACGCATCGACCTCGAGCGGTTACGCACCGAAGCACAAAGGACGGACGTGCTCAACATCCTTGCCGTGTCCGTAGGGGAAGTCAACACGGGCCGCTTCGCTACGGATTCGCTCGACGCCATGCGTCAACTCCGCGAGATCTGTGACGAGTACGGACTGTGGATGCACGTTGATGGGGCGTTTGGCCTGTTCGGTCGCGTTTTGCCGGTGGAAGATGCCGACTTTGAGGAGTTGGTCAACGGCGTCGAGGGACTGGAGCTGGCGGACTCGATCACGGGTGATTGCCATAAATTGTTGAACGTCCCGTACGATTGCGGAGTGTTTTTCACGCGGCATAAGAATTTGAGTGAGGATGTCTTCGGGAATCCGGGGGCCGCATATCTCAAGGCCGCCGCGGGCGATGGGATACAATCCCCTTTGAACATTGGTCTGGAGAATTCGCGACGGTTCAGGGCTCTGCCGGTGTATTGCACGCTCATGGCGTACGGGAGGGATGGTTATGTCGAGATGTTGAAACGGCAAATCGGTTTGGCAAGACGGGTGACGCAATGGTTGATGAGGGATGGGAGGTTTGAAGTTCTCCCTCGCGGCGGTGGTCAGAAGGAGATATTGGCAAAGACGTATATTGTGGTTCTGTTCCGGCTGAGGAATGATGAGAAAAATAGGGACTTTGTGAGAAAAGTCAATGCGACGGGGAGGATATACATGAGTGGGACGGTCTGGGAGGGTAAACCTGCTGGCCGAATTGCGGTGAGCAATTGGCAGGCCGATGTTGAGAGGGATGGACATTTGATTGAAAGCGTCCTGGATGAAGTGGCAGGGCATTGATGGAATCTCGGCTTCGATGGGTGAGACCCTAGTAGGAAAGGGCTCGAAAAGGCCAGGAATTGCACATACTGAGAAATTTGAAGTTGAAAACGATCGAGAAGCTAAAGGAATTCAAAGAATCAGAACGCCGGTCGAGGATTGACTGGCGTTAATACGGAGAGCAAAGTCTTAGGATTGAGCCCTCTACATATACCTGCTTGAAGGAGAGAACGACGCTCAAAATACGGCGCCGCCTATGATGAATACACGCTCTTCCTCCCTCTGAATCCACTGGACTACCTTATTCGCACTTTGCGCCAGAGCATTCCTGGACGCCGATGGACCAGCCACACAATAAAGCTCGAACATAGGCGTCACCCAGGCCAATGCTGTCGCAGTCGTGCTGATGCTATGAACAACCTTGACCGCGGCATGCTTGGCATGGACAGCCGCGTGCAACTTGTGATACAGCGACATCAGACGCCTGCGCTGCTTCAAAGTTTCGAAGCTCGGCGAGTAAGAAGGCATGAAGAACTGGACATTTCCCTTGGATTTGTAGAGAAAGTGGCGCAGGACAGTCCCAGCGATGATGTCTGTCGTGGCAGGACGACCAGCTTGTACAGCAGCATGAATGATATGCATACTTCTGTTGCGACGGAATTCGTGGACCAGATAATTCTTCATGCTATGCATATCCTCGAAGCTCTCTTTGTTGGCGCTTAGTAGGATGATGGCGACAGAGTCTTCCTGCGCTATACGCTCGTTTTCGGCAAGTTCGCGTACCTGATCACCACCCATGTCTAGGAAGCTGACGTACATGTAGAGATAACCGGTGTTGTTGAAGCCTGGCAGACAGATAGGAACCCAGGAATCACCACCTCCAGCTTTGATTCCTTCAGCCTCGAAGAGCATGTTGAATATCAGCTGAAGGTCACTCGGATGTAGCGAGTGTTTCTTGGGTCGGATGACACTGACAAGCCTCCCACCAGCCACGACGAGACCATAGAGCAGGTCATCGACACGCGCTTTGATCATGGTGTTGTTAATCACATGTCGGTGCGATTTACGAATTTTGAGACATTCCAGCGCAGATAAGAGTGTCGATGGAGAGCCGCGCGTAAAGCTGTCTGCGAGTGACGATAGCAGGACTTCTGTGCCCTGCAACGGTCTCCTCAGATCAGTGGAAGGACGTACCGAAAAAATATGTGTCAGCGTAGGCAATGTCAAGGTCGACAGAATCTGCATGTACAAAGCTTCAAGCTGGACGCGTAGTTGGACCTCGCTTTCCGGTAGACTCGTGATCCCAACCAGGAACAGATTTGTCTGGGACAGTACGACGAACCGCACTCCATCTGCCTGGAAGCTCCTTAACTGGTCGTCGTTTCCGGCAAAGGAGGAGATGATGGTCTGCACAATGCCGACATAACTCGAAATCACAGCGTCAGAGCCGTGCCTTGTGTAGATAGGCTTCCCTGCCGCAGAGAGAATGATGAAATGTTTGCGCTTAGACTTCCACAGCATGTGAGCAACATCTTCGCCAATCGCTTTGTCGTCGACCTCTTCAAACTCCTTGTCAAAGTCGACGCCGTCTTCACCGTAGATGCTGTCCGAGTCTTTCTCAAACAACCCTCGTTCGCTGACAGGCAACGAACGTCCTTGTTCATCTCGCAAATCACCGTCGAAGATACTCTCCGTGTCTTGGATAAACCGTCCAGACGGTCCGTAGCTTTTTATGCTAGAATTATCCTCCTCAGCTTCGCTTGTGCCTTTACTCGTAGGCGCGCGGATCGAAGGGGTTGATGGTGCCCGAGGAAGGGCAACTCGTGTTTCGTTTGAGCCGTCTGGTCGGTTAAAGCTGCTGATGTCGGTCATAGACACTGCGGTCGTTGGACCTGCAACGAGACCCGGTCGTGTGGGAGGACGTGAGCCATGGCCGGTAGGAGGCCGCACTCGCAGGAGATTCAGTTCGCTGGGCCGAGGTGGAAGGGGTGGTCGTGCCTCCGAGCTCTGTGACTGTGTATCTGTACTCTCGGCGGAATGAATATCTTCCTTGTTGTCCATTGTTGAGGATCACAAGCGAGGCTGCGGTCTGGACGATCAAGTATCTGTCCAGGATTGTGAAACTCGTCAACCTCCATCATGCGCGCTCTTTCCAACCGCCTGGTTCTCGATCATGGCACGCATGATGAGGAACAAGAGGCAGCCCGCATCCTCTACAGCTGATAATGACGATGATGTAGAGGAAAAGAGTCCATCTGAACCAATGCTGCGATTCGCCAGGCGGAATTCCTGGCAAGCGACGCCGGTAAAATCAATCACTGGGTTTGACAGATTGACAGATGCCTTGGCGTCTGCCTCGACTTGTTTCTTGCCTCAAAGGTCTACTGCGAACCACCGTGGCTTCAACAGCCTTGAATTATCTGGATTAAACCAAGCATATCGAAGATCCAATGACCCTTGAAGACTTTGTGAGACCCTACCGAGAACCGGAACTGCAAGGCCTACTTCTACCTTATCCTTGAAACATTATCAACTATTGAATAGCCCGCATCACCCTCATCTTCTCCAAAGAGGCCCCTTATTATGGAGCCTTAGCAGCTGTTTCTCGGGCACCATATCCGCAGTATCAGCAATGCCAGCTAGGAAAGATCCACGGTTGATGCATTCTTCTGGCCATGGCGACTGATCCTAAAGCCGTTCGCCGCTATCAGGCTGGTGTCGAGAGAGCTCTGGGACTATTTGACGCATCGAATGAATGGGCAGACTACATTGCCTTTCTCAGCCGGCTCATAAAAGCACTGCAAGCATCTCCGCCAGACGCTGATGTCCCATTCAAACCGACTCTGGCAAAATATCTGGCTCTCTGTCTGAAACCATCTTTACCCTCAGGAGTCCATCAAAAGGCACTAGAAGTCTACAATCTAGTCTTCACCCTCCTCGGAAGGGATGGCCTGTCTTGCGACCTTCCCATCTGGCTTCCCGGAGTCTCTCATACCCTCTCCTTTGCCTCCTTGACTACGAGACCACTATTCCTCTCCCTCTACGACGAACATATTTTGAGACTGCCCAGCCATGTGCTGAGGCCAGCTCTCAGAGCTATCATCTTATCTCTACTTCCAGGTATTGAGGAGGAGGACAGTGAAGATTTCGAACGTACCTTCAATACAATCAGTAGCGTTCGGCAGACATTTGCGCAAGATAATGCTGAAGCATTTTTCTGGCAGAGCCTGTTCCTGGCTTCCATCACTAGTGTAAGCAAAAGACCAGGCGCTCTGGTCTACTTGACGAAACAGCTCCCAAAATTAGGACCAAAAACAGTACAGTCACCTACGCAGGAAAAGCCGGACCGACAAAGTACACAAGATCTCGGCCCAGAAATCAAAGCTGTGACGACTCCCGAGCCTGGCTTGCTTGTTCGTTGCTTTGCAACAGGCCTTCAAGATGAGCAACCGCTGGTCCAGCGGGGCTTTCTTGATCTACTGGTGTCTCATCTTCCGTTGAATGCTGCGATACTACGAGATCACGTCTCGTCAAAAGACCTAGATGTCCTAGTGACCTCTGCAATGTCCGTTGTCCTCAGAAGGGATATGAGTCTGAATAGGCGACTATGGACGTGGTTTGTTGGCAGAGAGGATAAGCGAGAGGGCTCGACAGATATGACGCAAGCCCCGGCAGAGCCACCTGCGATACCTACCAGGAGCATGACAGCGCCGAGCAGGCAAGAATACTTTTCCGCATACGGCCTTGACTCCGTGGTCAGGAGCTTGGATAGAATGCTGAATAAGCAATCACTGCTTCCCATCGACAGGGCACGGCCTTTCCGAATTATGCTATCATTGATGGATCGTTGGGTCATTGGCAGATTGCCAGTGGAAGCTTTATTCATCGCGGCTATGCGAGATTTGCAACGATATCAGACCACAGCGCCTTCACAAGCATCTTTTGACGAGGTTTTCCGAAGTGCCAACGTATTCTTTGATGCCATAGAGCCTCAGGTCATCACGGGCGAGCTGTTTCGATTGCTTAAGAAGGGCGATGTCCACTTGATCGAGTTCATAATCTCGAATTTCAATCTACAAGAGGAAGAAATACTGGCAATCCACCTGCCAATGCTCTGCCTAGCAATTTCTGAGATCCTCTTCGCAAGAAGCAACCACAAGTCGACGGGTATTGTTCAAGAAGAAACGCACACAGCAGATGAAGAACAGTTGTCAAGACTCTTGGAGGGCCTGCTCAGCTTACTACCTTCTCGGTCCGGTAGTGCACGCCCTGAATCGCTAGATGAAGTATCCAAAGACGGGTGGATGGAGAAACTCTTTGCGATCTATGGAAGTTCTTCCTATGTGAAAAAGGCACTTCTTGATACCCTTCGTCCTGAGTCGGCGGACCAGCTTCTACTACGCAATACCACCCTTGTCATTCTTGACTGCCTCCAACATGAGACTCGGCGGAGTCAAGGGTTACTGGGATCGTTGATCAATATTTTCACGAAGGCCATCTCTAGGACTAGTACTCTTGAGGTATTACAGCAACTTGATTTCGGTAACAAAATTGATTCGGCTCTACTTACCGCTCGGACGAGCTCAACATCAACTAAATATGAGATTGCCAGAACAGTTGCCAGGATGATTGACACTGTTCATGTCTTTGATCCAAGCAACAATACTCTGACCGACCACCATCTACTTCGCATCATCCCTGAACTTGTGTCGCAACTTTGGGACGTGCTCCTCCCCTGCACTCCTCAGTTTCAGGTCGAAGCCGTTGAGCAAATATGGAATCTCCGCATTATCTCGGGAGGGCTCCTTCTGGTCGATAGTAAAATCATGGACTTAATGTGCGAACAAGATTCTACTGTCAGCGAGCTGGCTGATCGAGTCTCCCGATTTTCAACATTCTGGATGCACACACGCTTCCCCGAACTCAATGCAGAGGTCTTCTCTGCAGCACACAGCAACGATGAGGACGGAGTGCCCTGGGCTCTGCTGCGACAACCTGTACTGACCATGATTGATGGCTTAAACCTGGCACAACAAGAAGACCCACGACGAATATGGCTCAGCAACCTTCCGTCAATACTGCCGGTATTTAGGATAGTTTTTGGTGAATACACTAGGACCCGCAGCTCACAGCATTCCTTGCTGGGTCTCCACCGACTTCAGAGGACTGTGATCGTCGCACGGCAATCTAGCATCCATCGGAGCGAGCTTTTCAGCACCAACGGATTCGCAGGAGTGCTTCTGGATGTCTGCGCGGAAAATGTCGCAAGTGGATCGAGCGACGATGAGACCACCAAGATGACTTTATCTGTCCTCCGCGTGCTGATCGAAGAAACTGATATCAGAGGCACGCACGACCTGACGAATCTGCTATTGCAACAGTTGACCAAGGCAGCTACGAGAAGTTCTCTGCAAGAAGACTATCTGGACACTTTGCAGGCAATATTCGCAAAACCGAATCCTGGACCACCTCCAAACAAGCTTGTGACGGTTTTGATAGCGGGGATATCGTCGGAAAGTGTTGATGCGAGTATCGATAAATGGATTACGCTACTCTGCAATACTCTCCCCCTCTATCCAACGCAGTCCTTACTAGCGAATATGCTCAAGCTGACGGCTTGTTTTTGTCAACGGATTAAGGCATATTTTGAGCTTATGCAGCGGTTGTGCGAGAAAACAACCCCTACAAATCATGTCAATGGAGGTACAGTCACCCAAGCAGCAAAAAACCCAGAGAGGTCAGTCAACAACCTTCTTGCAGGACTGGAATACATCCTTGCTAGAGCACATACTCATCTAGCCGACCGGCCTTCAACGTCGGACAGCTCCGCCATGAATGCCACTGAAATAGCTCAGTCCCGTTTAATCGCTAATAGTCGACTTACTGTCGTCTTATGTATGCAGGACACGATCAAGCTTTGTGGCGAGATTTGGGCGTGGAGGATTCTCAAGAGACCATCTAGTGCCGTCATTGACACAAAGTCCTTCGCTTACCTCTCATCCAGGCTGCGTACGAGGACAAGGAGGATACTAGAGCACTTGTCTGATGCAGAGCCACAAGAATGTTTGGAGACACTGATGGGAATGTGGGTGGACGCGGCTCGTCGAGATTCGGAGCAAGATGTCATCTTGAACTTGATGCAGAGTCTTGATGGAGCGCGGCCCAAGTTCATGATGCCGGCAACTTTCAATGCTATATACAACCGCACAAACCCCGCCGCACTCGACCAGTCCCAGAAGTCAAGCTTGTCCGTCGATGTTACCGCACTTGAGTTGATGGCATTCCTGATTGCATATACAAAAGCCTTGGAGGATGACCTGCTGGAAGAAATCTGGACCGACTGTACGGCATTCCTACGAGAAGTCCTTGCGAATCCAATGCCGCATCGCCAAATTCTGCTTAAGCTATTGCAATTCGTCGCTGTCGTCTGTCAAAAAATGGAGAACACCAACTTTGGAGAAGTGTCCAAGATGCGGCGAGAATTGGGCGACCTGTGTTCTAGATTATTCACTGCCATATTCACTATCAGACCAGCAGGTCTCGACTCCACAGCACAGCGAATGGCAGAGCCTGCTATCAGCCGGAAAAGCGAACTCCAAGCTGGAAATGCGATCCATATCCTCTGCGAGTCTCTACCAGTCATCGGCAACGCGCTGGGCGACCAGGACAGACTGAACAACACTCTTGCTGGCGTAGCCCTGCACATTACTGGGCCTGCTCTCCGGTCGAAGCAGTTCCCTCAGTCAATCAGCATGGACATTCTCCGACTACTCCTGTTGTTGGCTAAATCGCAACCCAATAACAAGACATGGAAGAAGGATGTCCTTGATGTGCTCAATGATGGGAAGTTCTTTCAGTCCCCTGCCCCTCTAGCTGAAGGCTGGTTGCCGCTGATAAAGCAAATCTGGCTGTCAGACAAAGGCTTGGTGACGGAGCTTGTGTCCAAATTGACAGCGCCTACTACTGCTGGCTTGGTGTTCGGCGTTGGAGCCACTGCCGCGCGAACTGAAGCTGATAGGAGAACACAGCTGATACTCAGACGCATAGCTCTGTTGCTGATCGCTGGCGACACAGATGCTTTTGTTGCCGATATACCTCAGATTGTGCGGAAACTGGAAGAGCTTCTGACATCCACGCCATCCTCATCGCCCTCGTCCAGCACGCGTGGTGACGTGTATCTCGTCCTTCGAGCGATGGCGCTGGCATTGACGCCAATCCACCTTGTCTCCTTGTGGCCGATTGTCGATGTGGAGTTGCGTGACCTCTTCACCAGCTTACAGAAAGGCGAACAGTCAACATTCACAGGATACTCACAGCTGCAGGGAGCCAAACTTCTGGATCTTCTTCTTCTCATGAAACCCGAAGAATTCCAAATGCACGAGTGGTTGTTTGTCACAGACACCGTGGATGCTGTGTATCCACCATATAACTTTGAGCCAGCTGCAATAGCAGATACCATGGTGACCAGAGGCGAAAAGGAGATTGATCTCCCGTCGGTATCTGAAAACGAGCCCAGAAGACCGTGGCTATGCACCGAGACGACTCGAAAAGCAGAAGATCCCGAGACGCTTCTACGGCCATTCTTCAAGCAGCTGAGCATTCATGCTTTTGAGGATATATACAGTCTCCAGGCCATTGACCTTGAGGCATGTCGGAGGGATTTGGTGGCGGATTTATTCGTCGATTGAACGCAGATGAAGAGCTGCGGCTCAGCGACGTCTGTGGTATACAGCATCCGCCTCAAGGGATCACCACATAGGAGTAGTCCAAGTTGAGAATCAATATTTATATCTCGTCGGATGTGGCACTTGAAGAAAAAGTCAGCAGCTTGCCTAAATTACACCGGGATGCCCCCATCATGCCCCCGTGATGCCCGTCATTCCCCCCGAACATTTATGCCGAGGCTTCAGGGTGGAGAAACTCATCGTTAACGACCCCGTGCTCTATCCGTTTCCCACTTCTGCGAACAGTGAACACGATCCTACCCGATTCTCCAGCTTCAGTAACTAGTCCCGACACTTGTTGATCATATTTGCTTGTGACTTTTCGCGAACTTCCTCGACAGTTTCCTCCAGTCACACGACAACTTCAAATCCCCAGCCCGCCTCTGATTAACCTCCCAGCAGCTATGGCCTCGCGACTCCTCGTTCCACGCCTCACCTCCGCCTCAAGAACCCTCAGAGCTCCTTCTCCCTTCCTCTCCAGATCCTTCCAGACATCCGGCAGACGGTTGCAAGAGATTCCAGCAGTACCCGTGAAGAAGCCCGTAGGAGCTTTCAGAGGAGGGTGAGCTTGACCCTATTCCACCTGGGAATAACTGCGAGCTCGATGGAGCTCATGCGCACGGCACACAGAGCAGTTGGACCTTTGGTGCAAGAGCTAATATAACTCGGGATACTAGGCTCTTCGGATTCCTGCTCGGCTCTACACTCGCGGGCGCATCAGTGTACTACTATATTCTCGAAGAATACAAGGTTTCCAATGAACTGTTGACAGAAGATATCTACGTACGTGGACACAGTCCCTCTCGTGGCGCTGAGCCATGCAGGCAGACCTATTCGATCTGTCCGATCTGTTCTATGATCGCTCAAAATGCCTGCTCCGTCACTCCCCAAGGCGCTGCCCTCCCTTCCGTGCAGGTCTTGCTAACCGCAAACTATAGGCTCTACAAGCGGCAGTCCAACGGATCCATTCCTACGTCTCGGAACTGGAGAACAAGATGAACCAATTGAAGAAATAGGAGACATGAGCAAGGGCAGGGTTGCTTTCAAAATCTGGGCGAAACAAGGAGATGGCTTGACATGGTTGATTTCCGAGCAGAATGCTATGGGCTTGTTGGACTCGCACACAAGGTAATCGAATACTCCACCGCCAGTCTGAGCGTTTGTACAAATAAAATCTCCTTCTACCAGCTCTGAATGGATTGTTCGAAAGACTCGCAATTTACCCCATCAATACTTTCACAGGGTGGCGCCTGTTAAAGGCAATGGGAGCAAGTCTGTCGCTGAAGGGTTCGTCGTATGCTGAACTTCAAATGCGGCTGCTCTTAAGTCAGATCCTCTTTAACAGACGGTCACTCCTGATCTTTCGGTGGATGCAATCAGCAACTCAGTCTCCCCGTGCAGATTGATGCCTATTGATCGCCCTCCGAGGCCGACCGGCAGTAGCCTTGCATATCACGTGTCAGGCTGAAGCTGAACTTTCCCCAGACTTTCAATTGCGCTTGTCTTCCAACTTACCCTGACTACCAACACTACGTAAATAAATCCTAGGCTCACGTCCCATAATGCCCTTAATTGAAGAACTCCCAGTCACGTCGACGAACATCCGCGCCTCCCATGGTTGGGCATATGTCCCCGACACGGCTGCGCCCAACCCCGCCGCCCAACTCGGCTCGCGCAAGCGTGGCCGTGATGGCGCGCCCACGATCACCGCTCAAGCCGCGCACAAACTCTCCGCCAAGCAAGAGAAGGCAATACAGCAGCGTCTGAATGATCTGGGAAAGGAAAATCATCGAGAGGTGAATATTCTGATACCAAAGCGAGAAGGCGCGGGCGCGGGCGCAAGAGGCAAGACGACACAGAACGTCAGGCGGATCCTGGGCTATAACAGGACGTTCCAGCACTACCTTGCGGACGAGGAAGCGGGCGTTAACGTTTATGGAGCGGCGGCTACGAGCGCCGCGGGTCCGACAGGGACGAAGGGCGCCGCAGAGGCGAGGAGAAGAAGTGGCGCCGTGACGGCGACGGAGCAACAGAAGCCGAAGCGGAACGGGTCGCTGGGGAAGAAGGGAGGGAAAGGGAAACAGAAAGAGAAAGAGAAAGAGACGAAGGAGGGCGCAACCATAACAGTTCAGACAGAAGAGGACGTGGATATGACCGATGCCCCGGCTGGCCAGTCTTCGCCTTCGCGTCAGCAAGCAAAATCAGATGCAGGCGCCGAGTCTACAACAGATGACGCCGCCGTCGACAAAGACCCGTTATTACGGCCGCGCGACATTCCCAAAATGCCGTCGGACCGCGTGATGCAAGCGCTCCTGGCCGAGCCGGCGCTGAGTTACACCGCGGCGAGGGCGAAGCCGTTAGAAGGTGCGGACAGTACGACTTTCGGAATGCGCACGGGCAATAATATGCTGCTCGCGAAGCCGCAGCGGTGGTTCTGCGCCGTGTGCGGCTACTGGGGGAAGGTGCGATGTAAGCGTGGCTGTGGCGAGAGGGTGTGTGGTTTGATGGAATGCTGGAGAGGGCATGAGGGTGTTTGTCCTTTGGCGGGATATTAGAAGGGCGTTTTACCGGGTGAGTGAATGGCGCTGGTACTGCGTCGATATCTCTTACTTGATTGCGGCTGAGAGGAGCGGGCAACGTGAGCAAAGACGATGTGAGAGAGGAAGGGCAGGGAAGACCCGAGATGGCGGTTTTTCGCCATGCTGTATTGATGCGTTCAAGCGTGTTTAACTACGATTTCCGGGCTTCAGGTTGCATGAAGCAGAAAAGACTCGATACCCCTGCATCACTATGAAATGGAAACATGATATTTAACGTGCTAGGTTTGCAGTCCTTATTAAGAATGCTCCACAGAACCGTAGACAATAGTTGTGGAACGTCGATCTATTTTTCTTCGCACTTGATATGGGTATATCATTGGATCATAAGGTCATTTCTCGTCATGTTTGACCATGGGCATCTGTCGCTTTCAGACGGGCCTTCTGGTCCGGCAAATACCGCACACACCTACGTCTCCGGCATTCAAATATGCTGTACCATTGTCCTTACAAGTCTCGCTCTGACAAGACCAGTGGCGCGGGTCTTTCTTGGGGTCTAGAACATGAGCGCATGCTATGCATGTAGCATTCAGACGAGGATTTTCGAGTGAACAGATAGGGCAGGTCAAAGTTGGCGATGGCCTGGTGGATGCTGCCGCTGTTGTTCCATTTGCCGCAGTCTTGTCTCCCGCATGAAGAGTATCTGGTGTAGTGACTGCTTTTGGCTCGGACGCTTTCAGTGATGAGGATGGTATCGACGCTTGTACTTCGTGTGCGGTGGCATCCAATCCAGACTCATCAGGCGGCTTGCCGCATTCGGGCCTGTATATCGGTGCAGATTCGCTATGCTCTGAATCAATCGGCTTCTCGTGACCAGCACCTTCGTTCGGCCGTAGAGGCTTGAAGTAGCGATCCAGACCTTCAAGTTCTTTCAGCTCATTCTGGACATTGGCGTCGTCCTTGTCTTCATCCTCGCAAACCTTGATCATGCCTTGACCGTAAGTGTCAAGCATCCTTTCCCCATTGACGTCTTTCGCATCTTCCTGGCCAGCATCCACATCTTCATATTCTCCCTCGGTACTCTCGTACTCGTCTTCTTCTTGGTCTTTCAGCGCAGCAGCCTCCTGCTTGTTCGTCTCGAACCTTGCCAGGGCGGCAGCAGCCCTTAGCTCTCTGCCTCTTTTACTCTGCGCCACACGCGGCTTCCCGCCAATCGCTCCTTTCCTGTTGATCTCGAGTCCAAGCCTCATATCCTCATCCTCGCCCAGGGCAACGCCATTCTTGCCGAACTTCTTCTCAATCCGCCGCTCTTTCTTTTCCTTCCAAGTCAATTCTTTACCGTCTGCACCCTTGGCTTTCCGTTTCCTTCTCCGGCTCCTGAACGTGCCTCCACACAACGGCAGGCCTTCCAGTTCTTGACTTGTCAGGATATTGTTTCCCATGACAGCGCCCATATCAGTCAGTGTCCGTCCGCTACCCCAGAAGCCTTCGCCAGTATAATTTTTTGCCCAAAGTCCTTTCATCTCTTCGGCGTACACGTTCCTCGTCTTCCAGAAACCCTTGCCATGGTTCATGTGTGTATTATGAGCGAGCTCGTGCATCATGACCATTTGCACCATGTTGAAAGGGACCCACCCACCGTTCTTACTCCGTAGCACGAGCTGGATGATCTCTCCGTTGTTAAAGTTCCGGCCAATGAATTCCCGGTTGGGCTCGTATTCCTCTAGTGTGGTCACGGAAAGATAGTGGTTTTTCATGATGGGCAGGCATTGTGCGGCGATCGCCCGGAGGAAGGTGTCGGCCAGGTCATAGTCTGCTTGTTCCGAGGCAGGACGAGGGAGAGGCTTGATGAAGACCACACGGTCGTTCGGATGGGAGGATTTCTGATGATTGAGACGGAGAGTGTTGAGTGGCATGCTGCTGGCCTTACGATGTCTGTCGTCCACTGGGACCTATGGCGCCGCGATGTGATACTCAGTGGTCACTTGAAAATAAGAACCCCGGAGGCTTGCCACTCAATAGGGAGACGCGGAGCGCGTAAAGTGCTTTTCGCCAAGTCACGTGCTTCATCGTCCGCCTTTACCGAGGCACAATACCTAATACCCGGATACAATCCAACCTCATACCACACATCTTACTCTGACTTGGCCACGGAGCGGGTGATTTCCACCTCTGATAATATATCTCTTCTGATGCTAGACATTCAAAGGTGAGCGTTAGTTATCAGTCACTTTTTTCGTGCCCTGAACCGCCACAATGGCACAACTGAAACCGTCGTCCGCAACATCTGGCTTCTTTCAAGCCCTCCCTGTCGTTCCCCCTCAATACACCGCACTGAGTGCTTCCAGCTCTTCCACTTCCAGCCCATCCATAACAGACGATCCGGTCTTTGCTCGAGTACTTTCGTTGTACCTGCCCAGCCCCATACCGTCCGAGATCACCAAACATCTGCATGACTTCTCACGGCTCGTCCTCTCCCCTTCAACGCTCCGGCACACCGTGGATTGCGAGACAAACCAGCCCACCCTCCACCCATTGACGACATTCGGCGAAGAGAACAAAACCTCGCCCCTCCGCACAAGCGAAGGTTGGCGCGCCCTCAAACGTATCCAGACAGCCGCCGGCGTCGTCGGCTACGGCTACCCACACTACACCATCCACTCGACCTTCAACCGACGCATCCACCAATTCGCCACATTGCACCTCTGGCACGGCACCGCAGCCCTGGCGACATGCCCTATGGCCATGACCGACGGTGCGGCCGTCCTCCTGCGCCGACACCTCTCGGACCCCGATGATGACGCCGACCAACCGGGCCGCGCTGATGTCTTTCTCGAGTCTTACCACCGCCTCATCTCCCTCGACCCGGCATACGCCTGGACATCAGGACAATGGATGACCGAGCGCACAGGCGGCAGCGACGTGAGCGGCACCGAAACCGTCGCGCGACGCATGACGCCTACGGAAATCGAGTCCGATACCCAAACCAACCGCGACAAGGACGCGCACGGCCTGCCCCTGGGACCCTGGACCGTCTCGGGCTTCAAATGGTTCTCGTCGGCCACCGACGCCGATATGGCTATTCTACTCGGCCAGACGGACAAAGGGCTAAGCGCCTTTTACGCCCCTCTGCGTCGACGCGTCGGCCATCTTCATCACCTCCACTCGCCCTCTTCCTCTTCAGCTGCTTCGCGAACAGGGACAGAGACAGAGATGAACGGCATCCGTCCCACGCGGCTCAAATCCAAACTCGGCACGCGCGGCTTACCCACGGCCGAACTCGAAATACGAGGCATGCGCGCTTACCTGATCGGCCGCGAGGGCCAAGGCGTCAAAGAAATCAGCAGCATTCTGAACATCACACGACTCCACACGGCGAGCGCGGCCGCGGGATACCTCGCTCGCGGGCTCGCCGTGAGTCGCGCATACACACGCGTCCGTCGCGTGCAGGGCGGCCTCTTGTCCGAGAACGCGCAACATCTGTCCTGGATGGCAAGCGAGACGGTCAAGTACGCCGCCGATACGCACCTCGTCTTCCTGGGCGTGGCGCTCCTCGGCGCCAGCGAACAAGGGCACGACGCCGTCGTTGGGGCCGGTAACGGTACGCGCGGCGCCGCAGAAAACGTGCTTGTTCCGCGCGAGAAGAGCCGCATCGACGTGTTGCTGAGGATCCTGACGCCCGTGATGAAAGCCCGCGTCAGTCTGAACAGCGTCGCTGGGCTGCGCGAGTGTATGGAGTCCCTGGGCGGTGTGGGCTACTGCGAGAACAACGAGGACGGAGGCGTGATGAATCTGGCAAGGCTGTTCAGAGACAGTGTCGTGGGCACGATCTGGGAAGGCACGACGAGCGTCATGGCCGAGGATGTGCTGCGCGTGGTGAAGAATGAGAAGAAATTCAAACAGGGCGATGATGCTCTCGACATGGTCTTCGGATGCTGGACCAGAGCCGTGCTGCAGGCCGTCGGAGCGACGTTCGAGGCCGAGTGCCAAGTCGTGCTGAACCGATATAATGTGTTGAGGGACACTGTAGACAAATTGGGCGTGCAAGAACTTCTTCGTCGGGGGAGGGAGCTACTCGAACATATCGAAGCCGTGGCGTGCGCTTGTCTGTTGATGTATGATGCCTGCACGGATGGAGATGAAGTCGCCGCGGCAATTGCGAGGAGATGGGTGAGGATGATTGCATTGCCCCCGGACGTGGCCAAACTCCATATCGATGATGTTTGGCAGAAAGAGGCCGAGATGGATAGGAGGATCTTCCTTGGATCAGACACTACATCCACGCCGCCTGCGCAGGCGAGACTATAAGCATCGAACATTAAATAAAAGGGGAGCACGCCTGAATAGATTCAACAATGTGAGATAGATATTGAGGATTTCTTGCATTAGATACCAAGCAGCGCCAATTCCAATGCCGTAGCAGATCCCCCTCCTAGTCATACTTCACGCAGCAAACACCTCGCTAACCTTGCCAACAAACCCAGCTAGTCCAGACAGATTCGACACGGCAACACCTGTCACAGGACCAGCGGCCGAGACAGTGGGCACAACAAGAACCTGATCCCCAACATTCATCCATTCGACACTGCTCACAAACCTGAAGGTGATTTTGATTTCCGTCTTCTCCCCTCCGTTCAATTGCAAATTCTCCAGTCTCTCGGTCTCGTCATCACTGTCGAAGGAGAAAACCTCTCCCTCACGTGTCAAGGATCCATGCCGAGTTCTTTCATCCTCCTCCAGATCTACTAATGTTACCTTGACGGCTGCACGCACACTGTTGACATAGATGATAGCATGCCCGCCCAACAGTAGAGGCGGTGAATTGGTATGAGAAAAGTCCGAGGACGGGAAACCTGCTGAGAACGACGAATATCCACCTGGAATCTCCTTCGTATCGATCAGCACCATCCCTTTACGAGCCTTTCCTAACCCGAGAGAATTGGATTGATCACCGGCAGGCTCAACGCCAATGGTACCAGTCTCTCCTTCACGCATTCGATTGACCGGCAGTCGGAGGTTGCGCAATGACACGACCCTTACGCGTAGATAAGTTGGCGTCATCTGTGCTCCGCCAGCAGCAATCTTTGAGCTTTCTTGGTATGACCGTGCAACTATTCCCGTGCGCTTCTCCAGATCGGGTTGTTCCGCACAGTAGGATTTTGATCTCAAGATCGGCCGGGACGTCTGAGGCAATGATTGTTCCGTGTCAACGCCGAAAGGCCCAAGGTATAGAACATTGCCCACCGACAGCACCCCGTGAGAAACATGCCCGCAGAGAACCACTCCTTGCTTAGCAAGGCGGATGTCCGGATTTAGCGTGTAGACACGAGACGGTGGTATACTGAAAACCTCGTCGACGTGGAAAAGCGCGAATGATTCACTGCTATCATTCGTGGCAGGCAGCTTAGGACGGCTCCATTGCGAGATTGGAAGTGAGCGTAGCAAAGCATGCAGTTTGGTTACACCTTGCCCAGTGACCGCGCTGGCCATCAAAATCGGAACGATCCTGCTGCCATCGTTACCTCTCATGGATGCCCCTAGCAAATCAACCTCGACTTGATCTTTTGCCGAAATGAACTGCAACTCAAGCAAGGAACCCGTTCCTTCGGCCATTGCGGCTGGTACGAGGGTGTTGGCCATCATCACTGGTACTTTCTCAGCTGCTTTCAGTGTGGAGAGAAGTTTGGCTAACACCGAGCGGAGGCCAGACTTGTTTGCGAGGTCCATCTTGGTGATGACTATCATCAACGGCAATTCCAGACGCAAACACATATCAAGGTGAGATAGCGATAGATCCACAGTCTCTGGAGGACGGCTATCCGTAGCAGTCCCTGCTGCGGAAACAGTTGCCCCGATGCGGCCTGTATTCTCCTCATTTTCATCTGCTGCAACGCAAAGAATGGTCCAAGACGGCTTCCACGATATCAAGCTTCGAAAAGTGGATTTTGCAAAGCGCGGCAGTCCAGGCGAGTCGCAAAGGAACACCAAACGATCTGCAAGGTTTTGAATGTCTGTCCACGACGAGACATCGCCTGAGGCATAGTTGACTACCGGGTTCGGGCGAGCTCGGTCGGTCTCGTAGCCAACAAGTTCCTGCGCTACAGAGCTCGTAATTCCAGAAGCAATCTCATGCCGATGCTTTAGCAATGATAATCGGCTTTTTCCACGGCCATTGTCGAGTGTAGATGTCGAAAGCGTGCCCAAAAGGGTAGACTTTCCTGAAGAAGCAGCCCCAACTAATGTGACCCGAAGCTGCTCTGTAGAGGCTTTCTCAACCACATCCTGGGTCCCTACCCCGTCGGCATCGCTTGTCGAAGGATTGAGGGTCTCTTTTGGCACGTCTGCATCGCTACTTGCTCGTGAATCCGGATAGACTAATACTTCCGCCACCGAAAGTTTGTCCCTTTGCAAACGGCCCTTGTCAGATTCTGATTCGGTTTCCATCCACTCGCAGGTTCCGACTGTAACCTTCCGTAACACATTCGTCGTGCAACCTAGACTGGCAGCCATGGCGCTAAGGTTGGTCAAGCTCTCCTGCAGCTCTTCCTCAGTAAGACCGACCAGGGTGCCATCGTCAGCCACACCAATCTCATAAAGAGCGCCCTGGCTTTCTTCCAGACCTGGTAAGAGCTTGGCAGGACGCTCAGGGACGCCTAATTTTGGGGTGGCTTCAGGAAGAACCGGCAAGACTAGATCCGCGTTTGAAGAGGAATGAAACGGCGAAGATTGCTGCAGTCTCCACAACAGCTGCGTCGTCAACTGCTGCAGTCGCAGTTGACGAGCTTGTCCGGACGGCTGAACTGAGCGGCGCTCCAAGGGTGTCTCGCCGAAGGAGCGATTTGGCCCAACGGCGGACTGTGCAAGGGTATAAGGAGGACCTGATGTCGAGGACGCAGTAGAGGTCGAGACGAACTTCCTCCTCGGCCGCAAAAGCAGATGCAGTTTGTACTCTGTAGGACCGTCATGCCGCTCCGGCTCCAATTTTGTGCAATCTGGTGTATAATGTAGTCTTTCTTTGGCAGGAGACTCGAGGCTTTGTGACGGCTGCGGAGTTGAAGTGCCTGGGGTTGACCATGGCGAATGTATTCGAGGCGGTTCGTCTTGATAAGTGAATATGGACGCCATGGTGAGGGTGGTATGCTTCTCCTCCCTCTCTTTGAGATACTCATATGAAGTGCCGCCGTAATGACAATCCTAATGATGGTAAGGAGCGGGTAATTGTATGAGAGTAGTAGAGTAGCTGCGACAAACGAAGGAACATCGTTGCGGATAAAGGAGTAGGATTGTTTGGTTGTAAACGGCTTTTGGGATCCAGATCAGACGAGCATGGATGGGTGGATGGGAGGAATGATCAGGCCTCGAGTCACTCAGAAAGATGTCGACTCACACATGGAGAAGGAACTTGGGTACGTAGGCACGTAGGACAGGCACGAGTCATGCTCCCCGGATGCTAATACTGCGGAATGACTCGACAAAATCTATAACCATCATACCATCTCCACTGTTTCGATGATTTTCTTTTCCTCCCAGACGCATCGAAAGGCTTCTTGTACATGCGCATGCTGTTTCAACGTAGATGAGAGATTGGATGTTTGCAATTGTTGGACTGATTATTTCAGGAATGCCATATCAACTCAGCCACAGCACGTTAGATCCTCGCACAGAGCAGCCCTGCACCCCAGCATGCAAGAACCATCATCGACATTCCTGCGTCGCAATCCTTCCGAGCCGTGGTCACTCGCCCGAGGTTGCGCTTCAGAAACACTTTGTATCAGTGGCAGCAATTCTGGCTGCAGAGTGGCCGAATGGACGCCGTACGCATGGAAGCACTCGTTGATCGTGTTGGCAAGGCCCATAAAATTGGTCATTGTCTCGTCTGAAACGACGATATGAGCAGATGCAACAGCTTTTTGTTGATTTAGACGCCAGATGTGCAATTCGTGAACAGCGAGGACACCAGCAATCTGCAGCAACGGTCAGGATGAAGACAGGCCATCCGCAAAGATAATGTACCGTTTCAATATCATGTTTCACATCGTTCGGATCCAAACCGCGTGGAACTGTCTGCATCAAGATTGCACCTGCCTTCCTGACTGCGTGTGGACGTCAAGATTAGAAGAGAGAAATACGTCTGGTCTGGTCGGCACCATACCTAGAGGGATCGACGATAGCAGGATCATCAATGCAATTGCCATACTAACAGCTGGATCCGCGTAGAATCTTGCAGGGTAATTGGCTTTCCAGATCACAGTTGCTGCGATGATGACGCCGACATTGTTTGCCGCATCACCGATGACATGCAGAAGCACACCCATCATGCCCAAGTCATGGTTATGTCCCTTGGTCTGGGACATTGGTGAGGCTTCGTGGCGGTGGGAGGTGTGACTGTGTCCAGGCTGGGAAGGATAGCATCAGCTCAGGGCAGAGGTCGACACCAAGGACCTTACTTACATCCACAGCACCCAAATCCACTTCCGTAGATCCTCCTGCACCATTATCGACAACCTGATTAACAGCATGATCGTGTTCTTCACCCCATTAGCCAGTGATTGGAACATTCCACCATGCCAACATACCATGGAGAAATGCTGCACTGATGACATTCAGAGAAAAACCAACGCAGCCAACAATCAAAACAAGCTTAGGATTCTCAACACCTGAGAGAGTGAAAAGCTGATCAGCGCTAGGTCTTCGGTTTTCGCATTGTGACACCTTACGTTGTAGTGAAACAAATCGTTCAATGGCCTGCAGGAAGATGCTGACACCCAGAGCTAAGAGGAAAACTCCATTGAAGAAGGCCCCAAGCAGATTGGCTCGTTGCCAGCCAAAGGAGAGCTCTTTTGGAGAGTGACTTCTTTCAGAGATCTATGCATTGCTTAGGTCCTTGCGTAGGTGACAGCATGACATCTTACCTTGAAAGCAACAAGTGCCACGATAAATCCGACAAGATCATTCAACTACCCTAAGCTCAGCAGGAGGCCTCCGTGAAGATGATTTATACCCCGTACATAATGGAAGGCATCCGCCACCAAAGCAAGCGACTTCGTGTAAAAGCCCACTGCCGGTTAGAAATGTATCAGCATCTATGCACGGGTCCAACTTCCAGCCCGGTGCGCAAACTGCTTTTCGGCTCACCTCCAATTTCGGCGAGAAAGAATGAGCAGGAGATGCCGATAATGATCATCAGCCGCTGGGCTTTCGTGATTGCGAAGACCATGATGAAGGGCCGCCGAGTGATCAAAGGACTGATCAAGTGAAGGAGTGTGGCGTCCAAATGCAAATGACTTGGGAAAACTTGTATGATAGGTTGGCTGAAGCCTGGCTCCGTGCTACCTACCTCTAACACCTTGGCTCGTCGCCTGTGTCACAAGACAAGGGTTTTCTGACGAGGAGGAAGTATCAGAGCTATGGCTGGGCGAGTACGAAGATAAAACTTTCAATGTACTAGAGCGAAGCTCATCGATACTTTCATGTATGGATGTGATCAAGATAAAGTCAAGCTATGACAGACCGTGTGAGAATATCGTGAAAGTCCGCCATACCCTCTTTTGCACTGTCGCAACAGATACAACAGAGTATAATGTCGAAGGCAGTTCTGTATGAGTTTCTGGCCGATGTGGCATCAACAAACAATTGCATCTGGGGCTGCAAAGCTCTCTGCGGAAAATTGGCGACGAGTATCTTTGGTTGCGAACGAAGGGACCCGTCTCCGGAAAGTTCAATCGCACGCAGATCCAAAGCAGGCGGATCGGAGCGGTGCTACATTGATCCGTAAGGCTGCTATTATCGTAAGGCCAGGGTCATGACCTTCGATAATATCGGGATAGAACTCGCGATTGGGCTAATGCATCCGATCGGAAGGGAGAACCAAGGGTAGTTGTAGACAGCTGCAATGTAAATTCCAACAAAGCAAATCCAAGAACTTCATCGCCCCAATATAAGAGCCGGGAAGATCAATGCTCTTTCAGGGCATACTGTCGAGCCTACAGTAGGCTTCTTAGATCGAATCTCAGGGGAAGTAAACGGTGATACCCCAAGGGACATCCCACTTATTATCCGTGCACATCCATTCATTGTCGTCACGCCAGTCATCAATCGAATGTCGGATAGTGGCTTCCATGTCGTACGTCTTGTCTTCATAACCAAAAGTTGCTCTGCCGACAACAGTGTCTCCGAACACCCCAAGTCCGTCTGTGCTAGGGTTCGGGATATAGCAAGCTAATTCGGCGGAGTAGCAGTCTCGAATGCTGCCATCACTGCGTGTGCTGCTTCCGTGGAAGACATAACCTGTGCAGGATTGTGCCTCGAAGTCTGGTCGGTCCGGGTCTGTAACAGTCTGCATCATGACACACGAAGGGTCGTACTGGGTCCAGGAGTAGCTTGTCTGCGTGGTCACCTCCGCCGATGCAAGGAGGAGATTCCAGAGTAGTATCAGAGGCGCTTTGAAAATCATCCTTGAGAGATTCATGTTGAGGCTGGGGAGCTGCAAACAAGATGTTGATAGTAGCTGCAATAATTCGCGCGACACTGTAAGCCGCTCGAAATCTTTGAAGGAGGATGGGTATCAAAGAAACTGGCGGTTCTCGGCCCACTCGTTGGTCTATTACTAGCAGGTCGTGTCCAGTGTTCTCATAGCCCACACACCGGCGTTTAGCCATAGTGCGGCAAGGAGGGTCTGCGTGAAAAGTATGCTGAAGTGCGGTCGTATTCTGCAAAGAAACACTTCTAGATTCAGCACGAGCCACTGCTCATAGAAGTTTTTCAGCAAGACGCCTGAGGGTCGTATGAGGGAGCAAATAGTAGCATGCAGACATTTCATCTGCAAGAAAAGATCAAACATCTGAAGGCCCAGTCCCAGAAGCTCTCGCAGATACTGATGACCTGGATCTCACATAGCTTGTGTTCTTCACTTACTGGCTTCGATTAGGCCATGCCATCATCAAATTTCAAGAGCTCATGTGCACGGATACGCACGTTGAATCAGCCACAGGTTTGGACAAGACGACGTTTGGCTTTATTGTGGGCGCTCCTGTATCGAAGAGACAAAGGCGTTGTCAATGAGACACCAGAAGCGTAATGGAAGCAAGATCTCTCGCTAGAAGGTGATCAAAATCAATAAAGTACCCGCCCATCTTTATTTTTGGGCGCCGGTGTCGTTACTCAGAATACTTGGAGTCCGTGCCTGAAAGTAACATTCCACATCCGAATTGTGTAAGGATCTCGCAGAGGTGGCAGACACCTGTTCGTGCAAGGCAGTTGGAACGGCTCAACCAAGCTGACCCGGAGGTCCTTTCTTACTGCTGCTGATGGTGTTGAGGACAGAAAGTACGGACTACACGCTGTGAAGTCCTTTTCAGTCCTCCTTTTCCGGTGCAGCCTCGTCTGACGTCATATGATATTTCGGCCAGACAGCTTCACCAGGTGTCATCTATTGACTATATACAAGCCTCAGCATCGAGGCGAAGACCCGAAGTTGACAGGCGAGATCTTCGAGGATTGGCCTGAGAAGAGCTTATACATTCAAGAGGTCAGGCAGCTCGCCAGGACGCCGTCTCGAATCTTGACCGAGCTGAATGAACGACTCTTGCAAAATGTGATCGGTCCATCATATGACATACTCGCGCAAAGCCCCGCGCGTCCGAGAAGGTGAAAACAAGAGAGTGTTCGCTTGACGGTGGAGCTTGTGTAACAATGAGACGGAAATGGAACCAGATAATTGAATCTTCGTCCGAGCAAGGATCAATTTTGACAAGCGTAGCCATATTTCCCTAGTTCAAGATGGTCAAGGGAGTGGGTAAAACATGTTGCTCGAACTCGCATAGAAATTGCAACGGTGTATACTGCAACGAGGTCAACCAGGTCAGGATATGCCATGCGTCATGGCTGATCGATGCGAATCGTATACCAAGCGGCAGGGTGAACAAAGGTCGACCGATTGCATTGCAGACTGAGTGAGCTGGTGCGCCTCTATATGTAGCGTGGAGCCAGGGCCGGCGAGATGATGGCCGAGCGCAGTTGGGTGAGTCGGTCCTGAACCTTTATTCCCTGGACGATGGACCTGCGTGTCACTGCTCGCTTGCTGTGAACTATCTCCATTTTGGCATCGCAGCCTCAAGGATTCGACACGGACGTTGTCTGCACTACATTTAGCAGGACCCTCCTCCCGTCAATCATGAGGTGGAATAATGTTGATCTTGAAGGTCAGATAGATATACGTGGGACCTGGCCAATTGTTATTTCGAAAGCATATCATTTGTTCAGTAGGGGTATCTTTGGGATATATAGTAGTCTTCATTCATCGAGACACACAAGACTCATTCATTGCGCGACACGGAGGCTTCAATGCCAATGGTGCCATGGCCAGCAGGCGATTTCCGGCTCGCTGAGTGCCCGGATTGCGTATCAGCATTCGCAAACAGATTTGCAATTGTTTATCATTCGTGGTAATGTGGACAGGTAGCGATGGTCTCCCTTTCATTCATTTCCCTTTTTCTTCTCCTTCTGAAACCTTCTCCCACTCACTGTCAGTGCTGATATATCCGGAGCTCTCACCAAGGCTTCGTCGGCGTCTAACTGCTTCTGTGTTGTCTGTCACTTTTGGGTCAAGAAGGGTCGCAGATGTCTGATTCGGCCTCTCATGCCTCTGCCCTTGGACTGGTTGCGCCGAGGTCGTCTTGGCTGACGGAGGCTCGCTCGGTGCGGCCGGCGGAGGGCCTTCGGTCTCTGTATCGCTAGCGTTTTCGGTCTCCGGGCTCTTCGACCTCTTTTCCTGGGTTCTGTCCGCTTGTTGTGCTTTCGCAATTTCAGTAGCGAACCAGTTGATCGAGTACCAGAGTCCACCGCAGAGCACAGACAGCACGAGGAAGTGAATGGAGTAGGTCGCAAGGAGGAGGATCAGGAGTAGGAGCTGAAGGGCGGCGAAGGCGGCATTCGTGGCAACCAAAAGGGTAGGCGTCGGACCGGGCGTGAAGATGGAGTTCCAAAGCTCTTCGAGGAATGAAGCCATATCTTGATTGATGGAGGATACACAAAAGGTGTAGAGCTGGATTGGATCAGTTCTGAGGAGCACGGGTTGACGCTGTTGCGACGGAGATGCCACGCGAAGGGGATTTCGTCGGGCTATAAGAGACGCCACGTCAATTACTCCTTCTTTGCAAGCGCGCTGCAGGCAGATGAGTCTTCAGACGGACAGGTGTCGACTGTGGGTGGTTTGTCGAGAGTGAAGACGTGGCATGAAAGGAGGGATACGGTAACGGTGACTGGCAGTTGGACCAGCAGCCTGCGATCTGCAGCCGACCCTTCCACCATGACCATCGTCATCGCCCAGCCCAGCGTCATGTGCCCCCTCCATAATCCATCCCCCCTAAGGTCTGGAACTTGACCCCCTGATAGGCAAATCAGCGCCTAAGCTGGACTGCCTGGCCAGCCTAAACGCGGTTTAACCGCGTAATAGCTGGCAAGGGGCAAGTCTCCCGAGCGTTTCAGGGACACTTTCTCCATACTTCTGTGGACAGTGGTCAACATATTTCAACTTTTGTGTCCTTCGGCCACTCCTATGCACGTGCGGCTGTGAGAACATGGATGAGACGGGAGGGAGTAGTGGTCGAATATCCCCGTGATAAGCATGCTCTTGTTACGGAAGGAGAGCCCATTCGGAAGCTATCATGATCGTATTAGTAGGTCTCTCCAAGCCATACTCTCGTCTTTCGTTCCTCGCGCTGGTGAGCAAAAGCTACGGGCAAAGCTACTAGCAAGACGTTTATGCAGTTAATGTTCCGAAAGGCTCTGGCATGATTGCTTCCTCGAATGCGCCGATTGACAGCTCTTGACCTACCGACCAGCACCCGAGAGTGGTCAATTACAGTATTATACGACTACTGGCTCGCTATTGTACGAAGAATCGTCGCAGGAAAAGCTTTGTGGTCTGCGCAAGATTGTACCAAGGCTCATTGCCACTAAATCCAGGTGCAGACTTCGTATTCCTCGTTGCAACGGCCCTCGCGACGACCGCGGACCTTGGATTCCACATAGCACGCCCGGTGCGAGAGACTATTACGAACCAGGCCATGATATGACTAGTGCACGTTTGCTGGGAGACCAGCCTTGGGAGGAACAAATTTTTTTACGATGGTCTCGAAGCACAATCCACAGCGTGCGGCTGAGAATCTAGCGAGCTAATTTCACAGCTGCAATCACCTAGCAACCTCCCCCAGGCGGATCGTGATAGTGGAATCTGTGGCGCAAACCTGGTATCGAGTCTGTATCGAGTATAGCTATCGACGGCATATCGGCCTCAGAAAATGCGATGGAAGTCCAACCCCCAGTGATCTGTGGCGCATTTGGCTGTGGCTCAGCAATCCCAGCGTCGCCGGCAGTGTTGGTGTTGGTGGTGGGGAATCTCATATTGTTATACCGAAGGAGTATAATGTGGCCCAAAAATGAGGCACATGGGATCTACGAAGGATCAGCCTTATTAGCCACAGGTTTCCCTCAGCACGATGGCGGCATCACTCGTGCTGTTTTATGGCCCTTTTTCTCGGAAACGTCTTCTTACCTCTCGTGTAGTGGAGCTTTGCTAGTCTTCGTTACTTATGCCGTTTACAGTTGACTATGCGGCTGCAGATTCCCCAGGTAGGCTCGGTCGTAACTCTTTGAAGATTGATTACTAGCATAGTATGCCTTTTAGCGAGTCCTGATGTACATACGAGATCGAGTCTCCGGTTAGCGACCGACCGGATGATGATGACGGAATGGTACCTTCCCTACCTAAGGTATGGAGTACGCAGTAGTGAGCTGACCTTTTCTTGGTGGCACTGTGGTCACTGGTGACACGGTGGTTACTAAGTTAGCTAGTACCACGCTGGGTGCCACGTACCTTTAGGTAAGGCAGCTCGTAGTACTCCGTACTCCGTAAGAGTAAGAAGTATGAACCGATGGGAAGAGGTTGCAGGTGCCAAGTCGGTTGGCGTGGCCTTGCAGTGCCTTGCGAAACCACGAACCGACCAATAGCTTGACCCTCTTCCCTTGACGTGCCTTGACTACCCACGTCTACCATAGTACCACACTACCCTGTATCCGTCGAGCCCGTACCATTTATCGGAGTTTCAGAATCAACATGGCCGACGTCTGTCTTTTGGGGGCGAGCTTTGATCCAACCCTCTCTCACCTTGCGAAGTTCCCTCGACCACTAGGGATCTTCCCCTGATATCTCCGTAGGGCCAGAATGAAAGTCTCTTGGCTCATCACCAATGAGTATGACACCAGCATTGCGTCTTTCCTCATGGAGCACTTTTGGCAATTGCCATGGACCAATTGGTAGCTCTGCTCAGTTCTCACATACTGTACGACAGCGACATTCACTCTTGAGCTTTGGCGTCTCAGTCTAGTAGCGACGCCTGAAGCCACGGCCACTGCAATGGCACCTGCCCCTTTCCGATTCTGGGCATTCACGATCTTCAACCCTGTTGACCCCAGAGTCGACCGGCTTGTAGGCCGGTGGTTCACCTACTACGTATATTGTGTGCCACTATTATTCAAGTCAGAACCTTCACACTCCTCTCCATACTAATCCACCAGGCTGTGATGGCCCAAGATGGTCTGCTTACTCCCCCCTCTTAGGGCCTAGCCCGTGCTGAGTACGATCGCCTTAGCCGCTTCCCGTCGCTCTGCCAGTCCACCGGCAAACAGCTAACAATGCGAGATGCTTGTCATTTCAATGCCGATACTCTACGCCTCCACAGGACCTGTATGCCCCTTTGCCATAGACGAGGGAACTGGTAAGGTACACAGACTGCTGGTGTGGATTTCAATGCATAGCCCCACAAGTGTTGAGTTATGTAAGTAAGCACTGCTGACCGTGGCTGAGGTTGCTCCGCTCCTTGTGGCCATTGAGCTGAGGGCTATGCTGCTAGCAGTAATGGCACTTGGCTGCCTCTCTGAGCTCCACGTTTTCAGTCCTCTCACTTGCTCCCTGGTTGTACGTCCCTGACATCGCATTACCACAATTCAGTACGGAGTGCTTTTTGTTTCCTTCCATGTCTGGATCGGAAGCTAGACTTAACCAAGCAGGAGACCTGTGCAGAGTGCTGTACCCAGTCAGAGTCCGCCTAACCTGACGGTCTTGCGACTACTCCTAGCTGTATCATTCCCGATTATCCTCATTGCCGCCTACCAATTCTGAGCAGCCTCCTGGCCCCCTCATACTTGTCCTTAAACGGTCGTCCGTCATCTTGACCTCAAATCCATCCCCTCCAGGGTGTGCAGACGTGGCCTTGCAAGTCTGGATAAAGACTCCTGGCCAGACCACCAGTCCGCAAATGCACACTTCTCAGGCCCCCGAAGACGATCGAAACCATTCTTGGCCTATAGTCATAGCGTTCGACAGCTGTAGGACTAAGCTCGGCACAGTCAAAGGCGAGAGTCGAGAAGTTCAGATTCTCCCGGTTTATGCCATCACATCTGCCTTAGTCTCGTCATTCCGGCCGTCGCCTTTGCCCACCCAGGCATCATACTTGTTGCCCTGTTGCATATCGAGATCGGCCAATCATCAATTCTCATCATCACACTCGAGTTGCATTCATCAGCAGCACGGGTAAAAGCAGCACTATTGCGAGATCTTATTTGATCGGAGCGAACCCGGACCTTTTCGAGGGGCACATCTACCGCCAACTTCCCCTTTCTTATTTACGATCCTGACGGTCATCTTTTACGAGTTGATCATTATAATCTAGACAATCGTATCTCGAGCTTGCTACAGCAGGCTCGAGCGGATACTCAGGCAATATTGCGCACCCAAGTTCATCGCACTCTACTCCATCTGTCTTGTTGGCATCCCGTTCCACCCCAGATCCCTCATCCAGTCGAGCCTGGAGTACGGCGTATAGCGACGGTCGAGCTTCGAGCGCAAGTGGACAAGGGGGTGCTGGTGTGCTCTCATATCAATTCGGACACAACCGATCCGTTGGTATTCCGGCTCATAGTATCCGACGGTCTGAGCACGACGAGAATCAACAGTTTCAGCGCTTTGATCATACAGACCCCCAATTTCACTGGGTCTCAAATCGTCAGCAACCACCACGTCCGTTGAGCAGTATACAATATCCCGGAGTATCTCACTTGAGTGTGCCGCAGCAAGGGTTAGTAGTCGCCGCTCAATGCGTCGTTCATCTGTGTTGGCTAACTCAGGGGTTAGAATGGCAGCTCAGGTCATGTCAGCGCCGCCGGCACATTTCCTTTCCAATCAAGTGACATATGGTAGCGACATGACGGACTCCTTCCACAGTGAGGAACGATTGGCGCATTCTTTATCATGGAATACTGACGTTCCGGTAGATTTCGAGGCGTTGGCCTCAGGACATGGCTCCTATCATCCAGAGCACCCGCGCCAGTCACTTCTCATGGTGTCACCATCAGTCGCGAGCTCCGAGATATCGTTTCGACGGCGATCTTCCCACTCCCCACAGTCAGGCTTGGTGGCGCCCACAGTTCGTGATCGTACTCCTATTCGGCACAGCAGGCCCAGTGCCACCCGAGGTCGTAGCCACAGCCGAAGCGAAATGTTACTGGCTTATGCTGCAGAACAAAACTCACTGCATCCGTCGCAATCCCTCCCATCTATGACCAACATGTCCTCGCAAAGTGGGCCAGACATGTCACATTTGTACGGAATGGCTGCTTACCAGCTGTCACCCGGCTTGACGAGTTACCCGCAGCAAAGAGGATATTTTGGCACTCATGTTCAAACGAATGTCGGACATCAAGGAACCACGGATTTCGCAATGCCTCAGGGAGAAGGCGATATTCAAAACTTCTACCCGGTGGGACGGACACCCTCGCACGGTTCGACGATGAGTTTGGCCCCTTCCGAGTCACCAAACGCTCTTTACATGACGCCCTCACACGGACAGCATCCGTTACCGTCGATCGGCATGGCGATGCAATCATTCCCGCCTGTACCGTCGACATTAGAGTCGTCACCGGCGGAGATTGAGATAATGCCATCAAGACCAAAGCCTCAGTGCTGGGACCACGGGTGCAATGGACGGCAGTTTTCGACGTTCAGCAATCTTCTTAGGCATCAAAGAGAGAAGTCAGGCAGCGCCACGAAAGCCGTTTGCCCTCATTGTGGCACCGAGTTCACAAGGACGACGGCCAGAAATGGACACATGTCTGGCGGCAAATGCAAAGGAAGGCCTAGCCCTGAAAGCTCCAGCCAAGCGCAGGAGGGATAGAATCTCGAAAACGACATTTGGTACGATTGATCGACGAAGATACGATTACGAGGCTAGGCAACGCGCGTCATGAGGTTCGTCGGCCATTAGATGATGGTGTTGTTGCAGGAAAAGCATCTTCTGGATTTGCACTGGATGTCAGCGATGGCGACAAAATGGCGTTACTAAGGTATGAAAGTTCTAACCCAACTACTACATCATTCCCACCCACGGCAGCAGGGTGTGTCGATTGACCATGCCATTGCACCAAGGAGGCTCCTAGTGTGGAATATCCCACAACAGGACCCAGTGCCTCCGACCAAATATTTGCTCTGGATAGGTGCAGTAATACATTGTGTAGAAAGAGGCGGATCTCTGCTAGGCTTTGGACGTGATATAACACGTTTGCAACAAAGCATGAATGGGTGGGAGCGTTTGGCGATCTGAAGCTTGGATTTAGCAGTATCAATTTTCGGCACAATCGAGGAATACTATGTAAGGCTACAGCTCCCACGAAGGAGACGTGCTCACCGTACCAATGCCCGACAGCCCGGCGGCGAGGCTCGTACACCAGACAGGGGTCAGGCAATGTGGGTGCGGATACTGTACCTCGTTTGATCAACGACCAGTTCCCTCATGACTGGGAAACACAAGTGAGTCAGGTACAAGGCTATGGCAGTTCTTCGTCTAGCCCGCAGCACCTTTGTCAGCTGCTAGTTGGACTCGGCAGGTAACTAGTATTCGTACTCTGTGGAGAGTCATCATCCAGGACCAGAATTGGCTGTCACAACTGGGTGACTACGGTACGCAAGCCATGATTACGAGGGGCGAGGCTGACATGCTGTCTTGGCCATGATCACTTTTTCATTTCCAACCTCATCAAGCATCATCCTCCTCACATCAACCATCTCGAATCCAGCAGTTCCTTCCCATTTTTGCATTGTTGCCCCCTCTAGCTGCATCACCAGCCCTTGTCCTGGACTCCAGCCGCTAGTAACGCTGCTGATTTCAAGTATATTCTACGTACTGCCGTGTCTTCTAAAACACTAGTTTTCCTCAAGATCCAGATTGAGGTACCCTACCCTCTCATCCGCTGATCAGCCACCACAAGGCTAGACCGCCAGTGGAGGTGACGACCCCCCAGACGAATGATATCGCCGTAACCTGATGCCGCTTTTGGTGTAGACAACTGCCATGTGGTTGCGCCACGGCTCGATGCATCGCTAGGATCCTACACCGAGCACCGCGGACACGACGGGATTTGCCCCTGGTACACTATTATCGTTACAGTATGGCTACAGTGCTGCGGCCAGGGTGGATCCCACAGGTCTCATAGGGCTCACGCGAGAGCTTTTCCATGGTGATTCGCTCCTTGGAGACCTCTGGTGATTACTCATGCCGTCCATGCAAAACCACATTAGAGAACGATACTCCGTACGGACGACTAGTATCGGCCGGACAGTCCAGTATGCTTCGCTTGATGTGTGGTCTAAATCAAGGGCACGAGCTGACCACATTTAGGAGTTTCTAAAGATGCTGGACAGCATCCAGCTGACCTCAGAAAATCATGGCAAGTCAAAAAGATGGACAGCTTGGCCGGGACATTTGCGACCGAGTTGCCCCCGTAAGAATCAGCGTCAGTGCTTTCGCGCCTCCCCTCTGAGAGGCAGGTTTTGTGTACTGTACGTGGGCCGGCCCATACACCCCCTAATGACCCCAAGCCTGCGTCTATTCCTCGAACAGACGAGATATGACCCTGCCGAATCCTGTATACTACGTAGATTGATGCCCCCGCAAAAGAAAATCGGCGCTCAATGAAAAGCTCTTAAAAGACTGAGGTTCTCGGTCGAATGCTGTACGGCAAGACGGCCATCATAGCGCCTTGTCCTCACAGCCACACATGGCACGGCACTGTGGCTGATGGGGGGACCATCAGTAGCAATTCAGAAAGGAGCCTTTTTCGAAGGATTTTGGCCTCGACACTTCCATTCACAGCAGGGCAGAAATCATGCAGCCAAGCACCCTAGGATCCCTCGAGCATCCCCATCAGAACGTACCAGCGGTCTGAAACTTCTCGTCGACCCTTCCGAGCCATTATCGTCGCAGCTACTGACTGTAAAAGAAATTTCTCTGGATGACCAAGGTGTTAGGAACCTGGCCCTTGCAGCCCCACACGATGTTCAGGGCCCCCGTGGATCGCTCCGAAAGGAAGGCACTCACCCCTGCCAGTGTGCAAATCCTTCGCTTACTTGCACACTGGCAGGTCCTGCATCATCTTATTCGTCGACGGAACTACAGTTACCCTCTGCACGCCACTGGTACTCGTAGTGCCACTGACTGGACGTCCAGACAAGCGAGCCAGTGACGGAAAGGGGGCTCTTGGTTCCATCGTCGGGGCTACAGTACTACTCGTAGTCGCATGGCTTGATATCCCACACAAGCGTGGACGTCTTCCCGTCCCACGGCATCAGAGAACTCAGAAAAGACATGAGTTGTCTTGCACGGTACTGAGGGTCTCACGAGCGATCGCCCCCACCAGTGGTAGAAGCACCAAGACACTACGGTTAGTTGGGAGTTACGAAGCAGCGCACCGCTCGCTGCTCGTTGCTCCGAAGAGAACCGATTGCCGAAGCAACTCTCGTAGCCCTTCAAACGTCCAGCGAGCTGCTCGCCTCGCTCGCTCTAATCAAATCTTCAGCCCCGACCCTCATGCAAGCGGGTGAGCATATACTGACAGTGAGTACCAGTTGAGCTAAGGTGCAGGGTGACGGTGACTTTTTGCTTCGCCTGACCTCCTGCGTCGAGCACTTCAGTCGTCCAAGCTCTACGATACAACTTCTAGTAAAGCATTCCTTCCTGATTCGATGAGGCTCACAAATTCGCTTTGATATACCACTACTAACGTGCTTAGATTGAATTCGACCGTCGTTGAACTGCGCCCAGTGTATTGTATTGTCCACCTTCACTCGACATACCATGTCATCATACGAACGGGATGCGGCAGCAGGTCCAGGACCAGAAAAGCACCATGCATAAAGAGGACGGTATAACACCAACGTGACAGTCCCTTCCCACAAGCCGTAATCGTTTCCCATCATTTGAGCACTGCTCATGGTTCCGCCTTCCAAAAAAACAGTAACTCCTATTACTATATAGCTCCATGCCTTCGAGAGTCTGATCTGCCGTCCGGCTCTCCCGTGTCCATGGATCGCCACCGAGCATCAAAGAAATTCGTCCCCGATAAAGGGCAGCTGAGCTCTGAGCCTGCCTTCGGCGGCCATCCAATCATTCAGACATGCGAGACAAGTTGCCCGATCAGCTATCATTCATCCGAATACTCGGTAGTGTTACACCTGCAAGCTCCCCGGTTTCACTGGTCCCGCGGGTTCTGAACGGTTTGCGCCTCCAAAGTGTCCCCGAGTTTAGTGTATCATAATCTTCCGTGCCTGGCCTTGAAAATCGAAATCTTATCGTCGTAAAACAATATCTCTCTCAGTCGCCATGTCGGTTTCGGCATGTTCGAACTCGACCCTTGTTGACTTTCTTCATCGGACATGTTCTCGTCGCTATCTGACACAGCCTCAAAATCACTTGTATCATCCCAGTCTCCCTCATCATCGTCATGTGAGTCATGATGAGCGTGGTGATGGGTCTGATGGCCTGAATGCATATGCCCTCCACCAGGACCCAGATCCTGATCCGTGTCAACATCTTCGCCTGACTGACCGCCACTGCCTGATCCAAAGTTGCCTGCCAAGCTGGGGCCTTTCCGAGCATTTGCATACTCGAGAATCTCGAAACATTGGTTCTGTATGCCCAAATAACACAGCTCGAGTTCTGGCCTCAAGGCAACGATATCGAGTACTTGCAAGGCCGCCTCACGAGAATGGACTGTTCCGTTGACGTGCTCGGCGATATGTGGGATATGCAATGAGCGCAAGGTGGTCGCGTTCGGCAACCGTCTGAGGAAGTGGTGCCAGTCCTTGTAGTCAATCGACATGCTGAGTTCTCGAAGCTTCATCTTACCACTTGTGATGCAAGAGATGAGTTCGCGGTTGAAAACCCAACGCCTCCAGTTCGTATCCGGAGCATCAGGGTCTTCGGATCGGAGTGTACTGTCGATGAGTAGCTTGGTCAAGCTCTGACGGTGCCGTCGAATTGCGCCTTTATAGATCATGTCTATCGAAACTTGAGACTTGTACGTTGTGTTTTCCTGCAGGAAAAGCCATTCGAGACAGTCTGGTGCAAGAGTGTCTTTGATGAAAGCGATCAGTGAGGGAGACACGGTATCGGTGTGCAGTCGTTTCAATTTCAATGGATAATCTGACGGTGCTGGATCAACAGCTGGCGCAGTATTCGTCGCTGCCTTCGCAATCGAGTTTGAGGATATTCTGAAAGCTGCTGATGACACTCTCCTCCGATTAGAAGGTGTGAAGTGCTTTCGAAGCGTTTTCCATAAGTGCTCGTGATTTCGGCAACCCAGGAGTGTGAGTGTCGTCAACCTTGACCAGTCGATTCCCTTGGTAAGAACTGTAATAGAAAGATACACCCGTTCAATCTCCAATATCTCCAGTTGTAGCTTGCGGAATGAGTGCTCCTCTTGACTCAAATCTTGAAATGAATCACGGGCACTGTGAAAGTGACTGTATTTTGGAATATGCAGCTGTCCGAGTGAAGCAGAACGCTTTGTTGCAGAGGTTGGAGCCATATCTGGATCTTCATCCTGGATGTTATGGGCCGACAAGAGGACTCCCAGCTGGTTCATATCCGAGCGGTCGATTGGGTCCTCACGGTCTTCTTTATCATTTTCCAAGCCTTGATCTTCTTCAACGGCCTCTTCGACCGCAACCACCTGCGTGTCGGGAGCTGAAGCGGACTGCCTCCGTCTTTGCTGCAGAAATGGATCGCAAAATCGATGTACCAGGATTCCCAGAATGCCCCCAGGTCGCGGAGTTTGGTCACCAGGGGAAGACACGACCGGAGGCAGGACGGAAGCTCTGTCTTCGGCTGGTCGAGCCCAGATATCGAACTGGGCATGTGAAGCCATGCCTACACGCAATTCTTGCAACTTACCGAGAGATCTTTCAATAAGCACGCTCATCTCCTCAGCGTATGGCAACTCGTCAATGTCAAGCACGCTGAGACTCTTGAGGGGTGGCAGGATTGAGAATGTTGGGAATTCGACTCTCGGATATGGAGGAATCTGAAAAAGCGAGTTGGCAGTACCCGCAAGGAGGGATGGTAGATTGGAGGGTTGGACGCCTGGACCGGTGCCTGGTGGTGGAGGTGAAGCCAGAGGCCCTTGATCTTGATTGTCGTGCCATCGAACCCACACTCGGTCCAGACGGCATTCTTGACCATCGTCACGGTTACCCAGAGAAGCCAAGGCGAGCCAGACATCCCGCAGGACACCTGTTGGCATATCCCAAATGAAGCCTTCCAAGTTTCGCATTCTACCGACTGCAAGCGCAACCAGGGTACCCAGCATTTTCCCGCCTTCCTTCGTGATCAGATATTCTTGGACCCAATCGGCAGGCCCATTTCCTAGGCTGAATTTCCTTGTGTACTGAGCGAAATAGTTCCCACGTCGAATTTTGCGAGGGCTGCCGGACCTTAGGGGCACAGGCTGGTTTTGATGACCACATTGCTGACACTGGTGGGGGGATTGTTGCTGGTATGGAGCCTCTCCAAAGACATCTTGAGCCATGACCAGGGTCGCCAGGCCATATGTCAGGGCATCAACTCCCATACGATTCTCAAAAGTAGCGTTCGCATCAGGCCAGACAATATCAAACCTCGAGTAGATGTGCGGTATGACGAGTGCATGGAGGGCCGAGTGCGTGAGAGCGAGCGATGTGAGATCATTTGTATGTGTGAGTTCCTTGAGAATGGCTTGAAGTATATCGACGGGCAGGTCGAGGAGGCGAAGAGGTTGCTTCTGGGAGGAAATAGCATCCCATTCCGGCTTCTTCCCTTGTAAATGCTTAGCCAGAAGTGTATGGGGTCCGACTCTTTTCATCTTTTGCGGCCCATCCTCTCCCTCGGCGCCCGACTCCATCTTGAGGCTTTATGTTTCTGTGACCACAGGGAGAAGGGTTCAGCAATGCGTGCGGACTCGACGTGGTAGAAAGGCGTGTTTCTCATAAAAGGCTCAGAGCACAAGCCCTGAGCCAGTCAGTGGCAATCAGCAGAGCATGGAGGTGTCACGGAGTAGCGCTTGTGAGTGGTGGACAGGTGACCAAGTGAAGCGACGATAAGCGGTTGGGCTGAAGATGAGGTTGGACAGGCTGTCGAATTGTCACACTTTGGTCCCTTTAAGCACAGAGTCCACCAGCTGGTGAGTGAATGAATGAATGAATGGCAGGAGTGGTAGGACTGAGTTCGAGTAAGGCCCGAATAGCACGAGTGATGCAGGCGGTTAACTTGAGGGTTGGCCGGGGAGCTGAAATACCGCTAGTCACCGCCGCGGTTTAGTGTTGGGCAAAGGTACCACTTTACGCGCCTCCACGGCGCACGCCAAAAAGAAACGAGGGGCAGATACTCTGGAACTCTGTATTTGTAGATACGATAGGTTGTTTTAATGTGGTGTTTCAATGGGCGGAGAAATAAACAGAGGGGGAGGCCCATCAGTACCCATCAATGCCCATCAGTGCCTAATCTTTGATGGCTGGCGCCACCGCCGTGCCTGCCACCGCCTGCGTCGCCTGCCGTCCTTTGCTTATGCCTTCCCTAACAAGGAAGCAGCCTACTGCCGTACTTGCTCGACGTCACTCCCTGACGATTATTTTCGCATCCTACATCTCTCCTCGAATCTCAATCATCTGTAGATGGCTTGATCGAATCTCTACTTCATTTTGCGCTCTCGCTTAAGAGCCCTCAAGGCCGACTACTTCCTCAGCCACTTCAGCTGCTGCCGCCTGCGACCTTGAAGGGCCTACGTCCACCCCCTCCCTGCCCTCCACCTTCATTCGATCATACCACGTCGACGACCCTTCCTGTGTCACCTTCTTATCCTACACCTCGCGGCAAGATGGAGCAATGTCCGGACGAGGTCCTTGTCAAGATCTGTGGTCGTCTGAATTTTGAGAGCTTGGCAAACCTGCGCCTTGCTAACAAGCGTCTTGCTGAAATCGGAGCTGAAGCTTTGGTTACAAAAGTTCGTTTCCATTGCAGTCAAAGCTCTCTTCAGCGCCTCCATGCACTGGCTACCCACGATGTCTTCTGCAAATACGTGGACACGGTAGTCTTTGAAGGCAATATCCTGGCAAACATTGGCTGCATCCACGCCTATTCCGCCCACTTTGAATTGGAGCATCACAAGAATGAAACACCACAGCCTCCTCCAAGAAATGCTTCAGCACGCGAGAAGAGACTCTTTGAACGAAACCTACTCAAATTTCAGAAGGAGATCGAGGATAAATATGACCGCTACCACGATGTCTTTGAAGCCCAGCAGAGCTTGATCACAGGCACTGCCTACGCCGACTTGCTTGACCCAAGCATCAACCGCTTTCCACGATTGAACAAGATGGCGCTCAACACTGTCGGACGATGCAAACATATGCTTTCGGAGAGATTTCTCGAGACCTTTGCTGTCGACTGTGCGATGCCCATCGAAGGTGATACTCAGCATACCAAAGAACAACTCAAGCACTTGCTTCTGCCACAAGACCGACCATTAACCACTCTTCGTGAGCTGTTGGTCCACGTCGTCAGTCCGAAATTCTTCTCTGGCTACGTGCCTCGCGACATGCTTTGCCAAGCATTCAAAAACCTCAAGATCGTGGAGCTTGGGCTACGCCTCGAACGAGATGACAGTCTTGGTTGGGGTGATATCTTGCCTGCAGACCGCTGCTATGGGGACCTACGTAAAGGATACCTCTGCGATGCCTTAGGTGCTGCTACAGGCTTGGAAAAGCTCACCGTCAATTTCGAGGATTACGGTTATCAAGGTCCCTGCGCCGACATGAAGATTATTCTAGGAGAGCATTCTTGGCCAAGCCTCACCCACTTGGACATAGATTGCATGTCGACGACCCAGGATTATCTTATTGCTATGTTGAAGCGCCAACCGTCTCTTCACAATTTCAAGCTGGGATTCATTACTCTTGAGAAAGGTACCTGGACAGAAGCAACTCGACTCTTCCGAAAAGAGCTGAAACTCGGCTACTTTACTGCGCATGGTATCTTGGAAGATTCGGAACAGATGCACCCAATGCATTTCATCGATGCAGAAGCATATACCGAAGACTTTGTAGAGATGACTATGGCCGATTCGCTCGATGTCTACGTGACTGGTGGATGGGGCCTTGAAGCGGAAGTTGGGGACGACGACTTTCACCCACTCGAGCAGGACGATTTCGCAGATCCTGACGACCTCCGCAATGAGTACGGGCCTTTTTCTGATGATGATCTCGACCATGAAATCGACTCCGAGTCGTCAGACATGGATTGCAGCGCCTAGCGGCTGTCCTAAGGTTCCAACTTCATCGACACTGGTTCAGCATACCATACGAGCTTACGACTTTCACTCACTACCTTGTACATTATGAAGAGTTGCATTTTACGAGAAACGGACGACAGCGGATACCCATCAATTTCGGTGTTTTATGGTTATGTTTTCAAAAAATCCCTTTTCGGTTCAGGCGTGTCGGCCTCGATTATCACCATGCATCGGGAGAAAGATCATGCTTTTGTGGGAAGGTCGAACAAAGTGTGCTGCGACCATAGTCATGTGTATGAATACACAACAGAACTGGCTCTAGATATCGCGCTTTTGAGTCTGGAGAGACTGCTGTAGATTTCAAAATGAGATATTCTCAAAATGCGTCGTCTTCTTTTCTCGACATCGCTCTCCAAAATATCTCGCTATGCTCGCTATTCTCGCATATTATGTGATGAACAAAGCGAGAAAGGTGCCGGCTAATCATCGGACAAGGTTTCAGAAACCGTTCCGTCATTTGTACGAGTATTTGACAACATCATGATCACCGTCGTCTTTTGTACTCGTAGTTCTTCCATGTCTGAAAGCCGTTGACTCCTTTCTCCAGATTTCTTCGAGCATGCGGCCAAGCTATCGGGTCCTTGCGGCTCCTGTCACTCAACCATTTCGTCCTGGTCAACGAGCTCCAGCACTTGCTCTCCTCCCACCTATTCCTCTATACCGAAGACTGCTACGGATTCATCGCAAGAAGCTGGGTCCAGAAGAACGAATATTTGGAGATACATATCTCAAAGCCGAGTTCCGTAGACATCGAGACATTGAGAATCCTTTGCACATTGTGGGGTTTCTGACCGAATGGCAAAACTACGGACAACAGCTTGAAGGAGAGGGCTGGAAAGACCAAAGAATTGACCCGGCGTTAGTGGACAAGATGAGCGATCAACAGATTGGTCAAATGTACGAGCTCATGCAGGCGATACAGAAGACAGGACGCGATATTGTGGACGAGGAAGAGGAGGGTCGGATACTCGAGGCTATTGAGGAAGCTTCGACGGGAAGGAAAAGGTCGTGAAGAGCTCGCATAAATCCTGCCGCATCAGGCACCGTAGGTGACAGCTCTGACAGTGATATTTAGCATGGCACAGGTGAGGCAGCTTGGGACACAAACAGATGGAATTCAACTCCAAAGTGACTCGGCTCGCTTCAGCTTCAGGTTCACTCCTGCCGAACGACGATACCTATAAAGCCGTCAAGACTCACGTTTCGGGTCCATCACTCGAGGAATGAAAGTTGCATCATTAGACTGCCCCAGCAGAGACGCCTCACAACAGAATCTATCACAAGACCAGCATCACCTAAGTCGAAACCATCCACCTCAAACCCTGGCGTGCGTGCCACACAAAAATGTGCAAAGCCGAACTCAACAAATCCCATACCTGCCACCATAAATGGCTCACCATCGTGAAAGAATGTGAGAAAGGCGCAGGCTTCAACGGCAACCATTGTCACAAGTTCAAACCTGCAAGACTGGGCCTTTTTCAACCGAGATTCGTTTCCGCCGCTGCGAATACCTGTCCCGAGTGCGACAAGAAAGCGGACTACAACTCCAAAACGACAAGGATGATAGTGGATAACAGAATGGACCGGGGGACACTGGGCAATGGTTACACGTTGACCGACGGATATGGCAATGCTTTGCCAGTCTACCAGGCTTCATCATACTACCACTGGGGTCCGGGGTACGCGGGAGGCTATACGACTACGTCGTGTGGGGTGACGAGGATGGCACGGCCTCCACAGGATCCTGGGTGTGGGTGTACCATCATGTGAACATGCAGGTTGAATCCGCGCTGGAGAAGTTCAAGGACAAGTTGTACAGGATGTCACTTTGGAGAGTATGTATGACTGGTAGCCTCGAACTGGAGACGGAGTCACAGCGACAAACAAGGTACCGTCGTGGAGACTAAGTTGAGCAGCATGACAATACATCATTAATTTCACCTCAGTGCCTTCATGGTGCATCCAAATGGACAGATGATAGTGATGTTGCCGACGCTCTTCAAGCAGGTCAAACCAATTCCAAGTCATCTGATCGTCAATGCTTGTTTTCTCGAGCTGACATCGCAGCGAGCTCGCCTCGTCGAGTCTATATGTCTGTACATACCGTAAGTCACGCCGAACCCGTTCTCCGAAAAATTTGTTAATATCAATCCGCATCCAACCTCGCAACGGGCGGCGTATCATCAACCTGGATCCCGCCTCTCTTTCTCTCATCCGCATCATGGAACGGCAATCTCCAGCCACCCTCGCTCACAGGCGTACTCAACCATAACCTCATCAAGTGCCGTCTCGGCATCCCACTCTCGGGAGCGTAATCCCTATACTCGGTCCTGGCATGTAAGATGTGAGCGTTACTCAGGAACTGAATATCGCCGATCTCAAGAATCATATGCAGCTTGACTCTGTTGCACACGGCCTCCAGCGTCTCCAGAGCGTGGACCTGCGCCGTGGACAGAGCCGGTATGACGCCGGCGTCGCTGAAGCGCGACAGACTCCGCACGTAGTAGGGGTCCCATTTACAATAGACCCTCTGCTCGGCCTGGGGGTTGGCGGGGTCCGGCGTCTCGAGATAGAAGACGCTGGTGCGAATATACGGCTCCTCGCCGACGCTCAGCTCGCCCTTGCGATCAAAATACCACACGGGCCGCGTCAAGAGCTCCGCAACATCGGGATACTCGGCCTGCAGGATGTTCCAGACGTGATGCACGCACGCGACATCGCTCTCGCCGCCCTCCTGGGCGCGCGCGAGGCACAACAACCCCACGACGTCGGAGTCGTCCGCGTGGAAGAACTGGCGCGCGTTGGTCCGGTAGATGCGCACCTTGTCAATGGCCTTGCTGTCTTCGCCCAGGTCCTTGACGTGCCCGAGGATGTGGCCCCGCCCGTTCTGCGACACCGGGTAGCCGATGTACGTGCCCAAACCAAAATACGCCACCGCGGACTTGTGGTTGCCCCACTCGGTCACGGGGAACCCTTTGTACAGGATGAAGCCCTTGCCGTTGAGCAGTTCGTTGCGCATGGCCGACAGGCTGGCCCGCATGCTGGGCAGTGGGAAGTTGTCCGGGTTGATGCCCGTTAGGGGCAGGTTCTGCGCGAGGAAGGCGTCGGCCGCGGACGATAGTTCACCCACTTCGGCCGGCGAGAAGACGTGCGTCCATTGTTCCGGGTGCGAGGCGTAGTCGGAAGACGACCAGACTGTTGGGCCCCTGATGTGTTTGGGGAACGCAGAGTAGGGGTACAATTTGTCGTACAGCGGCGGGTGCTGTCCCGACGTTTTGAAGCCGTCCGGGAAGATTGAGCGGTCGACCTCTTTGGGTTGGGCTTTCGAGGGAAAAGGTGTTTGCGATGAGGCGGAGGAAATGGCTGCTGGTGCCATGACGATGGTGGTGTCTATCTGGGGTTCAAGGATCTGCTTTGCTAGTGAGGGAAGATTCGATTCAACGTTTGAGACGAACGCTCCTGAGTTGAAAAGCGGCTCTCGTGTTTCTTTTTAAAAGCTGTGGAAAGCGACTTCGGACGTAGAGAAGAGGCTGAGAAAACTCACACTTCAGCTCGGGCTTGCCTGTCGTCAGTTTTGTCCAGCCAATACCCTGCTATCGAGGGGATCTCCGACACAGGCATTGTGATGGTGTCAAGCGCGCACACAGCTTGCGTGCGAGGGGTCGAAGGTGATCCAATCGTGCGGAGATATTGCGTGATTGTACTCCGTAGGGGTCGCAAGGGTCTATCTGAAGATAGGTTGGAAATGTCCGCCCAAGGTGTGATAGAGGAGGAGGAATGCGGAAGTAGTTCCGACAAGGATTTTCAGTTAAAATACTCAACTTCTCCAGAGGTAGGGCCCAAGTTGGCGGACTCATCTCTACAGCTTGCTCGAGGATACGAGCTAGAAGTCTAAGGGGAGCTTCTGCATCCTCCTGAAGGGATGAATGACAGCCAGTATCGTGCTACGTCCGAATGCATATCCGCTTGTGACTGAAGATGTCCATGCTGATTGCAGTCCTACTGCTGAATGCCATCCCTTGCTCCTGGGAGGAGCCTCCTCTCAAGACTGCTGTCATTACGCTAATCGTAGCTCTCATAACCTCATTGTTGGCCGCTTGCTCAAGACGCAACTTTGTACGCCCCACCGTGCCCGACCTCGAGCACACCCTCCTTTACCATTCCAGCAAGAAACTCCTTGAGCTCCTCATTACTAAATGGGAACCCCCCGGGCACGACAATGCCCAGCATCATTGCAATCCTCGGCAGCGGCATTGCCCCCTGATTCGTCAACATACTCACAATGAACTGGTGATACATTGCCATCTTGCCCTTCCGCTCGCTTTCCTCGGCCTCTTTGGCCGCTTGTGCCGCCGCAGCTGCTGCAGCGGCCACGGCGGATGCCGCGTCAGGCCTGCTCGTATCATCCTGCATAACCGTATCTGTGCCATCGGGGAGCCGTTCGAGGACGGTGAATTTGTCACTGCCCGACTCGACGAGGATGCCTTTGGACACCCAGAAAATACACGCGCTGCGGACGAGCGTCGGAGACATGGCTAGCTCAGCGGAGAGCTCTACGACAGTTTTCCGTATCTGTCGGTCGGTTTCTGTGCCGGCAGCATCCCGGAAGGCATAAATAACGACGGCCTGCCACGGGAGGACTTCATCCTGGAAAACCCGGTCCTTAAGCTCGAGTTCAACTTCGACCTGTCCGACTGCATTCAGCCAAGTGAGTTTGCGCGACTGCTTGAGCGTCTCGAAACCCTTTTCGTAAGACTGCTGCTGGTCCAATACGACTTGTGGAACGTTGAATGCCTGCTCTGGCATAGACGGCCAGAACAGCCGGGACAGGATCTTTGCGTGAAGCTGGAGATCATCAGGTAGGGGTCGACTCGTCTCGTCTTGCATACCTCGATCGCGGCGGACCACATTGTCGACTTTCCTTGAGTCCAGGACGTCACGGAGCATGACCTCGCAGCCTTGGAGCGCGGAGTCGCCGAAGCGGAGCTTAAGATGTTCAAGAACGCTAATCTCCTGGTTGAAGTCGGCCTTGTTCTTCAGTAGCCGGTCTGCTAGGGTGCTTTGAAGTTCCTTGACGAATACGTCTTTCGTGTCGAACAGCGTGATCAGACTGCCAATGACATCAGTGTTTTTGGATTTCATGTAGTCCGGTGCCGCGTCGATGGGGTCGGGGAGCCAGTCCATATTGTTCCAATCGAATTCATTGTCATCAGCAGACTTGTCTCGAACACTGCTTCGGTTCAGTTCAACAGCTAGCTCGCTGAGGACTTCCGGGTCTGAAGGGAGCTGTCCTTCTTGGCTGACAGGATCGCTCAAGAGTCCTGTGACGATGACCTTCACCGTGTCTTCACGCTCCCTCAGGTATCGTCGTAATTTTCTAGTGACTCGTTCAAGTAGCACGCCTTTTGGGTCGAGCACACGGAATGACCGGATAATGGAGATGTAGAGTTGGATAATTTCGATCGTAGACGCACCCGGATGCAGCAGACGTGTCTGGAGCACACTTGCAAAATCGTGAGTCAGAAAACCTCGAGTCGCAGGGTTTGTCGTAAAATGTCTGAGATCCTCGATAGCTGGAGCCGTCGCATCCCAGTCCACGATAATATCAAAGAGTTCGTCTACGCGAAGAGCGCCCAGACGAGCTGTGGCCATGTCTTTCCACTTCCTCGGTCCGACCGGTAATGATACGTTGGCTGCATTATCTTCAAGGCAAGCACAAGCCTTCTGGGCAATTCTGGAAAGCAAATGCTCCACCCAAAAGGCGAGATGGTCGTCCAGTCCTTCGCGGTAGACTCCAGCATAAGACCAAGTCACGAAGTCCGTCAACAGACCACTGAGGACGCCGGCAAGACACCTCTTGACAGTCTCACATCCTACAGTTGCTTTCCATCTGCTAAGACTGTCCCATAACGGCGACTTCGACTCCTTGGCAATTTGTGCTGTATGATCGTTGAGCGTAGGCTGACGGATCTGGGCGGCTGATGGGCATGATTCAAAGTGACTGTGGAAAGGCGAGCCGACATCACGGATCCATCGATTTTGACCATAGACAAAATGTTCGTCGCCGATACCGAGTAAAGCTCTGAGATGCTCTGTCAATCCTGCTTTGATCTCAGGGACTTGGTCAATCGCAGTCGCAGTGAAGCGCAGCGGTTGTTTGGGTGGATGGACTCCAGATCGCGCGAAGACTGAAGTGAACACCCCAGCACTGGGAGGACTGAGCTGAGTTTTCAACGCCATTAAGTTAGAGAGTGAGGACGCTTATTCATGCTGGTGGCGCCTCCATGAATTGTTTACCATGCGGTTACTGGTGTTTAGGGGAACGCGATGAAGTTGGCTGAAGTGCACGGCACCAAAAGGCATGCCAAGCGATTAGATTAGATCTGCGGCGCCTCGGCGCTAAATCTTCGAATGGGGATTCTGCTTATCTTCGTTACAAGACCACGCACATCGGATTCGAGAGTTCTTGCTAGGTTCTCAAGGATCAAGAGACGACGGATAGTAGGTATCACCCATCCACTGTGTTCCAGAAGCTAGCGGTAATAGACCCAAAGCCATGCTCCACCTTGGGTGACGGCCATACACAAAGCCGCGCCTCCCTTCCTCTTCGACATATCAGTCCGGGCGAGGCGTGGGAATGGTTTCTCTGCGAAGCTGCAAGCAATCGGGAATCCCGGCAACTCTTCGAGGAGCAAAAACAATCCCAGGTCATCTGTCTACATGAGAAGCTGGCAAGTGCCGCCTGGGGTGGTGAGATGTCCAAGGATGAAAGACATGCAATTCTTATCCTTGACCCTGACGCGATTTCTGCCTCAAGTACCCAATCTTTGACGACAGTCTCAGCGACATGGACTCATTCCAGAAGAAAGTTTCGCACAATTTGACGTTGGCCTGCCAATCTCGGGCCGTAGGTCGTGCTTCCAGCAGAGAAAGGCCCAACGTCCAAGGCTGAGATCCCGGATCACTTGTTGCAGCAAGCACAGTCCCGATCCAGGTAATGAAATCTTCGTTCTTGTCCGTCACGTCAACGGTTACCGAGTTCAAGAACCTGCAACGAACCTGCAGATATGCATTTGTGAGCCAGTACATCGCTCGGGTGTAGTCGTTAGAATAGCAGAAACCTAGCAGGGCGAGTATCACGAGTTGCTCAACCAGCGGCAAATTTGGCTGATGCAAGAACTCCCCACACAATGTAATGTTCCTGGAGTTGTGGGAAAGATCATGCAGACGGATGATGTCCTTTTCCTGCAACGAATTGTTGATGTCCTGATCCCATTTGTTGATGTGAGATATTAATGTTATGATTTGATGACTCAGCTCTCCAGACAAAGCCAGATCGGTGATGCCGCGAGGGAATTCCGCAATGATACTGCACAAGTCTGGGTCGAAGGGATGTTCTGGATAGGTGAACTGACCGTCGGCTGGTATGAGAGTCTGTCGACGCGATAATATTGAGTGTCGAGAGGCATAGAAAGTGAGCCATCTACATATGGAAATGGCGTTGATTAGTCACGGTTCTAGAATTGACGTCCTGCCGTTAAGCGGAGTTTGTACTCACGCAACTGCTATTGTTTTGAGGAATCCTTCAAATCCTGCGAGCTGTTAGCCATTTCAAAGATGGGATTCTGCAATCCCGCACCTAGATTGTCTGGACCGCCCCGCAGAGTTACGACATGTCGGATGGCTTGAGTGTGCATATCGACAGCCGCAAATTTGCCAGACATGGCCTTGGATATGAGGTCAAACTCCCGAACCTATAAACATTGTCGAAGGGGGCCACGCTCACCTCAAATCCGCAAAGGTTGCTCAGCGTCGCGATAACCGCATCGCTTGACCTTTGCGACTCATCTGTTAACCGCTGCCGCAGCATTGATACTGCTAGTTGATAGTATTTGAGTGACTCCGAGGAGCGCTCCCGATTGCCAGTTGCAGCGATGTTGGCTCCCATAGAGGCCATGGCGACCATAGCACTGAACACCATTCCGTCGTGCAGGAGGAACGGTACGTACTGGCGTAGAAGTGACAGATCCTGCCCGACCCCAATGAAGTGTGGACGCTGATTTGCAGACGGAGCATAATATTTCACATCTGATCGCGGAGAATCAAAGCGTTAGCGTTTGAGAGAGCCCAACGTCACTGGGTTCATACAGAATTGGACGGCTCGCTGGACGAAACCGTTTGCCTGAAGCGGATATCCTGTATGTTGCAATTCCATTGCGCTTGGGTCCCCTAGTTCCATCTTGTCCTTGGGGCTCTTTTTGGAACTGCGGCGACGTAAAAGCGGGAGACGTTTTCGCTGCAATGGTTGGCTGCTCGGAGTCGACAGTTGCGAGCAATGTCGTGCCTCGTCGCCTTCTTCTTGTTGCCATTTCGCGTATGGAGGAGATACACTCGAGCTCTGCCCACTTCGAGGACTACGACGCGGATGCATCGTTTCAGGGCTTCGTTCATTTTCAGCGAGAGTACATATAAGTTCTGATGGACAAAACGTTGGAATGTATGCTGATTGAAAAAGCCAAGCACAAGAACACGGCTCGTACTATGGTGCTGCAATTCCCACAAATCAGGGATTCCCCGGCATGTGAGGTCAAGACTGGGGTGTCTTCCCGCTCGCTAGGCCTCATGTATGTAGCGGCGAACTTGCGATCGAGAAGTATTTCCGTACGGACGACGGAACCGACCTCACACTTGAGAACATGATTCGCGTTGGCCACCGTCTCTCGAGGACAATCCCTATTAGGCAGCTTGAAGGGTCGCTCAAGTCCGGTTGTTATATGGTCAGCAGTACATCATTTCCCAAAATGCATTGCCGAAGTCTAAAAGTGAGCCTCGAGGTGGAGTCCCTGAATATCACAACAGCAGAAGCCCAGGCTCGTCAGTAAGACCTGGTGACGCCTAAGTTAGATTTGCGGTCGAGGGTAGCTGCAGATAGGCCAGTGGTATGCAGGTGACGACGGATCGGGAAGCTTTGACCATGGCAGGGACAGGGATGAATTTGCCCTGCGCGGGTGGCGAGCGCAAGAATCTTGGACAAATAACAGTTAACCCGTGCGCCCGTGGTGCCTACCTACCTTACCTAGGCACACCTACGTTCTAACTTAGGTGATTCTAGTTAAGGTAGTTAACTACAAGCACCTAGGTAGTAAGGCTCACAAGGCAGTGACGCCCCTATAAGGCTCACTAAGCTACCCGTGGCTACCTACCTAAGTTAGGTAGGCATTGGCTTGGCATCATCACGCGTGGTCGGAGTCCAAGGTGACAGCTCGTCTTTGGTAAGAATTCGAGAGAAATTTACCCCTGCAGCAAACCGACCTCTTTTCTGATCGTACCTCTCGAAAGAACCAGAAGTGGCGGCGGGTTTTTGTTCATCGATGCAGCCATCATTAGACGGACACTGCAACACTATATTGGACAACATGCGGGAAGCGGTATCCGTACACCGTGAAACAACCTGAGGAAACTCATTCCGCTCTGAGGATCATTTACAACACCGTCCCGTCGTCAAGATCAACATGGGCAACACACCTTGAATTCTTCTGCTCGGATATACTCTCTACGCCCGCCCCAGAGTCTGAAGATACCGTCGTGTCTTGAAGGAGGTAAAGCTTTGCAGCGCAAATTTGCAAAAACAATGCTACCCACGCCCTCGACCTCTCACGTATCCTACGACACTATCTACGAGCCGGCCGAGGACTCGTACCTATTCCTTGATTCGCTCTCCTCGTCTTCAGAGACAAGCTGGCTTCATTCTCGATTCTCCTCACCACCTGCTCCTTTCCTAGCCGAACTCGGCCCCGGCTCAGGCGTGATAATCGCCTTCCTGACCGCCCACGCCCGGACCATCTTCGGCACCGACATTCTCAGTCTGGGCGTCGACGTCAATTCGCACGCATGCTTAGCGACGCGAACCACTGCAGAGACGGCCCTCGTCGAAAACAGGAGCGGGGGCGTCTATCTCTCTTCCTTGACCGGTGACCTCACCACGCCCCTACGGCCACGGGAGGTTGACATTCTGGTCTTCAATCCGCCCTATGTGCCTACCGACAGTGTCCCCGCCTTTCCAGCCAAAAGCCACGCAACGGGAAAAGTCACGTTCGAAGAATCTTCACATCTGCTGTCGCTATCCTACGCTGGAGGGACGGACGGCATGGAAGTCACCAAGCGGCTGCTGGCCCAGATCCCTGATATTCTCAGTCAGCGAGGCGTGGCGTACGTCTTATTCTGTCGCGGTAACAAGCCCGAGGAGGTCAAGGCTTGCATCGGGAATTGGGCAGCTAGTGAGGAGTGGAATTGGTGCGCTGAGACGGTGGGAACAAGTGGCAAGAGGGCTGGCTGGGAGAAATTGGAGATCGTGAGAATATGGAGGGCACGAATTGATGGAAGTTGAATTGACGTCCGGAATATAGCGCGAGAACCATACCACGCCATATAAGGCGGATCAGGTTCAGTCGCAGAATCTTATTCATCGTCCAAGAACCTATCTCGCGGTCCTCGTAAGGAAAAGACCGGCTCCATATATCGAGCCCTGGTGTCCTGTCGTCTCGCGATTCAGCACTTGATGCTCGGCTCCGGCAAAATATATAGCCACAAGAACGTCGATTGCCCTGCTGATCTCATCTATCCAATCCTCTATCCGTTCAGCAATAACCAAGTAGGCTTGCATCTGCAGACCTCAGCTTCGGTCGGTTTTGCTCGAAGAAAAACATCTGGGTGACTACAGCTCAATAACCCAAGCCATACCCCTTGACTCGGGAAAAATAGAATGGCTTATCGTGCCTAAGATTAAACTCAGCCCAGTCGTCAGTAAGCAGGTTATAGCTCCAAAAGCCCTTCCAAGTAAGTTTGTTGTTCTTGGTGGTGTGCTTCGAGCGCCCGGCTGATTTCAAGGACAAATGCATTGTGTACCTGTACCGCGGACCAGCGCCCTCCGTCTCGATGTGCAAGTCACCAGGTGTCATCGTTGGTGAGAGATTAGAGGGCCCGACGCCATCTTGTGTCACACCAGCGGCCAAAGTCTCGAGGCTGGGATGACAAAGACGCCACCGGCCTCGAAGAACATGCTTCATGATATGTTGGGCAGCTGGAGGAGGTGCAACGGTGGTGGTTGCTGCAGCTGCTGAAGATGAGGAAATGCCCCCTTGTTTCCCAGGCACAGGTGTTACTTTCAATTGGCTTGAAGGCTCTTTCTTGCCGTTGCGGACATAGGCCAGATTCTCCAGTGTCAGATGATGGACGACGTCGACCGGCTCTTCAACTGTAAGAAGAGATAGGCAAGTACCGTCACGGAAAAAGCGCAAGTATCGATAGTAAGTCACAACATGAATCGGAGAACTCCAGGTGTATGCCGTGGCAGATGCACCTCCAGGCCGAGTATAGTTGACCGTCGAAATATAAACGCCCGTAAACCGGATGCGAGGATGAGTGTGGAAGACATCACGCCAAGTGCTCTGCTCAGGGAAGGAAGCCTCCGTTACAGGAGGAAGATCTTCATCTGCAGATTCGTCTCCCACCTCGCGGAAGACGAGCTCGCGGCCTTGGAGGTCTGTCGCAAAATTGTACTGTTGACCGGCCAAGCCAAATTCGGGACCTAGCGCGATACGTTTCCAGATGCCGTTGTCGATCCAGACATGATAGGCAAGCTTCTTACAGACAAGCGCCAACCGGGCAAAAACAGCGGGATCGCGAACAGCCACAAGTCGAAGCAATTCTAGGAGCACTTCCGTGGGTAGTTTTTGAATACCGCACGGTGGGGGACGGTCACCCGCAATAATTGGGAGAGCACCGTTAATTTGGCAATGAGCAAAGCTGTCAATCAGCTCGGCTATTGGTAACTCTTGCTGGGGTTCTTTCGATGAGTGGTGAGCAGTCGAAGGAACGGTGGCGGGAGCATTTGACGGGTTCGGATTTGTGGGTTTCGACTTGTTCGGAAAATGCTTCTGTCTGTAGGTCTGATCGACTTTTGCATCAAGCCTGTAGGCTTTGCGATAGTGAGAAAGACTGTCGCCCAGATTACCCTGCCTTTCTCTTTCCATGGCATGTTCAAAATGCTCTAGAGCGCTCTGTGGCTCCTGAACGGATGGCCTGGGGGTAAACTCATCATCATCGATATTCTGAATGCTGAGACTCTCAACACGTTGAGTCAATTTCGCGCTGCTTTCGCCAGTTTGCTCGGCATCGCTGTAGTGATCTGACTCGTCCTTGATATCGGCAATCGGGTGGCGGGTGGGCGGTTTGTTGGTTGGCCTCTCTAACCTGGCGTCACTTGTCCTTCTGGGTCTCTCCGGTTGCGGCAGTGACGGGCGCCCTTGAGGTTTCTTGGTGCGAGCATTGACTTCTTCCTTCCATTGTTTCCGAAACTGTTCCAGAGCTGATGCCGGATCATCCATGCTTCCGCGACTGATGTGCGCCCAAGAGTTATCAGGTTGTTACCAGACGTCCGTCTGGTGATCGACCTAAGGATGACGCTTCCTTCATGAACTCGGAAAATAATCCAGAAATGGTTCGAAAGATGTGTAAGGCTTGACGAGCGATTAGTTAGGTAGGATGGCTTTGTGGTGGCGTAGGAGGAGTAGTTTGTTCAAGATGTGGATGATTACAAAGGAATTCTAGTGAGTGTCTGGGGAATCTGATAACAAGCGACTTTCGGAGATCAAATAATTTAATGACGCTCGTTACTCGCTCCGGCCAAACCCGATAAAGCAACCGGGCGGCGACTGCATCATTTTTTTGGTTGTGCAAAGTCTCCATGTCATCGTCCTTGTCGCTTCTGATCTCTCCTCCAGCTTCCACACCAGCAGAGTCAGCGTTCAACCTGGCGGACTTCTAGCCTCCAGACCCTTCCCAAGGCGTCCAAGCATCGCGGGCTTGAATGTCCTATTCCTTCACCTCCCAGCCTGCGCAAGCACTTGACGGGCATCTCAACTCTCAATCCGCGCTCGGCCATGATGCAAAGTCACAGATTACGGGACAACGACATGACAGAGTACAGGTCCCGGAACAAAATACAGCCAACATGTCGGGATCAAACAGTTTCGAGATCACGACCACGCAGCGTATGATCTCGGCGACTTGGGGGAGTGTCTTGACTTCGCTGCTCGGTACGTCATAATCTTGTCCGTCTTCTATCTAGCACTGGGCTGACCCTTGGGCAGTAACACCTCTTGACGTCGTCCGTGTACGGTTACAATCTCAAAATCCCCCGGCTCCTGTGAATCTCTCTCGTTTTCCTGCATACTCCACAAGTTTCAAGCAATTACCTCCAGATCTCGGTGTCAAAGCGTGTTGTCGAGAAGTGTTTTGGGTTGGGGACAATGGACAATTCTGCCTTGCTGGGAATGGACCGACGCAGATTGCGAATGCTGCTGCAACCGAGTGTGCGGTGGAAGAGACGCGGAGAAAGACGTTTAACTCGACGCTGGACGGACTGAAGAAGATCGCGAGGAACGAAGGATATCTCACGCTCTGGCGGGGACTTTCTCCAACCCTGGCGATGGCTATCCCTGCGAATGTCATCTATTTCACAGGCTATGACTGGCTCCGATACAACCACGCCAGTCCTCTCAGGAAATTGACAAACGATGTCTACGTACCACTTATAGCGGGCTCGATTGCTCGAGTAGCAGCCGCAATTGCGGTCTCTCCGGTCGAAATGTTCAGGACAAGAATGCAGGCTACCTCTGGTGGTACTACTGGCGTCTTCAAGGACACTTTGCTAGGCCTGCACCGCATGACTCAGACCCAGGGATACACTTCTCTTTGGCGAGGGCTTACACTAACAATGTGGCGTGACGTGCCATTTTCCGGAATCTACTGGTGGGGCTATGAAGCTATGCGCAATCGATTGACAGATTCACGGGAAGCTGCGAGCGGGCGCGAGTTGGACTCTCAACGTTCCATGACCGGGGGCCGACAGTCACAAGCACACGAAAGCCAAATGACGACATTCGTCGACAGCTTCCTGGCAGGTGCAGGCTCTGGTGCAATTGCGGCATTCGTCACCACGCCGTTTGATGTTGGCAAAACACGTCAACAAGTCTACCACCATGCTGGTGATGATGCACCATCAGTGGTAGCTGCGAAAGAGTTTGCAAAACAAGGCAAACCAATCCCCGAAGAGCTCTCAATACCTCGATTTTTGTATCATATTTTCCGGGAAGAAGGAATGGCTGGATTGTTCAGAGGATGGGCAGCTCGGTGTCTCAAGATCGCGCCTGCCTGTGCTATCATGATCAGCAGTTACGAGGTGGGCAAGAAATGGGCGCGGAAGGTCAATGAGCAAAAAGAGAATAAAAAGGCTACAGCTTGAAACGCTTCGCACCGTTGACGGGCTGTGGAAATGATGTTATTGTATAAGTACGGCTGGGCCCTTTCTTTGTTGCATAGCAAGGCGCATTTGCACGTCACTAGGGTCCGAATCCCTTGATGTATATAGAATCTATTCGACTCTCTGTTTAATACCAAAGTTGATGAGAAATAAATAACGACTCAATCTCGTTGTCTTCAACTCAAAAAGGTGAATTTTGTGGAAGCTTTCGTCTGCATATTTGGCCCATATGATTGTGTGATATCTACGTAGGTCCAGTATCCATTACCTACGACGGTGGTGGCATAGACTCAACCTGACCGGCGCCTTCAATTCCCGCAACCCAATTGATTCGCTCCGGGGCGAACAGCTCAGCGCCGGGCTTGCTGTTGTTGATGACATTCACATCATCGATGACACCCGCCTTGATGATTCTCATGCCGTCCACGCCGCCGAAGGTATCGCCATATCTGAACAGGGTCGTGCCACAGTCCGGACAGAAACAGCTGGTAATCTGTTTTCCGCTGTCGGCGGTCTTGGAAATCTCCTTCGGGGTGCCTTTGGTCACCTTGAAGTTCTGGCTGGGCACGACGATGTTGTGGCTGTACAGGCCGCCGGAGATGTGTCGACAATCAGCGCAGTGGCACAAAGCCTGTTCGTGGGGTTAGCGGCCAAGCAACACATTGGAAGGACGGAGGGCTTTGGCTCGAAGGGGCTTGTTACGGTCATGGCGGGCTCGCCGCTGTACTCGATCTTGACGCCGTCGCAGAAGCAACTTCCTGTAGGCATGGTGGGCGAATTGATGGGATGAGGGTGTTTTACTGGCGACTTGCTTTGATCAAAGGTAAATGTTCGATTGAGCAGGTTGACGACGGACAGTGAGCTGCAGGACAAAACTTTCGAATACTTGGGAGATACCTGACCTTATTTATATACCTACGAACAGTTCCAGACTGTGGCTTGACTTTTGACACGGACTCGAAACTCCAATTGACCGACATCATCGAGCTGCCTTTGACCGCCCGTTACGCGGGGTCAAGCGATATGGGCCTATTTCCAGTTCCAGTATTTGAAATTTCGACAGCTCGACGGCTCCATTCTTCGATTCGGCAGGCATATGACGTGTTCCAGGATGGGAGATCTAGCGCACAAAAGGGTAAAAGGCCAAGATGACAGCTCGCTGCGAGGCTCATCCACCATTCTTCCGCGACCCGAGGCAAGCGATAGTCGATACGAGAAGTCTGACTCGATGGATACCGACGATGATCCATCTCAATCGCTCGAATTGTGGTGCCCAAGGGAGCTCGATTGGGCAGACATTGGCAGACTTGAACTTAGGAGCCAGCTATCATCCCCCACTGTCATCATTAGCGCACACCTGGCGCATGCTGATAATGTAATCGGGACCCTTGATGTATCGGAATGGGAATGGTCCGGTCGCTGCTTCCATCAAACATTTCCAAAACGGGCGGGAGCTTTTAAAGCAGCATTCTCATCGCCATGGCGGTACATTCTTTCCCTACAACAATAAAGCAGGATGGCCATCCCAAGAGAGATGTCACACCACTGATACATACGATATCAGAAGCCTACTACAGGCCGCTATCAAATACCTGGTTCTCACGACTGCGGCCCCCAGGGCCAGAACCAACCTCGGCAAGGCTGAGACCAATCAGGGGCACAGGTTATTCTGACCCCGACAGGGCAGCATGGTGACACAGGCTGCCACAATTGGCGCGGGACTGGTGTTTCGACGGCTCGGGCTTGTTCAGAGCCAAGGCGTCCATGGGCTAAGCAACTTTGCTGTACTATAGTATTGTCTGCTTCCTAGTCCGACGCCTTGTCGCGGACTCGAGAAACCTACGGCATTGTTGGCGCACCACTATCTGACCTTGCATCAGTAGCCCAGAGTCTTTGTAGGGATCAACCCATCCGCAACCCCGCCGAGGAGGAGCTACCAGGGAATCTCCTTTCCGTCGTAGGAGAGGAATTTGCCAGAGGAGTTCTCACGAGTGGCGCCATCGACCTAGAAACGCCCATCAGCCTTGTCCATAGCTCACAGAAGTCGAGCACCTTACCAGGCTCAAGATACCCCCAACACTCTGTGCAACGGTAAGCGGTGGCTTGCCTGGATAATTCCAGGACTTTGCCGCGATATCGCCCATTTCAGTCTGGACCCAGCTGCTTAGACGTCAGCTACAGACACTGTCTGTCTCATTCTGAAAGTAGCTACCCTGGATGCACTGCGACGCTGACTATGCCTTACTTCTCCAGCTCGAAATGCAGTTTGCGGACGACCCAGTTGAGCGCAGCTTTGGCTGGTCCATAAGCGCCGCCGGGCATCGGCTCCATCCATTCGCCGATGCAGCCAACACTGGACGAGAGGAAGAATATCTTCGTCGGAGCAGCTGCCACCGCCTCGTCCAAGGGCGCGCCCATCAACGGCCAGAAAGCCTGCAGCCAAGTCAATGGGGTGATGGTGTTAACCTCAAAATGCTCCCTCATCGCTCGAGGCGAGGTTTCGAGCACCGGTTTCATCACATCTGTATGACCGATTGAGCTGATGAAGACGTCGACATGGTTGACTTTTGGCCTTATCTCATGGTCCAGCAACGTTTTGAGTGCGCTCGTTTCAGTGGTTGTGCTAAAATTGACCGCTAGGGTGTGCAATTGGGTTCCCTCCCCTTGGGAAGTCTTCAAACATGCTTCAGACAGCGACACGACCGGCGCCCCAGGGCGGACGGTAGCGATGATAGTGGTTCGCGGTCTGACAAGCAGTGCTTGCACGAGTCCAAGACCGATACCTAGACCATGCTTAGTGATGTCTGTTCAGTCCCACAAACTCCTGTGGTGGCGGGTTTGGAACTGTACCTTTATTGGCTCCCAGGACGACATAGACAGTATTGCGGTCACTGGATGCCATTTTGAATCTCACTGGTGGTCGATAACGACGGTGATATGGAAGCTGCCCACCTTGGGAGACAAGAAGTTCGGTAGAATGCTTTTGCGGGGTCAAAAAATTGGCGGGCAACAATGAGACAGATGCCTACGGCTAGCACTTGTTGCATCACTGTAGGCCAATCAGGGCAGGGAGTACGACTGTCTCAACAAGGCGCTTCCAGGGAACAAAACTTGTAACCCTCTTAGAGAAAATTTGACCTACAAGTTCCTGGCCCGGCGCCTTATGGCGGTTGCTTCCCATCTGACACCGAGTAGTCGGCTTCGTAGTCGTCGTCCAACACGGCATCGTTTTGAAGCAAAGACCCCAACGACCTACAGTCAGAGCATTTAACAAGTGCGATTGGAGAGGTTTACCTGGTGCGACTGATATGATTACATAAGCTAAGGGGCAAGGCTGTGTATTCGCCAAGACCTCCGGCGAAAATCATCCTCAAGGCTCCGATCAAAGAGATTTTCGATGGCGCTCACTTCATCCTATGCGTTTACAACCGTTGATGGAGAAAGAGGGTCCAGATCGGCGTGTTCCAAGAAGCCTACTGTGGACCTGGACATCATTGATGCCTGGTAGTAGAAAATATGGCGAAGTCCAACAATCTAATGGCGCCCTCCCGAAATCCAGCTAAGCAACGGAATTCTGAACCATCAAAAGGCAAGAAGCGATCTGCTACCGAAGCTTTCACCTCGAAGCCCGGCTCAGTCGAAAAGTCACTCAAAGACCACCGCAACAATATCAACAGTTTTGCCGCGCAGGCCAAGACAGTAAATTTTACCGATGCATCGGGTGGCGACCGTACCGACGACACGGCGGCCAGCTCGGAGCCGCAGAAGTCATCTAGAGGCCCGTACCTCAAAGAACGAGCTCGGAACCTGTTGACCTTCAGGCAAAAGTTACCAATCTACGGCCATGCGGATGAAATCCGACAGACCGTCCGAGACCACAATGTACTTCTGTTGGTGGGAGAGACCGGTTCCGGAAAGTCGACGCAAATCCCACAATTTCTCATCAACGAACCATGGAGCAGTAAAAAGACTATCAAGGGTGGCGCCAATGTTGGCGGCTGTATCGCAATCACCCAGCCTCGAAGAGTTGCTGCAATTTCGCTGGCTCGGCGCGTTGCAGAGGAAATGGGCACGCCGCTGGGAAATTCAAGTCCGGCTTCTCAGGTCGGCTATTCAGTCCGATTCGAGAACAGTACGAGCCCTTCTACGCGGATCAAGTTCTTGACAGAGGGCATGCTCCTACAAGAAATGCTCCGAGATCCCTGGCTGAAGGAATATTCTGCGGTCGTGGTTGATGAGGTTCACGAGCGTGGGGTGAATGTGGATCTGGTGCTAGGCTTCCTGAAAAGGTTGCAAGGTCTTCAAAGCAAGGATGATGGTCGGGGTGGCATCGGCATCAAAGTTGTTGTGATGAGTGCCACAGCAGACATGGAGAAGATCCGGGACTTCTTCCACATCAGCTCAACGAGCGTCCCGAAGGAAGACAGCCGTTCACCAGCCATGGAACAAGAATGGTCCGGATTCTCCAATGATCCAGATGTTACCGCAAAGGACACCGCTCAACCGTCTCCTTCCTCTGCAAATGGCGTCTCGAAAGGCTCTTCGACTGCCTTACCCTCAAGGCCCTCGGCAACCGCCACATCCCTCTTCATCAAAGGCCGCCAATATCCTGTCAGCATCACCTACACCTCGTCCCCTGTCCCAGACATCCTCGACGCCGCCTACCAACGCATAATGCGCATCCACACACACTCCCCCCTGCCAGGCGACATTCTCGTCTTTCTCACTGGGCAAGAAACAGTCGAATCGCTCCTCAGTCTAGTCACATCATGGTCCACCTCGATCCAAAAGGACGCCGCCCTCTCCAAAGCGCTCCCCAAACTACTCATCCTCCCCCTCTACGCAGCGCTCCCCTCCGCGGCCCAACAACGCGTCTTCCAGCCCACCCCGAAATTCACTCGCAAGATCATCCTATCCACCAACATCGCCGAGACATCCATCACGGTTCCCGGCATCCGCCACGTCATCGACACAGGCAAAGCCAAACAGCGCCTCTTCCGACCCTCGCTCAATCTCGACACACTCCTCACGGTCCCCATCTCCCGTAGCTCTGCGAATCAACGCTCTGGCCGCGCCGGCCGCGACGCCGCCGGCACAGCATACCGTCTCTACACACAATCCGACTTCCACCAGCTCGCCCAGGACACCGAACCCGAGATCCTACGTTGCGACCTCAGCCAACTCGTCCTGACACTCAAAGCGCACGGCGTCGACGACCTCGCCAGCTTCCCATTCCTAACGTCCCCTCCCCGCCGTGCCCTCGAACGGGCAATGATCCATCTCCTCCAACTCAACGCGCTCGATGCGTCGGACGGACAAATCACACCACTCGGTAGGGCGATGAGCGTGCTCCCATTGCCCGCGAGCCTCGCGCGTGTCCTCCTGGCCAGCGCCGAACCCCAGTATTCCTGCGTCGACGAGATCATCGACATCGTATCCGCCCTCAGCGTCGAGAATATCTTTCTCAATATTCACCACCACAACTCTCCAGTCTCATCATCCTCATCCACTGATCCTCTCACGCCCATGTCCAACTCGAAAAAGGCAAACGCCGATCTCGACGCCGAAGACCCCAACGCCGACGCCGACGCCGGAGACCCCCGCGCAACGCTCATCGCCCAAAATCGTCAGACCCTCTACCGCCGCGAAGGCGATCACCTCACCCTCCTCGCGACCATGCAAGCCTACGCGGCCGAGAACGCCGACCGACGCCGCTGGTGCGACGACCGCGCCATCTCGCACCGCGCCATGTCCGGCGCCATGGACGTGCGGAAGCAATTGTTTAGCATCATGCAGCGCCATCAGAAAAATTCTCAATCTCAGCACAACTCCTGCCGAGGCAATGACGAGAGCAAGAGCAAAAGCAAGAGCAAGGAAAACGTCAACGACGAGAACGAGAGCAAGAGCAACAATAAGGACAAGGACAAAGACCAGCACGATCCAACCACCCTACCGATTCGAATACTAAAATGCCTCCTGACCGGCTTCCACCCCAACGTCGCGCGTCTCTCGGCCGACGGATCGTACCGAACCCTTTTGACCAATCAGCCCGTGGCGATCCACCCAAGCAGCGTCCTCTTCTCCGTGCCTCGAGGACCTACTCCTAGAAACGAAGGGAACGAGTCCGGTGAGCAGGGGCCCACCAAAGCACGCAAATTTGAAGGCATAATGTACAATGAATTCGTCTACACCGGCACCAAGGCGTACGCTCGCGGTCTGAGCGCCATCGAGATGCGATGGGTCGGCGAGGTTCTGCGTCGATAAACACCAAGCTAACATATAGACTTGTTCCGAGACTATAATTATTCTCTCCATCCTCCTTAACTTGCTCCTACGTCCAAAGCAGAATCAGCCAAGTAAACGAAGGAGAGCTTAGTCTAGCAACGTGATATTTTCTATCTATATGCATTGTGCATCCATAAAAGGCGATGCATCTCATCAATCCTTGCTTAACAAAACTATCTCTATTCCTGGTCATTATATGTAGGCTCAAAGGAGCCTCACTGCATCACGAATTTCGTACATCTAAATTGACGACGAGCGTGATCGTGAAAATGACCTTGAGACAGCTAGAAAAGATGAACAAGCACATAGCAACGGATGCGAAAACATTGCGCCTTGCTGCTCGAATTCATTGTCGTCTTCGTGGGCGATAACCTCTGCCCGTGCTCCTTTGCCGCCAAAACTCCCAGAAGTATTGTTGCCCTCTCATTTTTTGAAATTGGTCGGCCACTGATTCAAATGCCGTGATTCTGGTATCTCAAATATATATGAATCATCATAACTCGTAAAGGTGCTTGCTGCGTGTGGGGTTTTGCAGCTTAGAATGTGATTGGTAGATATGGTTATCGAACCCAGTCTTCGTCCTCACGTTCGTCCCCATCAAGGGACAACTCTGGGTTCGACATATCTGGAGCAACCGACCACGACGGATCTTCAGCAATGCTGGTTGCCGGCATAACTGGTCTCTGCTGAAACATGTGCAGATTGGACAGCCCCTCCATATGTGCATACATCTGGGCTTCTCGTATGGTATATGGATGCTCAGCATTGCCAACACTTCCCGGTGTCGAGACACTTGGAGTCATTCCTCGACTTACGCTTGACATTCGTGATTGCCCTTGGGACGGTTCGGGAGATGCCATCTGCATTTGTGCCATTTGTTGCTGCATTTGTAGGCTTTGCAGCCGCTTGGTCTCTGCTTCGGCTCGTTGGAGGTAGTCGTCGATGTCAAGACTTCCGAGGTTGTCGTTGGCTAACATGTTGGCTTGAGGCGTCCCAAAGCATGACGAGGCTGAGCTCAACCGATATCTGTCGGAAGCGTCATCTCCCGCAGCGCTGCTGAAGTCATTGTATGACTCCAAGTTAGGCCTTTGGTCAAATTGAAGCGGTTTTTGATCATTATTCCAACGAGTGGACGGAGGAGACTGCTCATCGACTTCAGAAACGTCACCAGTCGAAGAATTAACACCAACTTGGTTGATTTGTCTTGTCAGATCGAAAGTCTGATAGGGTGTTTGTTGTCCCAGACTGGAAGAATTGAACTGATTCATACCATAGATACCAGTATTCTCGTTATTGGTGATGGTAGTGTTGTTGTTGCTGCTGTTAACGTTGCTGTTATTTTCGAGATTGAAACTAGACCAGTCAACAGACGCAAGCTCATTATACTTTGGCGGATCATAATCATGAGCTTGCTCATAAGTCATGAACCAACTCTCCGGAAACTGGTCTGGCAGAGTCAGATCCGACTGGCTTGCATTTTGACTATTTTGGAGGCTGTTGGTCTGTGTCGGAGGAGTATCAGCGCCAAAGGGGGAATAAGAATAGGCTCTCGGGTCGAAATGAGGGAGGTTGAGATCTTGCAGTGGAGGATCGGGATGTTTCTGAGGGCCAAGTATCGGGGAATTATGCTCTGATCTGGTCTTGCGTTCTACCATTGCCATCGCGTCGGTGATAGAGTGATGCAGGGGGGATTCCTGGAAAGGTCTCGAGGACTTGGTGAGCAGAAGATTATCGGTAGAACGTTGAGCGATCTCGCGATGGCCATGAAGGGAGTGGGAGCGTGATGGGATCTTATAAGGGGCTCCGAGCTGATTGTGCGCGTCGTTGAATTTGTGCACAGGCTTGTGATGACCATTGGTAAAGATTGTCGTTTTGGGATCATGGGAGTTGTGGTTCGGGCGAGGTTTAGGATGTTCTTTTGGCTGGATCATGTGTGCAAGGTCTTCAGGGACGATGTCGAGTTCCTTCTTCAAGGCACATGTGCAACGTTGACCATGTTGACAACAGCAGGTATTTGATTCTAGTGCCTTGTCAGTATATGCGTAGTGTCGACTGTAGCGTCGTGCGTACCAGTCTTCACAACGCCTGGTTTCTCATGTGGACAATCTTCTTTTGCATGCGCCTTGTCGTGGCACTCGCATTTCACATGCTGAGAGCGAGCCTTGCGCAGACCTCGGCAGTGTTGGCATTGTGATACCGGTCGACCTTTCTTGTTGACGTGGACGAGGGGACGATCTGAAAATCCAGCGATCAGTATGAGTGCGCAGAAAGTTGTTCTAAACTCCCTGCGATGCGCAACAGCACTTACCCTGGTGGTGACAAGAACTGACACGATGGCCTCTTACGCATGCCTCGCAGGCAAATTTCTCGCCATTGATAAGCATGTTGAACCGCGGAGTATCTCCTGTACCCCTGGGAATTCCACCAGACGATTGTCAGGCAGGAGGAGGCGGAAGTGGCGTAGTATGGGCTGGGAAGGTCTGGTGGTCAAAAATTTGGCGCGGGTGCGGAGGCAGATCTCGACGACGAGGAGACAGGAATGACTTCTATTTGATGTGGCAATTTCCGTCGCACATAAACCGGTGCGAGACAGGATATCGGGAGGGTGGTGGATGCGAGGCGGTCGTGGTGGGATGTGTGCGGAAAGCGATGTTGAATGTGACTCGGTAAAAATCGAAAGAGACCACCAGACGCCGGAAAAAGATTTGAACAAGGAAGGAAACGTGTTGCAACGTCGGAGGTTACGGATCAGGATCAGCCATGGTGGTTGCGACTTCTCGCGAAGATGCTGAGGAAAGCGATGAGCAGGAAGACAGAAGAGGTGGGTGAGCACGGAAGAAATGAAAGTTCGAGAAGGAGAGAAAGAAGCGAGCCGCAGTCTTTGATGGGGACGATCTCCACGAGGATTCCTTCTTGGACTTGGTCACATTGCAACTCGGGTCCAAGTCCACGATTCGGCAGGGGCAATAATCGTGAATAATGGGCACCAAGCCAGGTGCTCGGGCGTTCAAAGCCATCGCTGATGCCGCCCTTAAGCTAGAGTCGATTAGGTACTCCGGGGCTTACTTCCTAAGAGCCTTAAGGGCACAGCGCCGCGTTACATCAACCCCTCCATTGAACGCTTCGTACTCCGTACAATGCCCTGTGACCATCGACCAAGACGACTTTCTCCCACAACTTCTCGGCTGTTGCCCGCACTATTCTGTACTCGACGACTCGTACGCGCAGATGCATTGGGGGTGCCACCAGAGAACCGCCGGGATGCCACGCAATCGCAGAACCAATATCGGAGAATTACTCACGTTAGTACGGAATAATGTCACAGGGCCACCAGGGCACTTCCTCCCACTTCTCCATGGACATTGGTCCAGGCGCTCTTTAATTGGAACTCCATCGCTGTCGGTGCTCCCTATCGTGTCGAATAGATCGACTGCATGGTCCTGCCCTTTTCACTCATTAGATACGGAGCTATGGAGAGGAATATCCCACGCTCACTGTTCCGCACGGAAAAGTCGATATAGAAAGATAAGCTCAAATTTTCGTATTTATCAAGACATCAACTACCTAGAGGAAAATGGCTGTCATATCCATCTCCCAGCTCTTTCATAATGTTGCGGGCATATTTTTGAGGCATTCAAAGCACTTCCATGTCAGCCACTCAGAAAAGGCAAGCCAGACAAGTGAAGGCAGCCATCACCGAATTGTCCGTTCGTACCATCGTGATGCCTCTCGCGTCTTGCGTTCATATTGTTGCTCTTCCTCAAACAATAGAACGCTGTTGTCCAACTCCGTGTAATGCAATTCAAGCTTCAAAGAAATTCTGTACAGCCCGGTAAAAGCACAGCTCAATCACTTTGACTTACACAGCTGGTCCAGCCTTGATGACTTCCTCAGTAGCCTCGTCAGAGTATTTCTTAAAGTTTTCATTGAAGAGCTTGCCCAGCTTGGTGACCTCCTCACCAAAGTCGGCTGACCCAGTCCAGCTCTTCTTGGGGTTCAGCAGCTCGTCTGGAACACCGGGGCATGTCTTGGGAACGTTGAGGTTGAAAACATCATATGTCTCGTACTCAACCTTGGCAAGCTCGCCGGAGTGGATGGAATCCAAGATTGCTCGGGTATACTTCAGCGGGCAACGTTTGCCGCCAGTAGTGGCACCTGCACCGACCCAGCCGGTGTTGAGAAGCCAGGCGTTGGTAGAATGTGCCGACATCTTGTCTGCAAGCATCTTGGCGTAGCGCATAGGATGCAGTGCCAAGAAAGGCTGAGCAAAGCAGGAAGAGAAGGTGGCTTGGGGCTCAGTAACACCATCCTCGGTACCGGCCATCTTGGAGGTGTAGCCAGAGATGAAATGGAACATGGTTTGAGCAGTATCCAACTTGGAGATAGGTGGTAGAACACCACGAGCGTCGCAGGTGAGCAGAATGATGTTGGTGGGGTGGTTGTCGCTCATGCAAGGAATCTTGGCGTTGTTGATGTAGTCGATGGGATAGGCACATCTGGTGTTCTCGGTCAAGGTGGCATCGTCGTAGTCAACGTCACGGGTCTCGGGGTCGAAGACGACGTTCTCCAGAACCGATCCGAATCGGATGGCGCCGAAAATATCGGGCTCCTTCTCGGCGGATAGGTTGATGCACTTCGCATAACATCCACCCTCGATATTGAAGACACCCTTGTCAGACCAGCAGTGCTCATCATCACCAATGAGCTTGCGCTTGGGGTCGGCCGACAGTGTGGTCTTGCCAGTACCGGACAAGCCAAAGAAGACAGTCACATCGCCCTTCTCACCCTCGTTGGCTGAGGAATGCAGGGTTAGCACGTTGTGCTTGACAGGCATCTCGTAGAAGAGCACCGTGAAGATGCCCTTCTTCATCTCGCCGGCATATTCGGTACCAAGGATGACCATCTCTTTCTCGGCAAAGTTGATGGCCACGCTAGTGGCGCTGGTCATGCCGGTGGTATATCTGTTGGCGGGGAAAGACCCGGCATTGTAGATAACATAGTCGGGGTGGAAGTTCTGCAACTCTTGACGAGAAGGTCGAATAAGCATATTCCGCATGAACAGTGCATGATAGGCACGGGCGCAGACGACTCGAACGCTGATGCGGTACCGCTCGTCCCAGCCAGCGAAGCCATCGATAACGTAGATACGGTTCCGGGTATTCAGGTAGTCGACAGCTCGTTCTCGGTTGATCTTCCAGACCTATGAGAGAAGTGATCCGTCAGTTATTGTTCCTCATATTTCCGTAGATACTCCATATCGCAGCCGCAGACGTGTTCGATGTGGGGCAGAATGCAAATGCCCATTTCAGGTGCCGAACATGGGGGTCCGTCCACACCCGGTAGCCAAGAAATTTCTTAGCCGCGGCTCAAGGTCAAGGATACGTCATAGGCCTTGTTGGAGCAACGCGGGGCAGTGGTTTATGTGAGAGAAATTGTCCCTCCTGCCGTTCGCCCACATTGCAGCTTCCATGGAGCGCGTTGCGGGGAAGGACCACCCTAGGGATGGAAGCCAACGGTATTGATTCCATCATGCCTTCCAAATGGAGGTAGCTGCGCCTGGTTGCATCATCTTGCGATGATGATGACGGTTGGCTGTAGTTGGACGGGTACAAGGACTGGATAGAAAACAGAAGGACGGCGAGGTATGACACAGAGAAGACTCACTTCTGGTGACATGGGCTTGTTCACAGGTCCCCACCACACATCCTTCTCTGAGCTCTCCTCCTTGACCACTCGCTTGTCCAGAGGAGAACGACCGGTCTTGTTGCCTGAGTAGGCACTCAGAGCACCCGAAGACGTGATAGCGGTACCAGTCTCGTAGACCAAAGCATCTTCATAAAGAGCCGATACAGATGGATTGGCAACAATGGCCACTCGGTCATAGTCAATGTGGGCTGTCGTGTGAAGTTCCTCTTCCAGTTCTGTGTGTTCACGACCTGGCCTGGGTAAAATATGTCAGTTTGCGACGGTCGAGAACGACGACGACAACTTACTCGACACCGCCTGGGTGGAGAGCGGTCTTGTTGACCGAGTGAGAGACCATTTTGGAAGAGTATGCTCGCAAGTTGGTCTTTGCTAGATTAGAACGTGCTGTGCCAGTACCTGGGGAGGGCGTGTGAGGACGGATTTGCTCGGTAGCCTGAAGACGGGCAGAATAGTCAGAGGCCATGGATGCGGAATTGTGTCTTTTGTATACTTCTTGCTCCGGGGCCAAGCCGAAAGTCGAGGTGCTGTTGCCGAAGGATGAACGGGAGAGTTCGGAGCTCGATGATGAAGTTTCTGAGGCACAGACTGTCCGAGTCTTTCCGACGTTCGATGATTGGCGAGGAGGCAAGTATCGTGGATAAGATATGTTCTGATAATTGGAGATGAGATGCGGAGCGGGCGAAATCAGTCTGGACGCCCTTTTTATTATCGTGCAAGGCGTGGTTCGAGATTTGAGGGAACTTGAAGAGATTGAAAATGCAAGTGACGACAGAAGAAGAGGTCTGAGACCGCAGGTGGAGGCAGACAACCTGGACGTCAGCTGAAGCGAGCTTTCATTGTCATCGAATGCTCTTCCCCCGCTTCTCATCACGGCGCAGCGCACCTTGGCTACCTACCTAGTACCTATTATTACAGTCTGTAAAAGTCCCTAGTTATTGCAACTACGAAAGACGCCCGGTGCACGTTGTGGAAGTTACCTAGGTAGATTAGAACTATCTGAGTTTTCCCTTGACCTTTCGGGCTCTCTACTGCTGTTTCAAAGAAGATGCTTGGCAACAGTAAACGGCTGACTCTGCCAAAAGTGCCTCGAGAGCTCTTTCAGGGTCAAACGGAGATTTTCCAAAACAAACAAGCCCTCTAGACTCCGCAATAGGCACTGTGCGTCAAACAAAGCGGGGGATCGCTAGCCGTAACCAGATCGTGCCAGATCATATCATCATCCCGAGCAATATGGTGTTCAACACAGCCAGTCCCGCAACACCTCACAGGAGACTACATCATTGTCTGAGATGTGGTCGAATCATCCCCTCTCACTACCGAGTCCTTGATCAGTCACGGCCAAGCACGGTGACAACAGTGGTGTTGAGGAACTGCAAACACCAAGAATTCATCTCGAATGCCTTGTTCTCAATTTACGTCACGGCGATCAAGCCGTCTTCTGCCAGGCTCCATAAACACCAAGCAGACTGCTCGTCGTGCCAGCCAGACCAATGATGCCGTCGTCCAGGTTGACGTAGCCAAGTGCGGTGCTGGGCACCGTGAGATCACAGAGATCTGAAATGAGCTGAATGTTGACGGCTTTTCGTTGTCTATTGTAGACTGTCAGCCTCACAATGACCGACTTGGTGATGAGGTTCACTTACTTGGCGATCTTCACTTTCTCGACCTTGGCCTCTGCGTCTTTCTCGTCGACTGCGCTCGTTCGCTCTCTCAACTTGTAGTTGTTGTAGATTCCCGCCAAAGCACTAGCAATCAACCCTGTGCACCAGAACCGGTATGCAAGGGTTTGGATATTCTTGGCCTTGGGATCTTTCTTGACCCCCATGGCGTCCAACACTGTCATCATGTCGAACATCATGTAGCCCGCATAGCCTATCTGTCGGAGGATTTGAAGGTATTGCGTAACTTTGTCGCCGTTGCTGGATTTCATGGCAGCATCGTAGATTTCGGAACCCGCACGCAAATGTTCAACGAACTTGCCAACCCGGAGGATCTTTCTTGTGAGGGAGAATTGGTTCTTCAGGGTCACCCATGGCTGAATCGCACTGGTCGGATTGTTGGTGCGGTAGAGATACCAGGCATAGAATCGCGCAAAGTATTGGATGGTACGGAGGACTTTGTCTCGACCGACTGAGTGGTGATGGAGTCAGCACAGATTCTTGGGAGCGCAGAAACATGTCTTACCTGTGGTCGCGACATATCGGAGGTAATGGGTCACCGCAGGGTGATAGACCAAGGCGTCTGCGACCATGGCTGCAGTATCGGGAGTTTGAGGAATAAGTGGAAGGGATTATCAGGCAACCTCAATTTGACGGAAGAATCTGAATGCAAACTCGGAAAGGTGTGATGCTTTGATAAGAAAGTTGAAAAAGGTCTGGATTTTGGCACCAAGCACCAGGCAGTACAAGCCTCCGACCGGGGACAAGACCGCCTTATGGAATGTTGGAGGGAGACTGGAGGGAGACTGGAGGGAGCACGAGGATTGTGGGAGATTGGGCCAAGCTTGCGGGCGAGCCGTGCATATTATTTCCATTTGACACCTACGGACGCCCTTTTACACAGCGAGACAGCACAGTACCTCCTAAACATGTGGTCAGAGATACCTCGGTGTGCTCGGTATTCGCCATCATCCTCTCATCTTCCGCCGGCTATCATGGGGACAGCTACCATGACATTTGAAGCCGACGCGTCGTTAAGTGTTCTTCGAAACACCTATATAAAGCCACTATAGGCCCACACTACTGTTCAGCACGTCAAGTGACTGCTTGCTCATTCCTTGCACTAAATGCAGCGTTGATTTTAGTGACACCGAGACTATTTCGGCTTGTTATTAGTACAGTACCCATATAGCAGAGTTTGTCACAATTGATCGGTTCATGCACATCAAGAACCTTTAGTGGCCGGATTCTTCCGAGTTCGCTTGACGTTCTGTCGATACGGTGAATAGTAGACTTGACGTTCTGTCGATACGGTGAATAGTAGATGTGCGATTCAACTGTAAGGCTCTGCATGAAGCCCAATATATATACCGGTACTCCATACCTTAAGCATGGACGTAGGAAGATGGTTCCCGAAGTCCGCAAGCCGAGGCTTCTCCAAGCAATGGTTCTGCGGGGAGACGGCATCAGAGGGCCTCGATGGGAATGGTGCTGATGGTGCCATCTCCAGATCAGTCTTCGCTTTATCTGCAAGTACTCGGTAGTCGGTAGTCGTTTAGCTGCGACCTGTGAATCTTGAGACCACATTCGGTGAATTGGGTGTTGGCACCTCTAGGAGGCTCGTTTGATTTCGAGGTAGCTATTCTTCGAGTACCTGCGCATCTCAGCAGCTTGTTCTGCACATCCCCTCAATCGCAAGCCTGCGATGCCGACCAATTCATCCTTTCCGGACATCCAAATTCCCAATGTCGACCTCTGGGGTTTGATGTTTGAACAGCCTCGAGATTTCCCTGACTCACAAGGTAAGCCCCACTGTTTGGTTTGGTTGCAGGGACTGATCATCCAGTGATATATCGTTCTGTTGATGGATCTCGACACTACACCTGGGCCGATGTCAAAGAAGGTGCAACGGCATTTGGCGGTGGCCTTCGAAACTTATGGGATTGGCAAAGGGGCGATGTCCTCAACATCTTCGCACCAAACGATGTCGACTTTGCTGCTATTGTCTATGGAGTGTTCTATGCCGGAGGCATTGTATCACCCGCCAATCCAGGCTACTCCGCCGACGAGCTGTCCTTCCAGCTGACCAACTCCGAGTCGAAAGCAATCGTCACAACAGTCGATTTCCTGCAGACAGCGCTGAAAGCGGCCAAGAAGTCCAATATTCCGGAGGATCGAGTCATCTTGCTGGGCCAAGGCCGTGACCCCAGTCACCGATGCAAGCATTGGACAAATATCCGCAAAACGAGCGGATCAACTCGATATCGACGACGCAAGATGGATCCAGACAAAGACCTCGCCTTCTTGGTATATAGCTCTGGAACCACTGGTCTACCCAAGGGCGTCATGCTAAGCCATCGGAATATCATTGCTGATCTCTTGATGATCAAGTCGGCTATGGGGAAGTGGTATTCCAGTGGGCAGGATAGGATCCTCGGAGTGTTGCCTTTCTACCACATCTACGGATTGACTGGACTTGTACAGCAGCCGTTGCACAGAGGAATCGAACTTGTGGTGATGCCGGCCTTCAACCTCGAAGTGTTCTTGAAGGCTGTTCAAGAGCACAAGATCACGTTCATTTACGTGGCTCCCCCAGTGATTGTTCGATTGGCTCGCGATCCGCTTGTGGATCAGTATGATCTCAGCAGCATCAGGATGATCACCAGCGGTGCAGCGCCTTTGACGCGGGAACTGGTTGATGCTGTGCACAAGAGACTGAAGATCAAGATCAATCAGGCATATGGTCTGAGCGAAACTAGCCCAATGACCCACACACAGGTAAGAGATCATGGCATCCAAACACTGCAATGGGCTTGACTAACAAGAATAACAGCCCTGGGACGAATGGTATACGTCGGTCGGCAGTGTAGGCAAGATGTTCCCCAGTATGAAAGCGAAGTACATGTCGCCAGATGGCGATGAACTCGGACCTGGCCAGACAGGAGAACTATGGTTGTCTGGACCGAACGTCTTCAAGGGGTACTGGAAGAACGAAGCAGCCACCAAAGAAGCCATTACGCCGGAGGGATATTTCAAGACAGGAGATGTTGGTTTTCAGGACAAGGATCACAATTTCTACATTACCGACCGGGTCAAAGAACTGATCAAGTATAAGGGATTCCAAGTTGCTCCAGCCGAATTGGAGGGCAAATTGATGGATCATCCATACATCAACGATGTAGCTGTGATCGGAGTGAATGATGATCATCAGCATACAGAAGTGCCTCGGGCTTATGTGGTGGCCGCTGAAGGAAAGAACGGTGAGAAAGAAGCAGAAGAGATTGTCAAGTGGCTAGAAGATAAAGTGGCCAACCACAAGAGACTGAGGGGCGGCGTGAGGTTTATCGACGAAATTCCCAAGAGCGCAGCAGGCAAGATATTGCGACGGATATTGAAAGACAAGGCCCAGGAGGAGGTTTCGAGGAACATCAAAGCCAAGCTATGAAATGGAATGTCTTTGTTGTCATCACTCGGGCCCTACGTGGATAGTTGCTGCCACATTAGGTGTCTATCTCTAGCCTTCCAGTGAAGGGATGCCACCTAAAGTCTCCGTGGAGGCTACCTGAAAGGGCCCCGAGCAGACGAGAGCCAACCCACATCATGCCTATCAAGTCAACCTGCATAGGCGCCAAAGTCAAACCGAGACAAGCAATGATACCAAGCTTTCTCGACGATCGAGCCTCGTGACTCTTATCTCTCTTTGTCGAAGTGCATCAAAGCCGTCTTTACCGACACACGACGCCGAAGAAAAACTTTTCCAACCACGACTCCGCCTAGACTCGAGGCTGGTGCAAACCTAAACCGATGCAGACTCTGGGAGAACGCATGGCCCAGTTATTTGAGATTCTTTCTCCTATCATTCTTCCACAAGGCGACCAATACTCTAACTGCGCTCTACACACGTGTTAAAGAGTGGAAATCCTTCAAGCCCACAATCTTTCGGTGGGTTACGCGTCCCGCAGATAATAATGCAATAGCCGGCCATTCTCCTGCTTATCGAACAGGCCGACATAGCATTGAAGGTCCTGCAAACTTGCGAAGCGCACGGAGGTCCCGAATCTCGGCTTCGCGGCGTGCAACCTACGCGCGATGTTACAGTCTGAGCGCTCTACCACCACTCATCAAGACGCTAGATTGACTACAAGCGGCATCTCGTCAGACGAACCTTGACTCGATCTAGCTGGTTTTGAGTTATCGGGGCATGGGCATGCTAGATTGTTCGATGATCATTTGACGACACCCTCGTCGTCACAGCCAGCCCACTATGCTCTTTCAATCCTCTCGATAGAGACCCCACCTTGAACGTCCATTCCCGGGCACTTGTCTGCTTGCACTTGCTACTTTGGTGCCGTCATGTCACGTCGTTTCTTCGCCGATCCATTGCTATCTCTCGAGAGACTACCTATATCTATGCACCTTCCTTCGTCCAGCTTTTCCAAGTTCTTTCTTCAAGCTCAGATTTCGCGCGGCCTTAACCGTTGCAACGATGGAGAACGAAAAAACCATTACCGAGGGTTATGCGCCAGAACAAGACCGTCGACTCTCGATTCACGCAGCTCCCCTTGACGCCACCCCCAAGACGAGATGGGAACGCAGCTGGCCTACAATCGCCTGTGGTGCTGGTCTGTTCTCTGATGGCTATCTCAATGGGGTATGTCTCCTACAGCCTTGCACCACCTGGAATGCCTTGCTAACTTACTTCTCGGTCATTGGCTCGGTCAACACCATGCTTAAAATTCTATACAAGGACGAATACAGCAATTCCAGCGCTCAGAGCAACGTTACCTCGATCGCCTTTGCTGGTACCGTCGTAGGCCAACTAGCGTATGTTTCCTGGTCTCCCGAAACGCTGTGCCGTTCAAGCGCGCGTCTCATTCTTTGTTTCCCCTTGACAAATTCTGAAAAATTGCAGTTTTGGCTATCTATCCGACCACTGGTCTCGACGACATTCTCTACTCATTTCGACCATCATCCTGATCGTCTTCGCCGCTCTCGGTGCCGGCTCTTATGGCGCGGGGGGTAGCATTGGGGGCCTTTTCGCTGCACTCACAGCATATCGTTTCCTCCTCGGGATTGGTATCGGTGGCGAGTACGTCTAAATCTGATAACACAGACTTGTATTATGGACTACTAACTCTGAAAAAGGTACCCAGCCGGAAGCGTAGCCTGTGCAGAAGCGACTGGCGAACTCAAACGAGGCCACCGCAACCGATGGTTTATCTGCTTCACAAACCTTGCCATCGATGTTGGCTTCGTTGTCGCCTCGCTTGTGCCGATGATCATGGTCCTCATCTTCAGTGAAAATCACCTGCGAGCCGCCTGGCGCATGTGTCTTGGCCTGGGCGTCATTCCACCCTTGTCTCTGCTGTACCTGCGGATCAAGCTGCAAGAACCCGAAGAGTACAACCGGAACAAAATGAACCACTACCCCTACTGGCTGATCCTCAAGTTCTACTGGTTTCGTCTCACGGTTGTGTCGCTCATCTGGTTCATCTACGACTTCTCGTCGTACTCCTTCGGCATCTACTCGTCGTCCTGGCTAGCCTTCCTCCTCCCCGCCACAGCACCCCTGTGGAAAACATTCGGCTGGAATACCGTGATCAATCTGTTCTACTGCCCTGGTGCAGTTACCGGCGCTTTCCTATCCGACCTTATCGGTGCAAAATACTGCCTTGTTCTGGGTGTTTGGCTACAGGGCATAGTTGGCTTCATCATGACCGCACTTTACAAACATCTCGACCAACCTTCTCAAGTCGGCGGCTTCGTCGTCATCTACGGCATCTTTCTAGCACTCGGCGAGGTCGGCCCCGGCGACAACATCGGCCTGCTGGCCTCGAAGACTTCGGCCACCTCGGTACGAGGTATGTATTACGGCATAGCCGCTGCATGCGGCAAAATTGGTGCATTCGTCGGCAACTACGTTTTCCCCGACATCATCAAGGCTGCTGGCGACAACGTCATCAAGCAAGGCCAGTATCCATTCTATGTTTCCAGTGCGCTGTGCATCTTCAGTGGGCTGATCGCGCTGGTATTCCTGCCGAATATTGGCCAGGACACCATCACGGAAGAGGACGAGCGTTTTAGAGCGTACCTGATCGAGCATGGGTATGATGTCTCAACCATGGGAACGAAGAAGTTCCACGAAGCGAAGACCCTTGCGAATAGTGCTTAAAAGTGCCTCGGCACTTTAAGACGGACGGGAATGGTTGGCGAGGGTTACAGGGTAACGACTTCTTTATGAGGAATTTACCCCGGGCCGTAAGCTGTTCGTCTATGGCCTATCACGTATAGCCATTGACATCGTCTTAACAAGGTTGCTTGATTACACTGAATCGAAGTGGAAGCAGCGGCAGACCCAGATAAACCTCCAATGTCAAGCAGACTGCAGCAACCGCAGTAGAAGGTTAATTTATACGATGTAATATGAGACCGATCTTTCTAGATTTGCTCTTTCTCCTTGCTTTGGGCTCCTGGAACAGTCCTTGATAGCGGAGATTCAGGATGATGTGTCTGACTACCTCACAAAGGGCGTACTTTGCCAGACCCCGCTTCTGGAGCTCCTTACCAAAGGATTGAGCAGTCTTGAATCCAAAGGATCTGAATTAAGCCTTTCTTCTACCAGCTCCTCAACCTGCCGCCTCGTGGTAGGCACGCTACGCTCCTACATGGAGGCACTCTACGATGGGAGTGGTGTTTGTGTCGCCCAAGTAGACTTGTACGAGTTTCCGAGGAGGCTATTGTTCGCATTATGTCGCTTCATCTCTGAGCTCCCACCGACCCATTCAAGGCTCAATGCCTGCGACCTGAGTCGTGCAGACAAAGACAGAGCTAAGCATTTGACACACAGGTCCAAACATGATTCTCAGTCCCTTTTCACCGTTTTGTAGCCATGTTCATGGACCGACCCTTCAAGCCCAACCTCCGAGGTTGTCAACACTTGTTCATGATGGAGGATCTCACGATGAACCTGCCTCTGCAGCTGAACACACATCTCCGGACAGTGATGAACATGTCATTTCCATAGGGAATAGGCAACGGGGATATGCAGTAATGCCTGCGATCACAAACACTTTCAGACCCGTTTACGTGGTCGGCTCAATCAGGAACACTTGCACACGCCCACCACACAAGCAAGAGGAAGATGGATACAGCAAAAGGCAGAGTCACCTCACCCAGTTTAAATTCGTTGTCGTAACTGGCCTTGTCACCCGGATCAGGGTGAACAAGGAGTCGAACAGACTTTGTTTAGAACTCCCCCGATAGCAAGGACAGGGCGGCGTCACTCGTTTCCCAAAAGAGCGTGGAGATTTCACTTCCCCTGCGTTGCTTGGCGAGATCCTCGACAGCGAGCATCAGATGCAGTGCGGATGTGCTCCCTGGAGTGCCCCCATCATCGATATCAGTCTACCTCCGCCGACCTCTTATTGCTTCTAAATCAATTACTTTTCCATTGGTGAACCTACCATCGATCAAATAATCCTCACACAGCACTCCCCCAAGCTGCAAGCTGCAATTTCATTGAACATTAGCCTCACATCTCTCCTTTGTTCGCCATTCACTTCTCACCGCGTAAGAATTGACCCTCAAATCTAAAAAGCCACCCTGCGAGGCTTTACCGCTAAGACACTCCCCGTCCTCTGTTTTACCCAAAGCCGTCCCGATTAAATCTCAGCTTGCTTCGACTCTTCCCTGAACAAATTGCGGCGCATCCCTACTTCAACCTCAATCCCTCTATTCACCAGCAGAGACAAAACTTGATAGATGAGACACTGAAGAGCTGGAAGACATCTCTATAGACGGAGGAAGGGCTTGCTAGGCCGGCGAAAGCCAGGGGAGCGTCGTCACAGGAGTTGGTTTCCTTGAGGGGCATTGAAGAATTTCTGCGCCGACCGCAACAGTGCATGAGCCCCGCGGACTTTCTCCTCCTTGGAACAGCTCCTCCGTTCCTGATGCCTCCACAATCTGAATAGTTGGACAGATATGGAAACGCGGGAATTCGCGACTAGAGACGAACTCTGGCGCATTCAAGAGACGCTCGGCGAGCTCGCTGCAACCCAAGCCGCTCATTCCGATAGGATCATGCGTCTGGAGCAGAAGACCCCGGATGGGAGTAGGTCGAGGAGTCTATGGGGGGCGGCATCGCCGTTTGCAGGCGGTCTTGGTTCGTCGCATCATGGTAAGTGTGGCCTTGGCCCTGCGTTTCACGGTCATGCTGATTTGAGCAGAGTCGAATCTCAACCCTGCAGCCGAAGCCTTTCGAAATTTTGACGCCGAGCCTACCACAAGCATGATAAGCTCGTTAACACTGGATGCTACCGACGAGTCGAGACGAGCAGCAGCATCAAGAGCCAACTCGGTGCGATTCGACGAGAGCGCAAACAATCACTATGCTTCATCCAGACAATCGATGGAGCTCCCACCGCGGACAGGAAGTGGTCTCGGGGGGCATGCACTCTCTGAAAGATCTCTGTCACATCGTTCAGACGGGAGACCTAGTGCTGCAGGGTTCGGTCGAACAAACAGCTTTGGTCTGGAACAGAGTCGCCTGCTTGGATCCATACACAACTCACCAAGAGTCTCGGGAAACCCTCCACCAGGCTTCTTCGTTTTGGGTCCATGTCCGTCAATCATACGTTGTTGGCTCACCGAGTCGTTCTCCAATGACACGCTGCTCTACGCTGCCCTCTGTTCAGGTTCTTCGATATCGTCAGTCAGCTTCGCCCTCATCAACAAGCTTGATCTGAACGACTCTGTTTTCGAGGATGGCGATTGTCGCGCAATTCGGTTGTCGGTATATCTGACTGAAGCCAAAATTCATTTGCCTGCCGTGAGGTCCGCCAGTCCAGTACCTCACATCCCTACGTTGACTGTCAAGTTCATAGTAGACGAGCAGCCTGTGAGGGATTCATCGATTCAGATCATAGTGGGCAGCGACATTTTGAGGACCCACAATGGGGACATCTTGTTCTCGCAAGACAAGCTGATGATATTCGATGAGGAGCGGAATCAACTGGCAATACCATTGGTTCGACCCGAGGACGATGCGTCGTTCAAGGATTTGTGCACGGTTCCCCGCAAGCGATCATCATCGATTGAACCCATGTTACCGCCTCCAGCGTCGCCCGTCGGTGTCATTGGACGACCAGGAAGATCAACCCTTTCTTCACAAGGGGTTAATTCACCAATGGTAGCACCGTCAAGCAGCATAGCTTCGGCCACGCCATCTGAGCCTGGAGATACGCGCAGATCAGATCCACATGCTGAGCAGTCCACCAGATCAAGCCTGGATCTTGGCCAGTCAAGGCTGGCGGATGACTCCAAGTCGACGACCGGCAGCGAGAAGTCCTTCAGCACACCGATGTCGAAGTCCGGGCAAGGGGTCTGGTCCAACTCGTGGCGGTCCGCATCTTCTTCTACACAGAATGATCCGACCGCGAAGCCCTCTTCGACCTATGCACGTCCAAGCGCGTCACGGCCCATGAAGATTCTGCGTCCAGCTAAGACAATGGCAAATGCTACCAGGACCGCTTCTACCCCAATGACGTCAAATGGGACGGACAACGCTACCAAGCTGGGCGAGGCAGGTAGACAAACCAGTGAGAACGACCTCAAGGAAAACACGAAGTTGGGTCAGTCGACGACCACGACGAAGAGTAATCCGGTCGGTTCAGGCACTGCTTTCGGTTGGCTAAATACTGGTCCACAGCGAAGAACCACTGCCAATGGGTAGAAGCTACGATGATGCCTCGACGAAGATGGGTATGGATGTAACGAAGCTCAGGATGAGGTGAGGAAGGTACCAGGACATGGGAAAGATCATGTATCAGCAAGCAGACAGCCTCTATTTAGATCATTCCGAGGCAGAGCTTACTATTTGATATGACGTGTATTCTAGGTAGATGCAGATGCAGACGCAAAGGAAGACAAAAAGCCAGACAGAGAGCGCCTCAGGGCCAAAATCAGAAAGGATTGTTACATGTAGACTTCAAATGAAGAATACCTACCTAGTACTTGCTGGCCTCCTCCAAAATGAAGCCTCAGTCCTCCGTACAAGAGTTCTCCTCCACAATGAACACTTCCTCGGTCCCATTCGCATCTGGGTGGCATCGGCAATTCACCCGCTGGCCCGGCCTCGCCCGCATTCGGGGAGTTCCTACGGAGTAGCTAGCTTATCCACAAATATCAACAACCACTTCAGTCCACCCTCAGTTACCTAGGTCGTACTTTACTTCCAATTCCCAAATTCCTCACCCTCGATATATGCTGCAATACGGCATATAGTTGCCCGCCCGCTCACTATCGCAGGGCTTTCCGAAACTGCTCCTCTCCCTCGACCTTTTGTTTCACGTTTACACCTCCCACTCTGCTTGCAGTTTTGACGTACAGTTCAAATTGTGGCGCCTAGCAAAAACATGACTTCCACCAACTCAAGACGGATAGGTACGTGCCGCTGTGTTGGAGGGTCATTCCTTGCTTGGTTGCTTGCTTGCGGGAAAGAAAGAATCACAGCGAAAGGTCGCCGCGAATACATACATGGGCGAAGAGTTTACTCCAGAGCTTAATCTGGGGCACCGTACTGACGTTTATTACCATGTCATAGTCAATCCGGTGTTATTGTACGTTCGTTCACAAAAGCTCTTCTTCTCAAGTCCCGTCCCGGTCTTGTGTGAATGTAAAAGGGGTTTTGTTGTGCTATTTGGCACAGGCAAAAGGCAAAAGCAAAGATTTGACGACGTCTCTTGTTGCTGGTCAAAAGCCCAATATACTGACCGGACATTGTGTTCGATGGCAGTATCTGCGACGTTCAAGAGAAGTTCCGTACAGCGATATGGGAATTTCCCAAGGTGTATGTATTGATTCCCAGATTCCACCATTCCGTCCATCCATACTCAACTTCCAGCCTCGTTGCCCGTTCCAATCCGTCCATTCTCACCCTTTCGATGGATATCCATACTAGTATCCATATCCACCTCTCTTTCAGAAAAGCCATATACTAACATGCTCTTGAACCCTAAGCATATCTACCAGCGCAAAGATGGTAAAAGCAGGTATATACTCCACCCTTTCAACCCCTTCCATGTCTCTCTCTCTCTCCTGTTCACCATTCTTGAGATCAAACCCTCAGCGTCCCCACGCACTACCCAAAATACTGACGTAACCATTTGCTAACGAACCTCATCCACTCACTCAGCCAAAATCTTCAACATGCCAATCTACATAACCACGCAAAACGCCTCCCGGCTCGGCGCAACCGTTAGCGAAATCACCTCGGTCCTACCCACCGACTCCTCCGCCACGACCGAAGTCGACAAAACCGCCTTCTCCATGCTCGTGCCCGAACTGACCTCCCAACTCGCCACGAACCCGGCCTCGCACCTCTCCGTCATCATAGTGGGCATCGAAACGCACATCTGCGTGACCCAGACGGCCTTGGACCTCCTCGCACTCGGGCACAAAGTCTACATCCTGGCTGACGGTGTGAGCAGCTGCAATGCAGGCGAGCGACCCGTCGCCCTCGCTCGGCTGGCACGCGAAGGATGCACCGTCACGACCAGCGAGAGCTTGCTTTTTGAATTGGTGGGTGATGCGAAGGACGGCAATTTCAAGGCCATTTCTGGCCTGGTCAAGGAGACAAAGGACGAGACCAAGTCGGCTGTGGAGACCTTTTGTAAGCTTTAGTTCTTACCACAGGTGGTGTGTCGCCAGGAAGCCATACAAGGGTAGGTAGATATTCAAGGATGACCGTGGAAAGAGGAAGAAATCATTTTCGCCTGAAAACGACCTGTAGATACTTTTTTGAATTGAGAATACGAATATTACCGCACCCGCTGGCATACCTGCTTGCGGACAGCCTAAACGACATTTTGTTTTTCTGTGTAAAGATAGGAAAAGTGACATCAAAACCATCAATTGTTTGACTTCCCAATGAAAGAACCGATGCGGCCGTTCTATCGGCGTAAAAATAAAGAAATAGCCACCGGAATGGCAACGATGGCAGCTACCAACAATATCCTGCTTAGAACTCGTCAGTAAAGCAGCATATATCCAGCAGGGCGATCAGACTTACTTCTTTGCCAGCCCGCCGTTCGTTGCTGCGGGCTGGGCCTTGCTCTCCACAGACTTCCTCTCGATGTTCGTGACCTTCGGCTCCAGATTTTGTTTGGCAGGCTCTGAAGCCTGGGGCGTAGCATGCTCTTCCGCCGAATAAGGGGGCGGCGCTACGTCCGGAATGGATGCTTCTTTGTGGTCATCTGCGGTTATAGTGTCCGGTCTGACTTCCAGCTCTTCCTCCACAGCAGCAAGCGTATCGAGTGGAGCAGCAGGGACTGAGGCTCGAGAGACATCTTCGGTCGGCTGTTGTGAGGATACTTCGGTCTCTTCGGCTGTCACACTGAGAGCATTATTGATGTTGCCGGATCCGTCGTCCGCTATCCTAATATCAGCCAGCTGAATCTTGGAAAGGAGATAAATGTGGTACTGACCTGTTGGAGCCGACTCATCCAGGACCCACCAATCACCAGGACCGAGGCGGAATTTGTACTGATGCTCCCCTGGCTGCAGCTCGGTCGTGTGAGTGAACTTGTTCTGACCACTCTGGGATGATTCACACTGCATTTCCACAGGTGCCCAGTCAGTAAAGCCGCCGGCAATGTAGACGGGTGGCTGCACATCGGGCTTGGTGAAGGTGATGACGGTGGAAACCATCCTGCCGTTCTGGAAACTGTATTGCTATGTTCTTTTTGGAATGATTTTCGGGATGAGCTGTTGATTGTGCAAGCACTTAGGGATAGTACAGGCGGAGAAGGTGTCCCTTGACAGCAACTGGAGAGTGAAAGGATCTATCCGCTAACATGGTTAGTGCCGTTCCTTGCAGGGTAAGATTGGATGTCTAAAGCACGAGGTGGTATTGCGGGTGACGCTGCCCAAGCAAGCTGAGGAGAAAGCTGGTGTCCCATGGTCGCTCCTGCCTCACAAGGTGACTGCAACAGCTAGCATCCTCGGTTGACTTTTCGTCTTCACGTCAATGCCGGCACTTCTGATCGAGCCTCAACGTCGAAGAGATCAAGCCCCTCTAGCCAACAGCTTAGAAGCGTCAAGACCTCGTCACGACTCCCCCAGTCCGAGCATTCCAGGGCGGCACTGGCTGATATGGTGATGGACGACTCAGTCAATGTCAGGGTGGCAGTATCTCACCTTTGAGACCTATTTCGGACTGAAACAGGGTAAATCGACAATGGCTGATAAGGAATGAGAACAATAGCCTAAAAACTCGAGTGGCGCGACGTTCGGTCTTCGTCCGTTCACGACTTATGGATGAGAGTGATAAATGCTGGGTGAACAACCAGTGCGAAAGCTACAGACTCATTAGCAGACGTACAACATATTCAGCACACTGTACTAACCCCGCAAAAACACAGATACAAGTGGTCAAGACGTTCTTCTTTCTTGAAACGGTCCGGCCGATTCGAGATGTTTTGGATGACGAGGAACGAGTATCAGCGGAATCCGGGGTCAACTCAGGCCTTTTATAAGAGAATGCTGTTCAGTGTCGATCTGTTTTTGATAGTGGTCAGAGCTCCAGAGAACAACGATCATCAGTAATTACACCAGAAGCTCTAAAATGAATTGCACAAGCACAAGAAAAGTTCAGGCTATCGACCTGTCACACCACAAGCCAAGTTTCCCGGAGTTGTGCTCGAGTGTCTTTCTCTAGGCAAAAGCCCTCGCCCGTGCAAGGAATGCTTTGTGGAGCTATTCGCTCGCGAGACGGATCGTGCATGGCATTTCAAGGCCGTGATGCATGAAATTCTGGATCTCACTGCAGCTTAACATGTGCTCTATTGGCGCGCATTGGGGCGCATATGAGAACGAAATGCAAGCATCGGTTTGTTGGGAAGTCATTCAGTGGATGCGCTAGCTTTTCCTGCAGCTTGGGTGGCAGCTACTGTAGGCGAGCCACTGGCGAGACATGGGTCTCATGGGTCTAATGGGTATGCCACTGGCACCACTTGGCTGCTCGGATGGTCATGATACGCCACAAGTGGCGTTGTTCGCCTGGTGCCAGCGCCTATGACCAACACAGTGGGTGCACAGCACAGGGAGCTGTCATGATGCATGATGCTGCGGCTCATCGTTCCGCTGTCAAATCCCCCGTCTCCATGGAAAAGAACATTTGCAATATGGAGGAAGGGCCTATTGCAGGTCATGGAGGCAGCTTTGAGTCAAAAAGATCACGACTGAGGTCCCAAATCAGGCGCAGGATCATATTAAACACGAGGACAGGTGTCACATTACTGTGTCGCTCATCTATGGAGGGCTGCTATGACCTTGTCAATGGCAACAACTTGCTCTCTAATCTTGGGACAGAAATGCTTTCTTAGAAGCTCCCCTTCCCAAACACCACTACCAGTTGCAAGCACGTTCGTCCCTTCGACAGTGTCACTTTCTCCTCTGAAAACTCCGTCACCTTTTCTCTCGTCACTGTACCACAAAGCTTCGATTTTACGACCGTGCTTGTCTGCTGTTTTGGCCAGCAGACTGAGTACTGCAAGCGCTGACTTCTCCGGCAATTGCAACGAGATTGTTAACAGACGCTTACAGAACGATGCCGCAGCAATGGTCGGCGGAGGCTGAGATGGTGTGAGCAAGATCCAGGTGAGCACTCGCGTGAGAAGAAGTATCGGCGTAGAGACGTTGATCTTGTTGGCGGCTTTCTCGGATGCCTTCGAGGCATGTGGATCCGGCAGGTGTATAGATTTGGGTCCCAGCTCGATGTCAGCATCCAGAGACAGCGGATACATGGAGCGGTAGGTGTGCGAGGTGAAAAAGGAGAGGTCCAAGTGCAGACTTGAAGCAGCCTTGGACACATCTTGGCCTGAGAGGAGTGTAAAGGCCGTCTGCGTCGATAGAAGACTCTCACGCGCCATGTTTCGGATCTCTTCGCCATAAACACCAGCGCTGCCTCCGCTTTCCAAGTCCAACTCGCCCTTCGTCGCCGCATCAGCCTGGTTGATGATGTCCTTGAGAGCCTCGAGAACATCGCCAAAGAAGTCCTGATTAATGAGATGTGCGTATACCGCTAGGCCCTCAAGCACAGCTCCCATCAATTCGGGGACTCTGGCTTTCAAAATGCGGAAGTAGGTGACGAATACCAGCTTCAAAGTCTCTGATTGCATCTTCTCCCGCTCTTCATAGTTGACAGTAGCATCGGCATCACGCATATCCTTTTCGACAGCCTTCCGCTCTTTTGCAAGCTTCCTTTCCTTTTTGGATCTGTGCTCGAACTTTTCCCTCTTCACCTTCCTGCCATGCAGTTTCGACATGTCTTCCGGCTTATCCGACTTCGTGGTCGAGCTGGGTGTGCTCAATTCCAGGAGCAGACGCAATTGCAAGAACGTGTTCAACACCTCCTCCCTGATCCGATAGTCTTTGGCCTTCATCATCTTCGTAAGCAGACCGACAGCTTCCAGTGACGGCGCGCCGTCTTCGTCATTTGTGAAGAACTTTTCCAACGTCTCAATGCCTTTCAAAAAGTCTGGGCTCGCTTCCCTGCTAGCTAGTTCGTGCACCAAGACGTTTAGCAACTCGGTGCGGCAGTTGAAATGTGGTACCGAGAGGAGCAAGGTGCAGACACAATTGATAGCGACGCTTTTCAGAGACTGTGCATCTTCAGTGGCCTTGCGTCCTTTCGCCAGACTAGCCAGATGCTTGACGTACGCCTGGTATCCAGTGACAAGAGCCTGCTCGTAATGTCTCGTGCTCCGAACATCTTTTGACACCTTGTTGCCCAAATCTTCCTCTTTATACGAGCGTATCCGGTAGCCTGGGATCACGTCCTTATACACAGCGGCTAGCGCAGCAAGAACGAGTTTCTGTACGGGAACAGGCGAATTCGGCCCGGAAATCTGTGCGAGCTTCTTGAACGAGCCTGCATGTTCTTCGGGGTCTTCGTTGAGCAAGCCCGCCAGACGGGCAATTTCTTCCTTCGCGGCAAGGATTTGCTGTTTCAAGGGTACCACCTGCGCCGGGGGTTCAGGCTCGGTAGGAGGTGTGTCTAATACATGTTCGTCGTCGTCGTCGGCTTCGTCATCTGAGCCGGAGCCGAGAAAGCTGTCTGATGCGTCGTCTTCGGCGTCTTCTTTGGCTCGTTGGAGGGCCCCTTCGGCGGTCTTAATAGGGAGTCTGGTAGACTCTTTGGTCTTCTTGGACCGGTTCCTTTGTGCGTAGGCTTGCTCGAGATCCCAGTCGGCCGCGCGGGCGAAGAGGTCGGAGGACTTGATGGTTTTGGAAGGGATGTCGTCGTCGAGGGGAGGAGTTATGCGCCTGCGCTTTGCTGGACGACCATGAGGCATGGCCGCTCTACTGTGCCGTTTAGTTGTGAGAAGGGGGAGAGGTGATCTTGTTAGTTCTAGATTTGTCGGCCGTTTGATACCTGGACAAAATTTCTGAAGATTTGCTGAGGCGGAGAAAATCAAGCCGGAGAATAGCCGGTTCTATAAATTTTTCTCCGCAGATGCATTTTGTACAATGATACAATGCTTGCGGCATATTGTTCAGAAGAGTTTACGAGTTGCTGTTAAATACTTGAAAGAGCGAACTGCCGCGACAGGAAGACAAGATGAGGCCTCTCACCGACGTCGAGACGCAGACGCTGTTCACGAAGCTGGCCAACTACACCGGCCGCTCACTTACTCAACTAATTGCACCGTCCGATTCTTCCGACGACGATAGCGACCGTCATGTTTTTCGCCTACACGAGTCCCGAGTCTACTATGTCCGCCTCTCCCTTGCGAATCTAGCTACGGCCGTCGCTCGAGACAATCTGCTTTCACTGGGCACCTGTGTGGGCAAATTTACCAAGACGGGGAAGTTCAGACTGCACATAACAGCCCTGGATGTCATTGCGCCGCATGCACGGTATAAGTTGTGGATCAAGCCGAATGGAGAGATGCCGTTCTTGTACGGCGGCAACGTTGTGAAGGCGCATGTGGGCAGATGGAGTGAAGATTGTCCTGAGCATTCGGGCGTGGTCATTCTGGCCATGGATGATACACCTTTGGGTTTCGGCGTGACAGCCAGGTCGACAGCGGAAGCGAGGAAGTTGGACCCTACGACAGTAGTGGCTTTTCGACAGGGCGATGTGGGAGAGTATCTAAGAGAGGAGGACAGTCTTTTCACGACCTGAGTGTTCAATGGCCCCACACAAAAATGTTTGTCGGCAGACGACATAGAGGGCAGACTCCGCCTAGGGGCAGAAAGTTGCAGAACGCCCAGAGATCTCGATGGATCAAATACCAGCTGACGACTTCACTTGGCCCGTTGCAGAAGAGACAAGGAGGGCACCATGCTGAGTGTACGACTGGATCACTCAGCGGACGGACGTCCTCAGGCCTGGTCAGTCAGTAGGCAGTACCAGTCTGGACACTCCGTGCCCAGGGACATCTTTCATCTGGATTCGACCCTCACTGCTTGGCTTTCCAACTTCGCATAACAGCCACTGGGAGGTGGTCTTCAAGCGTGGCCAATTCCTGGAGATCCTTACCAAGCTCAAAGAGGGGCAAAGTGGAGGCAAAGGCGAACGTGAACGGTGTTGACAGCATTGTTGTAGAAGACGAAGTCTGCATGGACGGTCTGGTTCGACTCCCGAGCGTATGCCAGAACGTGGCCCGCGGTCAGACTCGCGGTGCGAGGTGAGGGCATGCCTTTACTTCGGATGCTAAGGTATGCGACGCACAAGAGAACCGAGTGCGGCAGTAGCAGAAAGTGCTTTAAAGTTGGTAGAGATACCAGTGAATGAAAATAAAAGGACCTGCCATAGACCATCCAGCTTGCTAGGTCTCTCATTTCGAATGGTGTCACTGCTTCGGACCTTCTTCTTTCGCTTCCTACGCCTGCTGTTTGCTAGCTTTCCAATCTGCAATGCTCTGTAGCGCTCTCGACATCGCAGAAACACCACGGGATATAGCATAGTTTACGGCCTGAATCCTTGCCCAATATCTGGTGCTAAGAATAGGTGCCGGGTTTGGCAAGGCTGGCGGATCCCCGGCGTCTGTCGATACCCACGAGCCCACTTCCTTACCACCCACGGCTCATGGTCCAAAAGCATCGTAAGGTTGACAATTCCATTGGCATTTGAGACAATCCCGGGCAGAGGGGTCCTGGGACCCATGCGCGACCCATACACGTCAAGTCGGTTCGTCAGATTGCCGTGGTCAATCAATCATAGTTCGTGCGACCTGCTATGCGTCATGATTGGCTTTTGAACGTGGCGCAAGCAACCACACCCGAGTCTGCCGGATTGTGTGAGTAACAACGACTGGGCACCAGGCACAGGTGCCAGGCGACGAGGCAGACCAAGCGGAGCAAGTCTTCTTCGTGAGGAGTTGTAGAAGTTGACTTCCTGTTTGTGCTTCATCATGTGAGTCTCTTACATGCGATGGACTGATGAGCTGAATTGCAGCAACGCCTGCTTCGTCAATACCACCGTTGTCCTTCCATCCGCGGCGCCAGCAACCTAACAATGCCCTTCCTCTTCAACGGAGCACGAAAGTGCCAGAAGTATGCCAATACTACGACTGGTCCTGCTCCTGTCTATGCTCCGAACCCTCCACCTCCCCCGTACGCATTGAACACATCCAATACCCTCAACCAACAACCCCAATGGGCTACGCAGCCTGGTCCTCATGGCGGGCTGGGCTGTTACATGGCTTCGACTGTCTCTTTATCAGCCCAACAGGGCGCAACAGAAAATCCATACCGACCTTTACAACCGCAATACACCTGGTCTCACCCCGAGCCTCCATACATAACTCCCTCGACAACTCCTGCAGGCGGCGACTTGCACAGAAAAATCGATGACAAACTGGGTGATGTTATATCCCTGATTGATGAAGAAGCCTTTACCGGCTCTGCCCGAGAGCTAGCTATATCTATACCTGACTCTCCTGCACCCGAGTACACCGAACCATACTACTTTTCTGAACGAGATGTCAGAAGTCAGGGAAACGGCCATGCGCGCCCAAAGAAACAAAGCCAGTGCAAGCAGGTCAATGTCTTCTCCAAGCTCGACCTATACCTCAATTCTCGACTACCAGCTTCCTTACCACCTCTCCGAGTATACATACCCACCTATCCTCTTCTGTGTCTTGCAGCACAGTATTCAGCCAGTGCATACCATTCACCCCAGTCCCCCTCTGAACGAAAGGATTTTGTCTCCGCAGACAATCGCGCCGGCACGAAGACCATGGTAATCAAAAGCATTCCATGCGACGACAAAAACACTGTTGTCTTCGCCATCCGAGGGACAAGCATGCTCAGCATGCGCGACTGGGGCATCAATCTAAGCACCGATCCGGTCTCGCCAGCAGGCTTTCTCGACGATCAAGGCAATCTATGTCACTCGGGATTCCTGAAAGTCGCAAAAGCCATGGCTCGACCGATCGCTACGAGACTGAGGCAACTACTGGAAGAAAATCCTAATCGAACAAGTTGCTCACTGCTCATCACCGGACACAGCGCCGGCGGAGCCGTGGCGAGCCTGCTGTATGCCCACATGCTCGCGACAACAGTGCAATCCGACCTGAACATCCTGACAGGCTGCTTCAAGAGGGTGCACTGTATCACGTTCGGTGCGCCGCCGATCAGCCTCCTACCTCTGCAAAAGCCCGACACCGCTGATGGCCGACTGAAGAAGTGTCTTTTTCATTCATTCATCAACGAGGGCGACCCTGTCGCGCGGGCCGAGAGAACGTATATAAAGAGCCTAGTGGACCTCCTCTCACGGCCTGTACCACAACTGCAGCCGAGCAAGACCACGGCGTCACCACTGACCATGTTGGGCGCAAGTATGTCACGACTCGATCTGTCGTTAAATCCGAAGAAGAATAATCAGCCTGCGAGACCGAAAAAGCAGCTAGTGCCGACGAGAAAGATGTGGTGGGAGGTCCCGCCTGCGACATTCTCGAATGCTGGGCGTCTGGTCGTGCTGAGAGTCCCGGACGGTGGGACAGATGGTGATGTCACGGCGTGTATCGTCCGCGACGAGCAGCTACGGCAGGTCATGTTTGGGGACCCGCTGATGCATGCGATGGATCTGTATGCCAGGAGGATCGAGACGCTGGCTGTAAGAGCAGTTACGGGCAAAACGGGCGTTTGCTGAGACCGCTCTGAAAAAGCACATTGATGACCATTATGAAATCTTTGATACCCTGAGTTTTGCGTTGGAGCACAAATGGCTGCTTGGGACAGGCCGCTACTTCGGGCACGTGATAGTGATGGGCGAAAATATAACACGAAAGAGAGAAGGAAAATGGGAAAGAGATATAAATACCCTGATATCCGCTGTTGCTGGCTCATGGAAATGAAAGCGGTCAGCCTTTCGGACAACTATCCTTGCCAAAAAAGGCAATATGACGGCAGTAATCGTGTTGGCACAGTCAAAGTAGACGCGTTCAGAAACCCTTGTGGAGAGACTTCGGAGTCCTACCTAAGTGCAAGGTCTAGGATCCCTCGTCTGGTCACAGTCCAACAGGAGGGACTTTGATGCTATGTTGATGAGAATATTGATGTCCTCAGGGATGCGTGGATCTAGAGATCGTGAAATCTGGTTCACACGAGCAATGAAAAGTCTCCCGAAAGACTTGGACGGGGACGGTCTTCTGCAAGGAATATGGTATGAGCGCGGAACAGAAGTGACAGTACGCACGCAGAGACCAAATTGCTGCAATGGTAATGGAAGTGGCGCTTTGTTCTGGATGGACGTTTCGATTGAACAGAGCGCCGACATCATGCGGCAACATATCTGGGAATAGTGATGAATATACCTTGAATGTCCAGAGTGATTACTACCTACCCCAAGCGCTGGATGCGTTTCAGCTGGCTTAGTGCAATGACCGAAACCGTCAAACTTCGCAAATGAAAAAGAAAGCTCTCCCCAAAGACCATTGCGCATCGCCTTTCCACGGGAGAGGATCACACCTATACCAGAGTTGCCGGCCCAGCTGATCGGTGGTGATGCGTCTTATCAGGCACCCACGAACTTGACCCTCTTATGTCCCGGTGGTCCGAAATTGGTAGTGCGAGGATGTCGGTTGAGAAGACGGCTGCGGAAGTCGTGCAAGGAGGTCGGCTTCGGTTTTGGAAGATGCTCGTGAAGTAGCGCCGAGGCGGGTTGCTGACGGGTCGAGATTGACGAGGTCTTTGCGGACTTGGCTTTGTTGAGGTTCGAGTGGGATTGGGATTGTGGTTTTTGGGCGGTGGTTCTGATCGCCGAGGTCGGGATGTGTTCTGACGAGAGGGATGTCGTGGTTGGGTTCGTCGCCGATGGTTCTGGGAGGGGCGCTGAGTCGCTGGGTTCTTGCAGTGTGATGGTTGATGAAGGAGCTGGGACTTTGGTTTCGCGTTCGGGTTCAGCTTCAGCTTCAGGTCCAGGTACCGTAGCACTATCTGGCGTACTGGACAGATGTTCGTCTGGTGTTTCCGTACTTTCAAGCTTGTCGGCATCTGCTGCGGTTTTGCGCTGGCAATCCATGTCCGCCGCTTCAGGTACAGACTTGACGGTGATGGTATCCTCTAAAGCCTCGGGACGATCTTCCAGACTTGTGCTCTGAGGGTCATCGACAGAGTCCACGGCTGCGGAGGTATCTGCACTGGCCGATGCCGCCTCATGCGATGTAGCGGCATTGGTCTCTTCCAGGGGCGGGTTGGTAGTGGTAGTAGGTATATGGGTAGCATCGACCTGGTCACCTACAGCAGTGGCATCCGACGCGACTCCCTCGTTGACTTCCGCTTCGGCCTCTGCCAGTGCCTCATCCAGCGTCGGCTGTGTTCTTGCCACGTCGACGGTGTCGGACTCGAGTATAATGCTCGCGTCGTTAGCGACGTCTGTGGCTGCCTTTCTTCGTTTACGACCGCTGCCGCGGCCAGCACGAGTTGGCGCTCCCCGGGCCTTCTGAGGAGTTGCTTTGCTGCTGAGAACCTCGGGAGCATCATCGTCATCATCTTCGTCTTCGGTGCTGGGGATTTCGTTGTGAGTTCGGGGATACTCCGCCGGCGTCTTGAACGTTTCGAGTATGGAGTCCTCCGGCTCGTCGCTGGCGAAACGCTTTCTCTTGTTCGCTGGAGTTTTGCCGGGCGTGTAGAACGTTGAGGGCGACTTTAAGCGCTCGGGTAGTTCTTTCTTGTCATCTGCCGCCGGCGTCGCGTGCTGGGCTAGTGGCGATGGCCCGATTTCTATGGTTACTCGAGAAGATTTGGAAGCCGTTGCGCTCTTGGATTCTGTTTTCCTCGGAGTGCCGCGCCCTTTCGAAGCTCTGGTCACTGATGGGGACCCTTTCGCGCTGGATGTGTTCTCAATCCCGGATGAGTTGGGCGTCTCGTGGCCCAGCTTTTCTTGAAGTCTTGTGGTCACCATCTCGGCACGCTGTGATTCTAACCAGGTGCACCGACGCTTTGGGAACGCACACAAGGGGGTCTGATGTACCTGACTAGCCCTCTGTTCGCTGTCGGCTCCGAAAGCGTGCCGTGTGCTGTTCTATGAATTGTTGGCCAGGAAAAAAATCGCTAATAAGATTTTATGACGTTAACGCCATCATCCGCCATCTTATCTAATCTGGCATTACCCCCTCAAGTCCGTAGTCCCAGTGACATCTACAGGTGGCACCCATCGAGAGTAGATCAGATACTGTAGCTACCTCGTATCTAAAAGAGTGCATATTAAGATCATAGATCTTCTGACACGTGCATGTCCGCTTCGCTGATTTTCCGGTTGACCACTCAAGGCGAGCACAAACACGGCCTTTCGGATCCCAACGCAATATTGGCGCGGAGAGTGAGCGGATAGCGAGATCTGGCGGCAACAGCGTACAACTAACGCATCTATTGCAATCTTTAGGAGATTTTGAAGAGAGCAATATCGACGGGCACATTGCACAGACCTAGCAAGCCTCAAACTTTTGGAAAATACGACCCTCGCTTTGCAATTATCCGCTTTAATTTCCATCCAGAACTCTCTAAGCCACTTCCTGCAACATTCAGAGACTACACGGCGAAAATGAGCTCGGTGGCAAGAGCCAAGTCGCTTGACCATATCGTGTTGACGGTTAAAGATCTTGATGCCTCCGTAAAATTTTACGAGGAGGTTCTGGGCATGCAGCATACTTCATTTGGAGCAGCCAACCATCCTAGTATTCAACGACACGCCCTGAACTTCGGGAGGCAGAAGATCAATCTCCATATCAGCGGAGAAGAGTTCGAACCCAAAGCCCAGAACGTGCAGCCGGGCAGTGGTGACTTGTGCTTTCTCGTGGAAGACAACGTGGACGACGTGCTTGAGCGATTACAGGAGAAAGGTATGGACGTGTTAGAAGGCGGACAAGTGGTGCAGCGAACGGGTGCTCAAGGGAAATTGCGAAGTGTCTACGTTCGTGATCCGGACGGGAACTTGATTGAGTAAGTAAGCCCAAAATATGTCTCCTTTGCTTTGGCTTGAGTGGCCTAGAATGGACAGCTTAGTGACAATGACATCTGTCTGGCGGTAGGCTATCAAATCTGGTTCAGTAATTGCGAGCTCAGACAAGTTTGTCAGGGATAAGCGAGTGACGACCTACAAGGTTAAGGATGTGCTCGATGTTTTGGGTGGCTTTCGCAGAAGGAAACGCAGCAAACCCTAGTCCGACAAGCTGGAAGGTTAACGGCCGACCCTGTAATAGTGTTGCCTCAGGCAGATCCAGCTCTCTATTGTGGGCATTGAGCAAATACCCACGGGTCGTCACGACAAAGTCATGGTGCGCGATATAGTAAACACCAGAGCAGCACGATTGAGTGTCTCCTGGCTAGAGTAGCAGGGCGCATATGTTTGTTCCCTCTCCCGTGACGTCCCGGGACACAGCGACCATTCGGACCTCTCGCCAGTCACAACCGGCATCGCAGGATGACGGTAGACAGCAAAGCGTCGTAATCGGCCAATAGGTGAATGTAATGAAGAAGAAAGTCTTCACACAGAGCCCAAGCGTCAAGGATGGAGAGCTTCCATAATTCTCGCTACTGGAGAGACTGTGGAAGTGTCCAGGCTTTACCGGTGGCTGGAGTTGTCAGCTGTCCCACATGTCCTGCACTTCGGAAGTCGGGAGATGTAGCAACCAGCAGCGTCGGCGCGGAGTTGAGAGGGCTACGGATCGAATAGCCCACCAAATGCTGCTGTCAAATCATGCAGAGTAGTGCTGAAGTATGATCAAAGCTCTGGGATCAGGAACAGATATGCAAAGCAGCGGGGGGGAGTTGGCCTTGGTGGATTTGAGTTGTTGGGTGACAGGCGGAAGCCAGCTGAAGCACGCCGATGCGAAGACAAGTAGATGCAGGCTTCAGTCACTTGTCGCAATCCCAAGAGAGCTTGCTTATTCCAGCGCAAGAATGCTATCGTCGAGTGGCAGACGGACGAGTCTAGCCCATCAAGAAGACGTTGACAAAGGAAGACAGAGTACAAAGAGGTGTCCGCGAAAGATCGGGGCCAGCAATCAACAGTTTTGAACCTTGATGAGGTGACATGAAGCCTTTGACCGGGGTCCATGGCCGACCGCATCCATGTATGAAAAGATGTCCGGTGGCCTGACACAACAGTCAGGGGCCTCGCGTAATTAGATAAGTGCGGCATGGCCATTTGGATTAGTGGTGGCTGGCCGTGCCGTCTGGGCCTTTGGCCACAATCCCCATGATGGAAACGGTAGCTTCTGCCGGGTTGAGATATCCGGGCAGGGGACTTCCAGGTTGTCTTCAGGCATAAGATACGGATACAGTATTGCCATTTTAGCTCGACGCCGTCAGGAGCCTGTCGTTGGTGAAGCTGTGAAATCTGCGCGCAGGAAGATGTGCTGTGATACCATGATGCACTAGTGTGTGAGCCAGCCGTCAAGGGCATACAAGGGCAATCCAACTGTTCCTACTGGATCTTCTGGATCTTCTGGATCTTTCCCATCTAACCGTGTTGCTTGGGCGTGGGATCAATCACAATCCTGTGCCTCGCGAATTCGTCAAACGTCAGACGTTGGGCAGCTGTTGTGTGGCAAGGAAGACGAAGGACGATCAGACCCTCAACCCTTAGAGCCATAGTCCGTTCGTACTCGTACGCATAGCTTCAAGAACAAGCTCCAGATTTGGATCCCTTTGCGGGCATCCGAACCCGCCATGCGTTCGTCGAAGATGATCTTGGTACGGAGTACGGAGGTGCTCGGTATACTTGGCACGATAAATGCGAACGATGGTGGGGAGCAAGTGGGCTTACATAGTACAGTATGGTGCTGTGGGTGCTAAGTACCCTGTACCACCACCACAGTCACAAGTACTTGTAGATCACGATCAACTCGCCCATCCATGGTCCTGCCAATCTTTGCTGTTTCCTGTCATGGTCGAGTACGAATACCTCATAGTTTTTATCTGATGTCCAACTCTGTCGACCATCTTACATCAGTGATCGTCGAACTGATTGCACAACAACTTGGGCACCGATCTGCTGTTCCCAGTAAACACGCGCACGGTCCTTGCCAATGTAGTGCAATGTCCACAGTTGTGAAGGATCCATTCTGCCATGTTGCAATTCGACTTCGGCTTCTCGTCTCGACTTACCAGAGACCTTCTGGATCTTCGCTAAACAGGTCGCGTTACCCACCCAAAATCTCAAAAGCACCATGCACCTTGCCGGAAACTACCCATGGCGTGACAATCTTTGGTTTGACGGCTTGCTTGTCTTGTCCCTGCGCCCCTGGGGAACCTCGACCAGAATTTTTGTGCGCCGTCTCCCAAGCTGATGGGCGCCCGGACGATCTTCTCCCTCCGCCATGGTGTGCCAACTCCTGTACCCATGCTCTTGGATGCATTAACCTGCGATCACTGCTCCAAAATGACCCGCGCCGTGTCCTAGAGCATATGCTTTGACTAAATCTCGCATTAGACCGGATCTTTTACCAGCTCCTGTTGCGGTGAATGGATGCCCTGCACTGCTACTGGCCATGGCTTCTTATGACTCTTCCAGAGCGCTTGATGTCGTCGATTGACATCCTGAGGTCCAGAACGATCCCCGGTTCCGGCTTGGTTGGTGGTGGTGAAAACCCAGCTCGTCTTGAATTCGCATCTCGAATTCTACGACTGGCCAACGATCCTGGTCTTTCAGCCTGAGCGGGCCACAGACAGGGACACATCTCGTACCCCTTCCACACAAGAGATTGGCATTGATGACCAAAGTCCTGGAATCCCATCGGAGGACTTCGCTGCACCGAATTTCGGTCATCTGCTGTCGCCTCGTTCGGGAACACCATCTGCTATCCCTTCTGCCGCCCGTCCCAGCTCTTCATCTCATCCTCTCAGCTCTGCCACCGGTCCCGCCTGTCCCCGCCCGTCGCTTCTTCACGCCACCAAATCTTCGATCCAGTTTGTCAATGCTCGGTTGCCATATTTGTGGCGTCCGTCTTGCTATCCAGGCTTTTGACGTTCACCCTGTATGCATAAGGCGCCCAGCTATACATCTCCAATGCTGGAATTTCATTGACAGACCACGACTCCTTCGAAAATCCGTGTAGGCAGTCACTGTTACCATTGTACCGAAATCGATACTCCCAAATATCATGACTGCTGTGTTGCACCGGTCAGATTCTGCTCTTCCAGCTTTCGGTCACTTCCGCCCTTCTCATTGCTCGTCTACACCGTATGAGTCGCAACAGCAGGTGATGGATCCCCATCACTACGGTTACCGAGCTCCGACGAGAACGGTCAGCGACGATACTAGTACTACTTCAAGCATTACATCGACGTTCCATGGTCGAGCTCCTCAGCAACCATATGTACCATTCTCGAGTCCATCCTCGTCCACCCCTAGGACGCCCATACCGCCTCGAACATTTCCCGAATATTCAGGCGCAACACAGCAACCACCGTCAGGGCCCTTTCTACCTCTCGCTCCTCCGATCTCCTCTCTTCCCACAGCTGCCTCTTTGGAGCCTATAACGAGGTAACGGGAAGGCTGCTTCGATTTCTAGCATGACAACTAAAGCTATGTAGGCCTCCATACAGAGCACCAACTTCTACATTTCCAGCCAGCACTCCTCAACATCAAGTCTCGTTTACAGCCACAAATCATGAACGCCTAGAGTTCGACGCGTCAAGTCAGCACCATCGTCAAACAGATCCTTCATTTCGAGCACCCATCCAGACCGAATTTCCAGGTACCAGTCGACAAAATTCCAGCAGATGTACGCTGTACATCAGACAGCAGCCTAGAGCGGCTCGGGCAGGACCCGACGGGAAAGATAGAAGGTACAGTCACTTCAGCTGAGTTTCGAGGTTAAATATCTGATCAGTCAATAAGGCCAATTGATCCGCCTCCAATTCTTCAGTTGATGATGCGCGATTTCGACCCGGACAATGCAGGCGATGTGGCAGAGATCAAAAATCAGTGGTGGATTGTGTACTGCAGATTGGTGGCAGCAGACAATCCAGGTCAAGACGTAAGCACTATGCATTATCTTCGGGATGATGGTCGCAAAGAAGTGCAGCGACTACTTCTTGGAACTGCCGTGGCCAGCCCGACAGTCACCTTGGATGACCCTGATCCACCAACAATGCCTCACCATCCAACAACGCCGCCTCCGCCTCCGAGTCCGACCATTGATAGGTTCATCCGACCGTCTTTGGACCGGCCAGTCAAAAAGCCTCAGGACCCCTACAAGGTTCCAGGTTGTTTCTTCATATTCCCCGATCTATCTGTCAGGAGAGCAGGGGACTACCGGCTTCAGTTTACACTAATGAAAATGGAATCGGCATATCTAAATCAAGGCTCGACTGTGCCATGCGTGGACTCCACCATCAGCCTGCCTTTTCGCGTCGTCAATGCGAAAGACTTCGATCAAGTTCAACCCAGCACCGACTTGGTGAAAGGGCTTTTAGCACGCGGTGCAGGGTTCCCACTGAAGCTGAAGAAGGGCAATCGGGAGGGAAATAGGCGCAGAAGGCATCCTTCTGGAGATGGATCAGATGATGATTCCTACTACGACGACAACTATGATTGAATCTAATGCCAGCGCTTTGATGAAAAAGTTTCGGCTGCGGTGCTTTGCCGATGACGAAAATGCCACGACATGAGGAGTAATGACATGTTTTTCGGGAAGGATGGACACGAAAAAACACACAGGACATAGAGCAAATGACGCAGGACGGCCTTGAACCGCTCCATGGGATCGAAGGACAGACTCCAATGTCAGATCGCCAGCCCTCTGTCGCAGCTGTCTGAAGTGCGCGGACCTAGGTCACAGGTCGCCCTGATCCCCAATTAAAATGAGCAGGTCGTCAAGAGCTTGTTGCCTGGAACCAAAGAACCAGGCTGAGATGGCCCCCTGTCGTTGATTGGGGATTCTCCAGGTGACACGAGATCCGACTTGCAGCAAACAGCACGTGGCATGTGTTGAGATGTGGGCCAGATCATGAACCATGATCCCGAAATATTGAACAGATTGGCGCGCACCGAGAGTAACGCGAGGGATCCCGAGCTCTGAGCGACGACAGGGCGTGAACTTTGAAAGAGACTAAGACCAACTTAAGCTTTCCCACACTTTTCCGCCTGGCCGAGAAGCAGAGGACCGGTGTTGAAATGGAGAAGATGGCATCGACATGACAGTTAAGCGAGCTGGCTGAAAGCGGAGCCGTACGACACGAGACTACACAGTATTCTGCAAAGGCAGTCGGGGTTGTAAGTCTCCATAATCGTAGCATATCCGAATGTCATGAGCAAACCCACTCTCCACAGCGCTGGACTAAACGGGTACCACTCCTAAGCTGTTGAGGTTAGGTCAATTCCATACCAGTGTGAATGGGACGTGCGCCAAATTCCCAACTCAAAGAAGAAGGCATGGGAAGAGAAGACGAAACTTTTGTCGAACGCATATCGCTGAAACAAAGCCAAATTCCCCTTTGGAGGTGCTGCATATGTCAGCCTCGTCCATATTACTGTGTACCTACTACCTAGTGTGTGAGTGTGTCCCCATAACAAGAATGGTGTGAGGTGGAGGTCCAGGTGGATGGATGGTTCTTTTGTCGGCTAAGATCGTTCCAGACCCATCTCGCCATTCACGTCGCCCAACCGATCGAGAGACTGTGGGCCGACGGCCAGTCTAGACCAGATCGTCGGGCTGTCCAATGATCCACTTCCATCGTAAGCGAGGCATGGCCACCAGCCGGACACCCGAAGGACACCAAGCGAGATTATTTCAAGCTTGTAATAGACGTACCTTCCTTACCGTAGAATGCCAAGATGATTCGTCTGTTTGTACAATTGACACTGCGAGCTTGATGATGACGACGCGGCCCCCTTTCGATGCGACTGGACTTTGTTCGCCGCGAACTCGCGTGAACTCGGAATTCCCGCAAAAATAAAGAGAATAATGTCAGAACTGGACATTTATGGAACAAGGGCGTCCAAAAGCTTGAGAGAGCATTTCCCCAGTCCACGCGTCTTTCTCAGCTGACCGGCCCTGGCCTGGCCATTTCGACTACTTGAACAACACGGAGCAAACGGTATCAGCTTATTCTTGAGTTCGGAAGCCAAAGGAGAGAAAAGCCTGCAGTCCTTGGCAGTCGCAACGACATGGCATCCTAGCCGTCCCATCGAACCATCTGTCCTTCGTCAGAGGGGGCCGAATGATCCGAACAAACTTGAGAGCTGTGTTGGTGGGCCGATATACTAAAATCGAGCGGTCAACATTGTCGAGTTCAGAGGAGCCCTAGTTCGACTCTGCCTACCCTTGCGGATACCAGTGAGTTCACAGTCAGGTCCCGAGGTCGCAGCATTCCTGGAACAGCAGACAATACCCGAGGTACCTAGGTTTCATGCAGTGGTTCGAAAACCTTTGGTCGATTTCCCAAGAAGGTCACTCTGCCCAACTTTACTTACCTCACCTTCTCCCCTGCGTTCATCTGCAAGGAGTTATCTTATTGACAGATGGATGTCAACCGTAGAGGGAGAATTTCTCTAGTCTTAGAGCCCCCCGACATCCCACTTACCTTCAGACGACTCCAGGACATACCGCAACCGCGTCACTTTTAGAGAACAAAATGTGTGCATAATGCACGTCAACTGATGTTTGCAGCACAGGACAGGTGCGCAGACACCATCTTACTTTCTCCTTCTAGTTTGTGGACCTTAGTACGGCACCTGAAAGGTGCAACAACAACGTTCTCAAGGTTCATCCCCCAAACATTTTTCATGTCGACTTTTCATCCTCGCTTTTTCCAATGCTCAATATTTGCACTTGAAGCAGCATCGGCCCTCGTGGAGCAATTTCGTGTCTAGGTCAGGAAACGGTTGTGTATTCCTCACTCGAACTTCTTGCGTTTCTTGGATCGCTTCTGCATTTCTGAAGCGAGAAAAAAAAGACAGGTGGACGAACCAGCGATCCCGCATCCGAGAATCTCTTCTGGCACAATCCACAGGCGTCAGGTGGCAGCATAGGCACAAGCTGATTGCCTGTCCCAGTTCGAAATACGACGGCGGCACGAGGTTTCCGCTCTTTGCGGTGACAATGGAAGCTTTTCCAAAGTTCAGGTCGACAACTGACAGTTTCAACCATCGCCCGTGGCAACTGATCAGTTGCATGTCCCAGTGCCTGTCCCAGGGACGATACATCAAGAATAAGATGAGTTCGTGTGGACAGTAGGCCTTGTACCTACAAGTACTAGTACCAACGGGACAATTCGCTAAACAAAGATGGATGCCGTCTTGACAGGTCTGACAGAAGTATACCCTTGCGTACTTCTCTCATGCTTTCTCGCTCTTCAAACTGGGACATACTATTTGTATTCCGTCAAGCACAAGGCTTGTCAGGGACCGAAAGACTCACACCTCTTTGTGAGAGACTTTGCTTCTTTCCCTTCTTTTGGACGACTGTGCCGCTTCAGGCAACGGTAGAACTGTGTTCCGCATATACGGCACCTCGACTAGTCACTATGGGAGACCGGAAACAAACGGAACAACTGACCAGGACCGAGATGATCAATGGAGGGGGGCTCTTCTAGCATCCGTCCACAGCCCGGTTCAATCCAGGTTCAATCCACCAAACAAATTCCGGGAGCTGGATCTGCCATCGAAATACGAGGAAGCAGGAGATTCGTTAGTGCATCACTCCAGGTGGCCTCTGCGGAGCGAGCCCAATGTTGCTGGGCTTCCGTGCCCAACGCCGAACATGCGTCTACTTGGTGCGGTCATTGGATAGGAGAGGGCAGGGAGATAGCCCCGACTGCAGGTCCTGATGAGTCACTTTTGATCGAGTGGAGTTGTCGCCCCGAGGACGTTAACGTTGCGGTTGGGCGGTGCGGTTCACATTCAGGGGACACGAAGCAGGTTGTGGAAGGACAGTCTACGTCGGCGTAGTCAGTAGAAAAACTAGAGGCACGATCGGTCTCTGGCCTAGAATACTAGTATCATCACAAGGGGCAACAATCACGCGCGTGAGAAGACATCTGCCATAATCCCTTCTCCTCCGATCTCACATGTGACCTGGATGGATGATCGAGGAAATGTACACAAGTAATTCCGGCAAAGGACGGCCGGGGAACGTAGGGCTGTGGATCAAAAGTCATGAGACAACGTAAACAGCAGGGGGCATTAGGGGAGAATAACCAGTACGGAAAGTCGTCCTTGTGGTACCACCAAGTACCGGAGGAATTATGAAAGGCTCGCGGTAGTTCTCTTTCCTTTCCAGAAAGAAATGTGTCTCTTCGACATACAAATTGTGACCAATGTTGAGCGGTGAAATGCTTCTCCCTTCTTATTCCGACAGCAATATTTCGCTGCGTTGTATACATATTCAGAAGTACTATACAAGTGACCGTCAAGGTTCCATGACTATCTCCTGTCTCGAAGTGTCTGGGAGTGAGATCCTTCTTGACTTGTATCTGGAGAGCAGTGCTATGCCCCAATGCCGGCTGATCCTAGACGTGTCTCGGTGAGCGATCAAGTGGTGCACGGACGGGACCATTTTGTAAGTAGAAGAGATTTTTCGGACAGAGTGGCTGTCGCATTCTAGCAGTTCTCGAACTCGCATAAGCGTTCAGAAACAGGTCCGAACCTTGCAACTCATTAGTCCGGTGGTAGTGCAGCGCTGGGCACTGGACCAGGATAGACGCGTGAAGGATATCATCCCCTGACGCCGCTGAAACAGTGTCTGATGCCACAGCTTGCCGATTATATACGTCGTGACTAGGAGGTTGATGCTGCCTAAGAGACTCCAGTCACTTCGTCAACGTTGCAGGAGGTATTGTTCCTCAGTATATCTTGAAGGATTGGAGTCCTCGCGGTTCAACTTCTTTCGAAGTGCCAGATTTTGTCGAAGCACTGTGCTCCATGTGTGCTGGCCTCGTCTTCAGTCAGGATTTTTAATCTTCTTCGATCGCTCTGACGCTTTTTTGGCCTTGTCCTCATCTGGTTCAAGAAACCAATTGTCCTCGGAGCTTCTTGTGACAAACTCGTCGTTGAACCAGTGTTTCTCAAATCCGTCAATGTAATCAACCCATTTCCCGTCCGGGTCTATGCATTGGTCCTGGAGGTCTGACTTGGCAGTGGAAAACCATAGAAGCGCTTCTTTAGCAAGGCCATGCTCCCGCAGCAAGAGTGCCAACCTCAGATACCGCTTCGTCTTGATGCTAGCATTTCCGTTCTCCAACGCGGCGCTAAGCCCCAGCCATTCAATCCCCACCCAGCTCTTTGGCTTCTCTTTGCGATCGACAGCGACCCATTCGTCGTTCTCGTCCAGATGGTGAGAGAGCCAACCATCCCTGGCAAGGTGATATAGTGCAAGCCTGACACAATGCTCTCCACTGCCGTCCATTGCAGACATCGTCATGAGAGACACCCAGCGGTCCGAGAACTTCTTGACCTCGTTCGGTAAAAGGAGTAGTTCATGAGCAGCTTCAGGATCTTTCCATTTCTCAACCCCCTCACGGACCGCCCTTTCCAGATCTTCTTGGACTGGGTCCCCTTCTGGATCGTGCTTGTCGAAATGCGACAAATAGTGATTCGCCGCTGAGAATACTAGCTGCCATGGTGGCCTGTAATTCTGGAATATCTCAGTCCTTTCCATGGTTCGTTTGCTGGGCTCGAGCATAGAGTCGAGCTTCTTCGCCATTAGATAGTTGTCTCTTGCGACCTCTTTGGTATGGGACTCCTGGGTCGTGAGGAAGATCCAGACTGTCATTGTGCGCCAGTCAGTCATCTTCATCGCATGCTGTTTGATGAATTCAGCTGTCCGGCGTTGCACCTTGCCATGCTGCCCGTACTCGAGAAAGGCCACCTTCAATGCGGCCTCGACTTCGCCTGCCTCGAAAGCTGCGCAAAGTGTATAATACCCCAATCGTTGCCACCTCTGCCGGTTTTGTCTATGGAAATCTGCTTCACCAAACACTTCGAAGATCCGAGGCAGTATCTTTGGGTCTGTTAGTAATGCGACCTCGTCGTAACTGAGAGCTTCTTCGTATGTACGGATCCATTCTGAGGAGATTGCCGGTCAGCCATGTTTCTTGTTAAGGGGTTGGGAATGCCTCCATACTTTGGTTTATTGTTGACAGCTTTATGGCTCTATCTGCTGCCGCCTTTGAGCGCTCCAGCTCGGCTCGTTGGTGATTGAATAGCTTCACTACAATTGGAATAGACCGAAACCCGAGCTCTCCCAGCCTTTTGGCAAGTTTGGCTGTTATGTAGTAGTCTTCAGCGTGCGACTTTTCGTCCAGCTGTCGAAGAAGATCGAACCTCCGTCTCGCTGGCCTGTAGTTCCGCGGAAGCTTTGCCCTGCAAGCAGTAGATGAAGACCATGGCCTGGCAGCATGGTAGATATACGAGACCGCCAGAGATCGGGACCTGCTAACATTGCCGAAGTAGGCTCGGAGATATAGGGGGAGAGAAGCTTGCATGTCGTGCTAAGGGTCGCCGTCCCGGTGCCATAGCATTGTCGAGATTCTCCTAGATACCTTGACTCAGGTAAGTAGGTCGAAGGCCGTGCAAAATCATGAGAGCCACATTTCGATTCATTCCATTGCGGAGAAAACGCAGGCACGCGGATGCGCCAAGGCTGCGGAGAACGTACTGTAAATACGTCCTGAATGTTCTTACCTTTTGAAATATCCATCGTCCAGTACCTTCTCTACACTCAGTCTCAGGCTGTTGCACACTTTCGGATTCTCATTCTCAAGGAATGAGCCAAGCTCCGCACACTCCGACTGCAACTCGCTTCGACGCACGACCGGCGCAAATGTTCCTCACCATAGCCTGACGACTCCCTCCGAACACCAAACACCAAATCAAATCAGATTTTCCATCAGAGGCAAAATGCCCGCTCCAGGCGGAACCAAGCGTGTTCGTGGGGTTCAAATCTACCGGCCCTTCATCTACGGCACTGAAGCCATTCCCTTCGATCCTGAGAACAGGCCTAAAGATGCGCCACCCGATCACACGCATAGGTGGAGAGTTTTTGTCCGAGGAGTTAACAACGAAGATATCTCATACTGGCTGAAAAAAGTCCAATTCAAGTTGCACGACACCTACGCCAACAGCGTACGAATGATTGAGAGCCCACCGTTCGAAGTGGAAGAGACAGGATGGGGTGAATTCGAGATCGCAATCAAGTTCTATTTCGTGCCAGAGAGCACTGAAAAACCACAGCAGATCTGGCATGGTCTCAAATTACATCCGTATTATGGAGACGTTGAGCAGCAAAAGAGGGACCGAACCATGATCAGCAGTGTTTGTTATGAAGAAGTTCTCTTCAACGAGCCGGTGGAAGCATTCTACGAACATTTGACTGGAAGTGCTCAGGTCGTCAAATCGAAAGCTGGAAAAGGGGGCAAAGGCCAGATCAAAGGCCCACCAACAGCAGAAATACCTATGAGAAGTAGCGGAGGGAACAAGTTCAGTAGAGAGGAAGAGAGTAAAGAGCTCGACAGGCTGGGTGAGGCGGTAAAGCAAGTGCAGAAGCTGATTGCGGAAGAGAAGTCCAAACTGATCAAGGAGGAAGCAAGGCTACAAGAACTGGAGAAGACGGAGGGAAAGCCTATCAAGAAGAAATGAGTTCCCAGCAACGGCATCGGACTGCCTGCGAGGGCGTATACTCCTTGATTGGACTTCGAAGGGCGTCGACTTCTGCCGGACTATGTCTTCTACAGCTTGGGTCCGATAAAGGTGGCCTGCTTGACGAGTGCGACTATCTTCTCAGCAGCACTCCAGCTCAGCTCATATCCTCGACCACCGGCACCATACCCGTGCAGAATCTTCTTGTCCCTGTTAATGGACTCAACCTCGATCCGATAACCGCCTTCACGCCATGGCCTCCTGCCGACATTGTCTTTGACAACATCAAACTTCTCCACTGAGTCGACGAAATCAGGGAAGTATTTTACAGATTGCCGAAGGAGTTCCTTCCTGGTTTGTGGCCTAGGTCGCTCTTCCATGTCACCAATCTCTTTCGTCCCGCCGATAATGGTCCCACCATGGAGCGGCCGCGGAATCAGGAACGACCAAGTCCCATCATGATTTTGCCTAGTCACCGTCTTGCCATATTCCTGTCTTACCAGCACAGTTTGACCGCGGATGATTTTCACCTTGCCGTCTCGATCGAAATTTCGACCAGAGCAGTTTACGATCGTCGAGACCTTTCCCAGACCGTTCTTCTCGGCGAACTCGAACGCTTCAGCCGCACTTGTTAAGCGATGCTTGACGACTCGCCCATCACTCGCCAGGAAGCGATCAAGAAGCCACCTGCTGTACACCGGAACATTGATGCAATAACTTTGATACTCGCAGCCCCATCTGACTCCAAGGGGTAGTTCTTCCTGCTCCAGAACGCGGAACTCATCATCCGGCCCAGCATACATGTCACCCGTCTTCAGGGACAGGACTGCCTCGGGTGGATCCTCCAGATATTCAACGCCTGGCATGAGTTTGACGCCGGCTTCGGACGCAACTTTTGCGATCTCTTTCATGATCTCTGCCGTGCGCAGGGCCATGTCAAATTCTTGCTCGAGCTGGTGCGATGAGCGCGGAATCGGCCGGTAATGCGCGCCTGCCCACATTGACGCATAGTCTGCGGATGGGGATGCTGTTGTCGGTGTTTCGGCTGCTATGATAGTGATGTCTGCTCGAGGGAACTCGGTTCGCATGAGGTTCGCAACAGTGAGGCCGGTAACTCCAGAACCTATGATGATAATGCGCTCCAAAGGATGATCGAGCGACATTATCCAAGGCTAGCCTGGAGAACTGTAGATAGGTGGTGGATGACCACACCTCACTTTCATGCGTGTCGAGCTAGTACCCGTCGTCTTGCTCTGCGGCTTGGGAAGAAAGTGAAATCAACGCGGCGTGTATCGTCAATGAATTCCTTCAATATGGCTTCCAAGTCGTCCAGAATATAGATCCGCTCGTCAGCCTCACAAGGCGCCTTTCGGCTAGGGACTTTGAAATCGACAAATCTGGTTGTCGTTGCGGAAAGGCGTAGGAGGTTTGCAGCCCAAGATAGTCTACAGCAGCCAATCGAAGTGATATTGCGAAGATACCCTGACCATGCACGACATTGACCGTCTCTCTATGAGTAGTGTCATAGATTGTGTGGAATAAGCTGTGTTGGTTAGAGAGATACGCATGTGCTCGGGGTCGAATGATGGCGATACCGAGTATCCGCACTTCTGCCGCATTGGAGTTCCGTGCCTGATAGGCTATGCCGTGCTGGTATCGGCTGCAGCCCAACCGTGCCCTGATAGTCAGGCAGAGTAGGGCTATATATACCGGAGTGATGAACATCATAGGTATTAAAGACGATATCCCCTACGCGATTCAGTCTGAATTACTGACTAGAGAAAATAGTCGTACAATTGTCTAGCTCAATACTCCTTACGGCTCAAAGCTTATGGCTAGGTACCGTAGGGAGTTATTGCAAGGCTCTCATCATCCTTGGTATTGCGGTGACTTTGCTAATGTTCAATATCCAAAAATGGCGCACAACGGCTCGAATGCCGTCGTACTCGCGCAAGCTTTCTGAAGTCTGTACTTCTCACTGTCGAAACACTGCCCGACAAAGCACAACGCGCGCAGGATAGCGTGTCCTCATATAGCAGTGCCCCTCTCGAAGCTCTCCCTGATGTCCACCGTATACCGATCATAAAACCTGGCCAACTTCATATTGAACTGCTTGTTCTTCTCATTGATGTACGTGACATCTCCTCCTTCCTCCTCACGGCCTCGTGCGCGCCGCGCCTTGAACCTCGCCTCTTCCGCCTTTTTCAAGTCCGATACTAACCGATCCACATTTTCCCGCTTGGGCTTCTGCTCGATGAAGCCCGTAGAATCGTGATCCGCGTAGAACCGTCCGTCCTTATCAATCGCAACCAGCTCTCCGTTCTCCATCTCCACGATTTCCAACCCGCCAGTGCGGGCTGCGTTCTCCAATATCTCGGCTTTCTGACGCTCGTACTCCTCTCTGTTCTTCCCACCATCTTTCAGGGCAGATTTCTCGAGTTCGCGGATCTGCCGGTCGTACATCTTCGCCGCTTCGGCCGAGTAGTCACTGAAAGCGTTGTTCTCGCGCGCAGAATTCTTGCGATCCATTCGCTCGTCCCAGCGCTCGGACTCCTCGATGGTGTAATCCCACGCGCGCTTGCGTTCAAAGGCGCCCTTGCCTTCATCCTCTTCCGTGTCGGCTTTGAGAAGGTTGTGCGATGCGATGGCTGATTTACGCGACAAACTGGCGAGCACGCTTGGATCTATGGCGGAGCGGTTGGCTTCGGCTTTGGCTTCGAGAAGATTTGATTTTGCGGATGCAGATGCACGGGATTTGAGGGCAGCGAACCGGGCGAGTCTGTCCGCGGCGGTTGTGGAGGGGGCGTTGTTCGAAGAAGTGCCAGTGGTTGTCTCAGTTGTGCCTTCTGGCGCTTCGATGGACGTGGACTGTTCAACGTCCTCCGTCTCATGCTTGGCGTCGTCAGCGATCTTTTCAGGTTGGTTAGGTTGCGTTGACTGCTCAGCAGCACCATCTGTGGTGGCCACCTGTTCCGGGCTTGGGCTGAGTTTGCGTCGTTTAGCAGGAGGCATATTGTCGTCTGATATAGGTTGTTGCTGTATAACAAGTGGAAGCTAAGTGGCAGAGAGTGTGAAACGAGCGACTCGAAGGCTAACCGGGCGATCAACGTCTACAATCGTCCCTGAAGGTGTAAATGGAGTCTTGTCAATGGTGAAGCGTCTGGCATCAGAAAGACCGATAAAACGCTAGCTCTCGCCAGACCTTCCTTTTACAAATTTCGCATCGAATACGTCAGTGTTTGAGCCAAAAAGTTCCCGGCGATCAGTCCACGGCTCACAGGACAATCGTGCTGCGAAGTCAGGTCTCCTGATACTTAGCTGTAAAGCTCGACGATAGCCTTTTAAAGGTGTAAGAAAGCTGACGGAACCTGAATAATGAGTCAAGCTGCGAAGAAGAAGATCGTAGTTGCGGGCGGCAATGGATTTCTGGGTTCCCGCATATGCAAGTCCGCAGTCGCTCGAGGCTGGGACGTGACCTCCATAAGGTACGTTCGGTTCGATCACTTCCTCCGCAATGCTAACCTCCATTCAGTCGCTCTGGAGAGCCAGCATGGTCATCCGTCACCTCGGAGTCGACTCCTCCTCCATGGTCGAAGTCTGTCAACTGGGCTAAAGGCGACATTTTGAAGCCTACCACTTACACTTCACACCTCAAGGGTGCTGACGCGGTCGTACACACCATGGGCATCCTGCTCGAAGCCGACTACAAAGGGGTCCTATCTGGCAAAGAGAGCGTCTTCTCCGGCTTGTCCAGAGCGTTCAGTTCCTCAAAAGCCGGTAGTTCGAACAACCCTCTCGATCGGCAGCCAGGAGATGAACTTGGGAAAGGAGAAAAAGACGGACAGATCACATACGAGCTTATGAACAGAGACTCCGCCATCGCTTTGGCACAAGAGGCAGAAAGAGAAGGTGTGAATACATTTGTTTACATCTCCGCTGCTGCAGGCGCCCCCATACTACCTTCAAGGTACATCACGACGAAACGCGAGGCCGAGAGCACGATAGCGAGTAATATGATCAAGTTGCGAAATGTGTTTATTAGGCCAGGATTCCTATACGACAGCAGCAGAAAGTTCACGCTACCTATAGCGGCGTCTGGGATGGTAGGAAGCACCGTGAACAGTTTGGTGGGAGGCAACCTAACTCGGATATTTGGTGCTGCTGTGGAAAAGCCGCTGAAGGCAGATTTGGTGGCCGATGCTGTGGTCGAAGCCATTGCGGATGACTCGACGAAGGGAGTGGTAGACACTCAGTTGATCGAGGCGCTGGCTGCAAAGGCATGGCGTCGGACTATGCTGTAATCCCGAACGGTCCTCAACTTAGTCTGTATAAATAATTGAGGTTGGCTCTACCTGGGAAAAAGGCGTTGCGCGTAGGAAGGTTCGTAGAATGAATTCATTGTCTAACTCATTCATCAACCCCGAACATAGCGCTGGCACAGTGGACTGTAGCCAAAGCTCTTGATTTTGTATTAGTTGGCGTTGCCGTAAGAAACTCGAGAAAGCCTCCAGTCGGGACTCAGCCTGCTGGCCAGCCGCGTGTTCCTTCGGTCTCCTGGCTCCAGTCGCCAATGTCATAGTGTCGCATTCTTGACCTTCTGTGTCGAGTTCTATCATATACACCCTCACCGGACGCCGTGGACTTAATCCAAACCCCGCTATGCTAATCACATCCTGAGTGAAGATCCGAAGGTAAAGCGCGCAATTGGGTGAAAAGGGCGCCTCATAAGAGCATGGGGCCCTTGAAAAGACATCGAGAATTTTGTACAAAACATGTGGTGAGCATGAGGATAAATGACACAGAACTGCCGGATACGTGTCGGTGCGCTTGTTCTCCGCCTCGTTTATGATGTTTGCGGAATTATAGGTTGGCCTTTTGGGTCTCTTCGGGAGGCTCGAACAGGACTTTACGGGTCAACTAGAAAGCTGTCAATAGAAGTCATCGTCTGGGAATCCGGACATCCACTTACTGCCCATGCACCTGCAATTGAGGCGACAATTCCACTCGAAATCAACATTGGCTTCACGCCTCTTGTGCTCTTGAAGATGGCTCCGCTCAAGGCGCCGGCCACTATGCTGTTTGCAGCATCATGCTTCCCCCGATAGTAGCCAATCGTGGAGTTAATACCGTTGTAAACCATCGCAACCACACCGGCAGAGTTACCAAGAAAAGGTCCTCTTCTGGTGATGCTGTTCAAGACACTGTTTAACCGTAATTTCGGAGGGGCCGACGCCGGCGTGCGATTCAAGCCTTCTATTAATCCCCAGGTGCCGCCAGTAGTCAAAGCTGTGAGATATACGACTCCTGTTCCGTAACACAGGTCGTCCGACCAGCCGCGGGAGGGCAATATCGACCGAGAGCCTGGAAGATCTGATAATGCTGATTCATCTAAGGAGAGGTAGTCGAGCGTCTGTTGATTCAAGCCAGCAAGGGGGTGTAATTTCGAGGCATCGGGAAGAGATGCGGCTCCTAAGAGTGACGAGACATCTGTTGTTGCGACAGAGGGATCGAAAGGCGATGATGCGAAGCCGCCAGCTGAAGGCGCAGGCATGGAATCGTTTCCATGCGGCTCCGGCTGCTGTTTCCTTCTGCCGCTGAAGGCATCCCAGACAGACATTGTGAGATGGAGGTATGGAGGATTGGCAGATAGAGGTAAAGGGATCGATTAGGTGGCGCAGTGGCAGCCGTGAATGTGTCGCGCAATGAAAGGTGCCAGATGAAGCCGGGGAGAAAACTTTCCAAAGAATTCCGCATCAAAATCGGTGTTATTCTATTGGCACGTGATTGGCACTTACATTCGTTCTACGACCCCAAGAGATTTTAGAACAATTTTCCAACGTCCGTCACTGACCAGCCTCAACAACAGGGCATCATTGGGTCCCTTCTGGCTGTCAGTGCGAGGGTTGGATAGCAACGATGGCCTGGAAATCCTTCTATGAACGATAGCATACTTTGAGTCAGGATGGATGCCATTTCCAAGGCTCTTGAGAGCCGGATACCCATTTCTAGTTCCGTTCTTTCAGATCTAGGCAAGGGTGTTTTGCGCAAAGCACTATTGGATGCCTCAGAAGATGAGGAAGTACACCAGATCTTGAATGTTTGGCCCAGACTGGTGCTCACCGCCAAATATCCCCAAGTCGTCGACAAGCATCTCACTTCTGCCTCGAACGCCTTGTGTGTATTTCTTAATGGAGGAGCTGCAAGCCATAATCCCGAGGTCTACCGTTTTGTTACTTCTAAAGAGGTGTGGTTCGATGCTTTCCAGTGTGCAGAGAAAGCTTTCGACGATGGGAAGACGAAGCCGGCTTTTCAAGTACTGGAAACTCTATGTGATATGCTTCAGAAGATGTCCGATGAAGACAGTATTGTCGACATCTTAACAACTGCCACACTGCCGTTGTTCACAATCATCCTTCTTTGCTCTCCCCGGTCTGATCTCAAGAAAGCTTGTCTCATGCTGACCTGCTTCTGTCGAAAGACACCGATCATTGACCACCTCGAGCGTCTCATCAGAGAAACTATTGCAAAGCATCCATTGCCCTGGGAACAACGTCTAATGCGTCACAATATCACAACCACGGATGTGTCAGAGATTGGGAACGGTAGTATGCCATCTCTCCTCTTAGCTTTGATCCTTGCAAGCATTGACATCGACGTAAGAAGCACTGCCACTAAGACCTTTTCGGTTCTGTGCTCTCGAGCCTCTGGACAACCGAATGGCGCCGACCTGCAGACTCTCGCCGAAAGAGTCGTGGGACTATACTTGGAGCGAAATCATGAAGCGCGCGGAGAATTCGCCCAGAACGTTCTTCCTGTCGTCCTGAGCGACAAGACACGATTTATGGCCTTCGTGGAGTCGAAAACAAGTTCTTGTCGCAATGGCGAGGCAGAATTGGCGCTGTTTCTATCGACTCTGCGAGCCGGTGCTTCGAATAACACTTTATCTGAGACTGGTATGTGTCACTCAGCTCGAGATCCCAGTCTGCACGTCGTCAGCTAATGGAATATTATGTAACAGAAGCCGTAGCAATCTTGAATACTGTATTCCTTTCGCAGACTTCTGCCCGGTCTTCCCAGCAAGATCATTATCATTGGATCAAACATATATTCAAGCTAGCAAGCTCGGAAATCCAAATCATAATTTATGGACTTCTGGCGGCGTCCCGTGCTGCACATACTATCATCCATGCTGACGGGCTGGATTGTATCGCTTCGAGTTTGAAGTACCTCTACAATGATGCAGACGCTCACGATAGAGGTGAAATCCTAAGCATAACTAAGAGGCTGCTGAAGAGAGTCCAGACCGGGTGCTCGGCACTTTACAAGAGGTCGCAGCACAGCGCAATCGACTCTGAAAATGATGCAAAGCTAGCTTCATATCAATCCTTCACGGCCCGATACTACAACTTTCTACGCTCAGAGCTGGGGACTGGAGTGTCTTATCCGCGTCACATACTAGCGCTACAATCCCTTCAATACTTCTTCAGTTTGTCAGTGGAGCCCGGCATGTTCCTGAGTGACCGCGAGCTTGCGAAGTCTCTGTGCAACCTCAGCCTAGATCCCTTTGAGGATGTGAGGGACTTATCGGCAAGCCTTCTTCAGTTCATAGCCTCAGAGACGCCAGAATTTGTATCTCTTACTGTTAGTCCTGGTCTTTTGCATGACGTCGAAATGCTAGCCCTGCACACTGGGAGGGGTGATCATGCTGATGGCATGGGCAGGCTTTGGGCGGTGCGATCTCACACTAACGGCGTCGTCGAGTCCGCGCAAGCTGCTGCCGAGAGAGCACTGATGATGCATATCTCGAAACTGGAGAATTTGTTGTCGAAAGTGGGAAGTCTACAACCCGGGTCGGACTTTCCGTTGCATGGATCTTTGCTGGCACTCAATTATCAGCTTCGGAACCTGAAAGGGCCAGGGCTGGACGCGACATCCGATTCGGCCCGGATCTTGAATCTATGTCGTCGGATCTGGAATGAAGTCAGGCCTCAATTGTGTGTTGACTCCCCAGAAAGGACTTCAGACCTTGCCGACGATGACGGGACAGAAGGTCCGAAGGATTTGCTCGCTTATTCCTGGAGAGCCCTTCGCGACTCAAGGTAAGTCTCCCTGCCACGTGTACCGGTAGTTTCTGACCTGAACAGTCTTGTTGTGCAATCGTTGGTCATGGCGTCTAGGCCGAGTAAGGAGCTGTATTCTTCCATTGGGGATCTTTGTATGGACGAGTTGATGTCCCTACGGCATCGGGGTGCCTTCTCAACCGTCGCAAATACCTTCCTACTCTGCTGTGATACAGTTCGTAACGCAGTTGACCCGGGTGCCCGAGATCTCATCCACAAATGGTACAAAGTGAGTCTACCTAAAGTATGCTAAATTTTGTGGAGAATTGACAACAATAGATCGCTCTGAGCCAGATCGACGAACAAGCTGACCGTCTCACACGACGCTCTGCAGGACTTCCTGCCATGATGACGGCTCTGCTCAGCCCTGTTGATACAGAGTCCTTTTCACGTGCAGTGTCTGACCTTGTGGGCATTGCTGGACAGAGACCCCAGAACACTGCTCTTGCTGGAGAAGAACTGAGGTTGCCGCAAGTGCATGCTCTCAATTGCTTGAAAGATATCATGACTGCGTCTAGATTTTCGGTTATTGTTATTCGGTTTCTGTCGCCGATTGTGAGGTTGGCCGCTGCCTGCCTCTCGTCCAAAATCTGGGGCATCAGGAACTGCGGGTTGATGCTGCTAAGAGCTTGCATAAATCGCCTTGATCTATCGAACAGGAACGAGAACATTGCCTCACAAGACTCGAAGCAGGCGCCTGCTGTTGACAATCCGTCACTTGTAGCAGTTCAGTTGCTTGAATCAGCACGCCGAGTCTCTGATGAAGACCCCGACAATGCGATGAATGCCACCGAACTCGTGTTTGCAGGCCTCGACCTCCTTGGACATACTCGAAGCAAGGATAGCAAGACTACAGAAATGGGAATCGTCATTGCTCGAGAGCTGTCAAACCCAACTTGGGCCGTAAGGGATCACGCAGCACGTCAGCTAGCCCAGTATTTGTCGAATCTAGGCCCCATGCTGGCTGCACAGAGGCTACTCGAAGTGGCAGCGCCGGCAGAATGCGAGAACAGAACCCATGGAGTTCTGCTCTGCTGCAGGTACATCATGAAAGCGGACGTCCAGCCTCTCGCTGAACCTGACCTTGAGAGAATGTTACCGCTGCTGGGAGATAGCCTCGCCACAACATCCGGCACAATAAACTCCCGCTCACCTTATGTCAATGCGGCATGGTTGGACATCCTGAATGATGCTGCCGTGCTCGTCGCGAATAACGGATGGCGCCAACAGATGCTCAGCACAAGCTGTTCACAGGATTATTTGAGCTCTCTCCAAGCGCTCAACTCTGCCCACAGCACATTTCTGACGCAGCGACTACTTTTGCATAAAATCTTTCGTTATATGCTCACCGACGAATCTATGCCATCTTACGGCGAGACTGTGCAATCTATTGCTACTGAGCTGGCGGACGACCCAGAGGCAATGTGTTTCGTCTTGGACATCATTAACGAGAAGCTGACCGGCCGACCAAGGCTCTCTCTATTCTCTTTATTTGCGCATGTGGTCAATGAGAGCTACGAGACTATTCTACTCAGGCCAGACGTTCTTGGAAAAGCTTTCTACTTCTTGGAATCGTGCTTTGCATCCAGCATCAGGCCTGGCCTTGAATCACTGCGACTGATGAGTGAAAGAATTGATCTCAGACAGCTGTCAACCACCAGAGACTTGTGGAACGCAACCCTGAGACTTGAGGCGCATATACTGGGACTTGTAGTGCTCCCAGGAAATGGAGGCACTGCAGCTAGGCAACGCACCAGTCTATGGCTTGATGCTGTTGAATATGCCTCGATGGACTACCTGGATTTCCCTACTAGGTTGAGCGCCGCAGCTGCCCTATCGACTCTCATTGGACACCTGCAGCCTGCCAATCTTAACTATGATGGGCGCGATATCAAGCTCCGTATCCTGCTCGTTGTATATGATTTGTTGAACGACGACGATGAGGAGGTCCGCGCTGAGGCTGTTGCCGCCGCTGGTAAGCTGGATCTACAACACGTATCTGCCATTGGGGGTCTCGGCCTATGTGCTCTTGCTGCACGAGAAGTTCTCATTGAGGAGCTGCGCCAGCAGTACCGACATGAAGTATTGTTAACTGAGGCTGCATTGGCCAAGGTGATGCGAGTTGGGCGCGATAGTGAGAGTGGCTTCTTCGAGAGGGAAGTCGTGCGACTCTTCGAGACTTCAGTATCGTCAAGGCTTGCTGATATTATCAGATCAAAAACTGATCTTTTTGCCGAGGAGAGACAAAATCTCTTCGTTGACGACATTGGTGAGATTGAGGGTTGGACAAAGGTTCTGTGTCAATCAGCGTACCGACAATTCCCACAGGACCAGCTTCAATCTATGTTCGTGTGGATCTCAGAAGGATTGGACCAAGTTTTGGCCATGATGCAAGTCGAGCAGAAGAGAGCCGACACGAGAGGAGCCTCTTTTAGCATCTCAACATTTGTGCATCCGCTCGGGGCTACCTACGATCACGACTTGCTGGTGGTTTTTCTACAAGTCACCAGCCTTGCGGGTGTGCTCTTGAATTGGGAAGCAACAGCGGATTCCAAAGCTCACTTGCATAAAAGGCTGGAGCAACTTCACCTCTTGTGTACACAGGTACAGTGCAACGAGGTGCTGACCAGGGCAGTCAATCATGCGCTGGGAATGGTGAAAGTAAAGTGAAGGGTGCCCGCGAGAACAATAGCAAGTAAGCCTGAAATATCAGCTTCGCACGCGCACCTTTCTAGACATCACAACGTGCAATTCCCTGTTCGAAAAATAATACTCGACGCCTGCAACGCATGAACAGATCTCGAAACCAAAAGATCCCCCCGAGACACGCAGTAAGTTGAATCCCCTTGACAGGATAACCAGGGGCTCACATCACCTCAGCGACAAGACATTACCACCTTTCAAGAACGGCGATGGAACCTGGCTTAGCTATCCTGCTTTGTTTCGTCCTCATCATTCCCTTCTGCGCCTGGATCGCGTGGCGATTCTTCATGCCAATGATACATGACCAGATGGCAATGGTGGAAGCAGGAGAACAGCGCGCTGCTGAGGGTCGTCCACCAGCTGTGAACAGAGGATAACACAGAAAACCTCCACTGGACAATAGGAGGACGCTGAGAATATGCATTGTGGTTGATGTTGATGACCTGTTAGATTGCGAATCTTCTGGAGCTGTTCATTAGAATTGTCACCCTATGAATGGGAGATCTGAGTGCTGTTACTTGATAATATCAGTTCGATGCCGGGAAGTCGTGCTGATATGGCGGGTTCACTTCGTCTTGCTCTCCTACTGGCCGTCTTCTGATTGTTCCACAACAAAATAGGAAAGCGAAAGATATTGAGCCTCATTTCTCACCTCGTCTATCCGGGTCTACCATCTCATTCTCGTAATCGCTTACCCCGGTCACCACCCTTCGTGCTACCCAGCTGTTCTGGCGCCCCTTCACGTGTCTTCACAAATCGTTCAAAAGTCTCATTCCCAATCTTCCTAACCCGACCAAGAATCTTACTATTGGAAGACGGCAGCATGTCCATAATCACTCAAACAATAACCGCGATCACTACCGCAGTCTTCTCACCGGACATCCTCACGCGAACCGTCACAGCCTATCTATCCACCACGCTCCCTGCAACATTTGGCCAAACAGTCACCATCAGCCCAACCCCTGTCACACCTTCACCCATCCCGACGACAAAATACACTCCATCACTGACGACCGTAGCAACAGTGACTTCGGTCATCACCGTAACTGAGATCGATATATTCCTGCAAAACCCACAGGGTGAAGTTTATTCGACGTGGATGGTACCTCTGACACCAAGCTCGAGCTCTGCTGCTGCGGCCGCGAATGGAGCCCCCCTTGTGTATGTCGTCAATCCACGGGATGACGGTGGGTGGGATACTTGGTCGACAGGGTCTAAGGTGGGATTGATTGTCGGTGTGGTGCTCGCGGGGGTGATATTGGTGGGACTATTGCTCTGGTGTTGTTGCAAGAGAGCAAACTTATGGTTCGTGCATGGATGGCCGTGGAGCAGGCCTGTTGATGCGCCGATGGGCATGGGACCCGGGATGTCGATTGTGCAGCCGACGATGGTGAATGGGCCAGTTGTGCCGTACGGAGCTGGAGGGTAGGGGAGGCAAGGCTATGTTGTCGGTTACGTTTGAAGCTCGAAAAGTACAGGTGGCTGGGGAAGCGTAATGCCGCATGGAAAAGAAAGGGCAGGGAACAGGAGAGGAGGGAAGTCAGCAAGAGCGGACTGAAAGGCTTGAGATGTTGTGATATGAATCTTTCTTAGGTCGACTGAGAATCTGTCGAGACTAATGTCGTAGGACAGAGTCGGCAGGAGGTCATCACTGCTATTCAAATGCTCAGTGGCATGCGGCTGAGATCGAGGAACCTGGATAAATAGGTGGGAATGCCACAGCACCAGAGATACCTGTCTAAGAATTTAGAACCGCTTCTGTCACAAAGCAAGAGCATCAAGCCGTTGCTTTTCTCGAAGATCAAGACCAGAATTGCGGTATGTAGAGCCGAACTTCCGGAGCACAAGTACTGCAGCTCATGCTAGAGATCTTCATAACTAGAACCACTTCGCTTGCCGTGATATATCTGAAGTTGCGAGAGGATAGAGAAATACCACTGCTGTCACCGTCGTTGTAGAAGGTGGTCCGAGCGCAGATGCGGATCGACCAATGACGTGGCGGTGTCATGGGTGCAGCCATTTGGAGATGCCTTGCGCATGAAGCAATCCTCAGTTGTTACTACTTAGGCTTGTATTCACGGCGTCGTCCACTCGCTAGTACTTGAGCTGGCCTGCCTTTGTCTTTCCTCAGTCCTTGTCCGTGTCTGTGCGCGCCATCATGTGGCAGGACGACGAAGACAACAACCCGTACGGGTCATACACCAACCAGGACTCCACCGGCGAGCCAACCAACCCGGCTTTGAGCAGCTCTTGTATGCGCGAAAAGGAAGCAGTCTCTTTATGATCGCTGACACGCTTTGCTAGATTCAAACCAACAAGTCTCCACTCCCGATACCTCACAGTCCTCCCCTACCCAACAACAGTACTTCCCGCGACCAGATCATCCTAGCGACGACGAGGAAGACTACAATGCACACCCCGAGGCAGGACATGCGCCGCCCAAAGGTGGCTATGACAGCAGGGTCCAGCAGATTCTATACGAGAATCCGGAACTGGACATCGTCATAACCGAAGCAGGAAAGAGCTCAGATGGAGGCTATATCGTATACAAGATCAGAACCGGAGTACGGCATCATCTCAGCACTGGGACTGTCGCCGCTAACTTGTTCAGGACATTGAAGTCGCCCGGAGATATTCAGAATTCAGTTCTTTGCGGAACGCTCTGGTAAATCTACATCCTACGCTCGTCATCCCTCCCATTCCAGAGAAGCATACAATGGCAGACTACGCTGCAAAACCGACCAAGGCAAAGGAAGATGTTGGTATAATCGACCAGCGGAAACGAATGCTAGCAGTCTTTCTGAACCGGTGTCGGAGGATGAAAGAAGTCGTAGAGGACGGCGTATGGTGGCGGTTCCTTGACCCTAATTCTAGCTGGGTACGTTTGCTGCCCTTTCAGGATAGGAGGCTTTTGGCCATCTAACATCCTGCAGAACGAAGTCTTGCATGCACATCCTGTGGCATCAGTACCCAAGAATAACTTGAAAGCTCCTCCGTTGGATCCGGCCAACCCTACTCAAGCACATAACTGGCTCCCTGTTCCTTCTTCATCCGCCAAACTAAAATCTACGGGCCCGACATCAAGCAGCGGAACTCCAATATCTCCTCCAGAGCAGACGTACCCATCATCCGCGGCTCATACGACACCCGGTCCGCAGGTCTTTGGCCGCTTCCCTGTTGCGTCAGACAAGCTGAGCGAGACTGATCTGGATCCTTACTTTATCAACTTTGAAGCCTCAACCCGCGAACTGGAGCTCCTGCTGCAGGGCAGCATAGAGAAGGTGAATCGCCGAACTCTTGAGCACCTGACCAAGCTTTCTGCAGATCTGGCCGAACTTGGGGCTCGGTACAATGGCTTTTCACTTTCCGAGCAATCACCAACAGTAGCAGCAGCTATCGAAAGAGTAGGCCAGGCTGTGGACGGCACGTATATCTCGACAGAAGAGCTTGCTCTAGGTTTGGGGGCCACTTTTGCCGAACCAATGCGAGAGAGCGCACAGTTTGCTGGGGTGGTGCGCAATGTTCTAAGGTACCGAGTCCTCAAACGAGTGCAACAAGACATGACTAGAGATGAGCTTGAAAAGAAGCGGAGTCTGCTTGATGCTTTGGAGCGCAGCGAAGCCGAAGCAAAGAGAATTGACACGTACCTATCACAAAGCACCACGCTGGCGAGTCCGCCACGACGATCAACATCCAATGCTTCAGCACGCAGTCCGCCCGAACGGCACACAGGACCAGGACGGGAAGGCCATGAGGAGACAGAGTCAGTTGACTCTGATTTTCCACCAACTTATGGCGACCCTGCGTCATCGTCACCACCTTCTGCTACACAAGGTCAGCCGAATGCTTCTGGACCTACCTCACCCACGTCACATAGGAAGTCGCCTAGTGGGAACTTCGTGACGAACAAGATATTCGGCAGTTTCAGACATGCTGTCAATGGCTTCGTCGACGTTGACCCGGAGAAGACGAGGCGAGATCAAATAGGCAAGACGCGTGAAAGCATGACACATCTAGAGCAAGCTCTAGAGGTATCGGAGAAAGATGTCAAAGATGCGACTCAAGGTGTCATGCGAGACCTGAAGAGGTTTCAGAGGGAGAAGGAGGACGATCTTCAAAGATACATGGTAAGTTCCCCACTCATGGCACTACCACCAAAACTAATGAACCGTTTTCAGATTTCATATGCGAGATGTCACATCGAATGGGCTCGCAAAAATTTGGATTCGTGGTCCGAGGCCAGGGATGAAGTGGATAAGATTGTCTCGAGATAGGCGGGAGAGTCCATCCGTCCAGATCAGTCAGACTCAGGGACTGTGGCCATGCTCTGTGGGAGGGGCTCTTTATCTGCCCGCAGACGTTGTGTAGTCAGTCTCTCCAGGGCCGAAGACGAAGTGGAAATACCGCGATACTGCCACTTGCTCAGAGGCTCCAAAGCCAGCTTTGAGTGTCGAGTCTAAGCGGCATAATGAATAAGTACATAGTGCTTGTGATGACTTCCCTATTTGATGTGCACTGGCTATCGTAGCCTTTGATAAAATCGACGTCCCTTTTGCAGAGTTGGTGAGGGCTTGTGCCTTGGACGCAACGTTCAACATTCAAGTTCACAGTGACGCAGGAAGGCGGGTACAGACTGCGGCCCTCGGTTGAGTGACGAAAGGCTTCAAACAGATTTTCAGATGAAAGAAAAGACCTCGACCAACGACAAATGTCTGGATCACACTTATCAGAAACGAAGGGGTCTTGATTTCTTGTAGACAATTTTGACTTGTCTTTCATTTTGTCTGTACAGATTGTGCATTCACTCAGACCGGGTTGGCCTGGGGCCAGACTGCGATTACCACTGTCAGTGCCTGCGGCAGCATCTGAGCAGGCCCACCGCCTCGCATTTCGCAAATTCAGACCCTCATCGCCTCAATTCTCTCTTTCAACTTTTCGTCGTCTCTGCAGCACATGGTCCTGGCGTATTCGTCACCAGGCCTCATCCTTACCCAGCCCTCCGAGCAATCCCTGCCGGGACATGCCCGCTTCCCAAAAGCAACAAATCTCACAATCCAAGGATGATTTAGGCACGCATCTGCGATCTGCATCACCAGCTGTTAAGAGAAGGGCGTCTGACATGGGGGCTCAAGATCGAGAAACGTATCCTAGCGATGTAGAGATGGAGGACAGTCAGTCGACCATTTTCACACCAGTGAACCCAGACGCGGCACCAAATTCAGATACGAAAGCAAAGCAGCAAGATCTAGGGCAGAGACACCGTGACAAGCCTTCAAGCGACAGCCTCACGCACACCAGTGATCCCAGAGCTGTTCAGCAGTCTGCTGCATCCGACAACAGTGGCAGTTCAACCTCCGACTCCCTTGTCCCAAGTCCTTCGAATCAGTCCACCGCGGGCACTTCCCTAAACACCGATGTCCCTCCCTGCGCTGTCTCGATCCCCTCCATCGATGAACAGATTGCCAAAGTCACCCAATTGATGGATGGCGAGCCGCGTGATGGTCAGAAAGGTTACTTGCTGTCCAGAAAATGGTACCAGAGGGTGCAAGCCCGCGGTTCCCACGCCGGCGAGGTTGGAAAGATAGACAAGTCTGCTACCGAGGGCGAGATTGGACCGGTGGACAATTCTGACCTGGCCATGGTTATTGAAGAATCGACTCGACTGGTAGATCAAGCAGGAGAACCCTACGTCCCACTCCGGCCTGGACTCTCTATCACCGACGACTACGTGATCCTTCCACAAGAAGCTTGGGATCTTGTTGTTTCTTGGTACGGCCTTGCAAAAGACTCGCCAGTCATCACCAGATACGCCATAGATGAGAGTGTGCCAGGGACACCTCCCCATATCGTCTGGGAATTGAGTCCCCCAATCTTCTCATTCCTCAAAGTGCCCGCCGAGCATACCACTCAAACTCAGCGTGAGAAAGATCTGCCACCTCGACGAATGCTTGCATCCAAGAAGAAGCCGTTCATGCAATGGTTAAAGGCAGGGAAGGAATTGCTTCACATCAACCTGAGCTCGAAAGTGAGAGTATGGAGAGTCCTTGGTGGTCTCAAGAGTTCTACGGCTTCTGGCGTGATGACTCCGACCGCTTCCAGGAGTGCCTCGCCTGCCCCGGGAGCAGAGATTGTTGCAAGCGCGGGCGACCGAATGCTACTTGACGTGCATACCTTCGCTGCTCTTACCGTTGGCGAACAACGCGAAATGCTTCCGCATCAAGATTTGACTGCGGATCCCAAATATAACGGGTCGTCCACTCTAGCCTTTGTCGGACTCGGAAGAGATGAGGTGATCGTCTTGGAAGAACAGAAACCTGGCAAGGAGGAATGGCCGAGCGAGAGCAGCAAACTGAGTTTGAGCAGAGGACTTAAGAAGACCGCGAACAATCTTACTCCAAGCGGAAGATCCAGTCCAGCGCCTGGAATGATGACTAGAGGGCGACAGAAGAGAGATGGTAGACCACGTGGCATCACAGGTTTGAGCAACTTGGGCAACACCTGTTACATGAATTCTGCGTTGCAATGCATACGCAGCGTTGAGGAATTGTCACAGTATTTCTTGCATGATCAGTGGAAGAAGGACCTGAATGTGGACAATCCTCTGGGCCATCATGGTGAGGTCGCAAAAGCATACGCCAATCTACTCCATCAGATCTACGATGAGAACGCGATTTCGACCAACCCTAGCAGATTCAAGTCGGTCATCGGAAAGTATGGCTCAAGTTTCTCGGGTTATCAGCAGCAGGATTCGCAAGAGTTTCTCCTTTTTCTACTCGACGGCTTGCAAGAGGATCTAAACCGGATCCATAAGAAGCCTTACATTGAGAAACCCGACTCCACGGATGAGATGGTGCATGATAGCGCCGCCCTCAAAGAGTTTGCCGACAAGAATTGGGACATCTATAAAGCAAGAAATGACTCCGTCATCACGGATCTCTTTGCTGGAATGTATAAGTCTACATTGACTTGTCCGGTATGCCAGAAAGTCAGCATCATCTTTGACCCTTTCAACAACCTCACCCTGCAACTACCAATTGAGAACAATTGGCAGAAGGAGATCTTGTACTTCCCACTTGGCAAACGTCCGTACCGAGTTGATGTCGATATCGACAAGCATTCTAGCATCAAGTCTCTCAAAGAATTCATTGCCTCACGCACAAAAGCCGATGTCGACCGAATGGTGGTCGCTGAATCGTACAAGAACAAAATCTACAAGATCTTCGATAACAATACCATCATTTCGGAAGCCAACATCCAAAGTGGAGACATCATATGTTGCTATGAATTGGAATGCATTCCGACGAACTACAACCCGAACAAGCCCAAGAAGTTCTCGCTCTACACTCTCAACCGCGACTCAGAAGATGACCTGGTGGATGACGACAGTCCAGAGGCAGACCGCCTGCTCGTGCCAATGTACAATAGATTGGTCAGAAACCCAGCGTCGAGAGTAGGCTCGAAACCATTCTTCGGCCAGCCAACCTATTTGGTGCTCACCCGCCAGGATCGGGCAACGTATGATGGTATATTGAAGAAGATCCTGGGCAACATTTCAGGAATGACCACCAGAAATCTGTTTGAAGAAGGCGAGGATGAGTCTGAGGAAGACGCAGCCACACCTGAAGGATCCGACACCGTAATGATGGGTGATGACATGTCAAGCTCTGGGTCCAATCTCCCGACTGCTAGCTCTGTCCAAGGCGAGGACGGTCTGGTCGACGTTTCAATGCGGGATGCCAGCCAAGCTCCCGAAGCGAACTCCGAATCACCGGGTACAAACAGCACTCAGAGCCTGCACAGAAAGTCATCCATCCCTGGAGCGCTTCGACAGCTATTCTCTATCCATGTTGCTTCTACGGGAGAGGGTATACCCACTGGCTGGAACCAGATTTCTGAGTCGCAAGACTATGATCTGATCAATACGCGCATTCCCAAAGTCTCCCCACGTAGTGCCGAACCGAGCACATTGTCGAGGCTAGCTAATGGTGACACCGGCTCCGTGTCTAGCGATGATGAGCTCGGTGACATTGAGCATGAGGACGCTACCAATGATAGCAACGAGTCGGGTTCGGAAACGAATTCAGGCCCAGTATTGCAATCAGGTGCTGACTCAGATCCCGATCTGCCTCCTTTGCGCGACTTCGCGAAGTCAAGGAACCCCAAGTCGAAGAAATTCCAGAGACAGCAAAAGAGAAACAAAGCATTAGGAAAGCGAGTTCCTCGTCGGACACCGCCGCCACCTCCACAACCGTTGCCTAAATCTACAGGTCGTGGGTTGATTCGACCGGGCGAGGCCATTGTATTGGACTGGACTCAAGAAGCGCATGATGCACTGTTCGGTGGTACTGAAGAGGATGAAAGCGAGCTGCGTGGAGCAGGCACGTGGAAGAGCGTCGAACTGTTGCATGACGAAGAAGTGTTGACCAAACGTGCACAGAGATCAAGCCGCAAGAAGAATGGCATTACCTTGGAAGACTGCTTGAACGAATATGGCAAGTCTGAAACATTGTCGGAGCAAAATGCATGGTTCTGTCCTCGATGTAAAGAGCATCGGCGAGCTGAAAAGATGTTCGAGCTATGGAAAGCTCCTGATATTCTTGTCATGCATCTGAAGCGATTTAGCTCGAACAGAAACTTCCGAGACAAGCTCGAAGTCAAGGTCGAATATCCAACAGAAGGCCTTGACCTCTCCGGCATGGTCAGAGATCAGCAAGATGGCAAGAGCCTGATATACGATCTAATCGCGGTCGACAACCACTACGGCGGGCTCGGCGGAGGTCATTACACCGCATATGCCAAGAACTTCTTCAACAACGGTTGGTATGAGTACAATGGTAAGCACTACAGTCTGACAAATTGAGCTTGGGCTGATCTCCCTCAGATTCGCATGTGTCGTCTAAGACGGATCCTCGAGCAGTCGTTACCAGCGCAGCGTACCTCCTGTTTTATCGCCGACGGTCAGAGCGCCCTTTGGGGGGGCCGCGACTGGAGGAAATATTGGACGCCAGCAACGATGCAGAAGCCGACTCTGATATGCCTGAGAACTCACGGGACTCTTCACCTGTAACGGGGGAAGGTCGGCGTCTCGGCGACTCCTCCCACTCTGGGTTGTCGAGCGCTTTCGCAGTAGGTCAAGCTCACCGCGTGGGAGTGGGTGGCTCGGCAATGGAAGAGGACAGTCAGGATCAAGATCTACTAGCCGGCAACGGAAGTCGACCGAAATCGATGGGGCCAGTAATGTCGGGGGATGAATTACCCGGGTATCCTGAAGATGAAGGGGTCTCAATGGATTATCCAGGTTTGGGCCCCGGTTGGAGCTTCGATCGCCTGGGTCAAACACAAGCACCAGCGCCTTCCGAAGATGGCATGTTCGGAGACAAGGGCAGCTCTAACGACAGTACCCGAGTTGAGGGCGATGCGGGAAGCCCCGTGCACAGTCTGTTGGAATTGGATGAAACACCGATCTACAGCGAGGGCCTTACGGGAGATGAATTTGCGAGCCGTAACATGAGGGAGAGTGCACCACCTCCACAAATCCCTGGAATGATGGACGAGGGGGACGATGACCCTCCTGTGGTGGAGCTTCGAGCTAATCCGGACAACGATGAATTGACATTTCATCAACAGAACCAGTGATATTGTTTCGGGTCGGTAGCATTTTTGGAGTGGCATGGTCTGCCTGGCGTTCGGTTGACGGACGAACAGAAAGTTCAGTTGGCTGTTTGGCAGTAAGCAGTGGCCTGTATCATGACACTGGGAAGTAAAAGCCCAGATGATATGAACGGAAATGGGTAGAGGCCACAAGAATATGGACCCTCTTTGGCCAGGGTGACCTTAGTATCGTGCGCATCCAATGTCGTACGCTGAGTAGAGTGATCAATGATCCGACGGGGCAAGGTCGAAGTTCCAGTTATTTTGCCGGTCGTTCGCGAGACATGACTTGTTGTGGTTCCTTACGAGGGCGAGCCTGTGTGAGCCTTAGACACCCGAGACTTAGGTGAAAGTGAAGTAGGGAAGAGATCGGGATAGAACTTCACCTGCAAATGACCGCGAGACGGGCATAGCAGGCTTGGCGTTTTTGTCGCGTTTCCAAAGCCTTTCAACTCTTCGAGATTGTCCTGAACTTGAACCACTTACCTTGATACATGACGACCTACGACATGAGACTGACAATACGCTGAGTATCCTTTGAGGTGTATCATTCTAAGAGGACAGATCTTGGGCGCCATGGCGAACACGCTGACGTCTCGCGAGGAACCCAAAGCGGCCGAATATGCAGGAGGTATGCCGCATCCATGTCCAAGCCAGAAAGACGTTTCCATTATGGCAATCTTTAGAGTGCCTTTGTACTGATTCTCCTACAGATGAAGTTTCTGCGCTTGTGCTCGACCCGGGCTTCTCTACAGTGCGCGCCGGTTTCGCAGGAGAAGACACTCCCAAATCGATTGTTCCTACGTACTACGCATCAACCGGATCCGGTCGACTCTTCGGCGATCATGTCATTGATCTACCGCGCCCAGGGGTTGAAATCAAGAACCCCATGAACAAAGATGGCATCGTGGAAGACTGGGACGCAGCCGAGGCGCTGTGGAAATACACCTTCGCACACAAACTCACGGGCGTGCGCCCGAACCGCGCTCTACAAGAGTGGTTGAACGATCCCAAATCCGTGCCGGACCTACAAAAGTCCATGGCCGAAGCGGTGGACACGGAACGGTGTCTAGAAGATCACCCATTGTTCATGACGGAGCCGTCGTGGAACACGCAAAAGGCACGGGAGAAGTGTGTCGAGATGGCCCTCGAGTCGTGGGGCGCACCGGCATTCTACCTAGGCAAGACGGGCGTGATGGGTGCGTTTGCAGCTGGTCGGCCGACGGCGCTCGTGCTGGATTTTGGCGCGACGCAGGTGTCTGTGACGCCGGTGCATGACGGGATGATCCTCAAGAAGGGCGTCACGCGCGCGAACATTGGCGGAAACTATCTCAGTCAGCAGGTGCGTAATATGCTGGCTGGCAATGAGGCGGGAAGTATCACAATCACGCCGCATTATCTGGTGCAGTCGAAGCAGCCGGTCGACGCGGGGCAAGCGGCGAATGCCGTGCTCAAGACGTTTCCGACGGGATTCCAAGAGCCGGACGCGAGCTTCCGACGGTATCAGGAGGAGAAGGTCGTGCTGGAATTCAAGGAGATTGCGCTGCAGGCGTGGACGAACGCTAATGTGACGTTCAGAGGGCAAGGGGAAGCGCTGGCGCGGGATACGCAGTTTGCGCAGCCGTTTGAATTTCCGGACGGATACAATCAGACGTTCTCGAGTGAGCGGTTCAGGGTGGTCGAGTCGATGTTCGATGGACAGTGTTACTATCCTCCTCCGGCGGGCGATGTGTTGGGACAAGAGTACCCTGCGCCAGACGAGAAGCAGACGATTCCGGGCCTGGTCAAGGCGTCACTCAGCCAAGTGGATGTCGATGTGCGGCCGTTCTTGCTGGCGAATGTGGTTATCACGGGGGCCGGGTCGCTGATTCGTGGGCTGCCCGACCGGATACAGCAGGAGCTCAGCAAGATGTATCCAAGCGCTCGGGTCAGGATCCAGGCGTCGGGGATGGCAGTGGAGCGGAAGTTTGGCAGCTGGATTGGTGGGAGTATCGTGGCGAGTCTGGGGACGTTTCACCAGATGTGGATTTCAAAAAAGGAGTACGAGGAGCATGGGCCGAGTATTGTTGAGAAGCGGTGTAAGTGAGGCAAGGGAAAGGATCAACATGGTGTGGTTCGGGTCCTGCGATCTTTCTCTCCCCGCTGGGCGCCGACTGGTGAGGCGAGGCGAGGCGAGGCGATACGACGCATGACCAGGGCGACAGCAGCATTTGCCGGAGTTCAATTTCTGGGGAGTGGGATGGGCATGGATGGGTAGAGGAAAATCTGGTACCAGTAGCGATTGTCTTGGACTGGGGAAGGGATTGATTGGGCGAACCATACCTAGGTACTACTGTGTAGTGGGCAGAATGCAGAATTGCCAAACCATTACGAGACAAGCAGAGTCACAATGAGGAATGAGGGGAGATGGAATGGAGTGAATGGCGAGAGCGGTGAGCGTGGTGGAGGATGGTGAGGAAGCGGGCTTGTCCTTGAAGGTGATGGTGAGATGTTCATGGATCTTCGATTGGAGGGTACATGGGTTCATATGCAGTTCATATGCAGGGTGGCCCCAGGTGTGCGTTCGAACCAGATATTCGGGTCAGAAGAGGAGAGGAGTTGAGTTGAAAAGGCTCCTACAGTACGACGGACACCTGAGTAGTTCAAGCTGGTCACTGGTATAGGGAGTACTGACTCGACGTAAGTGATACTCTCGATACAGCAGGCGTAAGAAGTAGGAAGAAGAGGATGAGACATCCACCATCCTCTCTCTCTTCTCTTCTCTTCTCTTCTCAGTCACTACGGAGTACCAGCATCACCATCACCATCACAGTAGCTAGTCACTGGCTTATCTTTTCTCGTTCTTGTAGAATTTCAGTTTCGAGTTTCCAGTTCCAGTATCTCGGATGCTGTGCCGATTCCACCAGTCATACCGAGTCACTCGCTATACCAAGTACTACTACCAGTCTACCACTGACTACTACGCACTTTTCTTCCTCTTTTTCCCCTTTGGATCTCGTGTTTGCCCCTCATTTTGGCGTTGCATGGTGCACGATGGTGGCATGCTAATTACTAACTACAGTACTAGTTAATCAAGTCTCCGTAGCACTCGAGGCTTCAAGGCGCTTGTCGCTCATCACATATTACGAGCTACACTGCACATATCCTCCTCTCCTTCATGTTCCTGATCGCCAACCAAAGTTCCTCCCTGCACGAGTCCTGCACGAGTATCTGCACCTATACCTGGTCCTGTTCCAGTTGCAGTTCCTGTCGGCGTCGCCACCTCGTCTGCCGTGTACGAATACCGATTGCAAGACCGATCTGAAATCCTTTCCGCGGCCCCAATCTCAAAGGGCCTGCATGTCCCTCCCCGGTTGAATGCCCCATCGACCATTCAATTCAGCCCAGGTGTCCAGACTACTCGGTAGTCGCCTTTTTTGCCGGCCGTCGCCTCCATCGCTATTCTCCATCTCCATCTCCGTTCCCTTCCCTCGGGTCGTCAAAAGTTCTTTCAACCAACTCTTCTACGAGGTTACGAGGTGGTCAAAACTCGCACTGACCACTCACCTTTTGGCTTTTGCGGATGGCTATCAATTAAACGATTTTCCTCAACGCTTGGACCATCTACTCCACCTCGATCACGACGTTACCTCATTTCTACTGAGTCAAACATAGCATGTCCGACTCTGACACTGGCACTGGCATAGACACAACCGCACTCATACCAACTGTCGTCGCTGCCGAAACCCTCGACTCGCCCATGGAGCCCGATTCAAATTCCAGCCACTCCTCCGACCTAGACAGTTTCGACACTCGCTCCCTCCACGCCAGCGTGCTTGACTACCCTATGTACTGGGGCCGACGTTACCACCGGTACAAAGAAGGCAGTTATCTGTTTCCCAACGACGAGCATGAAACCACCCGCCTAGACAACCAACACGAGATTATCAACCGCCTACACAATCGTCTATACTTCGCACCCCTCGACCCGGACACGACTCGCACTGTTCTCGACCTGGGCACGGGCACAGGTCAATGGCCCATTGAACTCGCCGACTCAAACGCCCTTCCGCACGCAACCATTACAGGCATCGACCTCTCGGCCGTCCAGCCCATCGATGTCCCGAGTAACGTGTGCTTCGAAATTCAAGACTGCAGCGAACACGACTGGCTCCGTCCCTTCGGAAGTGTCGATTACTGCCACGTACGCTTCCTGGCCGGCAGTCTCGTCGATTACGAGGACATGATCCGCACGGCGCGCAAATACATCACCCCGGGGACGGGTTGGATGGAGATCCAAGAACTCCTCCCGACGCCCGTGTCGGACGACAACACCATCCCGGAGAACTGGCCACTCAAGGCCTGGGACGACAATCTCGAATACGCGTCCACAAAGGCCCTTGACCCGCCGAGGCCCGTCCGTGTCGCGGCCGACGTGAAACCGTGGATGGAACGGGCTGGCTTTGTCGACATCCACGAGCATGTAAGCAAAATCCCGCTGGGCCCGTGGCCCAGGGACAAAAGGCTCAAGAACATCGGTGAGTGGTGGATGAGTAATTGGATGACCGGCCTGCCGGGCTTCACGTACAAACTGTTCGGTGGCGACGGCCTGCAGTGGACGAGGGAGGAGATCGAGGTCATGTTGGCGGATGTGCGCAAGGCCGCGAAAGATAAGGATGTCCATGCTTATCAGCGCTATTATGTCGTCTATGGGAGACGGCCGACCAAGCAGGAGGAAGAGCAGTTGCGGAGGAATGGGTATGGATGAGAGTCTGGATTTCCATTGGAAATTTTTCAGAGAACATGGACCTGGACGCCTGCTGCTCCGGTCTGACTGGCTGGCTTGCTGGCTTGGGTACATGCACCACGGCAAGGCGTGGCCGCACTCGACCACCATTGAACAGTCTAACGTACTACCTCGAATGCCCCGGGGAGAAGTCTCCGGCTACCGATGGAGGTCTCTCAGACGAGGCGTCGGGATGACCGAATTGAATCGAGGCTAGGCATGTCATGGCATGACTTACTTCTTATTTTCGGCCAAGAAGAGAAACAAGGGGAAAAGGAGCTTCTCCTACTTCTTTTTCGGCCAGCCTTTGGTGGTGGTGGGGAGAGGATGAGTACCGCACTGCGTCAAATCTGACGCCAGCCAGTCAATGCTCGGCGCAAACAGCAAGAAACCGAACCAGATCCAGATACGCCCAATAGACCAGGTAGCAATACGGAGTACAACAGAGACATTTAAGGGGGTGGTAATGTAATGAAGTTGGATGGCACGGTTGGCTACGGAAACACGGACACGACGATACGAAAAAGGCGTTCATTGGATACCCCGGCACGACCGACGAAGAGGCAATGGGCATATATACATATATATATCGGGATATCTCTTTCGGACACTGGTGGCTTTACCATGAGCCTTTCCCAAGAAGGAGGGCGGCCTATTCACTTAGTATACGAGTACTGTACACCCTCCAAAGGGGAGGCAAACAGCTTTGTTCACGCTAGATCCACCAACCACGGAGACGGAAATGAAGGTCAAGATCAAGAGAAGTAAAGAGAAGCACGGCTGCTGGTGTGACATACCCCCTACAAGTAGAACAAACAGGGGCATACGGCATGAAGCGGAGCGGCCTATTTGTAGTCTGATGAGGAAAGCCTGTTTGGATCAATCAATTACATTACAGCATGCACCCGAGTCTAAGCTCAAGAGTGACGCTCTTCTGTCTCCCACTATGCCATTCGACATCTCAGTCGCTAAGGGACAATGGCTGGTCGGTCCATTTCAAATGCGTAGATCGACTGAATTGCAGCGCTTTTCTCCTTGCTCTGCTCCCATCCGCGGCTCGTGTTGTGCTCCATCTCAGTCCTTGAAGCACGCAGTCGTCAATCGTCGATCACAGACTGCCTTGCAATCCACCCTCCTCATCTTGGCCAGACCAAGTTGGATCACCACGCATTTCAAGAGCCGACCGAAACTTCGACAAAAAATAATCAATATCACCACCATAGCGCCACGCAATAATCCCAGTCACAAGCGACATATCCCGCCCACATATTAGTAGACGAGTGTCCAGGTCGATATCGGTCTATGTAAATCCTGCACCTGGCGCTGAATACAAGACCCGTGAGGAAATCGTGGCTCGACCTTTTGTCCACCTTTTTGGCCGATTCTCGCAAGTCATAAAACATCGTGGGTATCATGGCATCATTTCATTTTCCTCTGTGTTGCTTTTTCCAATCACAATTCCTCGCTGGATTCACTTTGGCTCCTTCACACTCTCGGCACACCAGGGTTCGATCCCATATTGCCGAACAGAGCTTCTGGAGGTACACGTTGTATGTTCGAATTCTTATCCGCATATGGAACACTCGGTACGGACTTGTAACCCGCTCGGCGACGTTGGATGCGATTGAGAATGATGCCGATTAGTATTATGAGGAAAATTGTCCCCAGTGCTGCACATAGAGCAACAAGGACGGCAATGCCTTTAGAATGCCCAAATTTATCTAGTACAGGTTAGCCATTGCAAGTATGCCACAAAGCAGTAACTTACTACTTGATTTGAGATTGTTGGTCTTGGATGTGAATACTTGACTGATACTTCCAGGATCTCCATCCGACGTGGTAGCGAGAATCAGGGGCTCCATGGTCGTGCCGTTGAAGATTGCTGCCGCTGCACTGCCAAAGTTGGGAAGGTTCAATTGTCCAGTGATCAAAAGAGCTCGGTCATTGTCGAGATATTGTGTCGAGCCATGTTTCTTCGACAAAGGCATGATTTGCAAGCCTTGGATGGTAGTCCCGCTACTGAATGCATCGGGAACCGGTCGCGTGTTGTCTCCATCAATTCCAATCAAAAATGTCGAGCCGTTGTTTGCTGTACCCGCTATCCACAAATGATCGGCGTTGTCGGTAACAGGGCAGAATGCTGTCACAGCACCAGGCACACCTGGGCCAGCGGTTGCAGTCCATGTCTGTTTCTTGGTGTTGTACACGGCCAGCGAGGTTTGATTGCCTGCCACTGTGAGGTTGCCAGTCGCGAGGAGGGTCGAGCTAGATGTCCAAAAGAGAAACATGACCGTGCCATCCAACTCAGTTCCCACAGTATTCCACTGGCTTGTAGCAGTGTCATACATGCAGACGGAAGGACAAGAAAGTCCCTGGGAAGTCTGGTCAAAAGCTCCACCAACGTAAACAGCCGATGTACCAGATTGGGGGACAATAGCATTGACCAAGACATTTGTGCCTTCAAGGGATGCAGGTTGGACAGTGCGATACCCGGCAGTGCTCATATCAAACACGACCAGACCTTGGACATTGGTATTGTCAAATTGACCAGAAATCCTGCCACCAGCAAAGAGAAGGTTGTCTACAATCGCCAACGTAGCTATTGTGGAATTAGAATCGAGACCTGCAGGAGCGCCAGTAACAGCATTGTTGTGAGAACTGTTCAGAAACATGAGATTTTGGATTGTCGATCCATTTGTTGCTGTTGCGCTGAATTGACCACCGAATATGGTCACATTCTGTCCGTTCTTGTCGTAATATGCGACACTGGTAACACCACTCACGTTCTGCGCCTGAATTAAAGCTCGTTTCTTGGAATTCGACCGAGTACTGCTCGAGGTGATATCAATGGGAAGTTGCTGAAGAGCCACCTGACCGGATTGCGACCTCATTCCAGCAGCCCCACTAATGGCCAGTCCAAGTGAATTAATCGTACCAGCTCCGAGCCACGTATTATTTGGAAGGAAGGTTGCGGCATAAAGTTGACCTTGCAGAGCTTGCTTTTGGATGTCGAGGTGCTCAAGCCAGGATTTTCGTGATGGCACCCAGATAGCCAAGCCATTTGCACGGGCCGAGGAAGTTGAGCCAGAGCCCTGGATCTGGTCAAATGTGCCACTAAATGCGATCACTGTTTCCGGGATCGATCCAGAAATGTTGAGCGTCATAGGAACGACGGCTTCGACTGGGCCGTTCAGGCCGGCGGAAAGTGAAACCCACGCATTTTTCGAATATTGATATGCCGCAACATTGTTCAAGCCATCAGCTCCGCCTTGATGAGTGTTCGTAAAATTTCCTCCAACATACAAAAAGTCGCCCAGACTGTACAAAGCTGAAACGGCAGCATTCAGGCCGCCGCCAGGCAAAGACGTTGCATTATTGTCGTGGAAAGCCATGATGTTTTCGAACGCGTCATCGGAAAATCGACCACCGACGTAAATCGTATCATCTCGAGTCGTCAAGGCTGACATGTGGGCATTGGGATTCAACATTGTTCCGGCATTGTTGATGGCAGATTGTGAGAAATCTGTGTTGACAAAATCGCTGTCCGGATTGTAGTCAAACAAGCCATTCAAACCTCCAGTGGTCGAGATAAATCCGAACTTAACACGAGATGCTACAATGAGTTGATCATTTTGAAGTCCAGAGGGCGTGATTGTGACTGACGGTCGAAAACTCGAGGTGGTGGCATCAATATGTCCTTGATATACCTGGTCGTATTTGTCGAAGTTGTTCGTTTGGTAAATGAGGCTGCTGAATGCTTGACCCCCATCACTTGTCAGTGTGCCAGAGATGTTAACAATCGCACGTGCCGAACAAGAGCTGTCTTGAAGACAGCCAGGAGTGTAGACAATGACCGAATAGTTCCCACTCTTTTGTACGTCAGGTTCAAAGACAATCGAGGTGCTGTTGACTGTGGTGGGACCAACCACGACAGTCATGTAGTCGGCAACACTTTGTCCAGACGGAGTTGTGTACCATGGGCCCGTCGCCGTTGCCTGTGAGCGGAAGCCGTCAGTCAGGCATTGAGGCTCATTAAATGCTTCGACTGCATAGGACAAGATGTCGCCTTGGAAAACCTCGATACCGGCCAGGCCGCCACCATCTCCATACCAATCCGAGATATCGATGGTAAAGCTGTTCATTCCCACCAAGTTGACGAACTCGAAATCTTGGAACGGCTCTGACGCATTCAGTGCCAGTGGACATGTTGCATCACAATACGCGCGCGTGCCCGTCTCGGAGTCGATGAAGGTGAAATTCATGATTCCCTCGATGGGGTGGGCCGTGAAACGCCAGGTCTTGGTGCCTCGGCCATCCTGATTTACGTTCCATAACCGCAATTTGGTAGGTTGAAAGCCGAAGCCAAAATCCGCGCGCCAGGAACCCGGCGTGTTGTCGGCTAAAAGGAAAGTCGTGTTGGTAGTTGAGCTGTTTGATGGACAGACAACATTTCTCGGATCGCTCACACCTGCCTGTGTTGAACCTCCTTGTGCTGTAATGTTGGCAGTACTCAGATTGATAACCTGAGTCTGCTGATTGTTCAGAGAAGTGGTGGTCGACATATTGCCCAAGCCCGTAAACGAGCCTCCAAAGACAATGTGTCCACTGGGAGCTTTTGTGATCGAGTTTACTGGTGCATCGAAACCGGCAAATGGCAGGCTTGACCAACCTCCATTTTTCCACGCGACAGCGTTGCTTGAGTTGCCAGCCTCAAAAGAGCCTCCCAAATACACCATCCCATTGTCTTGATCGCAGTAAAGTGCCGAGACGGTGCCTTGTATTCCAGCAAGGGGTTCCACCACTAGGGTAGTTGTGTTTAACAGTGCGGCTGATCTTGCTGCGACACCGCCAATACTCGTGAAGTTCCCCCCCACAACCACGCCTGACAACGAGCCATCCTGCAGTACGAGCGGGCAAAGAGCTTCAATGCTGGCGTCTGTGGATGATAGAATGTCGAATGCTCCGTTCGACAGTTGCGACAATACTGACTGTGAACCGTTGTTCTTACTTCTTTGTTGTCCCGAATAAACCTGGATTGCGTCAAAGTTGCCTGCGAGCGTGACCTCACCGAGAGAACCCAAGTCAAGATTAGGCGGAGGTATCGACTGGCACACTCCTTGCGTTGCAAGCAATAACAGAGCGGCTGTCGCCCGTGGGCCGAACCGCGACAACAGGTGCATCTGGCGGATGCGTCTGCGCCGCAGCGACGGACGGAGGATGTCTGTTATTGCTCTGACCTTGGTAGAGACATGTGTGTGTGTGTGTATGTGAAAAGTCAGACTCTTTTTCTGGACTGGGTTCTAAAACTGGAGTCGGAGGTCGGGCGGTCGCGGTGGATTTTGGAATGATGACGGGCTACGCGTAGTTAGGATCTCGAGGAGCAGGGATTCGTTGAAACAATATTCGTAGCGGGAGAGCGAAACGGATGTGCTTCAACAGAAGCTTCCAGAGGTGTTGATTAGAGAAGTGTGAGGTGAGGTTAGGTGAGGTTATGGACGACGGAGAGGAAAGAGCGACAGTCGTGAACTGAACGAGGGTTACGAAGGTGAAGATCGGAGCTGGCAAGTGACGAAGAAGATTGTCCGTAGCGTGGAGAGCCAGGGAAGATGCTTGGAAAGGACTTGCGCAGGTGGAAGAGCCCAGTGAGAGTCGTGAGTTGTGAGTTGCTGGGAGAAAACAAACGACTGGCCTGCACTCCACTTGAGCAAGCCACTTTCTTAACCTCGTACTGGGTGGTGGTCGATGGGGTCGATGACAGGCTGGTGCAGGCACAAGGAACAATTACCACGGCCACCAGGGCAACTTCTGGCATTTGGTGATGGTTGCCCCCCAGCAAGCCCTAGGTGGGTGCCGGGTGGCCCAGCTGCATGACACCCAGTCACGTCGCAGCAACGCAATCTCGCATTCCTCCACTCACTCTAGCCATTTGCCGTACCACCAATCAATCCACCAAATTGCACCTTTCCACAACATTGCTCAATCGAAGTTCCATCATCAACTGGACATCGACCGGCCACAGAATATTCTACGCGGCTCGCCACAAAATCCTTCCAGATTCCAATCGTTGTTCTACGGTACATAACAGCTCTCAAAAAGTCTGGCTGTCTCCCTGCAGCAAAAGGGGACTGCCAACTAAACTACGAGTATGATGTGCAATCTCCCGTTAGGAGTCCACTACTGCCAACTGGATCAGTCGTGTGGCTGGGCTTGCGGCCGACTTCTCTATCGCATCTTCCCTGGCGGGAAAGTGCATAAGCGACTTCAAACATGTCGAGTCAAAAGACAGCTTTTCTTTATGAGCAAATCTGTTTCCGTCTTTGAGAGAAATCTCGTCTCAAGCAAGACCCGATGCTTGCTTGTTGACATCATGCGTAAGGACCCTGGTCATTTTCATCTCTCGATCGTACCTCGTGAGCAGCTCACCACAGCTCCAGCTTCTCTGCTGGGCAAGGACTTTGCTCCAACTTCATCCTCCTCCTCTACTCCGTATTCTCCTCGTCAATAATGCTAAAACTTGACAGTGACCGCGCCGTCACTGCTCAGGGGAACAGCTTCAACCGATATGAAAGACGTCCTCTCTAGATACTGACAGACGTCGCATCCACCTTGAATTATGACATACACGTGATACTGAAACGCGGTGACGCAAGCCTTTGATAATTCTTTACCAGGGTCAATCTGGTCCGAGAATGGGCAGTTTTGTATACTCAAATCCTGGATCCTGGACGATCGTTTCACCTCCGTCTCCTACGTTTGACCCTCTCGCTGCTGTTCGTCACCATTTCCACCACCTCGACCGTGGACTTCGCCTCGTCGAGATCGAGCTCGCGCTTGATCGTAACGCGTTGCACAGTCTTTTTCCGCTCAATTTGAGGCTCCTTTCCGTTTGGCGAATCTTCTTTTATGCTTGTTTCGATCTTTGTGGTCAGTCTTTCGGCAAATGTCCTCAAATCAGCTGTGAAGAGCACACTGTGCGCCCATCCAGCCTCTTTGCCCCAGAGTTTGCGGAAATGATTGGCTACCGCATCATAAGTGGCTTTCGTGAGGCTGCTGTGCTTCCCTTTCCCGAATTTATAGTCGCGCTGCGCAATCTGCCAGACATGTGTATCTACTGGGACGGCCTCTCCCCAGCCCAACCCCATCAAGCACACACAGTCGGCCACTTTGGGTCCAACACCCTGTAGAGCGAGGAGCTTTTCGTGCGCTTCTCGGTACCCATCTCGTCCTTCAGGCTTCATTTCACCAGCAGGCGATGCTTTTTGCCCATAGGCTGGGCTTTCAAGATTGCGCAGGCTGTCCAACCAGCCTTCTTCGTGATCCTCAGCTACCATCCTTGCCGTTTGATAGATGTATTTTGCCCGGTAGCCAAAACCCAGGTCTCTCAAATGCGCCTCCACATTCTTCCCCGTCAATGAGGACGGCTGTGGAAAGTCGTGGTACGGGCGGCCGTCCAGTGTCCCAATGTATGGCCCGTAATGAGTGCACAGTTTGTCCACCATCTGAGATATGCGAATGATGTTGTTGTTACTGCTGCAAATAAACCCGACCAGCGCTTCCCATGCATCCTGCCGCAATATTCTGACCCCAGTAAACTTTGGCGCTTTCTTCTTAAAATTGACATCTGAGGCCGACCATTGAGCATACAGGGATTCAAGATTAGGTTCGAGGTTCAAGTAATGTCGTAGGAGGGCACTCGTGTCGTCTGTCTCGTCGTCTTCCGTGACAGTAGGCGGAATGGAAGAGGGTGGTGTTGGAGGAGCTTCGACTGCGGTAGGCCATATTGATCGGTATTGGATATGGGATGTATCTTGCGACAGTTGTACAATGCGACCTCGAAGCGTACATGCCCATGTCTGGTCCTCGCGTTGGCGCCATCGAAACGACTGGCCACAGCGAAGGGTTGTTGCAAGACACAGTTCATTCAGAGATACTGGCAGCTTGCGCCACTCCGTTATTCTTGCCATTATGAGTCTTGAAAAGCAGAGTCAACTTAGTTGTACACAGACAACGAGTTGGCAGATATCTTGAGTGAAATGGCCAGGATCGAGTTAACAGCCTCGTCCAGCCCCTTGCGCCCGGTCGCCCATCAATTTTGCCCCCAAATTAATGGTGTGTAAATGCTCCGCACGCGTCTGCCGCTGGAGACCGCGTAAAGTACGCGCCAAAACTTGGCTTTCACCCTTTGAACGTGAATGCGGCCCTATGCTCCGCCTGGGCTGCCCATACTGTCTACAACGTCTGCCGTCGTCTTTAGTCGTCCAAGGGTGATATCAACTTATCATAGTATATGTCAAGAAATCAAGCGTGATGAAACCAATCATATTGCTGGTACTGGTAAGCCATGTCGCATTGAGTCTATTTAGCATACGCAGTACATTCATATTCATCTCAAACAGGTCAGACGGTCTTTTTGCTTGCGATAGCTGCAGCATATCAAACCATTAAACGCCGACACTGGTCAAGGTCAAAGATTCTTCGTCGTTTCTTGACGCTGTCCATATGTTGCCGCAGCAGTTCTACCAGTCACTACTGCATGTCCATGAATGACAACATTGTCGTCGAGGATGGAGTTGCTGAGGACCAGATACTCGTGTCGACCCTTCCAGACCCAGTAAACTCCGCACAGGAGCACGACTGCAGCAAGGATAGCAATTGCCCAGTTCATGTTTGCGATCTCTCCGACCACTGGCACGTACTGTGGGAAGATATAGAACAGCACCACGATGATGCTCCAGAGCAGAGAGATGATATTGACGGTATAGCCCCATCGACCAAGGTCAAAGTAAGGTCGTGGAGGAAGATGCTGTCGTCCTCTCAGTACCACGCATAGTATCGGCACGCAGTATGAGACTTGCAAGGCAACGCCACCACCCGAGATAATTGCGTAGAAGGCCAGGTCGCTACCAAGAACCAGCAAGCCAACAAGGAGGTTGAGCACGAGGACGCCGACCATAGCCCGTAGCGGCATGGTAAATCGCTTGTTGACTTGTGCGAAGTAGTCGGAGAAAGGGAATGCTCGATCTCGGGCCATGGACCAGGCGAGCCGCGAGCCAGCCGTGTTCATGTTGACGATGATAAGATACTTTCATTCTAGTCAGCCCGGTCATGGAGGTGCTGAGGGTCACTCACGTTCAAACCCATCATCATGACGGCACACCATATGCCGCCACCATATGTCGAATCCAATACATCCATGAACCAGGCCTAGAATGCAGTCAGCACTTTCGGGCGGCCACAGATTGTTGCCAGAACTTACCACATATGACGAGGTGGCCTCAAGGTAGGTCTCCCAATTAGGTCCTACCGTAAAACACATTACAATGGCCGATAGCCAGGCTGTGACTCCAGCCCAGACCATGGACCATATCATGACACGCTGTGCTAAGTTAGCAGGAGCAAGTCTCTGATTCGACGGCACCTTACTGGGGCATCGCGAGAAGCGTTCTTCATCTCTTCGACCACTGGGTATCATTAGCTACGGCCGCCTGTGAGTTTCTGCAGGTAAGTTCTTACGATGCATCACGCCATCCGTTCCATAGAGCCCGTAAATAGGAACGTACATTGAAAGGATGAAGACCCAGCCCCTCGACGTCCACCCAGAGGTATTGAGGAAATCTGTAAAGACGAATTTCGCACTGTTCTTGTCTGCCATGACCAGGAAAACGATGGCCCAGACAATCCCATTGCTGATGTTGAAGAATGCGCCAAAAATCTGCAAGGCTGGCAAATACCTCGGCATCAGATTGGAAACGGCGGGTGCCACAAGGAAGCCGGTGTAAATCAACCAGGTCATATAAGGCTGGGAACGTTAATGACAGGCCCACGACAGGTCCATGACATGTTTGTTACCTTCCAATCGACATCTGGGTGTATAATCTCGACCAGTGCGGTAACGATCTCCGCACTGTTAAGTGCACAGCTGCTGCTTGTCGAGATCTCGCCCACCAAGACACACCAGCCAACCACATAGGACAAGAACCGTCGAAATTTTTCCGGCGCAACGACCTAGCTTTCAGTGAGTCATCTGACATAGGGGAAATCGACGAACATCGTACCTGGGTATAGAATTGCTGACCACCTGCTGTCGGCCAGATTGAAGTGTATTCCGCCAGAGACGCCATGACAAAGATTTGCCCAATCGTCACCAGGACTCTGTAGGTTGGGCATAGTTAGCTTCATCTTCTCAATGAGATGATGCGTCTAACTCACGTTCCCCAAACGAGGCAGACAGGGCCACCCAAGGTAAATATGTAGTAGAACATGACAATATTGCAAGACCAGGAACACAAAATCGTGGTCTGGTATGCCATCACTGTGAATGCTGGTTAGTCAGGTCAAGGCCGCTCAAGAGCGTCCAGAGTCCTACAGCTCCAAAAATTATATGTCCGTTTGAGCTCAGGCTTGTGGCCAAGGCTGATGAGTCTATCCTCGTCGCTGCCATGGCTCAGTGTATCGTTCTTCGGGGTCTCCATTTCGAGTCGCTCTAAAGCCGAGGCTGCCGATCTGGAGGATGTTGACTTCAGAGGCGAAGCGCACAGGTATGTCTGCAGCAATGAAAGACTCCCCTGCGCCGAGTCATCACAGTGAGAATAAATGGCTCTGGCAATGGAGAAGAAACCAAGAAGCTCAGTCAAGTAAAGAACTCGAACAAGATCTGAACTCTCTGCGCTGAGCAAGAAGTAGCGGTTGAGTTATTGTCTCAATCTTATTGCCCTTATGAGCTTAGCCGCTTGCTCTTATCGGGCAACATGCAGGCGTTGAGTGACGCCCGGTTGTAGCAAGTGTGAGCGAGGTAGTACTGTTATCTTGCGGAGTAAATAATCCATTTACCCCGGGAACTCTTTGCTCAGCATTCCCGCAGAGTTCGGGGTTGGCAATCAGCCTACTAGGCACTATCATGCCCTTCAAGATGAACAGCTACTTATCCGTACAGGCGACACCCTTTCGTGCAAGGACAAGCAGTTTCGAAGTGAAAGAAGGAAGCGAAGAGGGTCCGCATGGTCCATTAGTTGGACACGTTCTTCCCTTTCGTGCCACGGAAGCAGCCGTTTCTCTCCCCGACATCTGCTTTGGTGTTAGTGCTGCTCCGGCTATACTCGTACAGTATACCCTTCGACGATCACAGGTGTATTTCATAGTCATGGTGCGAGTGCTGTACTCGTACTAGTATTCGCGGATCCGTGGTCAATCGGAGGTCCAGTATGACGGTCAGTGAGCGCACCTTGGTACGGAGTATCATGATCGAAGAGCACAAATGATGGAAATTCCATGTCGAGAGAGGAAGGACTTGCTTAGGTAGGTCCGTGCTAATCCAGTTCAGGCTAGTGTGTTATTAGTCATCTGACCCTCTCGGATTATCATAAGTCCGGAAGATGTTCTCGATGTGTTGTCTGAATTCTCGATTCGTGGTCCAGCGCGATTCATCTCAGCCTCGGAGACAACAGGTCGACTATGGTGAAGATAAAGCTCTTCTATCTCACCAAACCTCAAATGGAAATGAAAATACTTTCCCAACATACTTACCGCCGCAGGCTGGTGGCGCTTGGGGTTTAGACGTGCAGACCAAGTCCAGTATGAAGGCCGGTTTGCATCATGGCTTCCACGAGTGACCATTCCGTGGGAGAAGCTGCAGCATCTGCAATCCATGGGGGCCACGCCACTGGATCACAAGGTAGGGCAACATCTTACAGCCAAGGGAATCTCTTTAATCATGGGCTAATCGTTCAACAAGATTGTACTACATGTGTTCGACGGAGAATTCGATGTGACCGATCTCTCCCTACATGCGTCAAATGCTCTAAGAAAGGTCTAACCTGTCCCGGGTATGGGCCTCGCTGGCGGTGGGCCAATGGCATCGCAGTGCGCGGTCATCTGAAGGGGCGTACAACACCTAATGTCGAAAAGCCAGCGAGAGCCAGCACCTCTCTGAAAGCCAGCGCCTCTCCCAAATCCACCAGGTCGTCCGAGAGTGAGAATGCTGCCAGAGTACCATCAGTGACAGATCCTCTTGAGAAGATGTTCCCAGACTTCCCTGACCCGGCTACCAGGGCTCGACTTCTGGATCATTATGACAGGAACATTGCAGGGTTAATGGTGTGGATAGACTCTGACCGCAACGAGTACCGACGCCTTGTACTTCCTCTTGCCGAGCGCCAGCCCGGACTTCTCCTAGCGATCCTCGCCATCTCAGCGCAACATCTTGCAGTGACTACCAAAAAGGAATCCAGCTTCTCGGCTCGTGCACGCGATGCAGCTGTGTCCATGATATCATCCCAGATTCGACAGGTCACGGGCCGGTTGGCTGCTGGATATGACTTGGACAACGAGATCGATACGGATACCGCGGTGTGGATGCTGGCCTCAATGCTCACGTTAGCTTCATATGAGATGGCAGAATCGGAGCAGGGAGCCGCAGCCGCTGACTCGCATAGGCAAGCCGCTCGAACATTAGTGAACGCGCTTGCCACCACCAATCGGGAGAACAACGACTTGTTCAATTTTCTCCGTAATCAGCTCTCCATTTACGACATCCTAGCATGCACCACGTCGTTCATGAGCACCAGAGAAGTGATTCTACCTGCACCGAGCGACGCGAATCTTATCTTTTCCGAATACCTGGGTCTCCTGCATCAGGTAACAATCACCTCCCGCCAGATTTTCGACTCGGTTCCATCTAGGATGCCGAGCTTGATTGAGCTTCCTGGAACGCCTGTCGAGACTCGCGCCAGGTTCGAATTAGCTCGAGGCTCTACCCTGATGGCTGCCGGACTGCTGGAATTGACGCGGGATGAGAGAAGGCGTGACTTCATCCGCATTGTGGATATATATCATCACTCCGCTTTGCTCTACACTTACAGGTGTATCTTTCATGGAAATGTTGATCCTGTCGATATTTCCGCTTCGGCCACCACTTTGTTCGAGCGACTGAGCCAGCTGGAGGATCGCTCTTCCTGCATGCAGAATCTACCTTGGCCGATGCTGATTGCCGGAACCGAATGTTGCGGCAACCAAGAAAGACAGGCGTTTATAGCAAGCTTGTACGAAGACACTGCTAGAGCTATGGGCTTCAAGCACTATCTCGAAGTGCTTCATTTCTTGAGAGATCTCTGGTCGAGTGACCATTGTGACTGGCTCCAATTGGCACGTCATTACAGTGCAAAGGGAAAGCAAATCGTGGCTGTTTGAAGTGCCTGAACGTCGATCTGGGAAGTGGGCGTGGCACTGGAGGCCTCATTCTGAGCGCTGATTATGCAGCCGATTGCTCAAGGACCTGCCAGCGGGGCTTCCGGGCCTTAATATGGCCTGCATCGTTGCAGACCATTGGAGGTTGAAGCAAGATATTCCGGTGGCAGGACGTCGGAAGTTCCTGCACCGCCAGGTTGAAGCAGACATTCCAAGGACCGCGACCTCGCGTTACCATACAGTCGGCGGTAATCACTGTCATTTTTCGACGTTATCGAGATTGACAATCGATGCATCGAACGACTTCTGCAAACCACCGTTCGCTATGGCAACGGGAGTCTTTTCTGAAGTCTTAGTTTTACACTTCGATCAGGTTTGCCTTCGTCACACGAGCACAAATAGGACTGAATATAGGGTTCATGAGTTGAGCGGCCGCGGTTGCTTATATGTGCAGCCACGACTGCTTAGAGCACAGCAAGCATTTAGGTCCTCCATCCAAGATTACAGTTATGTGTCCAGTCAAGTCGAGGGACTACATAGCCAACGGCTGCCACGGACGACGGCAGGCTAGACCTGAACAAGGTATTCGGGAGAGAATCGGCCGTCAAGAACACCTCGCAAGTCTCCATTGAAGTCTATTACTATCTCGCCACCTGCCCTATCAGGGATCCCACCCGAGACTGAACGGAACACGAAAACAAACAATCTCGTGTGAGGTTACATGTAGTAGCCTGTTGCAATAATCGACGGCACACGGTCTACGAGCGAGCTGCACGGTGTGAAGACATATGCCTTTCTCCACAGCTCAACCTTCGAAGATCCGCAGCCGAAGTCACCAACTTTCAGACCGACGACCCGAGCGATGTTGCACGCGGGCCAGCGACAAATCCTTCGAGGTAATGACCATCCACTCATCCACAAATTCCCAAAAACGAGATCGAAGTGCGCTCCCGGTCTCTATCTAGTATCCACCACATCAGCGAACTGTCTCTCCCGCAGATCGAACCTGAAAAAGGATCAGATAACCCCACCTCCCCGGAGGATCGATATAGTTGACGTACTCACCACTTGATTATACCCACATACTTACTTGTAGGATCATTGTCACAATTCGCCAATATGGTCTTGAATCGGCGCCTCTTCCAGCATCCGGCCATGTACCCTCAGAGGCGGCAAGATATCACACAAAAGAATGTCGCGACATTGTTTGAATCGAAAGACTTTCAGGATACTGTCGCCCATCGACTGTCCGAAGCGGTCCAGATACCGACCATAACTTATGATAGCATGGGATCTGTTGGAGAAGACCCTCGATGGAAAGTGTTCTTTCAATTGTCGGATTATCTCAAGAGGACATTTCCTAAAGTGTATGCCCGCTTCTGCACCGTGCGACCTGGTCTGCTCTGATTTTTGCCCAGATATGAGATTCTCACAGTGGAAACTGTTAGTACACATGCAATGCTATATACCTGGCACGGCTCCAAGGAAGATTTGAAGCCGCTCCTATTTATGGCCCACTCTGACGTGAGTACACAAGAGACATACCATTGGGAAACCGAAGTGACATTCTCAGGTTGTCCCCGCTGGCATCTCGACTACCGCCGAATGGTCTTACCCTCCCTTTTCGGGCCAATACGATGGGGAATTTATATGGGGACGAGGGTCAGAGGACGACAAATCCAATCTCATTGCGATGCTCACTGCTATTGATTGTCTACTTTCTTGCGACTTCAACCCACTTCGAACCCTGATTCTTGCGATCGGCTTCGACGAGGAAGGGGGAGCTGATCGAAGCTATGGTGCTCGTTGCCTCGCAGAGATCCTGCTAGAGAGGTACGGCAAAGATGGTGTGGACTTGATTGTATGTCACGGGCTAAGTTTGCTCGCGGACACTGACGGGTTATAGTTTGACGAAGGAATCGCTGGCATCGAGAATCGCTTCGGCACCGACTTTGCTCTACCGACAACCGCCGAGAAAGGCTACGTCGATGTGACGGTCCAAATTAGTGTCCCTGGAGGCCACTCTTCGACACCTCCGGATCACACTGCTAGTACGTTCGAGCCCTACTTGTGTAATACGTTTCGCTTTCTAACCTGTCTCATAGTTGGCTTCTTGGCTCAAATCATCAGACTTATCGAGGACCAACCTTTCAAATCTCAACTCGTGCGGCAAAATCCGACGTTGACATACCTCAGACAGGCAGCTCTCCTATCCAAGAACATGCCCGAAGACTTACGCCACGCCATATTGGGTTCCAGATCATCAAAAAGGCTACTGGAGTATATGGACGACGACCGTGAAAGACGTGCCATGGTGAGAACATCTACAGCAGTCGACGTGATCCAAGGTGGAGACAAAGGTATGGTGTCAGCCTTCCCAGCCTCATGATACTTGGTGTTCGTTGTAGCACTTCCCGTATGTTGTGGTGATTACCTTTGATGTGCTAATGCCCCAGCAGTAAATTCGCTGCCAGAGAATGCTACAGTACTGGTCAATCATCGAATCGCAATTCATGACTCTGTTCAGGCAGTCAAAGATCACTATATCGCACTGCTCTCTCCTTGGGCCAGCAAATGGCATTTCAACCTCTATGCGTTCGGCGTGAAGCAGCGAAATCGGAAAAATAGCATGACTCGGCTGGACAACAACAATGACTGCGGTGATCTTAGGCTCACGGCCGCCTACGAGCTTGACCCGTCACCTGTATCTGATGTCGACGACGCCAGCTTCGGGTGGCTGTCCGGTACAATTAAAGGCGTTTTTGGAGAGGACATAGTCGTTGCTCCGGAGTTGCTGAGCGGTAAGCTTCTTCCTCCCCCATCATATTTGCCCGCGCATGAGCTGACTCGCCTAGGAAACACGGACACTCGATATTACTGGGATCTATCGCCACATATCTACCGCATGTCACCGTGGCGTGCAAAACATGATCCACGAGGAACACGCATGCATACAGTGGATGAAAGGATGCCAGTCAAAGGCCTCTTGGAGATGGTCAAATTCTACCATGAGTTCATTCGAATTGTGGACGAGGTGCAAAGGTAGCATGTTCACACGCTTTCGTGTTTTGATCCATTTAGCTCTCTACCATGTCATGATGCCGTCACGAGTCACGATCTTGCCGACATCGGCGTCCCTTTCTCCCTCGACAACGGTTCTGATGAGGTTTCCGCCGGCCCTTGGATGTTCGCATCCCATCTCCGCCGCCTTCTCTGGACCCAGACCTCCAAGGTTTGTTGCCAGCATACCAGGTCCGATGGCCCAGACTTTGACCCCGTCTGCTTTCAACTTGTGGTTCCAATCCACCATCAGCATGTTCAGCGCACACTTACTGCATCGGTATCCGATCGTCTCGAACATTATCTTCTTGGGCCAGCCTGCTGGCTGAGGCGGAGTAGGATAATACGGACCCTCGGCAGCTTTTGTGATGCCTGAAAGCCCGGTGACAAAGAGCAGACGAGGATCAGCCGACTTGAGCAAGAGAGGCATGAATGTCCAGGTCATCACGTTGGTGCCGGAAACGTTGACATCATAGGCCTTGTTGAAACACTCGCGCAGTGAGACCTTGCTGGCGAGGAATTCCAGGTCGAAGGTCGCTCCTGGGGTATATCAGTTGGAAAGAGGAGTCAAAGTGTCTGCAGTAGCTACGCATACCTGCATTATTGATGAGGACATCCAGACGGCCTTGGTTGGTCTGCACCTGATTGAGGGCATTCTCGATCGATTGGTCACTGGTAAGATCGAGTTGCACAGCTTCGACAGTGTTGCTCGCCTCTGGGCATTCCTCCTTGAGGGTTTCAATAGCAGACTTGGCCTTCTCCAGAGACCGGCTGCCCATCAAGACGTGGTATGGCTTGCTGGACTGCAGAAGTGCCTTGACTGCCTCGTATCCAATACCGCCGTTTCCGCCTTGAATGCCATTAGAGAAGGAGGCAATCCAAGCATAAGTCTAGTACTAACCAGTTACAAAAGCGACGACTCGAGATGCCATTGTGTCTTTTTCCTGCAACTCAGTTGGTTGGAGCTATGTCTGGTTGTTGTGTGATCTGAAAGGTGTCACGGCTTCAGGCTTCTTCTATCAGGACTTACCTGCCCTCTTTATACCTTTCATCGGTGAGAGGAACACATCTTGTGATGATCGTCCGGAGTTAATTCACTGACTACGCCAACAGGCAGTGACTTTGCTCACATTGTGGCCGCAACGTGGTCGAGAGAATGGCACCAGCAACGAAGTCTGGACTTGATATGCAGCCTCTAGGCCATTTCAGGCGATACACGCGAAAAGTCGACTGTGGAGTGAATGGAGAGTGGAAACACCCTTTGGACCCGGCCACGGAGATAAAGGACTTTGCCCACCAGGCCATTCGGCTTGGCTAAAGCAGCGTGATGGTTGGTGAGGGCTGCACCGCGAGACAGGCACGTGCACAGGCTATTGTGATGTTCTGCTTGGCTAAAGCAGCGTGATGGCCAGCCCGCCAAGAGACTGGAGATCCAAAGTTCGAAAGGTCTCCTATGGCTGGTGTTGGGTGCACCCGGAGTCTTGTACAGTAGCTACTGCAATTGAAAGCACTTTGAGATCTTTGCTACAACCAATCCGCACTGGGACAGGACACCTCACGCGGCAGAGTCTGAAATTCTACCTCTCCTTGCCATCGTTCCTTGTTCCTTGTCGTGCAGCGAAGAAAAGTGCCAAATTTCCAGCCCGAGTTTCCGCAATGAACGGCGACAACTACTCCTCGCGAGGTATGTAATCCCAGACTTCTGCAACTTCGTCGCTGACTGGGATAGATGCGGGACGCTCGAGGGATCAGCATGTATACCGAACTACCATCCGCAAACCCAATGCGATTACTGACAGCTTGCAGGGTTCGAGGTACGATCGAGACGACCGAAGAGACCGCGACCGTGACAGGAATCGAGATAGAGGCGACAGAAGACGCTCACGATCCCCACACCATCGATCATCACGACGCGATCACGATAACTCGTACTCTTCCAGTCGAGACTACCGCGCCCGAGAGAGAGAAGATCGATATGGTTCAAGACGTGATGATCGTGAATGGGACAGAGACAGGGGCCCAAGGCGCCGCGATGACGACCGACGGAGAGACCGTGACCTCTTTGATGACAGAAGAGGTGGTGGTGGCGGTGGGCGGGATCGAGATCGCGGTGGTCGAGAAGACCGCGATGAATTCGCCGCACAAGCGCAAGGCCGGAAGAACAGTCCTCCTCCAAAGAAACGAGAGCCGACACCAGATCTGACGGACGTCGTACCGATAACAGAGCGTAAGAGGAGAATGACACAATGGGACATCAAGCCTCCAGGCTATGAAAATGTCACGGCTGAACAAGCCAAAATGTCAGGAATGTTCCCTCTACCGGGCGCACCTCGCCAGCAGCAGATGGATCCTAGCAGACTACAGGCTTTCATGAACCAGCCAGCAAGTGCCGCAGCCACCACCGCATTGAAACCTTTGAATGCAAGACAGTCGAAGCGACTGTTTGTTCATAACCTACCCGCGTCTGTCACGGAAGACGGCCTCCTACAATTCTTCAACCTGCAGCTCAATGGCCTGAACGTCACCAAGGCCAGCGACCCCTGCGTACAAGCCAATATTGCCGAAGATCGAAGTTTCGCACTCGTGGAGTTCAAATCACCGTCAGATGCGACAGTGGCTCTGGCTATGGACGGCATCACCATGGAAGAACACCACACCGAAATGAACGGCAATGGCACTGGAGCACCGAAAGGTCTGGAAATTCGGAGGCCGAAAGACTATATTGTGCCTTCAGCAGATGAGGATGCGTATACCGAGGGCGAGATATCCACAGAAGTGCCCGACACTGCCAACAAATTGTCTATCACCAACCTGCCGCCGTTCCTGACGGACGACCAGGTTCTTGAGCTGCTAAAGGCATTTGGAGAGCTGAAAGCGTTCGTATTGGTTAGAGACGCAGATGCTCCAGAGTCAAGGGTGAGTCATAGATTGCGTAAAGCATGTGGTACGCTACTGACCGATCTCTAGGGTATAGCATTCTGCGAATACGTCGACCCTGCCGTCACTGCCGTGGCCATCGAAGGTCTAAATGGCATGGATTTGGCAGGTAGCGCTATCAAAGTCACCCGAGCCAGTATCGGCTTCACTCAGGGCGCCGGTCTGGAGATGGGCGTCAACGCCATGTCCATGTTTGCTGGCACTACTTCTGATGCCTTTGAGGAAGGGCGCGTCCTTCAGTTGCTCAACATGGTAACGGCCGAGGAACTTATAGACAACGACGATTATGAAGGTAAGGCGCAACCAGCCGTTGCCCTAAGCCAACCAGTCGATGCTGACAATAGTGATAGAAATCTGCGAAGATGTCATGGAGGAATGCTCCAAGTATGGCAAGATCGTGGCCATGAAGATCCCACGTCCTTCAGGCGGCAGCAGACAGTCTGCTGGCGTGGGCAAGATTTTCATCAAATACGAAGACTCGGAGTCGGCGAAGAAGGCGCTGCAGGCTCTGGCGGGCAGAAAGTTTGCTGATAGGACCGTTGTCACTACTTACTTTGATGAGGTACGTCAAGAAGATTAGATTGTTGGAAGAAAGTTATACTGACCATCTTCCAGGCCAGCTTTGATGTCAGCGCCTGGTGATCGAGGAGCGCCCGTCGTTCCAGATGGAGAAGGGCTTTATCCATCCTGTGGTTGTTTCATCCCTCGGCGGCCCGCTTTACACACGGAAAGGGCTCGAGAAGCGCCATGACGTTGCACTCTCTGGCTGATAGGAAATTTACTGCACATGTCACGCCTTTTCCATCTTCTTGTGTGGCGGATTTGCGGATCCTGGTGCTTGCCAGTGCGATTGCCGTCATAAGACCGGCCTTGGGTCCTGGGGCGCTTGAATCGCGCTTGCAGAATACAGATCTGCCTCTTTGGCCTGGCCTCCTGATCCGGGGGGGTGTGCAAAGCAAGAAAGGAAAGCCTTCTTCACTGGAGCTTCTTTGGTCTCTCGAAGCAAGGAAAGCGTGATATACCAAACATTCATGTACTTCTAGAGGGTCACTTTTGTACTTACTTATCTTTGACTGCCCCCAGCAAAAAGCAATGCGCCTGAGGCGGACAGGCTGGAAACAAAGAAGCTTGAGGAAGTATTTACTGTTGATAATGGTGGGCTCGAAAACTTGGGACTGGATTGCCGCTCCCCGACAAGAGAAATTGTGGTGAGCTTCTTCTGCATATACTCTGGCGTTTTATTTCTTGTCTTCTTCTTGCTTGTTAATTTAGAGCTACGGTTCGGCTGTATTGTAAAGCTCTATGCTTTCGTGAAGTGCGGGTCCCACGCCAACAATCTATGCTCCCATCCAAAGTGTCATTTGCCCCGTTGATGCTGCGGTTCTACCTGTTCAAGAGTAAGACCATCTTTCACCCTTTGGCGATGCCATTTCGTTTTGGTCATTTCAATCATTATGCTTTGTCTGCTTCGCTTCTGGGTGTTATGCGACTGCCAACCAGGAACAAGATCCGGCCCGGGGAGCTGGACTTGGAGAGGTAGAGCGAGGTTCCTCCCGCACTTAATCCTCATCCAAGATCAACTTCGTAATCTTGCCCACAGCAATAGTCTGACCCTGGTCACGCAGCGTGAAGCGACCTAATTGTGGATAGTCCTCGAATCGCTCAACGCAGATCCTGCCAGCCCCACTGGTAACCTGTAGTCGTGCGATAATGTTCTGTCCCTTGGCCGCAAATGGCGGAGGCTTCTTGCTCTTCCGTCCTGTCCTGGGCTCAAGTTTGTGCAACAGCGCCGCAAACGTGACTTCTTCCGTGGCAGCGTGGACGTGCACCACACAATTGAAACCGGCCGACAAGATCGACTTAAGTTCGACGATGTTGATCTGCGCCTCGAACTCTTTCACACAGTGAACCAGCCGCTTCGGAGAGCACAGGACGAAACCTGGCAAAATGTCTTCCTCTTCAATACCGCGAAGACGCATACGGACTTGGTCGCCGCAGACCGCGTAAGGGATTTCTTCTTCGGTCTCACCGTACAACGCAGCGATTCCGACTTCTTCCTTGTTCGGCATCATGACGTACGAGGCTGTCTTCTGGACAACGCCGGCTTCGATACGGCCTTCGACCATGGTGCCCATGTCTCGGTATTTGGCGCCGACAGGCATCATGAACGGCGCGTTGAGGTTGCGCTGGATCTTGGCCATGCCGTCTAGAAATTCGAGCAGGGAGGGGCCGTCGTACCATGACGCCACGTCCTTGGGAATCCTGTCTTTGACGCCGAGACCAGTCTGGGCCGAGATTGGCATAAAAGTCGAGTCCAGACCTATTCGCTTCTTGAGATAGGGCTTCAGTTTGCCCACGATCTCGTCGTAGCGTTCCTTGGACCATTCTACGGTGATGTCATCCATCTTGTTGACTACCACGACCAGTTCTTTGGCGCCCGTAGTCTTAATCAGCATGGCGTGTTCTTGTGTTTGACCACCCTTTTCAAAGCCGGTTTCAAATTCGCCTTTTCGCGCTGAGATGACCAGAATGGCGACATCGGCTTGGGCGGCACCGCTCAACATATTTGGTACGTAAGTTTTGTGGCCTGGTGCGTCGAGAATGGTGTATCGTCGTTTGTCGGTCTCGAAGAAGCCTCGGCCAACTTCGACGGTCTTGCCCTTGGCTCGTTCTTCCTTGTTCAAGTCCAGCACCCAGGAGATGTACCATGTTTCACGACCAGCGTCTTTGGCGTCTCTCTTGTACTTGTCTAGTGTTCGCTCGTCAACCATGCCTGTCTGAATGAGGACTTGGCCGCCCAGAGTTGATTTTCCAGCATCGACGTGGCCAATGAAAATGATGTTGACATGCTCTTTTCCGTACATTTCCTCCAACACTGATGCGTCGACATCTGCTGTTTGTTCTGCAGCAATTTCCTCTGCGGTCCGTGTCTTCTTAGCATCGGCCGGTGTTGGGGAGGATTTGCCTGAGGATGGTGCTGGTGAGGTCTTGCCCGACACCTTTTCGCCGGTTTTCTCGACGGCTTTGGCTGCTGTCACTTTTGATCCAGCTTCTGGTTTTGTGTCGGATTTCGCTTCCACTTTGGCAGGCGCATCTTTGGTTGTAGGTGAGGCGGGTTTCTTCGGAGACGCAGATGTAGAGGTAGGGACACCAATTGACAGGACTTTCGCTTTGGGAGGTGCCGCCGCCGCCGGCTTTGGTGCGGGGGCTGGTGCCTTCTCAGCGGCTGGGGCTGGGGTCGGCTGACCCTGAGGTGCCGGTGTTTGTGCAGCTGCAGGCTGAGGGTCTGATCTTTTGGCAATGCTTATGGGAGCGCCTTGTCGTGGTTGGAAAGCCCCAGGTGACTGATTGTAAGCAGCAAATTGACCGCTATATCCTTGGTTGTATCCTTGCTGTTGTTGCTGAGGCTGCTGAGGCTGCTGAGGTTGTTGGTACTGATTAAAACCTTGGCTATATTGAGGGTATTGATTGTAGCCTTGCTGTTGGCCATAGCCGTAGTTTTGGTAGCCGTTCTGTTGATATGGCTGACCAGGTTGGAACGTGGTAGCGCCAGGCTGAAACGAAGCGGCTCCAGGCTGAAAAGCACCGGCTCCAGGCTGAAAAGCACCGGCTCCAGGCCTGAATGAGTTTGCGTTCATGTTCATGTTTTGTGTCTGTCTTGAAAGGTCTTCATCTTGCGCCGCTGCATCTTCCCACGAATCGAAATTGCCCGCCATGATGGACGTTGTAATATTCGTCGACGTTAGCAGAGGGGAAGGAGAGGTCGGCAGGAGATCGATTGCAAAATCTTTGAGTCGATGTGTGTAGGAATCACAGACAGAATTTGGAAATTCGGTGCGTTGAGTCTGGGTCGCGGTCAATTTGAGGCGCAGTTTGAATAATGGGACGGTGGAGGGGCCATATTTTCGTAGTTGACTCGACTGCAGCTAACCCAAATATGGATCGTTTACATCGTTTGAATTGACGTAGTTGGTTGGATTCCGGATGGTGAACGACTCGACGAGTACCACGCGAATATTGAATGACAATTACTCCTCCGTATTTCATTTGCACATTAAATGAAGCAGGCTAGCTAATATCTCGCATTGATGATGACTGCCCCTCAGTTGTTGTAAATTATTGATTATTGAACCATGCGGATCACAATCTGGTGCTGTGAGGAAGCGTGAAGAGCATACCGTCCCGGTGGCATGGTGCCTGACCGTAAATGCAAGGCTGCATACTGGTGAGGTACCGCTGAGACCACAACATCAGTTTCAGTCAATTCCTTGTTGTTGTTAGGCAAAATGGACATGTTCCTGGGGAAAGTGACCCAGCAGGCGATGAACTATGCCATCCGGTCTGGACTCACCTTGACCGCGACCTACGCTATCAGACAATCAAACAGATACCTCAGGAATGCACCCAAGAGCAGTGTGAAGGACGAGCTTATTGCACTCCAACACCGTCTCCAGCACAAAATAAGCATCATCTCGCCAGCTATCGACATGATCGAACTCATCGCCGCACGAGGCAACACATCTCTGGAGTCCGCAGTGGCCTTGACCAAAGAACTGCGTCTGGACATCCAGTCCCTCGGTCAACGACTAGCTAAGGCGGCGGCTGCTGAGGAGAGTGCTGCTAGAAGTAGCAAACTCAGCAGCCAGATGAAGACCCAGAACGAGTTCGAAATGAAGCTTATTGTCAACGACATGAAGCAACTGCTGAGCCGTATCGAGGACGCGATTCCTCTCATCAACCTAGCCATCGCCACATCCGGCGCAAGTCTCTCAACGTCTCTTCCTCATACAGTCTCCCCATCTCGACTACTACAAGCCAGCACCTTCCTCACAGCAGGCGATACACAATACTCACTATCTCCACAAAACGCTGTACAGATTGGCCCAACGTTCACTTTGACAGTGTACATGCTATTTGCCGGCCATGATCGGCCACAAAATGAAGAAGAAATACGAGAAACCACCTGGAAAGAAGTAATTCACAAGGCTCGAGTCAAATTACGCCGAGTCCCGCTCGATGTCGTGGTCGGTACGGGCTCCGGTTCAGACGCCGTCCCCTCGGTCGAGATCGTCTCACCAGGTTCTGTATCGGACGTGGACACATCCAAAGTCATACCCGCAGATTCCCGCAGTGACGAGTACGCCTACCAGATGATGATCATTGAAGACTTGGACGACGACCGCGTACACGATTTTGAGGAAGACCAAGCCCGCCCAGGGCCCTTTGATGATGTCAGACTCGCTGGCATGCGAGAGATGATACCAATCCACGAAATCTCGAAGATCTTCTACGCTGACACAAGTAAAGTTCTCAACATCGGTTCCGATGCAGAGAGCAACCATCCCGTCCTTCTGCTCAAGCGCGACGTCAACGCCGTGCCCCCACGAAGAATGGTGGAAAAAGATAGCCCGACGGACGTGCACCCCGATCAAACGCGCCGAGAACCAGAATATTTCGACACGGATCGTGATCGTCGTCAGCGCGATCCGTGGCGCTTCCCGCCCTCCTTGGATCCAGAGTGGATTGCGTTCGAAGTGTACACAGAATCCGACGCTGAGGATTCCGAGTCTGAGGCCGAAGAAGCAGATACATCGCGTGGTGATGTCGATGTCGAGACTTCGCAGTTGTCGGATTCAGTCTCGAAGATGCGCATCAGCAACAACAATAGTCCAGCACCACAGCTCCAACCACGACCAATCACGAACCAGACTGCTCCATGGATCAACGCGATCAAAACGTCCCTGTCCCTCCTCGAGCTGTTGCTGCGACTCACGTCGCTCCAGCAGTTCCAACAACAATCACACCTGAGCATTACTGATGAGCTGCTCAATTTCTTCCTCGAGGAGAGCGCGACGACCGGCGCCGGTGGAGATGAGAACTACAGACAAGCTCTCCGCGCCGAGGCGAGACGAAGAGTAGGCTGGGATCCGTACGATGAGAGTCCAATGAAACGACGGGGCGAGGATTATCAGTATCAGTATTATGCTGGAAGCCCGAGTCCGGGACCGCCGATGAGCCCGCGGCTGCAGAATGGGGCGTGGAGTCCGCGCGAGGCGCAAACCCGCTCGATCACGGCGGTTTCGGATTACCAGGCGTCGCCGTCGCCGTCGCCGTCGCCGTCACCGCGCCTGGGAGACGGGCCCAGAGGGAGTAGGGCGTCATGGTTGAAGAGGCAGGATGAGACTGCGAGGAAGGGGAGTCCGCTACGGCCGCAAACTGCGCTCACAGACGAGGGCATCGGGACGAGTCCGGCTAGTAGGGAAGGGAGTTGAAGAGTGTGATGAACGCTATGATGGGAGGAGGGGTAGTCCCGGAATGAGTCACGATAGAAGAACAAAATTAGATACCCCGAGGGAAAATGCTATTACTTGAAGATAGGTGATTTGCATTGAGATTGAGGAGAACCTCGTTATCTACGAGTCTCATGGCCAAGTTGCATTAGCAGAGACCTCGACGCTTCTCACTAGATACCCATCGCTAGGGAGGTTAATCGTAATATCCTCGAAGATCCCCTCGCCAGCTCCTGAGCCTCTCGGCTCCGATGGCTCGAGGAGCGTAAAGGACGTTGGTAACCGAGAGAGCTTGCTCTCTGGGTTTGAAGCTGGAAATCTCACAGCTCAAGTTGCAATAGGAGGCGCGGTTTACTTCGTCCGCGAGGGTAAGCCTTGAAGTCTATCAAGATAGCTGGGAACGGGTCATACTGCGTCGTCCGTGGCCTGACTGTGTAAGACTCTACCTCCGTCTCTAGCAAGATGGCCAGAATTCGTAGTGCCGCGTGCAGTATAGTACAGTTCTCAAGTTCTGATTTGGCGCTGCCTTTGCTCCATTGGTGTGCGCTGGCAGATGTGAGTAGAGACACTATCCGGCGTGTTTACGACTTCCTGTCTCATCTGACACCCATTTGCGCCCTGATCTGCATGATTTGTGCCCTTTCATTAGGTGAGAAGGAGTCGATCGTTCGCTGATCCATAGCTAGGATCTGCTGAATCATTTCCTGCTGAGATATTTGAGGTTGTGCTTGTGGGGGTGGCTGTTGTTGCGCTGGCGGAGGTGGATACTGCTGAGGTGGTCGAGGAGGCATCTGGCCAGGCACCATAGGTGCAGAGTACTGTTGGGGCGTGGGCTGTGGGGGAAGGACAGCAGCTGGTTGAGGCGGTCTTGCGGCTTGTTCCACGACTTGTGCCAGCACTTTTGGATCAACCAAGTTCATCAGGATCAGGGCTTGAAATATTGCGAAAGACAATTGCGGGGCGGTTTTGAGAAGTGATGTTGCTCTTGCAGGGTCCGATATTGCTAAGGCCTTCATCTGTGTGAGAACGTCAAGCAGTTGAGGTGGAGGGAGGGTAGAGAGGGTTTGTGATATCGCGTCCGTGGCTCTGAGGTTGGGAGGTACGTCAACACCAGATGGTAGTGGAGGTAAGGCATTCGGCGCTGGAGGTGGGAATCCGTCTGCTACTGGCGCAGATGTCTGGTCATAGTTCGTCGGCACTGAGTCTTTCTCGTTGTTGTGAGGCCAGTCCACGCGAATCTTGCGCCCGTCGATCTCGAAGTCGTTCAGATTCCTCACAGCATTGGCTGCCGAGTCTGCGTCTTGAAAATCTGCGAAACCGAAACCCTTGGATTTGCCAGTGTCGGGATTGGTCATCAGCCGGAATTTGACGACGGTGCCCGCATAACTAAGGATCTTGACGATGTTTTCCTCACTCAAGTCTATTCACGGTTAGAATACTACCACGATGTTAGGTCGCTGTTTGTGACTTACTGAAGGGAATGTTGCCCACAAAGACACTCCGACTTTGACCGGGAGCCATAGTGAGGGAGGCGAGCGAAGGTCGCGCGGGACTGTGTCGAGCAGAGAAGTCTGAGGTCGAGTAAAAGAACGAAGCACGGTGTTACTACCTGACTTATTGAGTTGAAAGTGACGAGGACCGGCGCAGACTAAATGCATGCAGCTGCGCCAAGGAGGTAGTGACTAGGCTCCAAACTCGGTGCCCAGGGCTTGCGGAGTAGCGCCTAATGAGCCTACTACGTATGAATTATCAGCGGCCCAGGCAGTGAGCCCTTAACAAAGAGATCTACTCCGGAAGATCGTGGCTTGAATAAAGCGGCGGCATTTGCTTCACCTGCCAAGGCCCAAGCAACTCCGCAAAGTCATTAGACTTTAGCTCGAGAAAGTCGTTGATCATCATCGACGTTTGCCTGCTTGCTTGCCAGCGCCTCCCATCCGAACCTCAACCCGTTGACGTTTCTTTCGTCCTTCCGTAGCGACCTGCAGCGATGTCGTACGATCCGAGAGAACACTTCCAACAGATACAGAGAACGCTACAGCAGCGCAGAGGTCAAGGCTTCGGAGGAGTTCCCGGAGGCGGTGCCGCTGGCAGAGGAATCATTGCATTGATCGGCCTGGGCGTAGCAGGAGTTGTCCTTTCAAATTCCATATTCAACGGTATGTTTGGTGCCACATAACATCTATGGAGGTTTCTGACCAGGCTAGTTGACGGTGGTCATCGCGCAATCAAATACAAGAGGATATCTGGAGTGTCGAAAGAGATCTACAACGAAGGCAAGTGGAAGGATCATACGCACGGTGGATGCAGCTAACAAAGCCAGGCACGCATATCAGAATACCCTGGTTTGAGACACCTATCGATTACGATGTTCGCGCGAAGCCGAGAAATGTCGCATCCTTGACTGGTACGAAAGACTTGCAGATGGTCAACATTACCTGCCGTGTTCTTTCTAGACCTCGGGTCGAAGCATTACCTCAAATCTACCGTACACTGGGTACAGATTATGACGAACGAGTATTGCCTTCAATCGTCAATGAAGTGCTCAAGAGCGTGGTTGCGCAATTCAACGCCAGCCAGTTGATCACACAAAGAGAAAATGTGGCAAGGTTGGTCCGGGACAACCTTACGAGAAGAGCTGCAAGATTCAATATCATGCTTGACGATGTGTCACTGACGCATCTGTCCTTCTCCCCGGAGTTTACTGCCGCAGTCGAAGCGAAACAGGTGGCACAACAAGAGGCCCAAAGAGCTGCATTCGTGGTCGACAAGGCGAGACAAGAGAAGCAAGCTACGGTTGTTCGAGCACAAGGTGAAGCCAGATCAGCTGAGTTGATCGGTGATGCCATCAAGAAGAGCAGAAGTTACGTCGAATTGAGACAAATTGAGAATGCTCGTAATATTGCAAGCATTCTGCAGGAAGCAGGAGGCAAGAACAAGCTATACCTTGATGCTGACGGCCTTGGACTCAACGTCAAAGCTGGAGAAGATACAGCTTCCAGGAAATAAGAAAAGATGCGGAGACATACCAGTTGTATTTTACTCGGACGGAAGCTATTTGGGCCTAAGGTCTTTCCAGTCTGTTGTTAGCGGTCCATGATCACAATGTAACAATTCTTCTCTCAAAAATCCGTGTCAGCTTCTATATTTGAAGTGTTAGTCCGTTCGCCCGATCTACGGGCTGACCTTGGACTACCTCTCTTCATTACCAGTCGTCAAGGGCTGTCATCGCACTCAGTTCAGATGCCTGCAGTCTGCAATCTGTGAAATTGAAGGCGGCCGAGTTCTGTGGTGGCCCTGTTGATCAGGATCCCTGGTGTTGAAGAAGTACAATTCCTGTCTGTAACCAAAATCTCAACAGGAGGCTTCCTTATGAGATGTCATCCACAAAGCCCCTTTCTTGTGCCACACCAAAGGCTTATGGTAACATAAAGACATCTAGGACCTATGCCATATTATTGCCTGCTCAAACACAGGTGTCGTCCTAACCGGTGAAATTGTCTTTAGCAAGTGTTAGTAGTACATACAGCCCTCAATATCGACAATTCTCTCAAAGGGAAACCCAAGCGAGGCGCTAGTTGAGGGACCATGCACCCAAATATATTTCATCCAACTCGTCTGTCATGCTCACCTTCCGTCCATTCTTACAGTGATTCCACCCCCTCAACGGCCTTTGTGCTGTTCGAGGGGGACTTGCACAGAGTTGTGCATGCAAGTTAGTATTGACTCTCCCCTCCTCAGAACGTGGCCTTGTCGCAATCCCGTGCATCATAGTCTGAACCCTCCAAGAACCATCATCAACCGATCGAGGACCGAGACCATGCTACTTCCGATATATTCACAGACGTTAAGCATCATTACATACCACATGATAGGAAGACTTGATGAGGAGATGGCATACCACACCGGTGATCGACAGAGGGAGAAGTGTGGGAGCAAGCGACCACAGAAAGCCCGGGATGGGTATGTCTTCGCTCATTACGCGCAGAACCTTTTCCCGGAGGCATCCCGATGAGATTTAATCACATCCACCGGTCTATAACTGTCTTCCCACGACGTTCGGAAGCGCCAATCAAGCTGTCCGCATATTGACTCGCACAGCTTTCCTGGCAGCGAGCGCTACTCTCGACGCTTACCTGCGGATGACTCCCAAGCTCAACTGCAAGCTATTGCCCATTCTCATCGAGAGCCAACCACCATCGATGACTTCGGGGTACCACGGTTCTGCAGCAGAAAGCTCGAAGTCTCGTGCTTTTTCTTTGACGGTTCCCATCCTTCAAGCCATACGTGCAGATGAAGTTTCCTTAAACTCGTGCCAAGGGATCCACCTAGACATGAAACCAATCAGCAATTTGTATCGGCCCCGATCTCCGGGGTTTGGAGCAAATCATATTTGGACTCCTCCTTCCTCGAATGCGGAATAGCGACGAAGTTCAGGTGCCCGGGGGCCGGCCTATATGTTGTTGCCTCGATCTCGCTATACAGATACGTACCTTTGTCACGGAAGTTGCAGCACTTCGAACTCACGCCAGTCAGAAATAGGACTTCTTCTTCTCAGCGATATGATCCCAAGATCGTGCAAGGGGGAACTTGCTTGCCAGAGAGTGTCTCAACTGGCTTGGCTATCCGGGTACCAGAGGCCGGGAGCCTTGCTGGAAATGGTCTTCATGTGTATGCTGTCCGAGTCTTGTGAGCTCCAGACTTGGCACGAGCAGAGCGATTGGCATGAACAATGCTTTGGAACACATCAAACGCACCAAGACTGCGTCCAGGAGCACAATGGTCAAACCTCGTCGATGAAGGCCCCAATGGCTAGCATGTACTTGGGTCACTTGGCTTTTGGGGCCATGCAATCACCAGCCGAAGGAATAAGGTCTCCAAGGCCTGGTCCGTCGATCAACCTGCCTTAGTTGGTTGGACTCTTTGTATTCGCCCATGAATTGGTATTGCAACTCGCAGCCTGCTATAAGCATGCATTTATGCCGTGCGAGCTGCCTGGCTCTGTGGCAACTTCAACAATCGATGATAAGCTGCTCCTGTCTAAAACGAAGCTATGCGAAATCCCAGTTAGGGGCAACAACTTGGTTGACAAGTGCGAGCACATCCAGCCAGGGCGATACACAAAGAAACACAGAGTTTTGTGATTTTTCAACCATGCAGTAGCCATGCACAAGGACTTTCTGGTGAAATTCGGTGAAATGGTCGGACCTGTGATGTCGCTAGCTGTCCAGGGCTGGCGATGGTCCTGGGCAACATGGGGTTGGTGCCAGTGAATCCTGGAGTTGGAACTGTTACAAGAACCACAGAGAGTATCAATAGGAGGAAAGGCTCGACAAACAATTTTGATACTCAAAGATTGTGCTGAACGCCGAGAGGACTCTTGCTTGGCCGAAAGCCACACTTCATGAGCGGATCGGAGAGCACTTGAACCGCGAGGCTCGCATCCCTTCTGTTCTAAATTTCAAAATTGTCAACTGATCAAACAACAATCAAACAACACCACTTCGGCCTTTCTTAAAACCCTCAATCTTGGGCCAGTTTGGATACTGAGAATCAGGAGCGTACAGGGTTTCTTCTTCCCTCCAGATCTTCTGGCATCTTGAAGAGCCGAGAAGCTCTTTCTTCAAGTCCTCCCAGCTCTGCCTCAAGACCATTCTTCCAGTCACAATTCACGTTATCCACATCCACGATCCTTTACAACCTCCACAGCCTATTCCTACGCTCTTCTTCTTGACTATTTCCAGCGATTTGGCACGACAGTCGCTCCTTCGAGGGATTGCCTTGTCACACATCGTGTCACGCGTCGGCCAGTGGTCACCGCGATATTTCGTCTTGGGAGCCAGAGACAGTTGGCCAAAAGATTTGGATAAAATAGAACAGCACGCGCCACAAAGTTGTACGACGCAGGCCGTAGATTGGAGTTCATTCAACAGACTGCAGCTACAACTGGCAACGCTGGAGGCAACTGTTCGTGAGTATCTGCCAGCGCCGGCCATCAGTCTTAGCTAAACATGCTTCCAGATCCCCCATAGAGCCGTCACTCAAGGCAACTACCCCCTCTATGAGACTGAGTCGGGCCTACATTCATCGCGATAACCGCGTCCTCTGACCTTTCAAGTCGGCCACTGCCACCGGTGCAATCACAAACAATGGCTGGTCAAAAGCGAAAACTCAAGGACGACGCAGATAACCAGCGCAAACGCCTAAATGCCAGTCAGATCCCACTTCAGGAGTCCGAAGAGCCAGGTTCTGAGGCCGGGTCTCTGGCTGAGATGCCAACGACGGAGTCACATGCAGTGGCTAGTGACGCTCTCACAAGAAAAGATGATATAGACAATCGAGGCGAATCGGACACTGACGACCAGAAGCAACTCGAGACTCCATCTGAAGAGCGCGGCGACATCAAGCTCATCATCCCAATCTCGGACCTAAGTGCTGGTCGCCTGACAGGAGGAGAGCTAGTCACCAGAATCACGATGCTGGGCAGAAAAGACGACGGCATCGAGCGAAAAGCCAAAGTGCAGGCTCGTATCAATGGCACTGTGGAGAATTCCCCAGCGTCAGCTTCTGGGAGCTCTACTCTTCCCAACGCCCCAGACGCTCAGGGCCTCTCGGGCACTGTGGGTCCGGAGGCTTCGGATGCTCCACACCCGCCGGAAGTGTTAGTATCATCCATTCTGAAAGAGCTCTGCGGCAACAATGAACAGTACGAAGACCTCCAAAAAGCATTGGGGACGGCTCTCGATGGACCCTGCAAGATAGAGAACATCCGCGCAGCCAAGGGCAAGGCCGATACTTCTCGCATGGACGACGACGATGGTGAAGAGAGTCCCGTTTCCACTTACTATGGCAAGGATGGCGAGCCATATAAGTATTATGTTGGTCTCGACCGCACAGCGGCCCCATTGCATGACATCCACGAAATATTTGACCACATCGCCCGAAAGGCATGGAAACAGGGTATTGCAGACGCTTGCCGTCCCTTCAAAGATGTTGATCTCCGGCTTTTCACTTTGTGTTCGGGTACAGATTCTCCTGTAGTCGCCATGACGCTCCTCAAACAATCCCTGAAGTTTCAAGGCGTGGAAGGTTTCAATTTCCAGCACGTGGGAAGCTGTGAGATTGAGCCGCAGAAACAGGCTTTTATTGAAAGAAACTTCAAGCCTCCTGTGCTCTTCCGCGACGTGACAGAGTTCACAACTCACAGCAAGAACCTCGGCGATGACAGCTTTTTGCCGCGCACAGCATATGGTGCACCAGCCAACCCACCAAGAAATGTTCACATTCTGGTCGCAGGTGCTTCTTGCGTGGACTTTTCTGCTCTCAGAGTCAAAGAAGGCAAACCGGAGTTTGATGCCTCAGGCAGAAAAGGTGGCGAGTCATCGCAGACATTCGCTGGGGTCTTCAATTACGCGAAGGTCTACCGTCCCAATGTGATCCTGCTGGAGAACGTTATCACAGCCGACTGGAAAAAGGCCTCGGAGGCTTTTCTAGCAATCGGCTACCACTGCAAAGTCATCAAAGTAGACACTGTCAACTACTACCTTCCTCAAACCCGGAATCGAGCATACTGTCTCTTGATTGACAGGAAGCATGCTGATCAAGTTGGTCTTGACTGTAAGAAAGCTGCGCACGACTGGACTTCCTACATGGCCTTCTTTCAGCACCGCGCGTCATCACCTTATACCCAGTTCATGCTTTCAGAGTCTGATCCGCGCCTTCTGTTTGAAAAGAAGAAGAACTATTCCTTGACCAAATCTGCATCGTCGAACGGTTGGGTCGCTTGTCGCAAGCGTCACAACATCCTACGGAGGAACAATCACCTAGGAAACCGCACGCCGTACACCCTGATGATAGACCACCCTCCTTGCAGATTAGACGACGCGGCATGGCAGGAATGGGCACTTGGTCAGTCGCCGCGGGTGGTGGAGCTCCTCGATTTAAATTACCTTCGCTATGCTTCAGAGAGAGACTTCGACATGCGATACAAGCACAGAAATATCAACATCTCGCAAAATGTCGACCGAGACACCGACAGCAGAAAATGGGGCATTGTTGGCTGTGTGACGCCGAAAGGGAGTCTCTTTGAAACATTACGGGGACGTCCACTCATTGGTCTTGAGACGTTTGCTCTTCAAGGAATGCCCATCTGTGATCTTAGCCTGAACAAAGAATCTTCTGGATTGCTCCAGGATCTAGCGGGCAATGCGATGACCACTACGGTCATTGGAACCGCCATTCTGGGTGCTCTACTGGCCTGCCATAAAGGGAAGACGAGCCTCTTTCAAAAATATGTTGACGCGGCTGGCGGTGGCAAGAAGGCCTCAAAAACAATGCAACAGACGGTTCCTGCTGGCAGATCGATTGAACAGCTTGACTACCAGGTTGAGAAGGGCACATGGCAAGAAATTCCTCAACCACAAGGGCGCAGCGGTAACCTGTCCATCGAGGCTCTTGCCGACGCGGCGTTTCACTCGCTTCCCTTTTGTGGCTGTGAAGGCCTTGACCAGCATACCAATGCTGCGCTGAAGTTTTGCCCTCGGTGCTTGTATACTTGCTGTTCTCAATGCAGCAGAAGAGCGCATGATGGTTTGCAACCTCTCATTGCCATTGATCGAAGTCGAGCATGCGAATTCATTCGACTTTTGACCGAGTCGTTGCCTGCAGCGTTGGCAATTCACATGGATTGTGACGAGGATCTTCCTGCATTCTCATTCGGGCAGCACATGTCTTCCGACAAGGATGCATGCAAAGAGGCCAAGGAGCGTATCGTTGCTTCCATGCACGGCACGGTGCGCTTCCGCGAGGTAGTGTTCAACCACACATGGAAGGCTCTCTACGAATCCGACGATGCCATTCTTGAGCTCGAATTTCTTCCCAAGCCTCATCCCGATAGTAACAATCATGATCATATTATGCCATGGCTGACCACTCAACCCGCGTGGCGGCTCTTCGCAAAGCCAAAGCACGACGAACCCTCTCGAAGTATGGTACGAAACCTATTGAAGCACCACATCGCGGAGATGCCTGTTGGGAAAGACCTGTTCACTGGCGTATGGTATTTTTGGAACGGCCCTGTTGAACAAAAAGTTAAGGTCAGAGGATCCGGTGCCACAGCCCCGTCCTGGAAAACCCGCATTGGTCTCGAGAAGGAATTAGTTGTGGACGAACATCGCTTCACCGAATTGGAAATTGAGCTACACCCCGAATCCCACGAACATCGCGAGGCCCTATCGGAACAGATCTCTGGCAAGTATAAGCTTCTTCCAAATTGTCCTGCTGCCTCCCAGACACTGCATAGGAAGTCAGGGTTGTCTGCCGTGGAGAATCCAATATATGCTTTCTTGAAACCGGACCCTTTGCAGAATTCCGAGCTGGACTGCTTCGTCCTGTCGAAATCACCACCCCGACAAGAAATCCAAGACGATCGATCGATTTTAGCAAAATTCCCTCGCTCTTGGAAGCCACCTTGTGGAAAAGGCCCTGACTTCATTTCGCATGAGCAGGTGGTCGATTGTGAATCGTTCACCAAGTGGACAGTACTCCCATCTGTCACAATGACAATTCCAGAGGCAGACGACATGTTCAAGAAATGGGCTCCCGTCAATTTCCCGGATGACATGGCGCGCTTGGTCTGCAAGGATGCAGCTTCCACTGTCTTAACACTTAAGGTGCCTCTTGATGAGAAGCATCAGAAGAAGTGGCCGAAAGGCCACCTCGAACCCGTCTTGATCGAAATCGAAGACGCGCCTGGAGCTTTGAAAAATTTTACCTCTTCTCTGCCTTATGCCACAGATGTCGTCCATGCGGATGGCAACTGGAAAAAGATAGGGGTGGTGAAAAATTGGAAATGCCGAACATGCCTTCCTGAATTGCCAGCTTTGAAATGGGTGGTCAAGAAGAAGGTTCTCAAAGCAATTGAAGATGCGGAACAAGCAGCACAGTACGAGCAAGCATTGAAGGAACGACCAAAGCCGGCGATGGCGAAATTGTACAGCCTAGGAAATTATGCGCTGGTCGACGTAGAGATCAACATCAAAACGTTGACGCATCGCGCCATCTCGCAGCTGCACCATGACCCTGATCTTGTTGAGGAGGAAGGGATCGCCGAATGGCGCATCATCCGGCACGATCGCTTTGCGTCTTACCCAACATTTGGCCCCATCGAAATACTATCGAATGATGATACCGTCCCAATCGAGAAACGTTATGTCGGCAAGCGGCTTCTATGGGACTCCCAAAGAAGAGTACTCGCCTGGATGATGAGCCAAGAAGAGAATCCGAAAGCTTGGGCAGAATTGTGTCTCGTCGAATGCCGTCTGCCTTCTCTTGGCTGGAATGTTGAATCACGAGCTTTCATTGAGAAGGTTGTACGTGGCGGTATCATTGGAGACAATGTGGGAAGTGGTAAAACACTTACCTCTCTAGCGCACGTCGGTCTGGACTATGAGAGACTGCAAGCGAATCAGGCCTTCAGTGCTGAATGTCCTCACAGTTTGGTCCAAACCGACGCCACCATCATCCTTATGCCGAAGAACATCAAAGAGCAATGGGAAGAGGAACTTGAAAATTGTCTGCCATCCTGGACGCAGATGAAGTCGTCACGTCCGAGGCCTAAACAACCTTACTACATTCTGATTAGAACGGCGAAAGAACTTCCCAACTACACTATCGAAGACATTCGATCGGCCGCTCTGATCTTTGTCCCTTTCGACATTTTCGAGGAGGACAAGTACTGGGATCTTCTGCAGAACCTTGCTTGTGCACCACATTCACCAAGTACTCCTGGTCGCGGTTTCGAACAATGGCTGACGCAGGCTCTGTTTGGCCTCAAATATCTTACCCAGAAATTGCCGTCAGAACAGGAACAAGCATGGAAGAATTGGGAAGAACTTCGCTCTCAGACATCCAAATATCATCGTTTCCAGGAGGTCATCAACCGCAAGACTCAAAAGGCGAAGCGAAACCAGGACCCTATGGCTTCCGATGATGACGACGAGGATAACGCCAACGCCACGAGTGCCGATCTTCTCCTGGAATTCGAGCAGAATTTACGAGTCTTTCGGGAAGCTGGTGAAATAGCACCGCTTCTTCACATGTTCCACTTCCGCAGAATCATGGTGGACGAGTTTACATATGTTCATGGAAAATCTTTGCTGGGTCTATTGAACCTCAGTGCGTCATCTAAGTGGCTTCTCTCTGGGACCCCTCCAATTCATGACTACGATGGTGTCAACACTATGGCAAAGCTCCTGAACACTCGCGTCTCGACCCACAACGAGCGAGACGGCAAATTCGGGTTTGGGAAAGATAGAGTCATGATGCGCAAAGACAGAACTGACGCACAAGACTTCAGAGTCTTCAAGAACGTCGAGTCCGCTGCGTATAAAAATGCTGTCTACGATCATGCGAAGGAATTCTTGAAGGTGTTCATTCGCAAAAACAAGCCCAGCGTTCGTGTGCCAGAGAAGATTACGGAGGACAGACCCTTCAGCCTTAGACCGTCTGAAATTCTCGCTCTGGGTACTGTGAACCAACTGTTGGAGGCCGAGGGCTGCAAGTTCGACCGAACCAGAGAACAAACCAAGAACGCCCAGAACGCAGCTCGGACATTCGAAGACGAAATGAAAGTGGCTATTGGAATGACCAACGGGCCTACGGCTGCACGTCTTTGCGCTTCGTCCTTCGTACATGACATTCTTAAGATTGGCAAAAGCGGAGAGCAACAGTACGAAGAAGAGGCTGTGTCTGCCTTGAGACAGCGACTTGCGACTTCAATTCTGGAAAATGCCCTTGAAATACTCAAGGCTTTGCAAGAATTGTGGTACATTGAGCAAAACCATAAGACAACGCAGATGTTCGCCAGATTTGTGAAGGACGTTACGACCAGAGACTTTGATGCACCGGATGTTGTTCCAATGCTGAATTCTGTTCTGCGATATGCAAAGGCCAACGCCAGAAAACCCACTCCGACCCCGTGGGAAGAAACCACCGTGGACAGCGACGAGCTCACGCCTGAAGAAAAAGCGAAGCGCAACAAAGCTATCGACAAGGCGACGGATTCTCGAGTTGTCATCACGACCGATCTCGTCCTGAAGTTGTCCCAAGATGTTGCGCGATTTTGCTTCGTCAAGGTTGTCTCCTCGGTGGTCAAATCGGAACCCCTTGAACACTGCAACACCTGTGCTCAACCAATCTCAGACCTTGCCCAGGCAATGGTATCCGAATGCGGTCATATTGTTGCGTGTCAGTCTTGCCCTCCGACTGGAAACTGTCCAGCTCTCAAGAGATGCTGCTCTTCGTTCTCTGCAGACCATATCGAGCCTGCAAGCCGTTTTGCGCTTCGCCTGGATCCCCAATTGCAGCAAATAGACGACAAGGTCAAGGGATCAATGGCACGATGTGCTGTGTCTATCATCCGCGATGAGTTTGGGTGTGAGGAGTCTGGAGTCGTGTTCGCCCAGTTCCGATCAATCAAGGATGGGTTTGTCCAGGCATGCCATGAAATGGGCATTGAGTGCTTTGATGGCTGGACCTACGTGGACCGCCAGGTCAAGAACTTCAAGGAGGCAGCTAGGACGGGCACGGCCCTCCTGGTGCTTCAGACGGACTCGGCAGAGGCCGCTGGGCACAACTTGCAAATGGCAAGGAATGTGCTCTTCCTTGGGCCGGTGTTGGTGGACTCTGTCTCGGAGAGAGACACCATCATGGAGCAGGCGGTTGGTCGTTGCCGCCGACCTGGGCAGGTCAAGAAGGTCCGGGTCTACCACCTGGGGCCCGAAGACTCCTAGGCGGGGGCCGGGGGTCCGGGGAGGGGGGGGAGGGTGTGGTGGCTTTGTAAGACTAGTTTTTTAATGCAGTTAGAGTAGAAATGACATGTGATGTATGATACCTCCAGGCGACCGCCATGCTTCCGTGACGCGTCTAGTAGTCTCCTTTTGCAACGTGTATCTGGCCTCCATGTAGAGGTGCTGTAGCCTTTTCTGCGATGCAATATGAGTTCTTGTCGACCGTCATACGTTCATGGCAGAGCGAAGAGTCTTGCGTGCTCATTGGGACGGAGGGGGATATCAACACAGTTCATGGCTCTGGAAACGATGGGGATGAAAGGCGACAGGACTGCATGAAGTGCGTCATGGGAAAATGGGCCAGAAACCTTCCGGAGGAGGAAGACGACCCATGGCCAGGTAGGAATGGAAGAGCACAAGTGGACAAAGGATTGGTACAAGTGTTTGTGGCCGGCAAGAGTGTCGGCCAGAAGAGCTATGGTGAAAAGGGGTACTTGTGTGCACAGGGCGTGGTACGGGGGGTAGAAAGGATGTTCAGCCTTGTACTTTCTCACGTGACATCGAGGTGTTTTGAGTCCTTGCATGATAAGAGCATCAGAAAGTCATTCTTTAGCACACGAATTTCGAGTCGCGAGGTGTATCCTGCGAGATCCTGCGAACTCTCAAAAGTTTGAGCGCAATCAGTGAGGTAAATCAGCCCCAGTCGAACCGAAGTCGAGTCCTGTGGTACCTCGTACTCGTAGTTCCCGAGGCTTGTACATATCGCTGGGGGCCCAACACTATATTTAGTGCAAATTGTCGCGCATAAGTGGCCAACCCACCAGACTGGAAAGATGGGGCCAAAAATCTTCCCTGGGTGCCCCTGACCAGTGCCAGATCTTACATTCCATTGCTCGGGAATATTTCGATCAATCAGATAGCGCAAAATAAGACGAGACAGCCTCGGCGACTGAAAAAAGGTACGTACTCCGTACCCTTCGTTCCCACTTCCCAAGTGTCCTTTCTCAGCAACAACTGTACTCTGTTTCGCCCGTACGACAGCCAGCACGGCCGAGATCAAAGTAGAGAACAGTCGTTGCCGAATTTGCCCAAGGCTAACAAATCGGGATGGGATCTCGGTGGATTAATTGCAAATGCAAGCAACTGAGTGCAACCAAACCGGAGTCCGAAATTGTAAGTTGAACAGGGGAGGACTCCGCCTAGGACGCCACAATATCATTATCGATCTCGGGAAATCAGGCTTCCCATGAGGCTGAAGAGTTTTTGCAAGTCCTTGATACGGTTCTGACAGCACGGATGCCACATACGAAATACGGAGGCTCCATCTGTGCAACTGCTTGGGTCAAATCATTCTCCAGTGCTCTGGTCAAAAATGCTAGGCAAGATGTTGCTCATCACGATTCTCTTCCCTTTGCCCGCGGGGACATTGGGGCAATAAGATGCATTAGTAGCCTGGCGAGCGGCAGTGGCGGTTGCCCTCGGTATATTTCAGCAGAAAGATAGACGTCATCCTTGTCGGCGCTCAACAAGACATGGTGCACCATGATGCAGCGTTGAAAAATTGTTGGAGTTGGGGGAACAATTAATTTGTTCGGGAAGTAAACGGAGCATCATGGAGATAGTCGAGCAATGTTGGTGGGCAGATCGACAGCTGGAGGCAACCTACGGAGGTAGCCTAAGAGGACATGGATGGGGCTATGACCCAATCAACAGAGCCCAGTTAAGCCCATGATGGCCCAGTGAGTCCAGTGAGATCAGTGAGCCTAAAGCTCTCCGGTTGAGGCTTGCTCGGCGACCTGTCATCGTGCTCCCAACTGAAAAATCGATGCCCACTTGTGCCCTCCACGCCCCCGAGAAGCTGATTGAATGATCGAATGGTGATGCACAGCTTGTCCGGCCCGCCCTGGTTTGGCGAAGAGGCGCTAATCCCGATCCTGCACTATCCAACAACTAAGGGACACTTTTGGCCTGTTAGACTGCGGGCTGCGGCTGCGGCTACGAGCTGCTGCTGGCTGAAGCTGCTGCATCACCGTCTTATTATTTACACCTTGCATGGTGTCGTTCCTCGCGCACATATTGCTGACTTCACAATTCTCCTCCCTTTCTTGCTTCCCTCCCAATTCTCCTTTACCTCCTTCAAAAGAACCCGACCTGTTCATCCCTTACTCTTCTCGCCTGGATATAGACTTTCCAGGGTCTTCTTGCAATTGGGAGCACCGGTACTAATTGGCGTCTTTCCGGTCTCCTTTTCACTCCCACGACCAGACATCCTCTCAACCTGAACAGAGACAAAGCTCGTGTCCACAGTCCTCCTCGATTGCATGATCTAGTCCATTCGCTACAATCATGGCTTCCACCGTCAACGGTGTCAATGGCACCCCAGCTCGCCGATCCACGCTGGTCAATGGCACGACCAGTGAGTGGCAGGCGAAGCACAACCTTGCAGCACACTTCATCGGTGGAAACAGACTAGAAAAAGCTCCTCCGAGCAAAGTAAAAGACTTTGTGCAAGCGCACGATGGCCATTCAGTCATCACTTCGGTATGTCGCGCAGTTGACAAAACTTGTGCGGGGAGCGCAGCTGACACGGCCTTCCAGGTGCTGATTGCGAACAACGGTATTGCAGCAGTCAAAGAAATCCGTTCAGTACGGAAATGGGCCTATGAGACCTTTGGCGACGAGCGTGCCATCCAGTTCACCGTGATGGCCACCCCAGAAGATTTGCAGGCAAACGCAGACTACATTCGTATGGCTGATCAATATGTTGAGGTACGAGCAAACTCCCCCCGAAAACGAGATAGGACTTTTGACTGACACGTCTGATTTAGGTGCCGGGAGGCACGAATAACAACAACTATGCGAACGTCGAGCTGATTGTCGATGTCGCCGAAAGAATGAATGTCCACGCCGTCTGGGCTGGTTGGGGTCACGCCTCTGAAAACCCCAAACTCCCAGAATCGTTGGCAGCCTCGCCCAAGAAGATCATCTTTATTGGACCTCCGGGTTCCGCAATGCGCTCTCTGGGTGACAAGATCTCCTCCACCATCGTCGCACAACACGCACGAGTACCTTGCATTCCCTGGTCAGGAGAAGGTGTGGACGAAGTCGAATTGGACGACAAGGGAATCGTCACTGTCCGAGACGACGTTTACGACAAGGGTTGTGTACATTCTCCACAAGAGGGTCTGGAAGCTGCCCGCAAAATTGGCTTTCCCGTCATGGTGAAGGCGTCCGAAGGTGGTGGTGGTAAGGGCATCCGAAAAGTCGAAAACGAGGAGGAATTCGAGAGCCTCTACAATGCCGCAGCAAGTGAGATTCCAGGGTCTCCTATCTTCATCATGAAGCTCGCAGGCAACGCCCGGCATTTGGAGGTGCAGCTTCTGGCTGATCAGTACGGGAACAACATCTCCCTCTTCGGCAGAGATTGCTCCGTACAGCGGAGACATCAAAAGATCATCGAAGAGGCCCCAGTCACGATTGCAAATCCAGACACCTTCCGCTCTATGGAAGATGCTGCTGTCCGTCTGGGTGAGCTCGTCGGCTACGTTTCAGCCGGTACTGTCGAATATCTCTACTCCCACGCCGACGACAAGTTTTACTTCTTGGAGCTCAATCCTCGTCTCCAGGTCGAGCACCCTACCACCGAAATGGTCAGTGGTGTCAACTTGCCTGCAGCTCAGCTTCAGATTGCCATGGGTATCCCTCTTCACCGCATCCGTGACATTCGTTTGTTGTACGGGGTGGATCCACATACAGCGACAGAGATCGACTTCCACTTCAAAGACCCAGCCAGCTTGAAGACCCAGCGACGTCCTCGAGCAAAGGGACACACCACGGCTTGTCGTATCACCTCGGAAGATCCTGGTGAGGGATTCAAGCCTTCGAGTGGTACTATGCACGACCTCAACTTCCGTTCGAGCTCCAATGTTTGGGGTTACTTCTCTGTGTCCTCGGCTTCCAGTATTCACAGTTTCTCCGACAGTCAATTTGGTCACATCTTCGCCTATGGCGAGAACCGACAGGCCTCCCGGAAGCACATGGTCGTCGCTCTGAAGGAGTTGAGTATCCGCGGTGATTTCAGAACTACGATCGAATACCTCATCAAGCTGTTAGAGACTCCTGCCTTTGAAGACAACACAATCACCACTGGTTGGCTTGACCAGCTGATCACCAACAAATTGACCGCTGAGCGACCGGATCCGATGCTAGCTGTCCTGGCAGGTGCTCTTACCAAAGCTCACCTCGCCAGCGAAGCCTGCATCGCGGAATACCGCAAAGGGCTGGAGAAGGGCCAAGTGCCTTCCAAAGACGTGCTCAAGACAGTCTTCCCTGTCGAGTTCATCTATGAGGGGCAGAGATACAAATTCACCGCCACTAGAGCTAGTCTTGATAGCTACCACATCTTCATCAACGGGTCAAAGTGCTCAGTCGGTGTCCGAACACTTGCCGATGGTGGTCTCTTGATGCTCCTTGCTGGACGATCCCACAGCATCTACTGGAAAGAAGAGGCCACAGCCATCCGTATCAGCGTTGACAGCAAGACCTGCCTGCTCGAGCAAGAGAACGACCCCACCCAACTTCGAACACCATCCCCCGGTAAGCTCGTCAAGTACACTGTCGACAATGGTGAGCACGTCAAGGCTGGTCAAGCTTTCGCTGAGGTGGAGGTCATGAAAATGTACATGCCTCTGATTGCACAAGAGGATGGTGTAGTGCAGTTCCTGAAACAGCCTGGAGCTACCCTGGAAGCAGGAGATATTCTGGGCATTCTAGCCTTGGATGACCCATCCAGGGTCAAGACGGCTGAGACGTTTACTGGCAAGCTTCCAGACCTGGGACCTCCTCAAGTCGTCGGAAACAAACCACCCCAGCGATTTGCTCTGCTCCTCGGCATCCTACAGAACATTCTGCTTGGCTTCGACAATCAAGTCATCATGGCTTCCACCCTAAAAGAGCTGGTCTCTGTTCTGAGAGATCCAGAGCTGCCATATGGCGAATGGGCAGCAAGATCTTCGGCATTGCATTCACGGACTCCACAACGTCTCGACTCCCAGCTTTCACAAATCGTCGACCGTGCACATGCCAGGCACGCTGAATTCCCCGCCAAGCAGCTTCAAAAGGCCATCAACCGTTTCATCGAAGAGAACATGTCCAAAGCTGACGGTGCTATTCTTCACACCACTCTGGCGCCTCTCGAGGAGGTCATCTCCAGATATGCTGAAGGCCTAAAAGTCCACGAATTTTCTGTCTTCACCGGACTGCTCGAGCAGTACTACGAGGTCGAGAAGTTGTTCGCTTCCGGCTCTCACAGGGACGAGGACGTCATTCTCAAGCTCCGAGAAGAGCACAAGGACGATATTCTGTCGGTGGTTTACACTGTTCTTTCCCACACCCGCGTTTCCTCAAAGAACAACTTAATTGTTGCCATCTTAGCCATGTACCGCCCCAATCAGCCCAATGTCGGCAATGTTGGCAAGTACTTCAAGCCCGCGCTGCGCCACCTCACCGAACTCGAGTCCCGAGCGACCGCCAAGGTCGCTTTGAAGGCTCGTGAATTGCTCATCCTGTGCGCCTTGCCGTCTCTTGAGGAGCGGGTGTCGCAGATGGAGCACATTCTCAAGTCCTCCGTCGTGGAATCCAAGTACGGAGAGGCAGGTTGGGAACATCGAGAGCCAGACCTGGAAATTTTGAAGGAGGTGGTCGACTCTCGTTACACTGTTTTTGATGTCATCCCACTCTTCTTTGCTCACCACGACCCCTGGGTCGGTCTTGCTGCTCTCGAAGTGTACATCCGACGTGCATACCGTGCCTACACTGTCAGAGAAGTCGAGTACCACAATGATGTTGATCCGCCGTTCTTCATGTCATGGGACTTCGTTCTTCGCAAGGTTGGACAGTCTGAATTTGGCCTTCCTCTGGCGTCCTCCTACCCATCTGGGCAAGCCACGCCATCGCAGCAGGGCAATGGCAATGCGTTCAAGCGCATCGCGTCCGTGAGTGACCTTTCATACCTGAACAAGTTGCAAGCCGAGGATGAGCCAACACGCAAGGGTGTTATTGCGCCGTGCCACTACTTGGATGAGGTAGACGAATGCCTTTCGCGCGCTCTCGAGGTCTTCCCCAAAGGCACGAAGGAGAAGCGCCCCAGCCAGCAACATCTCATGCCCACACTCGACAGCGCTCGCAGACCGCAACAGAAGGCTGAGCCGATAGATGACGACTTGACGAACGTTTGCAACATCGCCATCCGAGACACTGAAGATCTTCCGGACGAAGAAATCCTCGGTCGCGTCCGCAGCTTGGTTGCCGACTACAAGTCGGAGCTCCTTGCGCGCAGAGTACGCCGCATCACTTTTATCTGCGGTCACAAGGATGGATCCTACCCTGGATACTTCACCTTCCGTGGACCCGAATATGAGGAAGACCTGACCATCCGACATAACGAGCCTGCTCTTGCTTTCCAACTCGAACTTGGAAGGCTATCCAAATTCAAGATCAAGCCAGTCTTCACGGAAAATCGGAACATTCACATCTACGAAGCTATTGGCAAGGGTGAGGACAGAGACAAGGTGGTCGACAAGCGCTACTTTGTCCGCGCGGTGGTCCGTCCAGGTCGTCTGAAGGATGAAATTCCTACTGCGGAATACCTGATCTCTGAAACCGACCGTCTTGTCAACGACATTTGCGATGCTCTTGAGGTTATTGGCAACAACAACTCCGATCTGAACCATATCTTCATCAATTTCTCTCCCGTCTTTAATCTGCAGCCCAAGGATGTTGAGGAAACGATTGCTGGCTTCTTGGAGCGGTCCGCCAGGAGGTTCCTTCGACTTCGTGTCACAGGAGCGGAAGTCAGAATCCTCTGCACCGATCCTGAGACTGGAATGCCATATCCACTGCGTGTGTTCATTACCAACACTTCTGGCTACGTGGTCAACGTGGAAAGCTACGTTGAGAGAAAGTCGCGATCTGGGGATTGGGTCTTTGAGACCATCGGAGCGACTAACAAGGTCGGTGCTATGCACCTTCGACCTGTGTCCACTCCCTATGCCACCAAGGAATGGTTGCAGCCCAAGCGATACAAGGCCCATCTTATGGGTACTCAATACGTCTATGACTTCCCCGAATTGTTCAGACAAGCAATTGCAAACAGCTGGACCAAGGCTATTGCTAGGCACCCTCCGATGGCCGAGTCAAGACCAGAAACTGGGCACTGCCTCGAGTTCAGCGAGCTGATCCTTGACGACAATGACGAGCTGGCCGAGGTGTCACGAGAGCCGGGTACCAATAATTGTGGTATGGTTGGCTGGGTACTGACAGCCAAGACACCGGAGTACCCCAGAGGCAGGAAATTCGTGATTATCGCCAATGATATCACATACCAGATTGGTTCCTTCGGACCTGTAGAAGACAAGTTCTTCAACAAATGCACGGAATATGCACGAAAACTTGGTATTCCTCGCGTTTACCTGTCCGCCAACTCCGGTGCTCGGATTGGTATGGCTGATGAGCTCATTCCTCATTTCTCCGTTGCCTGGAATGACGAATCTAAGCCTGAGGCCGGCTTCAAATATCTTTACCTCACACCCGAGAAGCGAAAGCAGCTCAGCGCGAAGGAGGTCATGACTGAAGAGATCCAGGAAGATGGTGAGACACGACACAAAATCACCACCATCATCGGTGCCAAAGATGGTTTGGGTGTCGAATGCTTGCGAGGCTCTGGTCTCATTGCGGGCGCGACCTCAAAGGCGTACGAGGACATCTTCACTATTACCCTCGTTACATGTCGATCCGTCGGTATTGGTGCCTACCTCGTCCGTCTTGGTCAGCGAGCTATCCAAATCGAGGGCCAGCCCATCATCCTCACTGGCGCTCCTGCTCTTAATAAGGTGTTGGGTAAGGAGGTCTATACTTCCAACCTGCAACTTGGTGGCACACAGATCATGTACAGAAATGGTGTGTCCCATATGACTGCCAGCGACGACTTCCAGGGTGTCGAGAAGATCGTTGAATGGATGTCCTTCGTTCCCGACAAGAAAGGTCAACCAGTTCCCGTCGGCATTGCCTCTGACACATGGGACCGTGACATTGCCTTCTATCCACCTCGAGGCCCTTACGATGTGAGACACCTCATTGCCGGCAAGCCAGATGAGGAAGGTTTCCAGTCGGGTCTTTTCGACAAAGACTCTTTCCAGGAAGCGCTTGGCGGTTGGGCGAAGACTGTTGTCGTCGGTCGTGCTCGCTTGGGTGGCATCCCAATGGGTGTTATCGCAGTCGAGACACGTACTGTGGAGAACGTCATTCCGGCAGACCCTGCCAATGCCGACTCAATGGAACAAGTGGTGCAAGAAGCTGGTGGTGTCTGGTTCCCCAACTCCGCCTTCAAGACTGCGCAAGCTCTCAAGGACTTCAACTATGGTGAACAACTTCCAGTCATGATCCTTGCCAACTGGCGTGGTTTCTCTGGTGGTCAACGAGACATGTTCAACGAGGTCTTGAAATACGGTTCCTATATCGTTGATGGCCTCGTCAAGTACGAGCAACCGGTCTTTGTCTACATTCCCCCATTCGGCGAACTTCGTGGTGGTTCTTGGGTAAGTCTTTTTCTATCGTGGTATTGACCAGAACTGACACATTTTCAGGTCGTTGTTGATCCTACTATCAATCCTGAGCAGATGGAGATGTACGCTGACGAGGAGTCTCGTGGTGGTGTCTTGGAGCCAGAAGGTATTGTTGGCATCAAGTACCGTCGCGAGAAGCAACTTGAAACTATGGCTCGTCTTGATCCTATATACGGTCAACTCAAGGCTCAGTCTCTCGCCAAGGACTCGACGCCTGAGCAGCTGAATGATATCAAGGCCAAGATGACTGAGCGTGAGCAACTTCTCGGACCCATCTACCAGCAAATCGCCCTTCAATTCGCCGACCTTCACGACCGCGCTGGACGTATGGAAGCCAAGGGTACAATCCGCATGCCGTTGAAATGGCAGAATGCCAGACGATTCTTCTACTGGCGTCTTCGCAGAAAGTTGTCCGAGGAAGTCTTGTTGAAGAAGCTGAACTCAAGCTTGGGTGCCGGTACTGCTGTGCCAACCGTCAGCGCTTTGGCTCAGAAGGAGAGCAATCTCGCCATGCTCAAGAACTGGTCCGGTCTGCTTGATGTCGAATTCGACAAGGATGACCGCAAGGTTGCAGAGTGGTACGAAAGCCACAGAAAGGAGGTCTACGCCAAGATTGACGCCGTTAAGGGCGAGGCTGTTGCAAAGAAGGTTTCTGAGCTTCTGATGGGCAACAAGGAAGGTGGCTTGAAGGGAGTCCGCGAGGTCTTGAGCCTTGTTCCCACGAGCGAGAGGGAGCAACTGGTCAAGTACTTGACCGGTGCTTGAGTCGGGAAGCCGAGGTTGGCTACTATTGATTTGACTATGACAGCGGATGTTTTAAGAGGGACAACGGGCCCCTGGAGGAAGGGTTCATCCATGCACTGAGGATTTACAGGCGTTCGATTTTCTTGCGATTGTCAGACATTTTTCAAATAGCGTGTAAAAGCACAGTATACCCTGTCAAAGCTGTCCCTCCGTACATCGTGAAGCAATGTATCGCAGGCTCCGTTCTGGATACTGGATTGCTGTGTTTGTCGCCCCTCAATGTCATCAGCTACGTGCTCGAATATTCTACTGCCTCCGGCAACGTGGTTAAAGGGGAAGTCGCAGAATATGCGATAAGTCATAGATCTGAAATCTGGCACTCCTAGCCTGAACCTATATCAAGCTTCTGGTGCAAAAGGAAGCTGGTCATCCGTTAATCCAATCGTCCTTCTCCTTGTAAGTCGTGGAACAGCTGTCTCTTCGGCTTCATTGGTATCCAAGATCTCGTAAGAAACCAGACTCAAGCGCCATGTCAGTTTTCTATAGAATTGTATACTCTGGACCTGTGGGAAAAGGTCAGGCAAGACGTCAATTAGAGGTCTCATGCTAGTCTTCTCTCGCCGGAGGAGGGATGCGATCCTTGTCGATGTATCATGCATTGGTGCCAGCTGTCCAGTGGAAGCATGTTGAACAGCCACCGATTCATTGTGGGGCCGGTCAGATAATTCTGTGTCGCAGTAAAAGTCCAACCATGTCAGATTCGGCAGCCCATTCACCCATCCAAGCTTGTCGTTGAGGGCGGTCCGGGGACATTCTCGAGCAATGCGGCACACCTCGGATGTGTAATCTCGAATTAGCTGAAATGACACTCGAGATATCTTGGGCCTCCAGTAGGTATGCAGAACCAAGACCGGTAAGCCGCAAGCAGGAGAACTTTGGAACTCGGGTGGGGACCCTGGGACTCCGGACACATAGTGTTAGACTCAGATGCTGGAGATTGGGAAAGGTCTTCTCCATCTGCAAGGTCAAACGTTCCAGTGTCATCGGCAGGTAGATTTCCAGCCTGGATTTGCGATTGCTCTTCGCTAGAATGGCAAGTGTGAGCCGCCGAACGTGCTTGCGGTACGACAGGTTCGAGGGCAGACTGTGCATGCCCTTCCTCAGGTGCAGGACGAAGGTTGCGTGCTTGTCTTGAAGCACATTCAGACATTCTCTGTAGACTTGCCGACAAGTAGTCAGGATGGAAGGACAAGATCCTAGTAATACTTTGCGCCCTTCGATCAAGTTCCAGCGTTCCCGGCGTCCCACGTAGATCGAGCGAGACGAAGGTTGCAGAGACAGATGGAGAATGGATGCTCGTATTTCGTACGGAAGCTCCAAGAGGCGGCCACGTTTCTTCTCACAGTGGTTGTTCTTCGATTTCATCGTGATGGGCGGAAGCTTGGACATCATGGTCCATGGAGTTCGGTGATGTCGTATAGTATTTGAGCTAGGTCGGCGACTTCTGAGCCCTGGAACCCCTGCGCAAGAGGCGTTGTTGCTAGTAGTTGGTATTGTGACCTAAAGTGAGAGCAGAAGGGAAGTGCGGTCTTAGGAAGAGGAGTGATTTGGTGGCCAGCCTTGCCATGCAGCTCTTGAAACACTCGCTAAACGCTGCTCCTTTCCCACACCGGCCGCCAACTCTGACTCGACCGTCTGCTCAAGTTGGCTTGCTTTCCCATGCACGATGACAACCATCACCAGCGACCAAAAGAGGGTTTTGAGGGTTCGTTGGGAAGCCGGAAGAAGAGAAGGCTCATCTTAAACAAAGTTGTCTACTACGGTCTCATGGGTGGATCGTGTCATAAAACTCGCTTAACCGAGGTGCATAACAGCAGTCGCCAGAATTGTCGAAGCAGCAGCTGGACATCGCGTTGGACAGGAGGTTGTCCTGGTACATAAATTTGTCCTCACTGCTGTTTGTCGTCGAATAGCACCCTATCGCTAATTTATAAGATTTACATATGAGACCGCATCTGCCCAGCTTCTTCGCCAGTCATACCAACGTCCACACCGTTCAGGACACCATCAACTGTGTACTGTCGTTGACATTTCATTCAGTCTAGCTAGGGTGTTAGTGGTGATCGCATTCCTTGGTTGACAGTGGGGCGGAATGCTCTTACTGAGTGATATACCCTCGCTAGGAACGACTTTCCAGGGATCTGCCACGAAGTCCAAGGCTACATCCCTAAGATGCCATGGGTTGATGTAGACTTGCAAACCAATGTTGCTGGAAAACAGATTGAAAACCCTCATGATCACGAACAGATCTATTGGAGCCCTTGGTGAATGAGGTTCGCATGCTTTCTCTCGCATCAATCTGTACTGGTTACCACTCATGAAGAATGGGGTGCTGCAAGGTCCTCCTGTTGTCTTAACCTCAATATGATAGCGCACCGCAGCGGGCGTTGCACGAGATCCGAGCCAAGGAGGGTACGGAAATGTAGTGTTTCGTCGAAGAATATCCATCAGACGTGGGCAATTGCCTTCGTACATGATATCTGAAATCTCCCGCCCACTCCATGCTGGTTCGTTAGCATATTCAGGCAACTCCCTCACATAGTGGCGAATTGAGCTCTGCCAGTTGTCGATGGAAAAATCTGACACTCGGGAAGACTTGAGGAGCTCGAATACCTGGTGGCGTTACGATCAGCTATCGACCATTCGGTGTATTGCCTAGAAAACTTACAAATAACTCTCCAGCTGCTCCTATGCGAGCATTGTGTTCGAAATTGCCATTACCTGTGCCGCCAAATGTTCGGAAGAAACCTGCATAATCGACCCGATTGTCAAGCTCATCCAGAGCTTGGTCGATTTCATACAGGGACAACGATCCTCCCTGGGGAGGTTGACCACGCCTCGCTTGTCGAACAACTTCCCTCAGAAGCTTTTTGTACTGCTCATTGCGTGCCACCTGCTCCCAGACAGAGTCTTGAGGAGCATAATTGACACTTACTGGGGCAGGCACGTTGTTGGTATCCTGTGTGTATGATGCGTTGCTGCTTTGATCGGCCAGAACGACCAGCAGAGCTTCGTCTGGAATGGTAGGTGGGATGGAAGTTAGGTCGACGGTGGGACCTTCAGCGCCGTTCGGGGCAGGAAATGGCGAAGACGTTTGCAATGGTTCAGGCCTGTCGAACCACTCATAGTAACACAGGTCCTCATCCTTCATGGTCTTGTCCAGGTCCTTGTCATTCAAAATCCGGTGGATCACCTTCACTGCAGCTCTGTCTTGGATAGCAAGAAGCCTCGCAAGTTGTCCGGGAAGCTCGGTGTGGAAGCATGAATAGAGGCCGTCATGGTCGCTTGGAACATATAGCGCCAGCTTCCCGTCAACTTCGTCGTCTACTTTCACCACGGCCCTATCACTTCGTACGGAGATGTCCTGGTCTCCCTCCTGCCTCACAGTGAGTTCCGTCCACATCTCTTCACAGACGTACACTTCCGTGTTTAGAAGTAACTGGTGTGTTGTGGTGTTCCGGTTGTAGTATCTAGGGCTGTTATAAAAGTTGGCACAGCTGGTGAACGGTCAGTCTGCATGCCATTCCATGGTCAGACTCTTGATACTCACCAGGAAAATCCATATGCACGGTCTCTGATATGACGTCCGAGAGGGATGCTCTCAGTTGGTCTGTGGCAGGTAGTGACCGGACGGACATGGTTTGAAAGGTATCGATGTCGAATTCCCAGTAATTCGAAAAACGGATGCAACGAAGTCATTTCTTCGTGACAGAAGTCCACAATTCTTGCTTTGTGTCTGAAGCTCTCTCCATATCGCTTATGGTCATTGATGAAGAAGTGTTCATCGATGGAAAACGGCCTCATACCGTCAGGACAACATACAGGAAGAAAAGCCGTCTTCTTCAATGTATTCAGAAACTCGTCCTTGATTTTGACCTCGGGATCAGCTGCTAACAGTTGGCCAATTGCAAGTATAATGCGCTTGATTTCGTCAAAGTCCGGTGCTGTCTTCTTTGCGGTCCTTGCGAGTTCCTGTACAAGTACGTCGATGTTCATAGTCATGACTTTCATCTTGTCGACAAAGAATTTCTTTAGCTTGGGATATACTTGTTCCAGTGGCACACGGCCGGAAATTGCGATTGTACAATTCCACAAACATTCAGATGGCTTCAGCCACCTTTGCCTCACAAAAATGAGACCACGTGCGTTGAATTCTTGCCTAGATCATTGTCAGGGCTTGCACACCGTAATTTCCTATCGTAGGAATAACGTACCGAACGGCCTCGATCGTTGATTCAGATCGCGTCATCTCCGCCAGGAGCTTGTAGATTCCATACAGTTTATCCTCAAAGGACGAGGCTTCGTTCGTTCCCGAAGCAAATATGTTGAGTTCGTCGATCAAATCGCGATATTCCACATCCCGCATACTCAATATTGTCTTGAAGAAAACGGAAGCATTCCGGTCGGCTCCGTACACAGGATGTAGTACTTTTTTAGCGCGCAGAAATATTGGACCGTCCCAAATACAATCAGTGGATCTACACCATACTTCGGCTGGCGTGTGCGTGCGGATAAGTGGCTGATCTGAGAACATTTTCTGAGATCTGTCAGTAAGTCCGTCTTCGGAGATGAAAGTGACTTAGTTACCTGCACGGTAGCAGTATCTCCAAGATTGGTAGTTTGAGCAATGCCAGCATAGATGCTCGTACACACCGGTATCAATTGCGTTTGCGTGGAAGCGGTCAGCAAGCGTACTGCCTTCAAGAAGAAACTGGTGTCGAGTTCACAGATTACTCCAAAGTCTTTCAAGAAGGACCAAGTATCAGACTGTTGGATGTCAGACTCCGGAGGCAGTTCCAAGAATGGTAATACCTCCTCCATTTGGAGTTCTTTGCTCTTTTCAACCAGCTGTTGCACAGGTAGAATAGTTTCTCCAAGCTCTTTATGAGTTCCATTTCGGCATGGCACATCGATCATCTTCAAATGCTTAGTGATCCTGGCCGCTCCAACCCGGTAGTCAGACCAATGTTCTTTCAGGTTCGCAACAAAGCTCTTGGAATTGTCCCTAGCAATAAGCGACATGAGAGGGTTCAGTTTATATTGCCCAGATCTGACCTCCGTCAGAGGCGGGAAATATGAAATGCCACACTTCTGCAGCCAAGAGATCCAGTCAAGGTCATGGCGAATATGCTTCCGAACTTGTGATTCCATGTATCGGGAATCGAGAATGCCGTAGCCGCAGTCTGACAAGTCTTTCTTAAGAGTTGCAGCAAGCAGTTTCTCCGAATGGTATTCGTTGTCTGAAGGGAAAAACAGCGAACGTCCTCGATGCTGCATGTTCTCGTCGCTCACAAGGCGTAGACGTGTATGACGTACTGACGACTGGGACGTAGGCTGCCCGAACCAGAAGAGTATTTCAAGGTCTCTCAGAAAGGTTAATACATTACCGCGCCTTCCACTGGACTCGTGCCCTTCGAGGATTTTTTGCGTTACTGTATAATGAGGACATGAGGCGATTCCCAGACTCATATAGAAGCTTGCGCGTTCTCCGTCCGCAGCAGCCGTCGGATGGAGCTTCCTTATCCCGAGACCGTCGGGCACCTCGATCCTCACTGCATCCTCGTCGATAATGTAGGGCAAATAGACAGGATCGCGACGTAAAGACGAAGGTGAAACCCAGCCATTGTTGTTTAGAGGAATGATGTTCAGGTTCTCTACCTCCAACTTGACATAGTCAATTTGGAGTAGCCAGTGTACAAGGACGCCGAATCTCGTATGCCATGGATCATCCAAAGGCCTGTCGTGAATACCTGCTTTCTCACTTGCCAAAAGGCCAAGCTTCATTCTCGTCAAGAGCTCTGGAGCAGTGATTCCCCCTAAGCCAAGTTCCTTCAAGGTCTTCACGTCTTGTGGCTCGTATCTGTCAGATAGATAGATGTCAGCCTCCGTGTCCGGCAGCAGTGGCAAGCCTTCGTAAAAAAACCAGTGAGGAAGAATCCTCAGATGCCTGAGGTTGTGAAGGCGACCCCGACGTGACCGTAGGATGGCTTTTCTCAGCAGTTCGTATTTGATGTCGTCATATAAATCTCCCCAAAAGCCTTCTATGGTGGTTCCTGGGAGATAGCGCATCCACTTGTACTCTAACTCATCGCCAGGCGTGACAACTTTCATGACCCACTCGACAAATGCCGTAACAATACCTTGTCGCAATGCTTGGTTCCAATCTGTGTCCGGTACCGCTTCACGATTGGCCGCAAGCACAAAATTTGCGTGGATGAGAAACTGCACTTGTTAGCGTGATACGTTGGAGGGGTTGGACATCGTACAGGCAAGTGTGGAACGCGCTGTACAGGAAGGTAAGCAAAAACATGCTGTCCTCGAGGTGGCACGACGGGTGTTCCACTCAAGTTCACTTCAAATGCCACCGTCACATCAGATGCGGCATTTGTGCGTTGACTCTCAGATGGCAGGTCGATGACCGTATGCTCGAAGCATCTCAACCTGGTCTTTTCTGAACGATGGTCACCAAATTGCCCAGTCACCGTGGTGCTGATTTGCATCTCTTCTGAACTCAAATCTCCATCCTTGGTGAAAGTAATGTGATCTGATCGTCCATCAGCACGCTCCACGACCACAACCATCCTTCTGACTTGACGCAGAGCGAAGATGGTGGTTTTCGGAAGCCTTTCGAATTCGGAGATTAGGCGCTGGTAGAAATTATCGCGAGTGTCAGAGTACCGAAGCGTGCATTTCGTCCCGACCCCAGCAGGTAACGAGGTTACAACATCAGTCCAGATCGGAGTGATCATTCCCACGCCGTCTTCGCCTCTCTTATGCTCAAACCGGAAAGACCAGAGCCCAGATTGGATATGGACGTAGTCGGCAATACCAAAAACTGATTTGAAACCCAGCCCTTTTTCACCAGTAGTGTCACTATTGCCGATCTTCGAGCTCTTTCCAGTATCACAAATAGCTTCAACATCCCCGAGTGAGAAACCTCTCTCATTTGTTTCAATGATTAACTCAGTGGGCTTGATTCGAAAGGTGACCGTGGGCTCAACACCCTCTGCATAGCGGGCGTCATCTCCATTTTGCAGCAACTCGTAGATCAGTCTGAACCTGGATGAGTATAACTGCTCGGCGACACTGCTAAAGTTAGAAAATTGGCTTCGAATGTAAAGTGATATGACTAACGTCTTTGTGTAGCGAGCATACACCTCTCGGAGTGTCAACGCTTTTTGGCGGTAGTCGTCCTGGAGGTCCTCGTCTGTCCCGCGAAGTTGCTCTTCGTGGCGTGCAGCGATGTGCCCTCGACGTCCACATATTCTGTTGATCTCTCTGCTTGCTGCAGGAACATTGAGTGGGAATCCCTTTTCGTCAAAGCCAGGCTTTGACATCTTTTCGTGGCAATTTATTGCAGGTGATCTGTCCAGTGATTGAAGTTGGACTTGGGAAGGGGACCATTCACTGACCAAGTACTAAACACCGAAGACTTCAGACGTTACTTAGATATACTTGTACCACCAACCTGCTGCTCCGAATGGAGTATTCTGGCGCAATCCTTCCATCATCACGCCATCGTCGTTTCAGATAAGCGCGTTGTTCCATTGCGGCGTCTGCAGGGTGAGGATCTGAAATAATTCGGCCCCAAATAACCCCTATTCAAGGAGGTTCTTTTGCAGAAGGTGGCCGCATTGCTTCCAGCTGCTAGACTACTACAAGTAGGTAGTCGCTAGCTTCTCACCTGTCGACGTAGTCGCCAGGGAGCTGCTGATAACTTGATCCGAGTATCAGGGTCACGCCAGGCTCGATACCAGAAGAGGCGTGGGGTGTGTGGGGACAGGGAAGCGGCTAAGACATGGCACTGTATGCACGAGGTGTCCTTTGCTAAGCAGCGCAGCGCTCAATGAAGTACTAGTTAGCACCTTGGAACATAAAAAGTGGCTGATGGTTCCTGCGACAGGAGGCTCAAACATCAGTCATGCAAGGTCTGGGCAATCAGTCGCAGACATCGATCGGGCACACTGGGTTCGTCCTGACCAGACAGACCACATGAAAGGACGCAACTAGCAGGGGCGATTGACGAGAGGGCGACCGTCGTGCATTGAAGACACGCTCCACGCCAGTGTTTCACACTGAGCATGGAAGACTCAGAGCCGGAAAGGGGATAATCTAAAAATCTCAGAATAAGCAGATTTATCGAGGCCTTGAAGGCAAGAAGACAGAAAGTAGAAGAGAAAGAAAGAAAGGCAGAGACGAGCTTCCTAATGCGATCATTGAGCTGTCATGACCCGTCCTCCGGTGAAAGCGGCGGCACAGCAGCCCCCAACCACGCCTACATAGTAGCAGTGACCCCGGACAGTACCCGGAGCAGTCGGCCGCCCTTTCATACAATACTACGAGGATTGGTATGCCCTGCTCTCACACAGTCTCTCCTCAACTCCGGTCACCGACGGTATACTATAATCACCATGAACCATTTATCCACGTGGTGAGGACATGACATCTTCCTCTTCAGTGGGTCGAGTTCCATGGAAGAAAAAAGCCGCTTGAGCTTGATGGAGCTCCTCACGGCACTTTGTGGCTTTAGAGCACTTATCCGCGAGAACGCCCACCACGCAACGATCAAAAGGCGAGGATTGACGAATGCTAATGAAGCTGCACGATGCAACCATGGCCCTCTCATAGTCTCGATAGTCCCGACGATCCTGATGGGAGCTTCCACAACTGGTCTGGCGGCACAATCCGACATGCATCCATACTACATAATGGTTTATCGGTTGCAGGCGACTCCCAGTCTCTCGATAGCACGTGCCCATTCATTGGTCAATGTGTGGTTTATCGCTTCAGGCACAAGGAAAGCAAGGAACCAGTGCGCAACCTTAACGTGCTTCTTTTTGCTTTTGCTCCAGCAATCCCCAGCAATTGCTAATACAAGTATAAAGCTACCATGCACCGACCGTTGTACCTGGCCCTTGGCAAAGCTTGCCAAGAGCTTCAATTTGTACATTACGAACTAGTATTGCTCGCAAGACAAGATGAAGGCCAACCTCGCTGCCGCTCTTTTGTCCGCGCTATGGGCTGCCAGTATTGAAGCTGCTCCCACTGTCGACACCACCTATCGCTATACCGGGCCAGATATACCTACAGGAGATTGGGTGCGCCGTTACCTCAAACGTGGTATACAAAACTAACTGTTGCGTAGGTTGATCCGACAGTCAACGGCAATGGCAAAGGATTCCCGCGGCTCGTCGAGCCTCCAGCCGTGAAGCCCGCCATGAAGAACCCAACGAACAACGTCAATGTTGTTCAGTTGTCCTACTTACCCAATGGCATCAACATCCACTACCAGACACCTTTTGGTCTCGGAGAGCTTCCAACCGTCATGTGGGGTACCAGTGCCGGGAAGTTGAGCAACAAGACACAAGGACACACTCACACGTAGGTTATATGTCCTCTTCCTGTCTAACCATGGGCCGCTAAAACCAAGTCCCAGATACGACCGGACACCTCCGTGCTCATTGGTGGCGGTAACTCAATGCAGCCAGTTCTTCCATGAGGTCCAGATCAAAGGCCTAACGGCCGGGACGACATATTACTATCAAATCCCTGCAGCTAATGGCACGACAACCTCGCCAGTCATGAAGTTCACCACAGCCCTTGCGGCAGGTGATCACACTCCATTCTCCATGGCTGTGCTCAATGATATGGGTTACACTAATGCTGCCGGCACCTTCCAGCAACTCACAAACGCAGTCGACGAGGGTGTTGCTTTTGCCTGGCACGGAGGCGACCTGAGTTACGCAGACGACTGGTACTCTGGCATTCTTCCATGCGAGAGTGACTGGCCTGTTTGCTACAATGGCACTTCGACATCACTACCTCCTGGAGACTATCCTACCGACTACAACACTCCTTTGCCAGAAGGCGAAATCCCCAACCAGGGCAGTCCGCGTGGTGGCGACATGAGCGTCCTCTACGAATCCAACTGGGATCTCTGGCAGCAATGGATCGGCCCAGTCACCAACAAGGTCCCTTACATGGTGCTTCCAGGAAACCACGAAGCAGCATGCGCCGAATTCGACGGACCCGGCAATGTCCTCACCGCCTATCTGGACGACGATAAGTCCAACGCAACTGCGGCAAACACGAGTCTGACGTACTATAGTTGCCCACCGTCGCAGAGGTGAGCCTTATACCCGGCGTTCGTCGTTCAATTTTTGGTGGAACACACTGTCCCCTAAACCAGGCTAACCACAATTGGTCGGCAGAAACTTCACCACATACCAGCATCGTTTCTACATGCCCGGCGGCGAGACCGGCGGCGTCGGCAACTTTTGGTACTCCTTCGACTATGGCATGGTTCACTTTGTGGCCATCAACGGAGAAACCGACTTCCCCAACAGTCCCGAGTATCCGTTCGAAGCAGACCTGACCGGCAACGAGACACATCCCACGAAGGACCAAACCTATATCACCGACAGTGGCCCCTTCGGTGCCGTCGACGGAAGCTACAGCAAAGTCCAATCATACCAGCAGTACAAATGGCTAGCTCAAGACCTCGCCAGCGTCGACCGAACCAAGACTCCCTGGGTCATCGCCATGAGCCACCGACCCATGTACAGCTCCGAGACTTCCAGCTACCAGAAATACGTCCGCAATGCCTTTGAGGCTCTCCTGCTCGAGAACGAGGTCGACATGTACTTGTCAGGGTAAATTTACTCCCCTTCCAAACACCCCCTTTTCCTTTTTCCCCCCTGGCCCCATCCCTTCCCTTTTCGTTCCTTTCCTCACCTGAGAGGTTCTTCGCCAAGCTTTTCTTCGCTGCTAACCTCCTTTCCTCTTCAGACATATCCATTGGTACGAACGTCTTTGGCCTCTCGGCGCCAACGGCACCATCGACAGCGCCTCCATCGTCAACAACAACACCTACTTGACAAATCCAGGAATATCTATGAGCTTCGTTACCAACGGCCAAGCTGGGAATGTAGAATCGCATAGCTTCCTTGATGCCGACGAGCCGATCAAGAACATCACAAATGTCCTCGACCAGCAACACTACGGTTTCAGCAAGTTAACGGCCTTAAACGCCACGGCTTTGAAATGGGAGTTCATTCGTGGCGACGGAGCTGGAGTCGGGGACACGTTAACTCTCCTGAAGAAGGGATGCTATGACTTGTGAATGAGGAGACCGCGCCTCTTTATCCAATGTTGGAAACCCGGAAGTATATCAACGACGATAATATGAGACCGGTCTGGGAAACACGTGACGTGGCTAGTATTGACCAATAACCGTTATTGTTTATTACCATTTCCAAGCTCTCCTCGATCCCCTGTCAGTTCTTCCAAGAAGGTTCCTTTACTACTACTACGGCCCATGGGTAAATCGTGTAGTTCGGCGCTATGATGCCATTCGAAGACAACAGCAGTGGGGACAGTTTACGGGATAGGCGGGCTTCCCGCTCAAGGCGAGATTCTGGCTCTCTCATCCATGGTTTAATGCTATCAGTCGCGAGTAGTGACTGCATTTGAACTAACACCTGCCTAGTAGAAGGTCACTCAGCCTTGCGTAACTCAGCCTTGCGTAACTCAGCCTTGCGTAACTCAGCCTTGCGTAACTCAGCCTTGCGTAACTCAGCCTTGCGTAACTCA